ATGTACTTCGTTCAGTTACGTATTGCTACACAAGGTGCTGTTGTAAAGCCGAGCCCATTGCTCTATTCAAAACCCCACGTTTGATTGTAAAGTTTGGAGATACAGGCACCTTTATGTTTGTAAGCGTGATGCTATATGAAGAATGGTCTTTGTTCAATGTCAAGTCGCTGGACCCTGGCAGAGCAAAAAACGCGGAGGGACACTCTTTGTGTAACTCAGCTACTTTGCATGACTAGAAGGATGGAAGGATGATACTGTATACTGTTGACAAAAGCCCGTACATTGCGAGCTAACAGCCATTTCTTCACAATAGCCACTGTTGTCCACTCTATGACATGTGAGCGATTCTCCTGCTTCAGACATTCATTTCCATGATTGGATTATGTTGATCCGAGTTGATTTGACCGAGATACAGCCAAAGAGGTTACATCAATCCACACATCTAACCATGCTCTATGTTGCTCAACTGAAGTAACCTTGTATGAGCGTAACTCAGCCAAATCAACTCGGATCAACATAATCCAATCGTGAAATGAATGTCTGAAGCAGGAGCATCGTTCCACTGTCATAGAATGGGCAACATTTGCCGATTTTTAGAAATGGCTGTTAGCTCGCAATGTATGGGATATTGTCAATAGTATACAGTATCATTCTTCCATCCTTCTAGTCATGCAAAGTAGCTGAGTTACACAAAGAGGTCCCTCTGCGTCTTTTGCTCTGCCAGGGTCCAGCGACTTGACATTGAACGAAGACCACTCTTCATATAGCGTCATGCTTACAGCATAGTAAAAACATAAAGACGCCTGTATCTCCAAACTTTACAATCAAACGTGGGGTTTTTATTAGAGCAACCTGTTCGTCGGGGTCAAAGGAATCTTGTGTGCCAGTTTCACCTTCATCGTGGCCAATCCCAGATTTCGCAATGTCGCCACCAGCCAAAGTGGATCCAGGGGTCGACCTCTTCGACGACGACGACCAAAAAATATTTTTTGGGCTGTTTGCGACATTGAACCCGAAACTTTCACACAAGGTGCTGTTGGCCAAGCTGAGCCCATTGCTCTAATAAAAACCGCACGTTTCATTGTAAAGTTTGGAGATACAGGCGTCTTTATGTTTTACCTATGCTGTAAGCGTGATGGAGTTGCTTTTTCCTAGTGGATGGTGTCGGCTGCATTAACGGAAAGATGAAGAGCTGAGTGAAACCGCACGTGGTGGTTACACAAACGCGTCCTTGACAGGTTGCTACACAAATGGATGATGATGATGATTGCCTTTGGTGAAGGTACGTAAGTAAAACAGCATCCAATCATAAAAAGACTACCTATTATGATAATGGCAATGGGTACAAGCATGGATATTACGTTCTTCTGCGTTTGCTAGGGAGAATCCATATGTTGGCTGCCGAAGTCCTGCATCGATGTCCACGGACCTGATAGATGCCAATTTCATTACAGTAAAACCATGAGTAGCTTAATTACAAGGACTATACTTAGTTGAGATCTCGAGTAGTGGTCGTTGTTATTGATCCAGATGTATAGGATATTGTTGAAGTACATATTCATAGTAGTAGCTATAGCAGGCGGGGTGGCATGGAGTGCAATAACGAGGACAACGAAAGGGGGAAAGAATGAGCCCGCTCTTCTTCCCTCCCACGTTACAAAGCAAGGCGAGACCAACTTCATTTACGCAATACAGAGCATCAACTACGTTCATTGCCTTTAATGCACAACGCCAATCGGTGAACAGGTGGTCAATGGCGACACGATGTAGCTACAGAGCATATGCCAAGAGACACGCGTGCGATCTATGTACCCATGACGACCAACGGACATGCCTGCCACCTACAAATATCGTCTTTCTATCACTTCGACTCCGTATTCTAAGATGGTTGACCACTTTACCAGTCCAATCAATCATGACAACAAGGACTCCTACGCCCACTCATATAAACAAGGCTGTTGTCACCAACACTATCATACGTCCTTTCTTTCTTCTACTTGTATTCATCGTCAATGGCCTTTGGTAAGTCTCAAGGATAACCTTTATGTGATCCACAATATGAGGGTACTTACTCATGCATTCATCTTTTATGTAGCTCACTTCATTGCTTTACCACTTGGCGTGCTCATCGCTGCTTAATGACATTTGGCTGTGGTCCTTGATGAACCCTTTGTGGTAGGTATAACTATCATCATTTATATATACCTAGTCTGATAGGAATTTGGGACTCCTTTGTAGGTGACCTAAGTACATGTGTTATTGTATTGTATTGTGTGAGGTGGATTATGTCAGCAATCAGAAAGTGGTCGTATCCTTTGCTTTCGGCAATCTTTATTCCATCTCTGGGGGATTCTCGTTGCCAAGCAACGGTCGTTTCCTTTGAGGGACATACGCTAGGTTATTTCTCTTCCTATGGGTGGATCATGTCAGTAACAAGTAGCAGCGTAAGTATTTTTTGGTGCCATCAAACTTTATCCCATTATCTGATGCTTCTCGTTATCGGCAATTCCTTTGTATTCCTTTGTTAGGCATCTGCCAGTTCATGTTTCGTTGGATGGTTGGATCATGTCAGCAGCATGCAGCAACTTTTATATGTATGGGTGCCAGCAATCTTCTGGTGGTTTTGGTTACCGACAATTTGGGAGCTATCACGGACGTATGGTCACGTGGGGATAAATATCCAAAATCAGTATTCGCTATCGCTTTTTCATCACAACCTGCACCATGGAATCAAGGTACATTACGACAACATAATGCAGCATACATTTTACTAATACTATCATGGTTTCAAGCGACGAAGAACTCTGTCTACCGTTGAAGAGTCAAATTCGGTGCCCCTCCATACCTTCCACAGGTCATCTCGTATCCAATTTATCCAACGTTCAACGCTCCACATCCACAACTTGCCTACAACCATCAAGGTCTAGTCGCCAACGTGTCGCATCCACAACTTGCCTCCAACCATCAAAGACAAGCCGCCGCCATATGCATGGACAATTCGATCACACCCGCCCTATCAATCTATTAGCTCATCACTATTCCCAACAATCATTTGCCATTCTTTGTAACCACCGAAATACCAAAGACCGCCATGCACATACTTGCAAAGATGTCGTCGCCCAGTTTACTCCTATGTACATACCCACCATTGATCGCTGGCGCCTTCAAAACCCATGTTGATGTGAGTATCCTGGTGGATGGTCTTAATTTGCTAGTGATCCATTTACTAACCAGCTGTAATGATCTTTAGCGTTTCATTGTTATGCTGCTTTCAATGTCATTGTGATATTGAGCTCTTTTGTTAAGGTAAAAGCTAATCATCCTGCGTGATGAAGTACGTGCTTATATATTCTTTCGATGTAGCTACCTTCCGAAATGCATACGCAAAGTTGGATTAGGTGATATATGGGTGGTGGTAGTGATACAACGGCTTCCCAGGACCTTTGTCTTTCTGTTTCCTTGTTCATCTTTTCCAAAAGGCGTTGAATTTCTCGAAGCAGTAGGCTCTGCATTTGACTTTCAAAACCTCTCTCGACAACAACACTTGGGGCTGCATCACAAATATTGTCTACTGGTAAGTGTCTGTGGAAGGTGGATGTTAACGTAAATCTGTTTATTCACTATAGGATTACAGCTATTTCTCTTTATGGTGCAAGTACATGGTTTGATACACATATGGGAGGGTTACTGTGTCGAGCTTGTTGGCATCGTTCAATTCAATCATCACGCCCAAGTATCTGAGTACACTGCTGCATGCTGCGACATCCATCTCAGCCCGAGGAAATTGCGACTTTGCTTTCCATGACCGACACCCAAGTTCAAAAGCTAGAGAGTGCAAGATCATATACCTACTGTTGAAAGCCTTTTGCTCCACTTTCCTTACATCCCCTTTACACATCACCTCTTCAACCGACACCATATTCCAGGCGAATTTGAACATCCCCTAGCTAGTAGCGTATAAGCCAAGGAATACAAGTGATGTTACAATAGTAATCATTGGGTCGTGTTGAGCAATGTTTCCTTTCATTCAAAATGTTACGTAAAGCATGGGCGGGAAGAGTTATATGAGCGCGCATATGTGGAACGATGGGATTTACGGCCAAATATGGTCAAAACTTTTGGGTTCGGAGATGTGGCCATGTAAGGTTATCTTGCTCACATGGTAAAGTGCACTCTCTATGTTTCGTAATTGCTGAAAGATGATAAATAAATAAAGCAAGTACGCCATGTTGTCTATGACTACCTAGAATGGAAGCTATTTTTGTAACATTGATGTCAATGTTTTCAGCAAGGAAAAGAGATGTCTCGGCCTACGCCAGGGAGAAGATAACATTGTAGACACAGCACGTAGATATTTCGTGCATTAGCATGTTACTACTGTGACACACTCATGGGGAATGATGATGACTATGGAAAGGCTTGTATATACATATGCAGGAAGATGCAAGTCAAAATATACGAGAGCTCAAGCACTGTGCACAATGTTGTGTAACTAGCTCTTTAGTAGCCGTATATGCCTAGTTGTAGGACTTGCCGCATTGTGCAGATGCTCATCCAAAGCTATCATGGGGCGTCGTTTGCATCATTGGAATGTGTGAGCCTTCATCTCTTTGTCTCTTATCCTGCTGAGAGGGTTCATGTGTCATGGACAGCCATCAATGAATCATACCGAGTGGGGCGAAGCAAGATGAGCAATGCGTATTACCAAAACGCCGGCACCAAGTGTCTTTAGCTATATGTACTACAGCAGTAGAGCATATCGGTGTTGGTGGTGGTACTAGGGGTGGCTGCTGTGACCCATGTATTCATTCTCAAATTCCCTTTTGCAGAGCTGTCAAACTATTTGTGGGACAATGAAACGCCTTTCAATGAACCGATGGTTACATCTTGCATAAACTTTGGGTGTAACTCATGCGTGTGAAACAATGGCATCATGAAACACGGGATGATTGAGTACGTAAAAGGATCAAAAAGAGATTCGTCATTCAAAATGGGGTGATCGAGTGCTCGGATTTCATGTTGGTGTGGCCCTTGCTGTATTAAAAACAGGTTACACTACAAGATGTGTGGAGATGATATTATATCAGCAAGTATGCAAAGACGAAAGTTAATACGTACGCCATGAATGCAAGGAAGTGCCTGTATCAAAAGGAAACAATGTTTAACAACCATGATGTATATATGAAATGGCTCTGCGTACGGGTTCGTCACATTTACAGTATACCATCCAGCAGCTAACATTCTGAAAAGATATCCGAGAACGTGGGTATTATGAACAACAGCGCACTATTTATGCGCATTTGCCCGTTCAGGACCAGCATTAGGAAAGGCCTTGTGGAACGAAGCATGTATAAAGCTGGCGTTTGCTGGATCGAAATCTTTTTTTCGCTCTCTCTTTGTATTCAAGGATCTCGATGGTTTTGGGAAATGACAACAAGGACCAATCCAGTGAAAAGCAACTTGAAGCAGGTCAAGCCTTGGATGTAGTAGATCATCAAAATGAGCTAGGATACAACAAGGTATGCATTCTACTACTATTGCAAGATGGGATGCGTACAGCTAAAGATAACCATGTCATAACGTCATTTCAGGATCCAAAAAACTCGCTCACTCTATTCTCCAACTTTGCCATTGCCTATTCATGCTGCTCGGTTTTATCCGGAATCACTCCCGTAAGATTGATTAAAGAAAAGATGCACATGCTTTGTATTCATGACTATAATCCTTCTTTCATTTACAGCTATGGGGCGATGCTATGGTCGATGGCGGTAGTGTATGTATAATATCATAAGAGTAACGACTATGCTGCTAACCATTTGGTGTATGTATATAGCTGGGTGTCATTTGGGGTTGGGTGGTGGTGTCCTTTTTTACGACCTTGTCAGCCATGTCACTTGCTGAAATAGCTAGTGCGTATCCAAGGACGGGTGGATTATATATTTGGGTAAGCAGGCTTGCTCCTCCCGAATGGGTGCCATTAGCTTGCTGGGTGACGGGATGGTTTACATGGATCCAATACATATGTAAGCGATAAATCGAGTGCAAATGGGGGAGGTGAGATGATATAGAACTCACTCATTCTTCCATTAGTCAGCGTCACCAGCGTTGGTCTTGGTTGCAGTCAATTTATTGCTGGCATCATTCAAATATGGTATGCGAAGAAGGAAAAGGAGGAAGGTGCACGTGACTTTTGGATTGACATTGTTATCGTGTTGAAAGGCAACCGGAAGTCAACACTTCAGTGTATATGCAATACGGCGTCTTTTTCGGCATTTGCGTTCTGTATGGCGTTATCAACTCGGTCACTGTTAGATTCAATGGCATTGTCAATGAAGGAGCTTGTAAGTGGGAATGCGATGGTCAAAAGGAGGTACCCGTCATTCTCACATTGCTTTCCATGCAGTCTACATCAACCTGCTTGGTCTAGTACTCATTGTCGTTGTTGGATTGGCGGTCGCCAAACCACTTAATACTGGAAGCTTTGTGGTAACTCGAGTATCACGTGTCATGAGTGGCATCCTTCTTAACGCATGGGCCGTGCCTTTGTAGTTTACCCAATTTTACAATGGATCTGGTTTCTCAAATGATGGCTATGGTTTCCTTCTCGCTCTCCTCCAATCCCAATTTACGCTGACAAGTTACGAAGGTGCCGTTCAAGTAGCTGATGGTAGGTGATGATAATGGTAGACTATGACGGTGTTGTCATGGCAACTCACCTTTGTTGATTACCAGAAACGAATAATCCAGCACGTGCTGCACCATTTGGTATCATGACGGCAGTACTATCCAACGCAGTGACGGGCTTCATCTTTTTGATGGCGCTCAGTTTCATGATCAAGGATTTCGATGCACAAATCTTGAGCGAGAATGCAATCCATCCACAAATGGTGCAAGTGTTTCTTGACATTAGCCATGCGTGGACGCTCGTATTCGTGATTATCATTATGTTGACGATCTTTTTCAGTGGCAATGCATTGCTCTTGGCAGCATCGAGAATGACGTACGCCTTTTCACGTGATGGAGCCCTGCCGAAATGCTTTTGCAGTCTCAACAAGCGTACTGGATTACCAGTGAACTCTGTGTGGTTGAATGTTGCAGTTGCAGGTACGTTACACGAGCCGTTACAATCACATTACAAAGAAAAAGACATCTCATTGTTATATTGTAGTCATTATTGGAATATTGTATATGATCAATAGCACCGCATTCGAAGCCATTGTCTCGGTCAGCACTATCGGAGCCCAATCTTGTTACCTCGTTCCTATCCTTCTAAGGATCACTATAGCACGCAAGGCATTCAAGCCTGGTAAAGTATACATGGGGAGGAAAAAAAAGGTCGATGGATTGGTCACTTATTCATTTTTCTAAAGGACCATGGCGTTTGGGAAAGTTTGCATACCCTATTGGTGCGATTTCTTGCTGCTGGTTGCTGGTAAGTCGAATTCGATGATTCAGGGGAATCTCAGTCGTTAATGCAATGCGCATAGTTTGGCGTTGTGTTATTCGTTTTGCCTACACAGTGGCCTGTCACCCCCGACAATATGAACTATGCCGTTATCCCATATGCATTTATCATGCTGGCTTCTGGACTTTGGTTCGCACTTTTTGCAAGACATTGGTTCACCGGCCCATATCGAATCATCAATGGTCAACGGGTTCTTCTCTACGATGATGATGAAGATGAATCAATCCCAAGTACTACAACCCCAAAACCTGAATCAATTCAGGTAGTAGCAGGAAAGGAAGAGAAGACGGAAATAAAAACGTAACATGTACATATTGCATCATTCATACCCTTACACAACCAAATCCTAGCGGCCTTTTTTTTCGCTTGTTGATGTCTTTTAACAATCATCACCCTGTTGTATATGATCGATTTCTACATGTATATAGCAAGAAGCGTCGTCGTCATCACTCATATGACGCTTGATTAAAAGGAGACATGTTGTAGCATTGAAAGGGGTCAAGGTTGGCATCATCGGCATTGACATAGTGAAGGAAATGCAAAGTGGGTAACAAGTGGCAAAACCTGTAACCTGTACACGTAGTGTCGTAGCAACCAGGTATTTAGTGTAAGCCATCCGAATAAAAGCGAAATCCAAATCTTTGGATGGATGAAAAAGGAGGAGTTGTGTTGACCCGTTCAAGGTTGTGAGGATCAATAAGCATTATCAGTTTGACAGCTTTGCGAAGAAGCAAGGAGTAAATGCAGTTGCGGATGAAAAAAGCTCCTTGGATATGCAAAACCATTGGCATAATCACAAGATAGATCAGCCATTCATGTATCGTTACTATAGACGCATGAAAACATTTTTATTGTCTAGCATCGGCGAATGTTATTGTGTCATTATTCTTCTATACGGGGTAGTTCCGTGATCTACATCGCACCTCTGACATCAACAGCAATAATAGAGAGATGTAAGCAGAGATGGTCCTTCCTAATATAAGCTAGCCATAACATGATGTTGCTGCAAACCAGTATTACCAAGGTAAACAATACCACATCCAAACTCGGAGATGGATGGATGGGATATGCATCCCACTGGTTGCCTGGAACATTTTCTATTATGGCTGCGGGTGACGAAAATCAGCATGCGTACATAAGTACTACACACACTGCAGTGCGTCATGTTTGTGTTCACACAAACAAATGGGTGGCAAACATAATTATACTCACACGTATAGGAGTCCTAAAGTCAAGAAATCCTCTCCGGCTCATTTTGATGCAAGGGGAAGGGATTGAAAAAGAGGACAAAGGAGATGTCCATATTGGTAGTGTATCCACTTTGAGATGTCGCCACCGTTCACTCATCTTCTACATATACATGCACCTTCTACGCTGGTCATGCATGCTACATACACCACACACGTATGACAATGAATTTTTGTTTCCATAGTAGAAGCAGGGTTGAGAAGACGTATGAGGAGGGTGGGCATGATGGGGATGATCGAGATCATGTTTTTGATGATGATTGATTGTGTATGTATTGTGGTATGTCATGTGTGACCATATGGATCGCCACACACCCAAGGGCAATGTATCTTTGGGTGCATCTTGCCCCCAACGCTACTTGCTTAAGGCAATGATGTTTACGCATGCTTCCCCTTTTACTTGCTGCTGGGTGTATGTGAGTGGGTACATCATCTCTTTAGACCGCAGCTTGTCTAGATCTTTATCTCCTTTTCCTGTTTCTGGCACACACACACTTTTTTGTCCAAATGTTGTTTCCTCCCTTATTCATGCGTGCATAATTTCTTCTTACTTTGTTGCTTCATCAAATCCGTTGCTTTTTTTTTCCTTACTTTATTCACTCCTCTCATTTTCCCCTGCTTCCTTCTTTTTCGCCACCATCACACATTTTCATCACCATGGTTTCCACCTCCACCACCACTTGTCAAATCAAGCTGAAATGGCACACTTTTTTCATGTGGATCAAATCATCATCATCATCAGCACAACGTAAACGATCTACGACAAAAAACAACACTCAATGTTGCGGCTTTTGTGGGCATCACAGCAACAATCAACAACCACCACCAGTGATCGACGATGAAGCTTGGAAACCAACCCCACGACGTGGAAGCAAGAGCTCCAATACAAGTGACGCTAGTGCTGGCACTGCGTCAACATCCTGGTCAACATCTAGCAAGCCTATCATGTCATTATTGTTTCGGAGACGAGCTTCGGCCTCTGCTCCGGAAATGGAAGAGATCGATCGTGAGCGGGAGCGAATTGAAGAGATGTATGCATTAGCCATGGACGAGGTATGTAACAAAGAGGAGTGTTATTCTTTGTTCTTTGTGCACTCATCTATCATCACGTTGATCAGCTTAATTTTGCGGAGGATTCTCAAGGGTCACCATACTATGAAGGTGATCGCATCACGGCGCATGAAGCCATTGATAACTGTACAGCCACTTTTATGCAGCTTTTAAAACACATCTCCGATCATCAACAGAGGAGCCAGCTGCAACAGGATATCACGCCAAGGCTTATTCATTTACAAGAGCGTTATAACGCCCTTCCCCCAACAACAGCATCCACAACCACCTTTTGAAATCATTCATCAATCAATCAATCAATCATCGTCATCATCATTTTTAGCATCATCCTATCCTTTATTCTCTTTGTATATTTTTCATTCTCCTTAACCGTTCATTGTTGCGCGGTAATAAAACCATCCTGTGATACATGCACTAAAGCATCGCTGGGCGCCAAGATAAAGCACTATCCCCTTCTTTACATAATTCACGCGACCCATTTACCCAGCACTCTTCTACTTTTATCTATACCCACCACTACAATCATGCTCATTACTGAACTACCGATCGATATCGTATACAACATTCTCAGCAACCTGGATGCTACCTCCCTCTGTTGTCTCAATTGCTCTTGCAAGTTCTTTGCGCAGTTTGCCAATGACGAACTCTTGTGGAAGCATCTCGTCTTTCGTGTATACAACCTACCATTGACAAGCACATTTCGGTCGTCAGGATGGAAGTCGCTCTACTCAAGACTCTCGGATTCACGCGTGTATACTTGGGGCGAGAATCAAGACTTAAGGTTGGGTCACCCTAATCCAACTGTGCCCATACGTGTTCGTGGCGCGTAAGTATCTATGTGCCATACATTGGTTGCCAAGGTATCATCTAATAATGAAGGATGATATAGTAGATTCGCCCCTCGTCATATCTCAGAACCAAAAGAGCTTGAAAGCATGCGAGGAAAAGGGATTGTGGACATTCATGCAGGTGGTTGGTCATTCCATGCCCTGGATCGTCATGGTCGTGTCTGGATGTGGGGAACAGTAAGTGAACAACAATCAAAACTTTTGATTTTAAACTGACGAATCTATCTTAGATGGCTGCAGACACGGGTCCTTCCATCAACATTGGTGCTCATCGTGTGATGAACCCTACTCAAGTGGCACTCCCAGCCGACGTCAAAATCAAATCCATGTCATGTGGGCGGTCTCATGCAATTGCTCTTGCAAAGGATGGCAGTGTTTGGCATTGGGGCAATATCTGGGTCCCTCAGCGTATTAGGATGAATGCACGCGTGCTTCAAGTGACAGCCAATTGGGGTTATTCAACCGTCCTTACAACAGAGGGCCGTGTATACATTGTCGATTTACCACCCAATGTTCGTTCCGAAGATGAAGTCTTGGATGATCTCACAGTATCTGAGGAAGACATGGTTGACCTACAAGCCATTGAGAATGATGCTCGTATATCTCACAAGGAAATCAAGCCTATACAAGCTGGCGATCGTATTGTGCAGGTAAAATTTGATATAGTATCAATGCATGGAAGATGATGGAGCTCACACTTATGCTTTAGGTGGCTGGCATGGAAAAGAGTACATTAGCACTCACTCGCTTTGGCCGATTATTCAAGCTCGTCACCCACAATGAAGCTCAATTTGTACATTCACCAGCTTCCATGACAACCGAACTCGAAGCATTTGGTGCAACAGAACCAGAATTGAATGATCCAAATGACAAGATGCATCGCTTTATCACCGCACAATTTCGCAATTTTGCAGTATACACATTGGATGGGAAGGTTTTATTGGGACACGAATCGGATGAACCCCCTCAAGTTCTACCACAACTACAAAGTGACATTTGCAAGGTTTCCTTTGGAGAGTAAGTTTGGGTGGTTGGACATACGCAGGTCTATCTCGAGTACTGATGGGAGTTTTTACATTAGCTATCATTGTGGTGCATTGACCAATAATGGCAAGCTGTTGACTTGGGGAGCATATAGCGCTGGTGCTTTGGGACATGGCAGTGGCCAACCATGGTCAAATAAGGAGACACCAGAAGCTGTAAATTACTTTTCGGATTCGTTTGTATTTGCCATTGGATTTGGAGGATGGCACAGTGGTGCATTAGCTATCCCTATAGAAAGTGACTAATAAACGTGGAGCAAAAGTAATTACATCCTATCCTTTAAAGCTACAATCATTGATGTTCAATGTGATGATCCTAAACAGGCAATCATGTGTGTAGGTTGTCATTGTTAGCGACAAAGGCCGTCCACATTGTTCAATAATTGCTGCGCTTGAATCTTTTCTTGCAAGTTGCTACTCCGTACCACCTCCTATCAGATGAAACAAGAGGTACACACATATATACACAGCCACAGGCGTATCAGATCAAGTGGTAGTTACATTTGCATAACATCAAAGCACCGCGTTTTACTAGCGAAATGATCGTCCAATAAAAAGGATTACGGGATTTCATTTTCACCATTCCCATATAAAAGCTTGTTGTTTGCTCTTCTTGCGCGGCTTTTCCCCTCTTTCACACCCCCCACATACACCCACAATGCAGTTGAGCGGTACCCTTTACACGTATTACGAAGAAGATAGATTGACAGCATTCGAATCGGGTGATGCCAGCTCTCCCAACTCAGTTGTCTTTATTGGTGGCCTCAGTGACGGCTACAACGCGGTTCCCTTTCTCGAGCCTTTAACGACATCGTTAAAAGAGATAGGCTGGAGTCTAATCCAAGTACAATTATCATCCAGCTACACTGGTTTTGGTTTTTCAAGCTTGCAAAAAGACAGTGATGAGCTCGATCATTTGGTCAAATACCTCAAGGATACACGCAAGAAACAAAAGATCGTGTTTTTGGGTCATTCAACAGGCAAGGATGCGGGATGAGGAATGGGATGGGATTGTGTAACACCAATGCTTTACCAAAGGCGGGCCATCAAGCTTACTTTTACACGTTCTATAGGCTCGCAAGATTGCTACTGGCATAACAAGAATGGCAAAATGAATAGCTCAGTCCTTGGATATATCCTACAGGCACCTGTATCTGACCGTGAATGTGGCTACAAGGTCGAGCCCAGCTTTGGAGAGCAGGTAGAATTGGCTACCAAGATGAGAAAGGAAGGCAATGGAGGTGAATTCTTGCCACGAAAATACTGGGACTCGCCCATGACAGCAGATCGACTTTATTCGCTTGGTGCATTTGGGTGAGTGCATACGCAATGTGTCCTTGTATGTATCGCATTGAGAGTAACACTGCTATATAGAGGAGATGATGACGTCTTTTCTACCGATTTACCAGATGAAATGATTGAAAAGTTGTACAAGGATGTGGAACGACCCATGGCCATGTTGCATAGCAAGGACGATGAATGTTACGCTAGCTCACTGGATCCAATGGAAGTCATGAAACGATACCAGAGTTTTTGCCCTGCCATCAAGAAATTGGGTCTTCTTGATAATGGTGGACATTCAGTTACCACGAAGGAAGGTCAAGAGCAATTATGCGAATTTGTATTAGAATTCATTCACGAGATTGAGAACAATTAGACGAAATAAAAACACATCCACACGTATAATTTTAATGGAGAGGAGGAAGAAAACGACTAGGTAAACAATGCACGCTCACGTAGACAGCGAGACCCCATTTCGGACCATTCTTGTTCACCGATCCACATCTCCTTGGCAGTTTCCAGTTTGCTCAACACCGAAGCACCTTTCCACATCAATAAACGAGGATCCAATTCACGTGGGGCAGGTAGCACTTCCACTCGCTCAATGGCCGCTCGCTGTGCAATAAAAGTCGAAAACACCCTATACTATGTATTAGTATGGTTACCATACACCTTGTTTTGGCCACTTACCGATCTTCCAAAACCCGATTAAAGTTGCTAATCATGCCGCCACCACCCACAAGAATGATGTTGGTAAAGAAACGTTTGAGTCGATCATCTGACATTCCTGATGCGGCTTGAATCGACTTTGCAATAGCGATGTCCACCGGATAAACGTCAAAGAGATTGGATCGTTCCACAGTAGTGGATGTTGTTGTAGGTGCAGGAGTAGCTGATGGCGTAACAAAGGTTGAGGATGAGGGTGTGTTGCCGTTTGTGGTAGGGGTAGGGGTAGATGTTGAGTACTGAGGAGTATTATTGGCGGTGGGTGTATCGGATGATGATACTGTTGATGATTCAGGAGCGAGTTGAGCAGCAAGGGTCTGTGGTTGCCATACAGTAGGTACAGTGGTTTGGGTTGTTGTCTACATTGGCATGATTAGCCCCCCTTGTATCCCAAAGCCTACCCACTCGTGTTACTCACATTTGCCTCATCTGTAATATCATCAATCACATTGGTGCTTGACCACTCCTTGATATTCGCCGTCTTATCCCTTGCATCTAGAATACCCGGGTATACGAGACACAATGGGGCCAAGAATACTTCATCATAGACCTTGCATTGATACTTTTGGGTGGGATGATCTGGTGCTCGTACAAAAAAATCATAGACTTGGACACTGATATCAGCTTCGTTCATGGTGCACCATTTTTCCTTGAGCTCTTCCACAAGTCGCCAGTCATAGGCACGGCTCAAGTCCATTTCTCCATATGGAAACTTGTTGGCGAGAAGGAACGATGCAAATGTCTTTGTAATATCATCACCTCCCATAGCAATTGTCATCCTATTATGTATAACCAGCGTAAGGGATTGTGTTGGATCCATAAGAAATCATGGATGCTTACCGTGAGTCAGGGAAGCATACACCATCCTCAATACAAGCAATGGTAGTCTTTTGTGCTCCCACATCCACAACACAGGCACTCGATACACCAGCACCGAATGTGGCACAACTCGATTCCTAGAACAATCCACTAGTTAATCATGTGTTCACGGGGGGGGGATCCATATCCATATAATGTGTGATATACCTGTTGTACCAAAGCTCCTCTAAACTTCATATGTCGTAACAGCATGGTAAGCAATTCGGATGTGTAACGACGACTGAAAACATCAGGTATGACCAGCACTACGTTGAAGTTCTAATACAAAAAAGATGTCAACAAGACATTGCTTGTATATCAAATGGGGGGGAGAGACCCACTTACCTCAAATGTTTTATCCTCAATATCCAGCTCTGATCGAATAGTCTCGGTCCAAATGGTCTGCAGGTCGCCTAGCACTGCCTCGATCGAATCATAGTCCTGATGATTGAGTGATCCATGTTTCCAAGGATAGAACAATTGGTATTCGGGATGCTTGTCAATGGGCAAATTGAGCGCTTTATCACCGACAAAGTGGCTGGCGGCACCTTTGGATGGTACTTCAGTCCATTCAACCTTGTATGGATCATTGTGATCGGGTATAGTCTCATGCACGGCCTGTGAGTTGAAGCTGACCACCTGAACATCTGCATTGGGAACGGCACGTCGCTTTGCTGCTTTCATACGCCATTTGAGCTCGTTTCGGATTTCAGCCAAGGCTTCTTCTCCTCGTGGTCGATCGGTAAAATCCAATACATCAGCGTTGATCTTGTTGTTGTTGTTGTTGATCTTCTTTTCATGCACACGTCGTGAAATCACGTGAGGAACTGTTCTAGGAAATGCCTCCGATGATCGACCAATGCGTAGATTACGAGATCCAGGATGAATAATGATTGTATCACGCCACTCTTCCTCAGGCTATAGTAGATCCACAATAAGTTTCTCTCTCTCCCTTGATAAATGTGTGTGTGTGTGTACAACTTACATTGGGTGCAATGGATGAGGATCCAGCCTTGTTGCCTGGGAAATAGGATGTGTCGGTTTTATCAAATCCACTCGTGATATTTCGCGTAGGCAAGATGCTGAATCCTTTGACAGGGAAACTTGTGTATCTGAAACGTGGTTGTGAACGCTTGACACGGTTGCGACGAGGTGCAAGCAAAGCATCATCATCCAATGCCGGTAAATCCAATGTTGGTGAAGGTGATCGTGAAGGAGTGATATTAGATGATGATGTGGCAGCTGGATTGTTGTTGCTGGCTGTGGTCATAGTAGTAGTGTTGGTAGTGGTAGCAGCAGCAGCAGGTGATAATGAGCTACTATTGCCGTTGGATCTTCCTGACACCTGTTTACGACTCTCGTCTTCAACTGATCGCTTTCCTGTATGTCGTGGCTTCTTCGATACTCGATTGGCGTCTTCTGACGATGCTCGTTTGGAGTCATTAATCGTCTCTTTTTTGCTGGCGGATGCTGATGCGGTTGCATTGGTGCTAGTTGACGATGATGCATCGGCTGGCGTTGTTGTTGTTGCTGCCGCTCCTGTTGTCGCTGTTGCTGTTGCTGGTGTTGTCGTTGTGTTGGTAGCAGGAGAAAGTTGTGCTGATGGCTGCATCCAAGAATACTTTTTCTGTGACAGATTCCTCAAGAAAGCATTGCTGCTGCTGGTGCCGTCACCCATGGTTGTATGTTGACTGAAAGGAGAGGAGGAGTAACACTTTCAAGAAGCCCACCACAGCAATTCCCTTCCGCTCGTGACTATTGAGTGGGTTCTTTTGCACATATCAAACCAGATGCCACCATTACAAACAACGACACATTACGCTATAGTAGAGAATATCATCTTCTTTGACACGAGTCGAATAAATTGACACCCCCTTTTTCCACATTGAGGAGCACAGACCTCTCATGTTGATATTATTCATGGGATCATACGATCCTTGCTTCCTTCCTTCTTTATTGTCTCCTCGGCAACACAACCAACCGATCGGCATAATTACCATAGCCACGTATGGAACGTGATCGTTGATATCAATCGCGGAATAAAACATCACTTTCTACTCTGGGTATCGTTGCAGTAGTAGAGTGAATGAGTTGCTTCTCCTTGTTCCAGCAAGGTGGCTCGTCGGTTATCCATGTGTAGCGAGGATGATCATCATTTATCTTGTCTACTACTACTTTGTTTTTGACAAGTGTTAATAATAGGAGAAGGGGGTAATGTTTATAATGAGCAAGTGGCCGACGACGTAAAGGAGAACAAAAAGACAATGCACCCATGCATGAACAGGTTATCGGTCAATTGTGGGGCCGTAGTAAAACCCTCCCCTCTTGATGGTTACAAATGTCCTCGTGTCGCTATTTGTTAAAGGAGCTGTGGGTGACATGATTATTAAGGTTTGTTCTTACATAGACAAGTGGAAAAAAGGGGGGGCTGATGATGGTGTTGCTAGAATATGAACAATAATCTCCTTCTCCTTTTGGTGTGACAAGTGAGATGGGAGACAAAGGAAGAAAGAGAAAGTGTGTATATGAATGCAAAAGAAGGGCAAAGGAACAAAGGACAGGGAGAGTTGTTATGTGTCTTGTTGCACGGCTCCATAAAGAGAAACGATCGACGCCGAAATTACCATCTTGAGCAAAACTCTATACGAGCCCATGGCTTGTTGTCGACAATGTAGTGCAACTTACTCTCTCTTTTCGGATCCCCTTTTACGCTTTATGTTTTTTGATCGCATAAAAAGATCCACTGCATCTCACGCAATGCCGCCTTTTTTCCCTTTCTTTTCCCTCCTTGACCTTTTCTCAAGTAAAAGTCTCCATTAACGTTTAAATCGACACGCTTCTTTTACGATATTACTCTATAACGCCGATCAACACATATCAACCCACGATGGCACCAGCCGACGTTGACTACCTTCTTAGCCTTGGATCTGTGCGTGAACGATGCTTTCGAGTTCAAGAAGCAGCAGCTCGTAACAAGCTTGAACACTTTGATATTGATCCATCCAAACTTGATGACATGGTCCAAATTGTGCTTTCACTTATCAAGCGGGATTTTGCTGATACAAGTGAAATCCCTGTACACGGTCGTTGGCGACACTTTGACGTGGGAGGTCGACCTAGGATACGTAACCTCATCAACTCTTGGGCCAGCCTTGGTGAAGATGCCAATGAACAAACTCGTCGTTTGATTGATTTGTTTGTGATTGCCGTCTTACTCGACTTGGATATGGATAACAATTGGTCCTACCGAGAGCAATTGACAGGTCGTGTGCACAAGCGTAATGAAGGCGTCGCTGTTGCTTGTCTTGAAATGTTTACGGGTGGCGTATTTTCCAGTGATCCCAGCAAACCTCATCGAGTTGACTGTATGTGTGGTGGTGGTGGTGGTGATGGTATTCATCCGTTGACGTGTCACATTAACCCCATGATGATTATGTAGCTGAGGCATTGTTGTCATTGTCATTGGAGACGTTGATTACAGGATTGCAAGCAAGCGATCAATCACCTATATCCGGATTGCAAGATAGAGTGGACCTCTTGCATCACCTTGGCAACTTCATACAAACCCGTCAAGATTACTTTGGTGGCACAGTGCCACGACCTGGCAACCTGATGGGTAAAGTATTCTTCGTGACACATCTTTTCATCTCTTTTCCTTGTTTTATCAATTGACATGTGGCCATTATCTAGATTATTTATTGACACATCCAACCACCATCAACACGAAAAAGGGCCCATTGATGCATCTTGAGACACTCTGGCCGATCGTATTGGAGATGGGTGAATTATGGGCAGCATCATTAGATCGCTCAGGCAAGGGCGGGACCCCTGACTTGGGTGATGTATGGCCTTGTGAAGCTATTCGTGGTAGCAACAACAACAACAACAACAACACCTCATCAGACCATTACGTTTCTTTCCATCGTCTTTCGCAGTGGCTGGTCTACTCATTGTTGGAGCCTATGGAAAAGCTGCTAGGTGCTACTATTGAAGGTACCGAGCAGCTGACGGTGTTGCCGGAATATCGCAATGGTACGTGCACATGTACATTCATTCATCTACAGCAGCCAATGACTTGATAGCTCATATCGATATCATTGTACATAGGTGGTCTTTTGATGGATACTGGTTTTATTACTTTGAAGAAGCCTGATCTCGAACGTGGCCTTGAGAATTTTCAACAAAATGCAGCATTAGCAGGCCAACCCAAGATGGAAGTCGTGCCTATGTTTGAAATGAGCGATCCTGTCGTTGTTGAATGGCGTGCTCTTACCGTGGCATACCTTGATATTGTGGCCGAGCGTGTACGTGAAGCCCTCAAAGTCAGCAGGAAGGCACTTAGCCTCTCGCAATTGATTGAGGGTGGTACTTGGAGTGTAAGCATTATCATTTTAAGTCATTGTTGCATCACATGCTCATATTCGCATGAATCATAGGCTGGAAGAGAGCTCGCTGAAATCTCTCGTCCCAACACGCAAGCACCTCCCATTATGGTCAAGGTATGTAACCATTCATTTAGCAAGTAGTTCAAGTGCTAAAGCACATACACACATGTAGGCCGACAAGTACATCATCTATTAGAACTACCACATCTCTTTCCTTTACTCCATTTCATTTCATTTCGACCTATGAGAATCATCATCATCCCGGGATATGCCATCGTCGTCTTCTTCACCCTTTAAGTGTAGTAGAGTTTACCTCTTTGACTATCATGTAATACTATGAGCAGCTTTTAATCCATCCCTTTCCCCTATAAATTTATATGTTCATTGGATCAAGAATACATATCCATGTATGAATCACTCTTTAAAACACGTCGTCATGCAACACTTTGGATGCATGTGCCTCTCAAGTAACAACCTTCAATGCAATAATGGGTGATGGGCTTTGAATTTCAGGATGAGGAACCAAATCAACCAGGCACTTTAATGTATTGGATTGTGCACACGTATCATTGTCTACCACTTCTACGTTCTATTTTCCGCAAAGGGATGTATGTAGCGGCAGCGACTACCATGGCAATAAGCACACCGATATCGCCTCCCTCTGATCCCATTACTTGAGCCAAGGGTCCGACATACCATGGTTGTTTGATTCCAAGGAAAGCGCCAAAGTAACCAAGCAAGCTAGCTGACCATGCTGCAATTCCTTTTGGTAATAGATCAGCTTGATTCCAGGCGTCACGTGAGTACTGCTTGAAGCTTCCTTGCCGAAAGTAAAAATGTTCCAGGATCAAAATGACCACATACGGTCCGTAAAAGTAGGTCATAAATGGGAGCAAGTTTTGAAAGAGCGTGTATAGATGTTCCGAACCAGCGATGGCAAACGTAGTATAAATACAGACGCCAGCAAGTGTGAATATCCAATGTTGAATGCTAGGGAACAGATTTTGAAGCATAAGACCAAGGCCATAAGCATTGGGAATGTTGTGCGTGATCGTGCTGAGAGCAAGAATGCCGATAAGGATATTACCCCCAATGCCCAATGGTGATAATGCTGCATGAACAAGGCCACCCACATCATTGGCTTCTTCCCAACCTTCTTGTCCGGATAATGCAGTAGTTGCAAGAATCAATCCAAAGGTCTCTAGAAGAATAACGGGAATAACACCTCCGGCATAAGACAAAAGAGCCAGATGACGGCTGTCAAATCTTGTTGACTATGGGATAATACATAGGAATGTTGTTGGTGATGGTGGTGGCATGATGACAAAAGCAGCATGATGATGCTTTACCTGTTTCACTGTAAAATCGGCGGCATTGGTGGACCAGATACTTGGGGCTGAGAAAATGATGGTAGCATACGATACAATTGCTCCAATGTCATTGCTTGATGGTGACGTGGGAGTGGTGATAGACAATTTGGTAGCACTTGTAGCAAGCATAATAAGAATCGATATCCATGTAGGTATCCAAGCCCACCTTTCAAAATGGTGTAGCACAGCGTATCCAAAAATGGCAACCATAACAGTGATAAACGAGATGATAAGAATGGCAGCTGCAAGGGGTATCGAGGTTGTCAAGGCAACGAGCAATTGACCCGCTTGAATAGAATTCAGGATGGACCATCCAATGGAAGCGAGTATATTGGTTACAGCAACACCCCTTGATCCTGCATATCCATAGGCGTAACGTGTGATGATAATTTGTCGCATACCTAGACGATGGCCCAGTGTTATAAAGAAGGCCCCTACACCATATGCAGTAACATGTATGAGTGACCAGAGCTTGTTTGTTTAGCAAATACATACCTGGAAGTGAGTTAGAAAGATTTGCTAATATGATACATCCAAGAGCAGCCTTGAATTCGAGACCGAAAAGTTGAACGCCTAATACACCGAGCGCCATGGTAAGGACATTCGATGCGATAGAAAACCAAAATGTAAAGTTGTCAATGATGCGAGTGTGTGTCCGCTCGTTCTCTGAAACAGGTTTAATGCCTTGGTCCTCGACAGCGGGGACTGCAAACCATTTTGATCTTGAAGAGGGGGAACATTTATGGATGCTTTCATTATCATCATCCGTTGACATTGAATGGAAAAGAAGAGGCTGATTGACGGCATCTTTATCCTCGAAATTGTGATTCATCCTGCTGTATGGTAAAAGGGAGTGGTGACAAGGGGAGGAGAAAGGGGGTGGGGGAATCTTTCCAATGGAGTGTAAATGTATAAAAAGAATAGCACCAAGAGCGGTCAAAACGGCTGTGTTTCTGGTTTGTATCACGACAACAACACTTTTCATCCGTAAACATGCATCAGCCGATGTATACATCAAACATAACCTTACATGGTCCAATACATAGTCGAAGAATGAAGATACTATCATTGAATGAACATCATCATTGTCGAGGAATAACAATGAGCACTGCATGTTTGGAGATCACTTGTTAACAAAGATTTCAAGGTATGCATCTTGATCACATGATATCATTGTTTATTCTATTTACGAGAACCATCATTATCAAATTAAAAATGGGGTGCTAAAGGTGTGTATGTGCATGTGTGAGTTGTCAAAGAGTGAATAGCGTGCACGGTTGTCTTGTCCGAACCCAGCCACTGTGGACTGGAATAAATTTGGCCGGCTTTGTAAGGCATATACACTTCTTCCACCACTTTCATTTGCTGCCAGCTGTTTGACATGTCAGGGGACGGCAAGACTGAAGCCATGGATCTGGATCCAAAGGGACATGCCGACGATCAGACGCTACCCAAGGATGGATTCGAGGCATTGACCCAAGAATACTATGCAGGAAAGCATATCAGCGAACCTGTCAAAGAGATCAAGGTATCCCATGTGACTTACCGACAACCCATTCCCTGGTGAATTGCTAACGCTCTGTCATGTCGCATTAGGACAAGTGGAAGCTCCTGCCAGCATTTCTCAAAGTCAAGGGTCTAGTGAAGCAGCATATTGATTCGTACAACTACTTTGTCAATGTCGATCTGCGCAAGATTATCAAAGCCAACGAGAAGGTCACCTCGGACGTCGATCCCAACTTTTATCTCAAGTATGTTATCTTCGACGCAATGCTCCCTTCACAACAAGGATAGCTGACGATATACGTTAGATACACGAGCATTCGCGTTGGTATGCCCGAACGCCTTGACGCCGACGTTGCCAACCGTAGCTATACACCACACGAGTGCCGACTGCGCGATCTCACCTATGCCGCCAATATCTACGTCGACGTCGAATACACGCGTGGAAAGCAAATCGTCAAACGCAAAAACGTCAACATTGGTCGTTTACCGGTGATGTTGCGTTCATCCAACTGTGTCCTTACAGGCCGCAACGAAGCAGAATTGGCTCGGATGAAAGAGTGTCCTCTTGATCCTGGTATGTGAAAGAGTTGCTCATTCTGCTGGATGAATGATCTCTAATTGGAATGCGTGTATATAGGTGGTTATTTTGTGGTCAAAGGCACTGAGAAAGTCATTTTGGTACAAGAACAATTGTCAAAGAATCGTATCATTGTGGAAGTTGATAAAAAGGGCAATGTGGTTGCAAATGTACAAAGGTAAGAAGGGATCATCATAAGGCGTGGCTCTTACTAATCTTAATGTGTAGTTCCACCCATGAGCGTAAATCCAAGACTGCCATCTTTGTCAAGAACAACAAGATCTACTTGAAGCACAATTCGATTGCAGAGGATATTCCAGTCGTCATCTTTATGAAGGTATTTCGTCAAGCTATCATCATAATGGGAAGGGAAGGAAGAATGGCTCATGTGTCATAATAATAGGCGTTGGGTATTCAATCGGATCAAGAAATTGTCCAAATGGTGTGTGGCAATGATCACAATTTGAACGACGCCTTCTCTATCAACATTGAAGAAGCTTCCAAGATGCGCATTTTCACTCAATTACAAGCATTGGAATACATTGGTGGAAAGGTCAAGGTGAACAGAAAGATGACGGCTGTGCGCAAAACCTTGGTAAGTGTGAATACGAGAAATGGGTATTGATTGATCTAACAAGGGTCATCTTTTAGGCTGAGGAAGCATTGGAAGTCATGGCTACCGTTATTCTCTCCCATATCCCTGTTGAAAATCTCAACTTTCGAGAAAAGAGCATCTATGCTGCAGTCATGATTCGTCGTGTCCTTATTGCCATGGGTGATGAAGTCAGCGTGGATGATCGTGATTACGTCGGTAACAAGCGTTTGGAATTGTAAGTTGAAAGGGAGGCAATCATTGTTTTGGATGGATGCTAAATGGTATGTGTGTAATAGGGCTGGTCAGCTGTTGTCGCTTCTTTTTGAAGATTTGTTCAAGAAATTCAACTCGGATTTGAAGCTTGCTGCCGACAAGGTGTTGAAGAAGCAAAATCGTACACAAGAATTCGACATCTTCAATCAGCTTATTCTGCACGGTGATCACATCACAGGCGGTTTTGTGAGAGCCATTTCCACTGGCAATTGGGTGTTGAAGCGTTTCAAAATGGATCGTGCTGGTATCACTCAAGTCCTTTCACGTCTTTCATACATTTCGGCTCTTGGTATGATGACGAGAATTTCATCCCAATTCGAAAAGACGCGCAAAGTATCTGGTCCTCGTTCACTTCAGCCATCTCAATGGGGTATGCTTTGTCCATCCGATACACCTGAAGGTGAAGCTTGTGGTCTAGTCAAGAATTTGGCGCTCATGACGCATATTACGACCGATGACGAGGAAGAACCTATTCGAAAGATTGCGTATACTCTTGGTGTACAAGGTAAAAGGATAAGATAAGATGGGATGAGCAACATCTGACACGCTTTGTTAGATGTGAATCTCTTGACTGGTGTTGAATTGTATCAGCCCAACACATATTTGGTGTTGCTCAATGGTGTCATTTTGGGTGTCACTCGTCGTACGCAAAAGTTTGTGGCAGATTTCCGCCGTCTTCGTCGAGCAGGTCGTATCTCTGAATTCGTCACAGTCTTTGTCAACACCCATCAACGCACAGTCAACTTGTCATCCGATGGTGGCCGTATTTGTCGTCCATTGATTATCGTTGAAAAAGGAAAACCTAGAGTCACTCAGGAACACATCAATGTAAGTAATGGTTGAAAAGTGTTCGTAGCATTGGATCTAATATGCCTTACTTCTTTCTTTAAAGGATTTGATTGCTGAGAAATTGACATTCGATGATTTCCTCAAGAAGGGTCTTGTTGAATACCTTGATGTGAACGAAGAAAGTGACGCCAATATTGCATGCTACGAACGCGACATCATTCCCCAAACGACCACTCATCTCGAAATCGAGCCTTTTACCATCTTGGGTGCTGTAGCAGGTCTCATTCCATACCCACATCACAACCAGTCGCCTCGTAACACGTAAGTGCATGATGAAACGATTATGATCCTTGCAGGTTATTAATATTTACCTTTTGTTTAGTTATCAATGTGCTATGGGTAAACAAGCTATTGGTGCTATTGGCTACAACCAATTGAATCGTATCGAAACCCTCATTTACTTGATGGTGTATCCTCAACAACCCATGGTCAAGAGTAAAACTATCGAGTTGATCGGTTATGATAAGGTAAACATGGAATGGTGCATGAATGAATTATCGGATCTAATCGGATGGTGTATAGCTACCTGCTGGTCAAAATGCTACTGTCGCTGTCATGAGTTACTCTGGTTATGATATTGAAGATGCGCTCGTCGTGAATAAGGTTTGTGAAAAGTACACCACGGATTTTACTTGAGGGGTAGCTAACATGGATGTATCATTATAGTCTGGTCTTGATCGAGGTTTTGGTCGTTGTCAGACAATGCGTAAATACGCAACCATGGTTAAGAGATATCCCAATGGAACGTAAGTTGTGATGCTATTACTTATTCATCAACCTGAATGCTCATTTTCCTCGTCATGATAGGCACGATCGCCTTGCAGATCCACCTGCTGAAGACTCTGACTTTTGGCATGAATCTTTCGAAGCTCTGGAAGCTGATGGTATTGCTGGTGTTGGCGAACCTATCAAGGATGGCACAGTCTACATCAATAAGCAAGTGCCTACAAGCACTAGTGTTGAACCAAGCGTGTCTGGTGGTGCACAAGCAGTTGCATACAAGGCTGCTCCTCTTCGATACAAGTCACCGCAAACCGGCTATGTCGACAAGGTGTTGTTTACTACCACTGAAAGTGATCAAACACTTATCAAGGTCAATGTGCGGCAAACGCGACGTCCTGAATTGGGTGACAAGTTTTCTTCACGTCACGGACAAAAGGGTGTGTGTGGTATCATTGTTCAACAAGAAGATATGCCCTTCTCGGATCAAGGCATTTCCCCTGATATTATTATGAACCCCCACGGTTTCCCATCTCGTATGACAGTCGGCAAAATGATTGAATTGCTTGCTGGTAAAGCAGGTGTCATGGCGGGTCAACTACAATATGGCACAGCATTTGGTGGAAGCAAAGTCGAGGACATGAGCAAGATTTTGATTGAGAAGGGCTTTAATTACTCTGGCAAGGATTATCTCAATTCAGGTAAGATGAGCCTAAAAGCAAAAAGGAATGAGTCCACTGATATGGAGATGTAGGTATCACTGGTGAACCGCTTTCGGCATACATTTTCTTTGGACCGATTTACTACCAAAAACTTAAACACATGGTCATGGATAAGATGCACGCACGTGCACGGTAAGTGTTGAGCCCTGAATGTGCCACATGCATTGCATACGATGCTTATTGATGTATGTATGATTATAGTGGTCCTCGTGCAACCTTGACGCGGCAGCCAACCGAGGGTCGATCTCGCGATGGTGGTTTGCGTTTGGGTGAAATGGAGCGTGATTGTTTGATCGGTTATGGTGCCAGTATGTTGCTACTTGAGCGGTTGATGATCTCGTCGGACATTTTCGAAATCCAAGTGTGTGATGAGTGTGGTCTCATTGGTTATGCAGCATGGTGTCAATACTGCAAGAGTAGTAAACACATTCGATCTATGCAAATACCGTATGCAGCCAAGTTACTCTTCCAGGAGCTCATGGCCATGAATATCGCACCAAGAATGATGCTGGAAGATGCATTGTAACATCAAAAAAAGTAACACTTATTTAGCCCTGTAAATACACAAATACATTTTTCTCTTTTCTTGCTTTATTCATCATGATGGCATTATTACATACATCCGGACTTTCATTATTCGACCAAGTAGCCGAACTAGGCCCTGAATGTGGTCATGTGCTTAGACTACCAATAAAGGTTATGAGATCGGTCCATGTAAAAGTAGAATGTGTGATCCATTGTTGACAGGATCTCTATCTCTCTTTCTCATGTCTTTACAAAGAACGGTTTGATGATGGTGGTTGATTTTCCAATTCGGGAAGGGTCGACAACAATGAGGCGCTATAAACACGTGGTGGGATCGCTTCAACGAAACAAGTCCAAGATGTCGTTCAAAAGTGGCACGTTGTGAATCCCGGGATATTGCAATGAATTTACTTTGTGAAACAAAATGTATACACCTCCCTTTTTTGATGGGTAGTAGAAAGCACAAATAAAAGCTCAAGTTGTTGTTTGTCGTACATCATGCATAGCGATTTGACGCCCCTTTGTATTTTAACCATGACGTGCATCATCACAGAGAGTTGCATTACAATGATTCGGGTCAAAGGCTGGGTAGTTTGCTTCCACTATGTATGCATAAAAGGAGGAGCGTGTGATCGGATGCAATAAATAAGAGACCGGTTGTACACCGCCGCCACAGACACGAAAGAACCTTCTGTGGCGAATATAACGTCTATCCCCCCTCATGCTTGGCAGCCTGTATCCATCCACATTTTTCCTTTTCAGTGCAAATCATATACCATTTCATATAAAACTGCCTTTTACTGTAGCATCCCTTTCACGTAACCTTTTCTTTTTTCCCCTTTTGCATCATTTCATTCCTTAAATCAGAACCTATATAAAACCATGGACGAGCATGTATTACCTACCACAGCAACAGCAGCTACATCTACATCGGCTATCTCATCACGAGAAGTAGAGCCTCGAGAAGGGTCACAGTTTGCCATCATGGGATCGGGAGCATCTTCTTCCTCCAATGCACAAGCCAACAACAACCACATGGATGATGGAGAATATGAAAATCCAACAGCCTATCAAGGCGCTATGGCATTGGTCAAATCGTCTTGGATCAATGTCCTCGTTGTTTTTATTCCTCTCGGCATCGCTAGTCATTTCGTATGGAACTCGACCGTGGTATTTATACTCAACTTTATTGCCATCATTCCTCTTGCCAAATTGCTTGGATTCGCTACAGAAGACATTGCTTTACGTACTGGAGAGGTAAAAGATCATACACATGCACATACAACATATACATGATGGATACATGTGCTTGGGGGGATGATGTATGTATGACAAGAATACTAACAAATGACCCAGGTTATTGGTGGATTACTGAATGCATCCTTTGGCAATGCCGTTGAGCTCATCGTTTCGATCATTGCACTAACACAAAACCTGGTGGTGGTGGTGCAAGCATCCATGTTGGGATCCATCTTGTCAAACTTGCTGCTGGTGCTTGGCATGTGTTTCTGGTTTGGCGGCATCCGTTATCAGGAGCAAGTTTTTAACCAGATTGTCGCACAAACATCTTCATCTCTCCTGTTCATCGCTACGATCTCATTGCTTCTCCCCGCAGCATTCTACGCTTCCGTTGGAAAAACAGAATCAGAGGAACAGCTCACACAAGACATTCTTCATATTTCTCGAGCAACCTCGGTCATTCTCTTGGTCATTTACTTTGCATATTTATTCTTTCAGGTACGTGAATGTGCACTTTTACCATCATTAGCATTACTCATTTTTATACAACCATAGCTAAAAACACACAAGGATCTGGTAAGGGTGAAGTAGGAGAAGGAAAATGACAACATGCTCATATTTGGATCCCACGTTAGTTTCTTCAAACGCCATCCGAAGCCCGAAGAGTGTCATATCAAACACAACGTACATCCACATTAACCAATGTTGAGCGTACAATGTATACTGGGAAGAACACAAAGAACCAACCTGAGGATGATGATGAGGAGGAAGTACCCCAAATGCCTTTTTGGATGTCTTGTTTAGCGTAAGTATTCAGCTCAGATTTGGCGGGGATGGATGGGGGGGAAGGGGATATGCAAGGATATTTTAGCTCATGCATATTGGTATACCTGACGTCAAGGTTGGTTGTCATTACAGCTCTTGTAGCCGTTTGTGCCGAGTTCCTTGTATCAGCCATTGAAGATGTTGTTGCACAATGGCACATTAGTGAAACCTTTGTTGGGCTCATTCTTCTCCCCATTGTCGGAAATGGTAAGCCTTATTGACAGTTGCCTTGTGTTGCGTATTAATCCTCAAACTCTCCCTCTCAGCTGCTGAACATGTTACTGCCGTTACCGTTGCTATGAAGAACAAGGTAACTTATTTTATGCATATGACCTGCAAACATGAGACATTTATGCCATGCTACGATAATAGATGGATCTTGCACTCGGTGTGGCAGTCGGAAGTAGCATGCAAATTGCATTGCTTGTGACACCGCTTATGGTGATCATTGGTTGGGGCATGGATGTGGAAATGAGTCTTTTGTTTAATGTATTCGAGACCGCAGTGATGTTAATAGCCGTTGTGATGGTCAACTACCTGATGATGGTAAGTCTCATCAATGCCGCTGCACCTTTTTTCAACGCTCATCAATTTTGCTTTCTTATTAAATAGGATGGCAAAAGCAATTGGCTTGAAGGTTTCATGCTGTTCGCCCTTTACATTGTCCTTGCAATCTGCTTTTACTATTACCCAGATGCTGCAGCGTCGGAACTTGGGGATGTGAATCAGTAACCTCTCTTCCTTGCATCACTCCATCTAGATTGTACATATAGTCCTTGTTGTTAAAGTATACCACTATCCATAATTTATCACTAAGATATAATTAAAAAAGGCTAAGAGAGCAAATGATGCTTTCGCTGTAATCTTTGTTGATCGCTTATCTTCCACACGTAGTAGATGCGAAAATGGCTTCCCGTTTAAAGAGTGAAGGAAACTTTAAAGACATGGTTACTGCATAAAAGGTTCACAAAGACTTGACACACAGCAAAAATTCATGCATGTATGGGTACAATCGGCTTTTCAAAATGCATGAATCGTATTAATATCAAAGTAGGGTATGTTATTCGTGTTCAGCTCATCAACAATGGGAATGTTTTTTTTGGAATTGGGATGTCTACAAGGTACAGTGCATGGGAGTGGGTGTCTATATATGTAGATAGGAATATATACTAATCGCTGCCAGCCACACCACCATCGCCAAGACCAACTGCCTTCTCAACCACTTCTCGCATGAGGTCCACGAGGGTGCTGCAAGTAATCACTAGGTGCATGGTGAGTGCTTCGGTATTCTCGAAAAGCTCCAAGCCAGTACGATCAATAACCAAACGCCCCAATTGTTTCAGGTATCCCATCCGATGACTATCAAATTCTGCAAGAAGCTTCCAATGACGACGACGTCTCTCTTCACCAGGTTGTGTTTCTTCAATGGCAGCCACTTCACACGTCAAGTCATGTGACAGCAAGCTTGGTCGTTTCCATCGTATCCAAAGTCCATCGAATTGCGTTTCATACACAAAGAGCAAATGTGATTTTGTTCGATTGACCAAAGGTGTTTGTTGCGTGTCGTTGGTGCATTCGACAATGATGTCCTTGTGGAAAGCTTTGCGAAATGCTTGTGCCACTTTGGTATTCTCCTCATTGTACAATACATTCTGAAATCCCCATGAATACGAATGTTCTTGTTCCTTGCGGTAGACCACATTCTTGGATCGATCCTTGATCTCATGGATTTGGGGTTTTGTAAGCGATTTCTTTGCAAAGTCATAAACAATGACATCCGATCTACTCTTCCTACGTTGCTGTTTTTTGGTGTCATAGGCACTGTCAAGCGCGTGTAGGATCAAATGCTGTCGACTACTATCACGACTGCTGGTAGATGTGCTTGGGCTGATGTTGGATAAACTTGGGGTATAAGAATGATGTCGTAATGACATGAAAGCCACATGCTGAGCAAGCTCCTCATTCACTGTGATTTCTGTAGTTGCCGATGGTGCTTGGCTTAATACGGATGCTGTAACAAAGCTCTCCATGCTATTGCTGCTCCCTGTTGAATGGCGTGGGCTGGTTTCATTTGGTATTTGGTAGTCGTCGTCATCGTTATCTGGGCTGACAGGTCGTTTATGATCACCTTCCTTGAAAGCTACCACCGTATTGATACCGTTGCCACTCCCCCTGGAATAGTCTTGGTCATCTTTCTCATGGGGTCGATCGTAAATGACGCGGGTGTGCTCATCGTCATCGTATACATTGGGCTTCTCGTAAACAGGCGAATCGATGGCATTGGGCTTTTGGGTATGAGGTAGCTCGTTGCTATGGACACAGTCGGTCATCTTGAAACAAATGCCGGGAGAGCGGAAAAGGAGTAAAAAGAAGAAAAGAAGGATGGCGTCTAAACGCAACCACTGGAAACTTTTTTTTTCTTACTGCGAGCTGCAGTTGCTAATGCGGGAGGGGGATCCATCACTACATCATACTCTTACTTGTCTATCTTGCTGTGTCACTGTTTGCCTTTGGTGAAATAAAGATTGATTTTCCCCTTTCAACCCTTGGGTGGTTACATCTTTCATTGGTAGCAAACGTGCCATTCATTGAGTGTCTCGTTGTTGTTTGTTTCTTTTTATCTCGGGTCGGTAATCTCCTTCCCCCATTGAGTTTTCCATTTTTGTGGATGTTGGTGATACAATGAATTGCTCCATGGAAGCACAAGGTATCCTGTGATTCCTACCACATGGCGCAACATCTTTTGGTTAGCATCGTTCATCTATAACATTATATAAATGATTGACATATTGGTGTCTGCCAAGATGGCGTGTGCATGTAGTTGGGACACTCACGCGTACGCGTTAGTGCAGTAGCTTGCATATGCCTTAATAACCATAATGGGACATCTCTCCGTTACATCTACTATCACCATGTAATACACAAGATCCTTTCTCCTCCTTGTGCAGGATTACCCGTGTAATAGTATAACATTGAATGGATTTTGTTTTCAGGGTCAATTTGGTTGTTCAAATGATAACAGCATGCCTCCTGACGAGAGCATACATCCAACAAGGGTAGTAGCAGCGTATCCGCAAACAATAATAAAAACAGGACTTTTGTTTACATTGACATAAAAATGGTGGTGGAGGGATAAACAATGATATTGAAGAGATCACTACAATGACTTTCTATACATTCTCTTCTAGTAGAAACATGGATGATTATCATGGTTTGGGGTGGGGTTCCCCTTTTCCTCGTGCATTTTCAAGTAGTGATGTGTATGGTTCCTGAGCGGGAAGAGAGCATTTAAGTCATCTATTATCATGCACATCACCGCTAATTAATTATTCAATTGCTTATCATCACTGGTTTCCTTCCACACACGGTACACACTCACTCATTCACTCACACCATACATCCATATATCCGCTCCTTTATTTGTCTTTTCAATGAACCCTCTTACGCGGTCATCCACAACTATTCGATCGCCATCGTCTACCCAGAGTGATCGCCGTGGTGACAAACCTGCTCGATTACGCATACGCTCCTCGTCCTTCTCCATTCGTCGACAAAGGTCTGATTCCCACTTTAACAAACCCGTCGGCCACAACTTGAGCACTAGCAACCAACGTCGTCCCAGCTTCGAATCACGCACACTCGTCCATGAGGAGCACCAACCTGTACAACTATCAGAAGAAGCAAACAGCAGCTTGTTAACAGTGAGCGATGGTCATAACGGTGGTGCTGCATCATCTGTTGACTCTGCCGGTTCCGATGACGAAGAAGACGACGATTACCGTTTCAACAAGGAGCTACCACAGCTTGTACAGTCGCCTTCAGAGTTGGATAACAGCAAGCCATTAGAGCGTCAAAAATCCATCACCAGTAGCTTCAAAGGGAAGCTTCATCTTTCTTCACCCATGCGAGCCAAGAGTATGTTTGATGGCATACGTGGATTCCATCACCATCAGCAGCAGCATAGAAACGCATCTTCACCTGTAGTCAATTACAATGAAATGGCATCACCATCATCACCACAACAATATGACGCTGATAGGTCTGTGCACGTACCACCATCATCCATTACGATCATGTGAACTTACCCATACTCTCATGTAGAGATCCATATGGCTTTGTCAAAGGAACACAATGGGTTTCCATGGAAGAATATGATGCATTTCAACGATCGTATCAACCTATCGCCGCACGACGACTCGCAAAATGGCGTCAATTACTTGCAGAACACAATAACCACTGGCCCCAACCAAGCAGCAAATGTAATTGATTGATTCTATTTTTACTCATCGGCTTGGGGACTGATTCTTTATATATCTATAGTCAAACGTTACATCCGCAAGGGAATTCCATCCGAGTTACGAGGACAGGTAGGAAAAAAGGGCATATTTACAACATCTTGTTGGAACCCCCATGATTGAGTAGAGTATGTCTTTAGGCATGGTTCTATTACAGTGGAGGTGAAGCCAAGCAGCAAGCCAATCCAAATGTTTATCAACAGCTTGTGGCCAAAGCGGAGAATATGGGAGAGAACAATGAATCGCTCGATGTCATTGAAAGAGGTAAAGGATATTGCTTGTGTGTCTGAGATGGCCCTGTAATAATGAACATACATTCAAAAATAGACTTGCACCGCACCTTTCCTGACAATATCCGATTCAAGAGCAAGGGCAATGGTTCAACCGATGATCGTCGAGATGATGTTCCAGCCATCCAATCGCTACGCAGAGTTCTCTTAGCCTTCTCGGTGTATTCACCTACCATTGGCTATTGTCAATCCCTCAATTACATTGCAGGCATGCTTCTATTGTTCATGGACGAGGAGAACGCTTTCTGGACCTTTGTGGCATTGATTGAAGATATTCTACCGCCCAACATTTACGATGTTACTATGGAAGGTGCCAATATCGATCAGACCATATTGATGATGTTGATTTCAGAACGCTGCCCACAAATTTGGAATCGTATCAGTGGCAACAAGTCATTTTGGGAATGCGAACAAGGAGAAGGGAATGGGATGCCTACAACCTCGTTGGTCACAAGCCATTGGTTCCTCACGCTCTTTATCAACATTTTGCCAACAGAGGTAAGTCCCAATTCATTCATGGTGCAAGGATGAATGATGCTCATTATCCATTTTGATCATGCAGTCGGTGCTTCGCGTTTGGGATTGTCTCTTCTAGTAAGCATTCTTTGTCTCTCACATACACAATGACAAGACACTGATTATCATCAATAGTGAGGGTCAGCGTGCTTTGTTTCGAGTAGCATTGGCTATCTTCAAGATGAATGAGCAAGCGATCCTTGCCGTTGATGACTCTCTGGAAGTTTTTCAAGTGATCCAAGTAAGATCAACGCTGTGATGTGGATACATGGGAAACGCGAATGTATGCTGATGACTATCCTCATAGAATATACCAAAACGAATGCTCGATTGCCATAAACTCCTTGACGTAAGTCGTTACATCACTTTGATTTGAAAAAGAGGCTGACATCTTTTCAAAGTATACCTACAACAAATATGCTTCCCTTACGCGTATCAGTGAACAAGACCTTGCTAAACGACGTGCCATGTTTCGCTCTCGTCGTGATCAGAGACGCAAAAATTCACCCTCTGGAAGACGAAAATTACATCGAGGCACAGTGCGTGGCACGATCCACAAAGCCAACAAGGAGGCTCGCAAGCTCGTTGAACGAGCAAAGACCGTACGGCGGTGATGATGATGATGATGATGGACGAACCTTGACGAGCTGGTGTCTCGTTGTCTCCCCCCTCCCATCCCTCAACACCCTATGTTGTCGCTTTCACTTGTCGCACGGCAGAGTATATCAATCAACCCATTTGCTTTTTCATTCCAATACAATATCCACCTTGCTTTTACGTAATCATTAAAATTGAAGATGATAAACCAGAGATCAAACGTTTTATATGATTCTATTAATGCAAGTTTGAATGGTAGAATGATACAATTTGGCAAGTGCTTGTTATAATCATGCATGGCTAGCATCTCCGAGTTGCTCGCTTGTCGCTTAAACACTACCTTTATTGTTATGGTCTTACAATAAGCTTACCCATTTACGCTACCAACTCGTAGCATTCACCTTTACAGAATATGATCTTATATGGGTATGGCCTTTGGAGACAACCAAACCCATTACCTATCATCATATTATCGGATGTACTGATAATTTTTGACTTGTTAACCATACCATGGTCCACTTGGAAAGACTTCATACGGTCTACCATAGGCGGATCTTCCTATAGGGGCAGGAACCATTATGCACTCGCCACCAATAAGATTGATTCTTCAAGCCCGCCCTCTCGGGATTTAACTGCACAAACACGCATCTTTAGCTCTGATATGAGTGGGGCGATTGACACTGAAAATAGACCACTTTCCATATAGCATCACGCTTACAGCATATGCAAAACATAAAGGTGCCTGTATCTCCAAACTCTACAATGAAGCATGGGGTCTTTAATCGAACAATGTTGCTCGCCAGGGTCGAAAGCACCCAGTGTAGAAGTTTGACGATCGAGGTCGCCAATCCCAGATTTGGCCAATGTCGCCACCCGCCAAAAAAAATTCAAGAGGTCGACCAGATCCAATTTGGCTGGTGCCGACATTTGGCAAATCTGGGATTGGCGACCTCGATCGTCAAACTTCTACACTGGGTGCTTTTGACCCTGGCGAGCAACATTGTTCGATTAAAGACCCCATGCTTCATTGTAGAGTTTCGAGATACAGGCACCTTTATGTTTTGCATATGCTTTAAGCGTGATGCTATATGAAAAGTGGTCTTTGTTTAATGACAAGCAGATAGACCCTGAGAGAGCAAAAGATGCAGAGGGACATCTTTGTGTAACCCAGCCGTTTTGCATGACTGGAAGCTACAATGCATGATACTCAAAATGCTCTGTATGAATAGCCATAAACTAGAAGCTATTAGCCACTTCCTCCAATTGCCAACCGTTGTCTATTCTACAACAATGGAACGATGCAGCTGCTGCAGACATTTATTTCCATGATTCGATTATCTTGATTCGAGTTGATTTGACTGAGCTACGATCAAAGAGAGATTACATCACTCTCCACATACATCATGCTCTATGTTGCTCAACTGATGTAATCGTGTTTGGGCGTAGCTCAGTCAAATCAACTCGGATCAAGGCAATTGAATCATGGAAATGAACGTCTGGAGTAGGAGAATCGTCCCCATGTCATACAATGGACAACAGTGCCGGTTGTGAGGAAATGGCTGTTAGCTCGCAATATATGGTCTATTGTCAATGGTATACAGTATCATCCTTCCATCCTTCCAGTCATGCAAAGTAGCTGAGTTACACAAAGAGGTCCCTCTGCATCTTTTGCTCTGCCAGGGTCCACCTACTTGACAATGAACAAAGACCACTCTTCATATAGCATCACGCTTACAAACCTAAAGGTGCCTGTATCTCCAAGCTTTACAATGAAATGTGGGGTTTATATTAGAGCAATGGGCTCGGCTTGGCCAACAGCACCTTGTGTGAAAGTTTCAAGTTCAATGTCGCAAACAGCCCAAAAAATATCTTTTTGGTCGTCGTCGTCGAAGAGGTCGACCCCCAGATCCAGTTTGGCTGGTGGCGACATTGCGAAATCTGGATTGGCAAGCTTGATCGTGAAACTTTCACACAAGGTGCTGTTGGCCAAGCCGAGCACAGTGCTCTATTCAAAACCCCATGTTTCATTGTAAAGTTTGGAGATACAGGCACCTTTATGTTTGTAAGCGTGATGCTATATGAGAAGTGGTCTTTGTTCATTGCCAAGTAGGTAGACCCTGGGGAGCCAAAGATGCAGAAGGACCTCTTTTGGTAACTCAGCTAAAAAGTCAGGACTTCAGGGACAATGCATGATAGGTACGCAACCCTCACTTTTATGTCATACATTGGCAGCTAATAGCCACTTTTGTGCATTCCCAACTTTTGTGCATTCTATTGTAGGTGGACGATGCTCCTGCTCTAGACATTCATTTCCATGATTAAAGTAGGTTGATCCGAGTTGATTTGGTTGAGTTACGCTCACACAAGATTACATCGGTTGAGCTACATCGAGCGTGCTCTATGTCCAGAGTGATGTAAACTCTCTTTGGCCGTAGCTCAGTCAAATCAGCTCGGATCAACCTACTTTAATCATGGAAATGAATGTCTGGAGCAGGGGCATCGTTCCCATGCAGTGGATCTCGCAACAATGATGATTGGATAAAAGTGGCCGTTAGCTAGCAATACATGCCTGTTCCTAGGTGATCCATAAAGTAATTATACATTGACCCTTTCATTCATGCAAACGTAGCTGAGTTACACAAAGAGGTCCCTCTGCATCTTTTGCTCTGCCAGGGTCCACCTACTTGACAATGAACAAAGACCACTCTTCATATGGCATCACGCTTACAAACCTAAAGGTGCCTGTATCTCCAAGCTTTACAATGAAATGTGGGGTTTTTATTAGAGCAATGGGCTCGGCTTGGCCAACAGCATCTTGTGTGAAAGTTTCAAGTTCAATGTCGCAAACAGCCCAAAAAATATCTTTTTGGTCGTCGTCGTCGAAGAGGTCGACCCCCAGATCCAGTTTGGCTGGTAGCAACATTGTGAAATCTGGGATTGGCAAGCTTGATCGTGAAACTTTCACACAAGGTGCTGTTGGCCAAGCCGAGCACACTGTTCTATCAAAGACCCCACGTTTGATTGTAAAGTTTGGAGATACAGGCACCTTTACGTTTGTAAGCGTGATGCTATATGAATAATGGTCTTTGTTTAATGCAAAGCAGTATGACTATAATAGAGCAAAAGATGCAGAGGACGTGTGTGTGTAACTTGAGTCATTCAGCACAGGCGATGCATGATTCTTGTACACTATTTAGGAATAGTTCAAAATGCCAGCTCATAACCTAGTCCTCCCGTTCTCCATTGGTTGCCCAATCCAATGCATACGAACGATTGTCATGCTCCAGCCCATCATTCCCATCCTTCAACTTTCTTGATCCGAGTGGATTTGAATGAAAAACGCGCAAACACAGAAGTATCATCCAAATCACAAAAATTAATCTGATTGATTATATTTAAACTGCTACTTGATAGCTCATTCCTCCCATTTAGCTTTTTTATCCAACCCAATGCATGCGAACGATTGTCCTGCTCCAGCCCATCATTCCCATCCTTCAACTTTCTTGATACGAGAGGATTTGACTGAGAAACGCTCGAACACAGAAGTATCATCCAATATGAGAAAAATCATTTTGCAAAGTTATATGTAAACTGCCAGCTAGCAACCCATTCCTCCCATTCACCTTTGTTGCCCAAAACAATGAATGTGAACTATTGTTCTGCTCCAGCCCAGCATGTTCATCCTTCAACTTCCTTGATCCGAGGGGATTTGATTGAACAACACTTGTACTCATCCAAGCTTCAGAGAGATCAATTTGATTTCCAGTTCTTCCACTCTCCACTTCTTGTCTTTTCCTTCCATTCTCAACTGTTGCCCCATTCAGGTACAACTACCACCTGCAAACAATTGTGCTGCTTCAGCCCATCATGTCAATGCTACAACTATCTTGATCCGATTGTCTTTGACTGATTGGCAAGTCCATCATGGCGTGTGCATCCCACTACAACACACGAATCTTTTGACACCACACCTTCTCTTGTACACTCCTCCACCACGACCAATCGTAACAGCATTCATTTGCAGCAGCTACCATTAGCAAGGGCTTTACTGCATTGTCTCAAACAGCGTTCTTTACTTGCGGCAACTTGCGTTACAGCCTTTTCACGTGGACAGCAGATAGCGATCATATAGAAGCAGCTTTATTTACGTGTAGCAACTTACTTCAATACATACAACTTCCTATGGATATGGATCTGAATATTGGTGGGATACATGGGATGGAAGGAATTGGGTATGTACATCGCACGGGAAAAAGAGTGTATCCAATGTCAACTTGACCATTACATTTGATGCCATCATCCTGAACGATTGGTGCATCCGATTATCGTACTTGACGCTATTGTATGGCAGCGATTGCCATCGACCATGTGCAGCCATCATCATCCAACTCAATGCTTTGAGAAGCCATCATGCATATGGATTAACACACCATCACGCACCAAGAGCCACCTCACATCCACCTGGTCACATTCCACAATGCACACCCAAAGGATAGAAACGTTCCAAATCGATGTATCTTCTCATTGGGGCAATTCGTTGTGCTTCTCAATCTATCTCTTGAGAATGATGTTGGATGAAAACATCTCCTTGGCCAACCACCACGTTTCTACAGGACACTCCTTCTTCTAGAGTTGGACCTCGTCGTGTGAGAGCACGTGACGCATCGTATTATAGAAAGATTCAATGTATGGCAAATGCAGGATTGTAAAAATAAATCCACTTGTGAATGCTGTGATAAAGGAAAAAGAGAGGACAACAAGGAGAAAGGGTCTGATTGATTCATTGTGTCTTTGAACAAAGGCTGCATTCGATAGTATGCATAACCCAATTGTGATTAGATCTTCTTTGTCCATATGCCGTAACACGTTCCCTCTGTGATTAGGTGTTGTTATCGATTTACGGCCGAAGATGGTGATTGTAGTAGCCCGGACCCTTAAAGCAGAATATCCCCCAATCCACCTTACGACCACGCTTATTCACCACGAAACATGACAACGCGATTAAATGATCACTACTCGCATCTGAGCAAGTTACAGTGACTTGAAACTTACTTACATGGTAATGATACGTGTATGTTAAGCGGAGTCATTCAAGGTGATGTGTAGACAGCTACTTACATGGTAAGGAAACGTGTATATCAAGCGGAGTCATCCAACATGCATATTATTCAGCGGTAAGAGTGAGGAGAATTGTATTAACCGATCATGCAAAAGCATAGTAGGTGACGAACTTAATGCATATGAATGTTTGGAGGAGTAACTGATTGGATCAGAAACGACATGACAGCTCTTTGGATATTGCGACAATCTCACATCTATGCCATCAACAACACCTAATAGATGACCCTTTTTACAATGGCAACGATCAAATTTGAAATAAACATGTGTGCAATAGATTGACATAGGTCAAGATGATAGTTTATTGTAGCCAAGGATGACAAATTGATATGGATGATCAAAGAAAGAGGATTGATTGCATGCAGGATTTACATTTGTCAGCGGGTGGGGGGCGGGATGACAACTACTTAAAGCGGGAAAACTATGCGCTCTTCTCTTTTTCCCACCATCTCTATTTTTTCCAAATATGCGAGCAGTTCTTGTCAAGCAACCCGGTAAGTGAAGCACCATTGTCACAATCGCATCGCCTCATTGTCCATTCCAGGTGACGCCCAACAACTTTACATTGGCGAATACCCCACTCCTACTCCCAATGACTCCCAAATTTTGGTCAAGGTAAAGGATGGGCGTGAATACGTTAGACGCGTCGTTATTGACTTTGACTCCCATATTAGGTCAAATGCTTTTGCTTGAACCGAATGGATATTGTTCAACGTCAAGGCAATTACCCACCTCCTCCTGGTGCAAGCCCTCTTTTGGGTGTAGAAGTCTCTGGCATCGTTGAATCGGTTGGCAAAAATGGTATGTCGTTGTCAAATACAATATGCATCCGTCATCTTACAAATCCACAATCATTATTAAGTGACCAAGTTCAAGGTTGGTGATGCTGTTTTCGGTTTGATGGGCGGTGGCGGTTATGCAGAGGTAAGCTAAAGGATTTATACACAATGAAAGAGCATGCGGCTGATTGATTCATTGTTAGTACGCTGTGATGGAAGAAGCCCTTGCATTGCATAAACCCGATGCTATCAGCTTTGAGCAAGCTGCTGCCATTCCCGAAACTTGGTTCACTGCCTATCAAGCTCTCTTCTTTGTGGCCGGCCTCGAAAAGGGTCAAGATGTCTTGATTCATGCTGGTGCTTCAGGCGTCGGCATTGCTGCTATTCAATTGGCAAAGAATGCTGGAGCGTAAGTAAACCCCACATCCAAAAGACATATAGAACCGTCAATTGACAATCATCATTCATTTTATAGTAAGCGCATCTTCATCACAGCCGGTAGTGATGAGAAGGTTGCTTTCTGTGAGAGCCTTGGTGCTACAAAGGGTATCAACTACAAGAAGCAAGAATGGGCAGAGGAGGTAAAGCTGATGGAACATGTACAACGTGGACATTTGATTGACTGAGGTGTGTGTAAAGATTGCCAAGGAAACATCCAACCGAGGTGTAGACGTGATCATCGATTTCGTTGGCAAGGACTACTTTGAAAAGAATCTCGGCACATTGGCTGTTGATGGTCGTATGGTCCTTTTGGCGTTCCTTTCCGGTACCTTTCATATCCACCCATCCACCCATCATCACTTGTCATCACTCATCCCATATATCATATTGTAGGCCCTGTTATCGAAAAGGTCAACATTGCCCCTATGCTGAAAAAGCGTCTTAGAGTAAGTCGATGGGGCTGTGCATTTGCAAGTAGTACGCATGAGATTGATATTCCCGCATTTGTATAGGTTGAAGGCTCTGCACTTCGCAGTCGCTCGCTCGAATATCAAAGCCGTTTGCGTGATGCTCTTGCTCAACATGTGATTGATGAGCACTTTGCAAAGAGTTCCAACGACTACAAGTTGTTCATCGAGAAAGAATTTGACTGGAACGATATCATTGACGCACATCTTTTGATGGAAAGCAACAAGACCATGGGCAAGATTGTCGTAAAGGTCACCTAAGACTTTTTTTATTGGTGTACGAGAATGAAAGAATCCACTTATTTCTCCTATAAGAATAAACAATAAAATTGCTTTTATGAGCATTCTCTCTCTCTATATATATTTATGACCAATGCTATATACTTACAGGGATCTCAACCTCACCAGCATCAATGGCATCGCAAAGGTCCTTGGGGCTTTGACCATCGACAGTGCAGCCGACCGAGTTGGCAGTACCAAGGATTTCCTTGACAGTACCCTTGAGCTCACGGGCGAAAGACTTGTAACGCATGGTGCGAGCAATTTCAATGATCTCATCCAAAGGAATGTTACCAGTGTGCTTGACTAATATCATCATCCAACACGATTGATTAATATCACTCTTCAATGCCAATTATCCATCCAGCCACTTACTGTTCTTATCTTTCTTGCGATCACGTGGGGGTTCCTTAAGAGCCTTGATGACAAGGGAAGAAGCGGAAGGCACAACAGCAACTTGAGCTTGACGGTTTTGGATGGTCAACTGAATAGTGACACGAAGACCCTTCCAGTCCTTGGTGTTCTTCATGATGTCTTCGCCAACCTTCTTGGGAGAAAGACCAAGAGGACCGATCTTGGGAGCTATAATACAATGGTTTGTTCAATAACACAGGTCGTCATGCCGTTATCAGAATGCGTCGCATTTACCCAAAGCAGAGGAGGCAGCCAATTCACCACCTAACAAACAATACAATGTGTGAGTGTCGTCGTCTTTTTGGTATATCTCATGTCGAGTTTCACGTACCAGTGGCGCGAAGGTAGATGATCTTGACCTCGTTGGGATCGAACTTTGGTGGCATCTAACAATTGTATTAGGATGGATGAATGGATGGATGGATTGGATGTAACTTGGATACACACCTCTGGTCAACTGTGAAAGAGGAGGATCTCACTATTGCCTTGCTGGCACTGACATTCATTCTTCCCTTCCCAAGCTGGAGCTTAAAATTCCTGTTTTCATTGGCTGATGGTTGCCATGCGAGGATTGGCTAGGCAACCCGCTCCCCCCCTTTCATGCTGTCATTTTAGTTAGCCGTCATTCAATACACTTGTTTTCGAAAATGCATAAATTCAAGTCATACTTTTGTACTTGCTCTTTTCATCCTAATAGTCTAAGAGCAATCATATCATTGTTGTTGTTGCTTATACATGAAAATGAAGAATGCTACTCATAATCAATCGACAATGATGTTAAAGCAGATCATAAAGAGACAATATGAATACGAAGCATAAAAGAACTCGTTTATTAGATGAAATTGCATATTAAAGGCCTTTTTCCCTGTATAAGTTGTATATGAACAAAAGCGAGAACATAGAATCAAAGAACGAGTTGCCATGAAAAATCAGAGCAGATGTTTTTAGATAGTGAGCCAAGGCATGGAGACCATCAAGTATCGGGTAGCTTCTTCAGTCACTGGTCCGTCAGGAGTCTCAGTTACGATGCTAGTAGTGGTACCACTGGTAACAGTGCTGGTGGGCAAGAGGCGTTCATCACCATCATCACCATCATCGCCATCCTCAGGGGTAGGAGTAAGGATAGGCTTGGTAGGAGGCACAGTGCGGGTGATAGTGGTTGTAGTAACTGACTCTGGTTCGTAATCGGTGCTTACGCCGGTAGTGGTGTAGTAGACATACTTGGTCTTCTTTTCATCCCAATCCTTGCCCCACTTGTCATCCTTGCCCCACTTGTCATCATCCCAATCATTGCCCCACTTGTCGTCATCCCACTTGTCGTCCTTGCCGCCCCACTTGTCGTCCTTGCCGCCCCACTTGTCGCCTTTGCCGCCCCACTTTTCGTCATCCTTGTCATCCCATTCATCATCGTCATCCCACTTGCCGCCCTTGTCATCATCCCATTCATCATCGTCATCATCCCAATCGCCACCCTTCTTCTTGTAGAAGGCATTGAGTTGAGGAACAACGCGAATGGCACCAGAGCCTTCAACATTGGCAGAGTCGATAGCATTCAATGAGATCTCGTGTTCACCAGCAGCAAGAACAAAGGTAGCATGGCTGAAGCGTTCATCTTCAAGAGCTTCCTCAGGAGTCTCAGCGAACATGTTTTCTTCGTTGGCACCTTCACTGGTGATACCAATGACTTCACCATTGTCAAGGACTTCAAAAGCATCACCGCCTATCATAAATCATGCATTAATGGATCATTCTCGAATATGCATGCATGTGTGTGTAACGTTACCAAGCTTGTAATCAGTGATCTGCAAACGAGCGGGTGCATCAAGGTTCAAGGTAAAGGTGCGATCGGCTGACTTGTCAGCTGCCCAGTTGAAAGTTTGGAAATCGGCACCCATTTCAAGGGCAATGGGTTCAGCTGGAGCTGCTTCAGAGGAGACTTCCATGTTGTTGTTGACTTGAGGTGCAGGAGCAGCTGTAGCCAAAGTGGCCAGCATGGCAGCGGAAACCAAAGAGAGGGAAAAGCGCATGATTGTTATTATGAGAAGGAGTTGTTGTTATGAGAAGATGAGTTGTTGGTAAAGTTGATACGATTGACATTGATCGATCCTCTTTTATAGTCTTCGATTCCCAATGTAACCATGGCAAACAGCAAGTTGACAAGGCTGTTACAAGGTTAATTTGTCGAGTTCTGTTGCTCGGCGATATACTTGGTAATCCCAAGGATTATCCTGCATCTCGGAACTTTTGATTTTGGTCCAAAAACATGGTCATTATCCTCATCCTCATCCCCATCCCTATCCCTATCCCCATCTCTCTCTCTCTGTGTATGATCCCATTCCTCTCTCGGAAAAAATTGTTTCACATCCATCAAACATGAAATTGGTTGTATGCAATGCAAGTGTATTATGTATTTGTCCAAATCAAATCGGTGTCAATCCTGATGCTGCCATCTTTTTGGCTTTCTTTGCTCGATACATCTCAATGGCTCGATCACGTTCATTTTCTAATTGTTGTCGTGCTGCCATGCTCATGTTTTGAAGCTTCCGCTTATTGGATGCCTTGGTTTGTTCCATTCGTTCTTCATCCTTGGTTGCTTGTCGTGTCTTTGCTTCAAGTGTCTACATACATGATCAATGATTAGTTTGTTGTCTCGCATAAATGACATGGATCGATTTCTGATTTTACCTCTTTGCCTCGACCACGAGCTTTTGGTAGTTTGTTAAACACTGGAGGAGCATCCGCCACTTCACCAAATTTGACATTGTCTCGAAGATCATCAAAGTCTCGACCACCATACTTTTCCACTTGTCGCTGCTTCTTTTCTCGTTCCTTCTCCTTACGAGCCTCCCGATTACGTCGTTTCCTCGCACTCAAAGGCTTGGCTTCCTTGATCTGCTTTTGATATTCAATTTCAACACGCTGGGTAAAATCCCTCAGTCGTTCGCCTTCAAATGGCTTGAGTGGTTCTTGCTTGTCCTACACACATAAACAAATATCAGCGATTCCCTTTGTCTCATGTCGATTAAGCGTTGCGATGGAAACTAACTTTGTTGGCTTTCTTTTTCGCTTGTTGTTCCTTCTTTTCTTTGCGTTTTTGCTCGGTAATATCCTTATATCTCATCAATCGAGTGAACGATTTGGGGGTGTCGTCCGATTGTGTAGTGTCCACCGGTAGATCGACCCTGTTGAATCAAGTCAATCAAGTGCTCAAGTACGATCTCAAGGCTACTACTACATACTCTCCCTGTTTCCGCTTTGGACCCTTTGCTTTTTTGTGTGGCATACTAATAAAGGCCTTTTTTTACATTCGAAGATGGTTTCCCACTCTTTATTATGATAATAGTTTCAATTCCCGCTATGTTCATGCACACACATCACTATCACTGGTTGATCTTGGCAGCCACCTTGGTCGCACCCACAAAGCATAGCATGTGATAAGCCATTCCCGCTGTTGTATAAGCTTGTGGCATCTCTCGATCAGGTTCCATGTAATCAACTTTTCTCCGTACCCAAGTGCGCACCATTGGCGGTAAGAATTTGTAGTGTGGTGAATCAAACTGCAATCGTCGGTTGCATCGGAAACATGGTTCCGTGAATAAATTATGGTAACTCGCAATCCAATGCTATACAAAGTCGTCGTCGTGAATATAGTAATTCTCCTCACATAGTGTAATCATCTTACCAGGATACTGGATAAAGACTCACGTGCAGGCATCACACCCATATCTTGGAAAGCACTGTCAGCGAGCACATTGAGCTTTTGAAAGAGTAATAGATCTTGCTGGGAGTTTTTCTAATAAATCGCTTCGTCAATATCACAATTGAAAAAGCACACCATCCCTTACCTCTTCATTTGCACTCTTCATCTCATAGCGATGCACTACCAAAGTATCGGATGCCTTGTGATAATTCAGACTGAGTACTGCTCGAAGTGCCTTTTCTACTGCAATCTGTAATACCGATATCTATAAGCATCCTTCCTCTCTATAATACAATCCCATCCACTCACTTACCGTGACACAGCATGCAGACCCTGACATTGTATCATGCTCAGGAGAATCAAAGGTGATAGACATGTGTACATTGCTTGGTTTCTCATGGGCCAGCCATTGATCGATATGGGTTGTGATGAAGCTATAATAGATTCCTCAGCAAAATACACCCGAAAGAAAACAATCAATGACCCTTACTTTGCTGTTGTTGTGGGCTTCCTTCGTTCTAAGACCACAGATGATAGTTGTCTATAATAATAATCATATCAGCTAATTCAATCCATGATTGAAAAGCCATCCTTTCCCCCCACCTCCTTACCTAAGCATGTGATCTGATGTTTTCTTGATATGAGCACTTGGATCTTTGGACCTTCCTGCGCCATTCTCAGCTTGTCGTCGTTCTTCAGCTGCTGCATCATTCTCTACAGCACTTTCAACAAGCATAAATGTAAGGGTACTGAACGAGTGTCCAGCTCACATCTTTCAACTTACTCCTTGATACTAGGCCAGTCATAATTGTGCTTGGCGGCTACTTGAGCGTATACCAGTGCTCCTAATCGAGATGTCTATGAGATATTGATATACATCGACGCGTTTATCCATGTACCTTTCAACCCTTCTGCCTCAGATGTCAAGCGATTCACGCCATTCTTTACAAGGTTGAGCCTTTCTCCAAAGGCATTGACGTAGGTTGGGCCCTTGTTTTCTTGCTGTACAAGTTGTTTGAAAGAACGTAGAGACGATCGTAATTCCGAGATCTGCAATCCATAAACACACGTTCGTTTAGAAAGAGTACGTCTAGCAATCGATAAGAGTACTGACAGTAAAGAGAGCCTCGTTGATTTTGACAATGTCGGTTTCAATGTCGTTGATGGATCGCGTGTTGGTGTCGGTCATTGTGTTGGTGGAGAGGAAGAGGGGAGGAGGAGTGACAAAGAGAGAAAGAGGAAGGAGTATGATGCACACAAAGCGAATTGTTTATTGAATGATATGGGTATCTTAGGAAGAGTCGTTACTATCCATCTATCTATCTATCTAGCTGATCGTTTCTTTTTAAGCTTCCAAATCTCGATATCTTCGTTGCCAATGAGTTTGTTGCGTAGCGACTTTTTGGGTATCATGCGTGCATCAAATCCCACTGCCTTGGCTTGTTCAACGAAATTATTGACCACAATGTCATCTCTCCTTTCCAGGGCCACTAATACAATGGTTGTTGCCGAAGCTAGACGCCAACATGCCTTTAGTAGAGGTGGTAGCATTTCTGTGCAGTAAATGCAATCAGCGGCCAAGATGTAATTGTAAGGTGGTTCGAGATACGACATGGCATAATCTTGTTCCTTCTCAAACCGTATCCAGTCGAGAGGTTCTACTCGCACCATGGGGTCAGCCAATGGCATGGACGCATTATCAGGCTGTGATTGTTCTACCAAGCGATACCACCAATCTTTAATGTGGCGAGTATTCTGTTGGCGGTTGGGTTCAAGTACGTTATCCACCACAAATGGAAGATCCGTCAGTATCGTATCAAATCCGAGAGATCCCATTGTCAAGCCTCCAAGACCACATCCGCTGCCGAGTTCAATGCATTTCTTGGAATTTTGGATTTGCATAGTGCCATCCACAAGGGTCCAAGTGGGCCGTTTGATCGTATCCATGAGGTAAAAGGCGAGCACTTTGGCACTATCCCAAACCGTTGTACCATGATTTCCTGTATTGTTGAGCTGGCATAGATCGAGTGATAAATCAGGACATAATGTCACAGAAAATGTGGGTAGCCCTTTAGTGTCTTTGAGATCCTGTTGTTCCATTGTTGCAGAAAGAGAGAGAGAGAGGAAGAAAGAGGGACGAAAAATTTCGAGTTCAGGTGCAGCTGAAGTTTTGACATCAGAGCAGTCTCAGCATTTACTATCCATATCCCATATACCCCATCATGGATTGTTCACTTGTACAGGCATTGACGCTATGGCATACATGTATTACGAGTAACCTTGTGTTAATATCAGCAATGAGTTGAGAGAGGGAGGGTTGCTATAGTACAATGAAAGGCTTTGGCCCATTGTTAACGAAACATAAAGAGCTACTATTCACTCTACTACGTATCCAGCGCGTCGTCAAGGATAATAAGCAAGGATTGGACTTTGGTTGCTATGCAGAAGTGCTGTTGGGAGGATCTATGACATGTCAGCCGACAGAATGTAATCCAAGAAAGCGGACTGTAACCAATGATTTCACGCACTCAACACGGGCTAACCTGCTGCTTGAATTCCTTCAACACTTGGTATATCATGGCTGGCCTTCGCAGTAAGTGCCGAAACTCTTATCCCACCAACATGGCCTCATTCACTCACATTGCTCCTTTGTCTTTTCTTTTCATACAGCGTACGTGTCATCATTTCGTCCATTGACTCAAGAGAAGCAATGACACAGTAAAAAAAAAAACTCCCTTCACTCATGAGCATTTCTACTCCTTCTATTATAGCATCATTGGCTTGGCGTTTGTACTAGCCATCGGCTTTCTTCTTGTTATCTTATCGTGTGCACTATACTAGTATGTATTTATCTTTGTTCAACTTGGTCTTGGTTTGATGCTAATAGTATCTCGGCCTCTCTTTATCCACGGGCGTCTTACAGCAACTGGTGGCCCCTTTTAGTTGGTATGTATAGAGATTATATATATATACAAGGATTGGTGCGACCATGTTGACATGTGGATCCTATTAGTGGCGACGTATGTACTGGCACCACTACCAAATGCTATTTGCAGTCGATGTGCTGGCGAAGAGGATATCATGTCGGACTACAACAGCGGAATCATTGATGCAGGACATTTTATCACTGGCATGTTTATTGTCACAGGATTTTGTACGTATCATAATCATATAACAACAACCTCATCCAATCGACTGATCCTTGCTATGTTCAACCCTTAGGCTTGCCTCTTGTATTAGCCCACGCTGAAGTGGTAAGTAATGTTTGCTATTGAACTTGAGAACCGAGCTGAGCTGTGTGTGTCGTCTGTAGATCACCATCCCTGCAATGATAATGAGTGTTGCTGGTGGTATCCTGGTGTATGGCACAAGTAAGTATTTTGATCATGCATTCATCGTTATTCAAATCATGCTAACAGTCATTGGTAGTTATCACGTATACGCATTTCTTTGCCGATCAAGGCGATGAGTTCTGATATCCTCCCTCCCTTTCATATTGTAAATCATGGTCGTCCATATATAATACAACAAAGAAACCATTCTTTTGTTATTTTGGGAAAAGTGGCTGGCAAGGCACAAGTGCCAATATGTTGTGAGAGGTGCTGTAGTGATACAGTATAGTATAATGTCCCCTTTCCAGCGATCACTTTGTAGAACGAAATGCAACCCCGGGCCGCTAGTAATGATAATATTATGAAGAGAGAATCAATATACAGGAAACGAGAAAGAAAGAGGATATCTATGACTGGTTGCTATCGTTATCATGCTTGGCTTTAGCAATCGCCAATAGCTCGGAAAATTCACCACTACGCTCGCACATTTGTTGGAACAGGCTGCCATCTCGAGTCATTAATGCAAATGGTGTATCAAACTCCACTACGCGACCTTGATCCAATACAAGAATCCGATCATAGTCGGCCACAGTGCGAATACGGTGAGCAATGCATAAAAGTGACGAGTTGACAAATTCACGACGAATGGTTTGCTGGATCTTCTGATCCGTGGTAAAGTCAACGGATGATGTAGCCTCGTCCAAGATAATGAGAGATGATCGTTTGACAAGTGCACGGGCTAATGCGATCAATTGCCGTTGTCCTTGAGACCAATTGCTACCATTTTCAGCTACAGCGGTATCCAAGCTTTCGACATCCGTAAGCTGTGCACGTTTGAGTGCTGCATACAATTCTGCATCATCGTATTCTCCAAATGGATCCATGTTGCTACGTAGCGTGCCCGTGAATAAGATGGGATCTTGTGGAATGATCGTCAAGCGTGATCTCAAATCCTCCAATCCAAGTGTGCTGATATCCACGCCATCAATCGTGATGGACCCACTTGTCGCTTCCATAAACCGAAACATAGATAATGCCAATGTTGATTTTCCAGATCCTGTGCGACCCACAATACCAATCTTTTCACGTGGACGTGTCTCAAATGAAAGACCCCGTAATACAGCAGGCGTATCAGGTGCATATTGCATTACCAAATCTTGTACATTGACAGCGCCAGTCTCTGGCCATTGGGGACGAGGTATGACATTGGTGCGTGCAGCAGGTTCTTGTTCAATGTTGAGATACTCTTGCACACGTTCAATCGAATTGCAATTCATTTCAAACATGGCGTATTGTCGTACGGTCCATAAAATGCTTCTTGTAAAGATCAATGAATAGCTCAAAGCCAAGCCTGCAAGACCTGCTTGCACTGATCCATGCGCCATAATCAATGTGAAGCCTGTACAGAAGCCAACTAGCGCACCAAGGATATCCACACGACAATGCAACCATCGATTCGATGTCCACATCCAGATAAAGGGTCGATTGTTGTTATCAATCTTTTCGAAATTCTCCTCAATGAAGCGCTGCTGACATCCAAAAGCACGGATTGTGGCTACACCATTGACACTTTCATGAAATTGGACATAGATGGGACTGCGCGAGACGGCATTCAGTCGTTTCAAATCACGTGATGTGTCAAGGTAGTATGTGCCGATCCACCAAAAGAGAGCAGCAATAAAAGCACCAGGAATGAGGAATGCTGGGATAATGGATGAGATCAATACAACAACTGCCACAGCACCAATAATAGCATAGAGAAGAGCTGCCATAGAGGGTGCAAGAGCTTGATCAATGGTCTCCATATCAGATGAAAATCGATTGACAATGCGACCCAATGGTGTGCTGTCAAAAAATCGAACCTTGGCATGTAATATCCTATCCAGTAGCTGTACGTGCACACGACGTGAGGCCCTCAATGATCCAGTAAACAAGGTGAGTTGTCGAAGTGTAGCCAAAGTCAAGGAAATCATTCCAATCATGAAATAAATGCCGAGATAATACTTGACGTCAACCTCGTCCTCGTGACCAGAATCCACTGAAAACGTGTTGTGAGTGAGATATGGGATTTCACCAAGTGCATGGAAAGCTGAAGCGACAACAATCGATGCATTACGCTTATGTTCATATGCAGATGACCACACCTTGATCCAATAGTCTTGACCCATGATGGACACTTGTGTCGATACAAAGAATAGTAGCACAGCAAGCCAAAAGATAAAACCACCCGATGCATAAAAGTATACGCTGTACACCTTCCATGATACGCTGCCCTCGGCACGCTTTTCCTCCAGGACAAGTTTACCACCATTGCCATTGTCGTTCTTGGGCGTTGTTGTATCAGGCTTCTTACTGGATCCAGAAGAGGATGGCGATGATGCATCTGTTGCTGCTATTGTTGTTGGCATGACTACTGTACTACCACATGTCTCCTCATCCGACGAGTCTTCCAAAAGTGAAAAATCTTCGCCTAGTACACCAGTAGCAATGACATCCGCTGGTTTGCCAGAAGCTTCGACTTTGCCTTCATGCATTGCCACCACATAATCAGCGCCTTTGATACACAATGATACATGATGTGTGACAAGAATAACTGTACGGCTGCGTAAGAGCTCTCCCATCAAGCATTGTTCATAAAGATGTTTGGCGGTATGGGCATCAACGGCACTCAAGCAATCATCCAAGACCACAATATCAGCATTCGAATACACGGCACGAGCAATAGCCACACTAAACATTATATATATAAGTTATCCAATGCATTTGCCCACTGTTGCCAAGTGTTAACTTACCGCTGCTTTTGACCACCACTCAAAGTGATACCACGCTCGCCAACTTCAGTTTGGTCACCAAATTCGAGGATTTCCAGATCTTTGACTAATGCGCACATGTACAACACCTTTTCATAACGCTCCTTATCATAGGGCAATCCAAACAAGATATTGTCGCGGATGGTACGATTTTGTAACCATGCTGTTTGTGCCACATAGGCAATGCCGGAGAATGGGCCATTGGCACGTCGAGGAAGTACGGCGGAACCTGATAAGCAATGCGTCTCACCCAATAAACTTGCAAGCAAAGTTGTCTTTCCAGATCCAGTAGCACCACAAATGATAGAAAGTTTGCCATGTGGGAATGCAAGGTTCAAATCAGAGACAATAGGTGGAGCATCGCCTTCCGTTTCCCAGCGAAATGATGCATTGTTGAAAAAGCCAATAGCCGTCTTATGCTCCAAAGGTACGCTTGATGGTACAGTTTCCACCTCATCCTGTTGTAGGAAATCCTCGACACGCTTCATTGATACGTTTGCTTGCAACAACCAAGATGTGATCAAAGGCAAGTCATCCAAGGCTTGCTTGAAGGTATTGAATAATGCCAATGCTGTGAATGCGGTAGAGGCTGTCAACTCGTGGTCCAAGGTATACACATAAAAGACTGTCACCATGATGATGACTGGCAACAAAAACCATCTATGCACGTGATCATGTTAATCGAATAATCCTGGCTGCTGCTCATATCCACTTTACTTACACATTGCCCATCCACATGTACATGAAAAGCCGCTTTCGAATACCCTTGAGCTCCACTTCACGTGCCTCCATAATCCGCTTATGGAATTCCTTTTCCCACGCAAAGAATTTGACAATGCGAATAGCTGCCAGCATCTCATTCACCAATTTCATGCGCCTGTCGGTGAATCCCATGATATTGCGATGGATCTTTTGGAACATGTTGCTGAGCTTGTAAATGATAGGTTGCGACAAGATCATAATCACCACGCCATACAATGCTGCCACGCCAAGTAATTGATAGAGACAATAAATGCTGACAGTGATTTGAATCGGGAAACAATAAATGTAAAAGATGTAAGCTGCCAGATCACCCATCTTTTGAGCGTCAACGGAAAGCAAATTATTGATATTGCTTCTGGATGGTTGCTGTTGCTGCTGCTTATCACCCGATTCCTTTTGTGAACTCTGTTCCTCTTTGCGTTTCAATGCCTTGGCATACACCTCTCCAATGACGATGGATTGAATTCGGATACCCATGACTCGACCAATATAGAGACCTTGTTGATAGGATAATGATTGGATGGTGGATGCTAGGAACATGCCAAGGACATACAAGAATGCTGTCGTGGTTGATTGTCCATTGGGATCTTCGATAAACTTGACGATGCGATTCAATGCAAAGGGTGGTCCAAACATGGCCAAACTCCATACAACGCAGTAAAAGAATTGCTCCGTGAGTGGATCCTTGAAGGTGCGTAAAAGGGACCATAGCATCTTGGCTCGTTTCTGATGCCGATAATAAGCGATGGCGTTCTTGGCCTTGTTCTCGTAGGGAAGCTCATCCAGATCATCATCATTGAGTGTGCGCTTGTGACCCTCCTTCATCAATGGGTTGATATAGCTGAACAGGAACCGGGAATAAAGCGACGCTCGATTCTCAGCAGAGACAAAACGTCCCTAGATACAAATCCATCATCATGTAAGCCTTCCTATTCCTTTAGGCAAGCTCTTGTATACGTACTGTTTCATCCTTCAATCGTAGTGGTAAATAGCGTTCCTCGTGAATGGTGATCATAAGCAACAATAGATCCATGGCAACGGATGCAGTGGTAAACTTAAACCCGGCTGTGCTCTCCGAAGAATGGATATAGAATGATCTCAGGTTGACCAGGCCTAGCAAGAAATCCGCAATGGGTAAAGCAATCATGTGTGTGCAAAGGACATCGGCCAGCTGCTTTCGTTTGAGGAAGATGATGCTGATGCTTGCAACAAGACAATACAACTATCATGCATATACCATAAGCTTCCATTACTTTCCCCCCCTCCATTGCAGCCATCCTCCTTCTTACCCAATAGAATCCATGTGCGCCAAATGCCGTAATGATGAGCGCCTTCCATGGGCCTTCAGTTACAGGATCCATCACGTAATCGTCGTGTGCAAGCTGTGAGAGTGCTGTACCTGCAATGACGATGTGCAGGATACTTGCTGTGATACGAGCCATGTTGTACAGCGTCCATTTTGGTAATGGGTCATCCTGGAGAGCCGTGCGTTCGGAACTGACACCAGCATCAGCAGAGGCATTGGAACCAGTTAACGATCCGTAAGTGGGATTGGAAGTTGACGAAGAAGCCAATGTCAATGGTCTAAATGTCGATCGTCTGTGTCGCCATAGTGCTTTGATAATCAAGAATGCTGAACATTTCAAGAGGAAGAGAGGGAGAATGGTATCCAGAATGCTGTTTGGTTCAAGTATGTAGTGTATTGTGTTGTATGAGTGAAAAAGGGTGGCGTCAAGAAAAGGGAGACAAGAATGGACTTTTTACCTCTCGCGAAAACAGGGTGTGAAATCCCCATCCAACCACACTTGCTATAGAAGGAGAGTAAATCGATATGCATAAGCAAGAGATAAACAAGACGGGCTTTAATTGATTTCATTCACTGTACCAAGCACTCTTTGTTCATGAAAGTGTGTATGTGTGTGGGAGTGAGAATGAGAGTGAGAGTGAGAGTTATTTATGAATGACGATAAAAGTGAAAAAGAAGGGGTAACTTAATCGCTGATGACCGCCCGGTATGTTGTGTTGTGTGCTGAAAGGGTTAATGCCCTTTTGCTGATCCAAAAGCTCATTCGGGAATAAATTCTACCTTGTGAAAGCAAGGATCGATCTTTCTGCTTGTCCAACATCATTGTGGGAACACAAATCCTAAAGACATGCCTCGTTATATAATCCTTACTTGTCATTAAAAGATGCAATTGGAATGACAACTCCCCCCTTGCTGCTGCAGATGCAAGTTATTTGACAGCTGCTATTCATCAAAAGTCATTTCCTCTTGCTTCCTATGTAAAGTGAGCCAAGAATTATGTACATCATCATCATCATCATCATCATCCATGTCGGATGTTGTGAAGCAGCTCCCTTTACAAAAAGCCTATTCTATCGTGTACACTCCGGCTCTCGCACATTCAAAAGAAAGAAAATACTTCCTTTTTTAGGCGGTCGAGATTAAACATGTAGACCACAGCAACGTCTGCTGGTTCACACGTCCTTAAGAACATGACTCACGTATATAGACCTCCAGTGTTGCTTCAATATCAGATACCATCATGTGCTTAGATGCGGGATACCATCATCATTCCCTTACTGTTATAGGAAGGCAGTGAACCCAAGTCACTGTATGCCTTGCATGATCCCTATATAAACGCTGATAGTATGGCATACAAGGATCCCCTTATTGTTCGGGTTTATGTCCACCAATAGGAGCTTTCTTATGGTCCTTTGTCGCTCCTCAGGTACACAGGTCTAAGCGAACACGAAAAACAAATGCACGAGACTACTCGAATCATCACGTTTGGGGGTCTCAATATCAAGGATTAATGATCTGGTGTCCTAGGGTGGATTTACATAAGATGCAGCATCTAAATTTACCATAACTATTAATCCAAGAAGGATATGCATCTTATGGTTGCCAATGTATTTCACTTTACAAGTTTACCAAAAGTTTATTGGAGGTGAGATTAAATGTACGTTGTTGATGATGATGCATGAATGTGATATGTACTACGAACAAGAAGGAAAAGGAAATGATGCAAGATGCTTGAGTATATGTATAATGCAGAAGAAGAAGGATGGATGGGATATATCGGCTTGCTTATATGACTCAGCAAGAGTAGCTCCAGTATTTGGTCATTGGTGAGCAAGGGAATTCATCACGCAAAGGAAGCTTGTTGGCGTAGAAAAAGCGAGGATCGACATTGTCACGGCTATAGTAGGATCGACGTCCATGGTGTACAAGTGACCATCCTTGGAATTGTTCAGGCAACCGGTTCTTGTTGCTGCTGCTACCCGTAGTACTTTGACTGATTTCAACGACCTTGAGTGCCTTGTATAGCTTTTGTTGTGGTTGCTGTTGTTGAATTCCTTCTCCACCACATAGGGATACGGGAGATGAGCCGACAATGTTTTGCAGGATAGCCACCATGTACTTCAAATCGAGGGCAAACCATGTCCTTGAAAGGTTAAGATATTTGAGATTGGGCATTTTTCCAAGCAAGGTCATGAGACCATCCGTGGTAATGTGTTGGGAAGAGGCGAGTGAGAGATACTCAATCTTTTTAAGATTGACGGTTGAAAAGCTAGCAAGCACGGTATCATCCATGCTAGCATGACCGCCCAGGTTGAGTGAACGCAAGGATGGCATCTCAGTGGCCACAAGATGAGAGAGACATTCACGACAAAAGTTGTTGCTTGCCACGCCATTGAAATTCATATTGAGATTGAGCTCAACGAGATGTGCGCGTGCGCGTGATAAAAATGGTATCACAGCAGAGCAGCACCTGATTCCATGGCAACCTTGCAAGTTCAAATGGGTCATTGAATCGGGGTTGAGATGCTGAAATAAGTCACTGGTCACCTTGGTGTGACCTAAATCAAGTCGATGGAGTGCATTACCATTCGATCGCATTTGCTTGAAGAAAGGCACAAAAAATGATGCTTGTGACAAAGCCATGCACATGTAAAATGAAATGTTGCCAAGTCGAGGTGGCATCACGGTTGGCACAGCTGTTGTTGTAGTAGCAGCAGGTGGTTGCTGTTCCATTGTTGACATTTCTTCCTCGTTGTTCTTTTTATCCTTGTCCTCTGCAAACACCTCAGCCATGGCTGCCGTAAACTTTCGATCGCAGAACCCGGTAAAATCCAATACCTCCAACCGTAGATGACCATTAAACACGGCTCGAATTACCACTGGTTCGACAAAAGCTTGCATCATTTCCTCGCCCACATACAATTGAGTCATGTTGACACATGAACTTAAAAGATAAGCAAGGCCTTCAGGTTCAACAATAGCTTTGGCTTGTGCCTCGCTCCAACCGGAACCACGAGCGGTGTAGCTTGAAAGGTCGACTCGACGCACATAGTTTAACCATCCTTGTTCCTTGAATCGCTTGGTGTGTCGAACAAGGGCTGCATATTGCTGAGGGCTATGGATAGCCATGGTATGGAAGAGAGCTCGAATGGCTGCCGCATGACATTGATGATTCACAAGAGCAAGTTGAGCGATATCGCGTGTAGATGATGTGTTTTCGGCAATAAGCTCAAGAAGCTCCAACGATAATTGACGCATAGATATAGAAAAAAGAGTGTTTGGGTAAACAAGAAATCGCGATGGGAAAACAAAAAAAAAATGTTCGTCTTTTTAACCAGGTGTCTTTTTTTTCAACAACCCCTCTCTTCTCAATGCATTCCTCGGGGTCGGGGTTGACCCCAGCTCGGCGCAACCTTATACGGTAAAGGCAGCATGGCTTCTCACGATAACCTAACCGCAATGATTGGCTAAGATTGTCTTGCGAGATCACACTCTTTGCTGATTGGTGCTTTAGATCTGTCCAAGGGGGACGTGCTGCAAAGGTCACAAGCTCATTTTTTTCCAAGGTTGGACAGCCAAAGCGAGGCTGGCAACATAATGAGAAATAGGAGGTGGGGGGTGATGGTTGTCGGAGGTAACATAACAATCACCACACACACCATTGTTGCCATGGTCACCACCATCACCTTTTTTCTTCTTTATCTTTCTCTTCACATGTATACATACAATAATGTGGCTTCATTGGCATGGGTGGTGGTGGCGTGATTGTTCTGCACATGGGGGTGACCCTATTGTTCCTCATCATCACCACCCCCACCAGATGCAGACCCTGGTGTTATTATATATAATGCTCATTATCAACGAACAATCACATCATCATGCAACTGGATTTGAAATTACGACGTCGTTTTGTGTTTTGGGAAAAAGACTTTTATTGCAACAATCACACACACACACAAGTTCGAGAGCAAATGATGGTATCACCATCATGCCACTACACGTTTAATCGGATTTCAAAAACGTTACGGATGGCTTGCCGATGACCGAACTGGGGGCAGTTTGTTGCTGTTTGGGTGTACAAAAAAGGCTTAGGAAGATTGGCGGATGATGGTGTGGGGCATACGTTTAGGATTCTATAAGGCATGTATATAAGCGTGTGGGGGGTATGGGTGGTGTGTGTATATAGGTAAAAAGCATGTAAAAGTAATAAACAGTGTGTCTGCGTGATGGTAACTCGGCCATATAAACGTACAATAGAGCAAGAAAAAGGAAATGGAATAGTTGAGGGGGGTAACAAATGAATGAGCAATCGTGTTACAAAAGATAAGGTGACAATCAGTGCCCGGCATTGGAGGAAGAGGAGGAGGAACACGTGCGCGAAAGAGGTGGAGCTAATTCAGGTTTGGTGTTTGGAGCAGCAGCAGTTGTAGTGGTTGTAGCAGCAGCTGATGATAACGACAATGGGTAGACAACAGTGGAAAATGTACGACATGAGAGTTGATCTGCAAAGATTGAATTAGTTTAGACTTTGCATGATACGATAACACGTGGTAATGATGATGCTTACCCATCATGCTTGGGATCTCCTCTTTTCCACCACCACGTCCATAAAAGTCGGAGGTTGTTGACCAACAAGTGCTTGTAGACAACGTTGATGGATGTTGTTGATATTTTTTTTTGTCGTCGTTGTTGGTGTTATTATGTAACATGTTTGATTTGGGTGAAGCTGGTGGCCAATGTGTAGTGACAATAAGCGATGGGCAGCTGGTTTGCTTAGACAAGCCTCGTCGATCTACGTAGTAGAAAACATCGCATGTTGAGAACAAGATCATCGTTATGGTTTATCCATTCTTAGGCAACATACCATAAGCATAAGCCGATGCTGATGCAGGTCGTGAGTAAGGTGCACAAGTCACTGCAATAGAGCGCATGTAATCGGGAGGGCTTCGACCACCAGTGCTGATCATCAGGGATGAGGAGGAGGAGGATGTATTGTTGGCGGTCTTTCTACGAGTGTTCCTATGGACGCATTCGATCCCATTGCTTGCACAATAGGCACAAGGTTGACCACCATCACATTTGGTCTTGCGTCTACGACATGCCTCACATGCTGATCCTGAGCTCAAGCGGCGTGATGGAGGCTTGTAGTTTGGTAAAGCCAAAGTATTATTGTTGTTGCCAATGCTTTTTGAGCGCACCAAGGGTTGATGATGGAAACTAAGAGCATGATGATGATGATCGTGACCAAGGAAATGTTGCATGCTTTGAGAAGCGGTTGTCGTGGTAACAGTGGAAGGAAGGGAGCACATCTTTTTGGATATAAAGTAATAGAGACTTTTTGTTCATGATGGATGAATGATGGTGAGTATATATACAAAGCGGCACCCCCACTGAAACACTGGGGGAGATGATCAAGGGGGTGGGCACATACACACAATTCATAAGCGGGCACTATAATCTAGGATCAAAAAAGAGAGAGAGTGAAAAGGAATAGGGAGATCGGAATGAAAGCGATCAACAGGTCTGCTAATATTTTTGGTATTGGACGTGGCAAATGAACCACGCGATGCGGGGCATCTTTAGTAGCAGGTTTGTTGACATGCACGTCCTTTCTCTCTTTCTCTCTCTCTTTGCTACTAAAAATCGGATCGATTAATGAATTATTATCTTTCACGCAGAGCACACAATCGGATGATGCAAGATATTTTTAACATCATTGCCACCATTTTCTCCTGCAATCAAGCACGAGCCTTCTTTATGCAAATAACCAGATGCTTCACCAGAAGCATCTCTTTCCCCCCCATAAAGCACCAATCGTATCATCCGATCACATCCGAAATCACCGAGCAAAGGCACCATGCACACACATTTTACACACGCACCATCTCATTTGCCTTTTTAAACGCACATCCTTTTCTTATGGTCTGTGCTCGTCAAGGGATCATCCCATCGAGCCTGTTGCTTATCATCTTTTAGTCGACATACACGTACTGTATCCACGTTGATTACAAGGTATTACAAAAAGTGCCATTTACGATAGTAGAGTAGGGTTGTCAAGGAAAGGCGGGAAAATTGACTTTAGGTTTGTTGGGCTGAATTGAATTTCTTCTCTATTTCCATCATGCCCACGCGATGTGTATATATGGGATCGCTCTGCATGTTTGTTTATGTGTGTGCGTGTTGTGAAAAATTCATGGCTGGCCCATTCGATTTACATAGCACCGTGATTTATGTATGTATGTGATGTATTCCTTTTGAATCACCACAACAATGCATCATCATTGTGAATATGCGTGGGCTTAATAATGGCGATGATGATCTAAGATGATAAATGGGGTTCTCCAAATGATGATGGTGACGGCGAGGATGGAGGTGTATTACATAAAACTTAAAAGGAGAAGGATGAGCATCGACTGTCATCGGGTCGGCAATAGGAAAAGACGATCGTTCCCATTTGGATTCTTCTTCATTGGGTGCCCGGTGTGTGTAAGTGAATGTGTATGTGAGCGTGTGTGTGTGTGTGTGTGTGAACTCTTGTTCTCCGTTGATGTTTCATTGTGTGCATTTGTTGACATTCTTGGCAAATAGAGCCGACTAGCTTGTTGGAGCATGCCCTAATTAGGTGCTGAGGGGAGAAAAAGAGAGAGAGTCAGAGTCAGTAAGCGATCGCCATCTCATTTCCGTTTTTGCATACTCCTTATTCAGGTACATTCTTATATGCGTGTATGGGTGGGATGATATGTGTGTATGTATCTAAGGATCAAAGAAGACTCTATGCAATCTCCTAGTAATGGTGGTAGTAGCTTGATGAATGATGATTGGATGATTCTGCAGCAGGTGCTGCATATGGTGGGGTTATAGCAAAGAGAGAGCAAGAGTGAGGGAAGGGATGTGCATTTGTGCGGGGAGAATAAGAGCATGCGTGTATACTGGACATTGTGGTGTTGTCTGGCGCAATAAGGTGTGAGGACATAGACTTGCAGATGTGTGCACATACACAGCAAGTAGCTTTTTATTCTTTTCATTTGCATCATCAACAGCAACAAAACGGATGTACAGTAATTGAAATGATGTACCCAAAGGTGTTCTCCTTGTAAGCATCATGAACAACGACAACAACAAGGGGAGTAAAAAGAAAGAAAAGTTATGGTGGTGGGTGGGTTGTCATGCATGCATATCATCCTTGTTCTCTCTTTCTCTCTCTCTCTCTCTCTCTATTGCCACCTGTAAACCAGTGACGCAGAAATATCTTGAATCGTTTGTGCTACCAATCGCCACCAACACAGGTTATCCTTCTGCAGCTTAACTCTTTTACACATTTGATCATAAGGGACCCTTCCCACTCATCCTTCCCTTGATCTTTTTCACACTCTCGTTATTCCATCATCACAATCAAAGAGCATTATTGTCGTACTGAGTAGCAGCATTTCCCTATCAGCTGTTGTTTGAACCATTTCATAACTCCCAACCCCCCTTTTTCTCTTTTTTGAAAGACGACCGTCAGTAGCCCAGCAGTAGGACTCTCCACCATTTACTCCAGCTACTCTCATTCCTCCCGTCTTGGACGCCATCCACATCAGCTTGCAAGCCATTCACCAGTCCATGTCGATCCAATTCGCCGATTGAATTGCGCATCCTGCATAACCCCCAATCCTATTATCATTCAGGTGTGTGTGTGTGTTGTGTGTGTGTGGGTGTGTTCAAGTCTCGTTGACATGGGAGGAGAGGACTAATCGTAATATTGCAACGATAACTAGATCTGTGTAAACAAGTAAACAAGGCACTATCCGTGACGACCCTCATAATCCAAACGTTATCAAGGTATCATGATGATGACATTCACAGTGCACGCATGTTTAAAGTGATCACTAATATAGTTGGGTATTTTGTATTACAGCGACGACTCACTTTACACGTGCCCCCACCACATACACACGCACACACACACAAGCAGACACGCACTCATGTCCGAACCACTTACAGCTGATTGGATCTCTCAACACGATACCACTTCCACTGATCCAGTGCCTAATTCCTCGTTCAGCTTATCCACCTCCAGCTCATCTTCATCAACAACGGATCGGTGGAGACATCATTCATTGCCGAGATCATCCGTTGCTGAAAGACGTCAACAAGCTCATGCTGAAAGAGCACGTCAATTACAGGAAATGGAAAGACAAATCACCGATGCAGCTACTTGGAGTAAGCGTCGCACCGACTTGTTGACAACATCTTCGCAGCAACATAACAACAACAATGACGCTTTATTTGTATTGAGTGATGACGACGATGATAATGATACCAAATCGAATACCACTATCTCATCACCTACAACGAGTCGAAAGATTGATTTACGTGATGCAACATTGGAAGATCTCGAAGGACTTATTGCAGCTTCAGCACAACGATTAGCGAATTATCGATTGCAAAAGACAACTGAAGTAGCAGCTTCATTAACAACAACCTCGAGTAAGCGCCAAAGCATGGAGAGTATGGACTCTGAGATACGATCACCCGGCACATCATCATCCAAGAAAAGCAGTATCCATAGCAACAGCAACAATTTACGACTCTCGTATTTATTGGGCAGTAGTGGTGGTGATGAGGAGGATGTTAATCGCATGAATATCGGCGATTCTTCATTTGTGGATGATCACACAGTGACAATGGCCGATTTTGCACCACAACCAAGCACCACGACACCTAGCACAAAAAGAACAGCAATGGCATCAGCATCCTACAATAGCATACGCAACAAATTTGAGTCAGCTGCAACTTCGACGACATCACAAGAACGCATTCTTCAATTCGATCCATTGCTATCAACCAAAACCAATGGTGACACCGGTGGTGGTGGTGGTACTACAAAAGGAAAGCAATCAGCAACAACAACCAATACCAACCTGACATCATCAACGCAATCCAATCTACGATCCATTGCAGAGGCTAGAGATAAAGAAAGACGACATGCATCACGACCACGGCCTGTAGAACTTAATTTGAATGATATCAAGCGATCTTCATCGACCATGGTGGACTCACCTTTGACACCTACACGCTTACCCACCCCTCGATCCAATCATGCAAGCACGTCAACGGCATTTTCTCCAAGATTAGCATCTCCTGCACAATCCCACAGCCGTCGTATTCGGACCTTGTCGACCCTTGATAAGAGAGAAAAGGAAATGGTGTCATGGTTACGTAGCGACTTTGAAAAGATGAAATCCACGGCAACCAATGATAAGGGATTGATCAAGCCATCCGTTTCGCTCTCTGTCAGCACGAGCAGCCGAATGCGTAAGAGTCTTCCAGCTACGAAAAAGACGATGATGATGGAGGATGATCGTGATGATAGTGGTGATGGTGATGTGGAAGATCAACCAAAGCGTCGACCTATACGCACTCGTACCATTAGCACGACATCGATTGGCGGTGGTACAGGGAGATTGCATCGAGATCTTGCAAGGAAGAATATGAAACTCTTGGCAGACTTTGATCCATTATTGGTGGATGACAAGAAAAAGAAAGCAACGTCTCAGCAACGTCGACAACATTTACTTGATAATGACGATGACAATGATACTTGGGGTGAAGCGGATGAGGAAGGGCCCACGTTAAAAAGACGACAGCAACCTCGATCACGTGTGATTTCCATGACGACCTTGGAGAGATCATCCTTGTCAACCAGCACCCGAAAGGCGATTGGTACTAGCAAAACGACGACGACGACGACCCAGCATAAGAATAGTAGCAATGTCATGCCACAAGAATCACAATCCATGTCAGTTCGACCCGCCTCAGGGAGAAAAAGGGGAAAGGTATGTTATATACTACAATGGATGAGGGAGTAAAAAGAGAGACCAGAGAGGGAGAGAGGGCAAAACTGAAATGATGGTAATGTGCATAAGAATCTCATTTTGTTTTTGTTTTTCTTTCTTTCTTCCCCTTTTGATTCTTCCAACAGACACTTCCTGGAGATTTGGCGTCGCCTCCTGCGATGGCCCCACTGGCACTGCCACCTATGAGACTGGAACCGTATGGTGGACTTTCTTCAGATGAAACGACCACGACCACTTCCTCTGTGAAACAACAACAAGCATCCACTCGCTCAGCAAAGACACCCACTCGCATTCCACTTCCTGTTTCGAGAACCTCTCGTCAATCCTTACGTGCAGTCGACAATTACAGTGAAGATGAGCTGCTCCATTTGTCTGAATCGGAGAAGGATCGCACAGCAACCAAGCAAAAAAAGGCCAAGGCAACAGATACCACCACAACCGCCAGCAATGGCCAAGTAACCACAGGTGGTGCAAAGATTGGTCCTACCACCACTGTTTACTCTGGCTCCATGATTGTATCGAACAGCTCAGGCACACGACTTGGCCGATCATCTGACAAGCCCACACAAAGCATATCGATTCGTACAAGATCCACCAAAGCGACACCAACCACGAGTTCCCCTCGACCCAACAAGATGCCATCGACAACGACATCCGAGAATGGTATCATGAATAATACAACCCGTCAACGTAAAGTCAGCACTTTGTCGACATCAGCATCAGCATCCCATGTCTCAAAGGCATCAACATCATCATCACATGGAGGTAGGAAACGATCTTTGGTGGGTGATCTGTTGCAGGATCAGCTGGACAAGGAAAAGCTTCAATCTCAGTCCCTGACCGTAAACTTGGTTTCAGCCCATGGTCTCATTAGCCCTCCCGAATCCATCAAAGGAAATCATCCTTCTACCAGTCATACTACAGGATATCATACGCTACCTTCTCGTCGGAAGCCTACGCTATTGCATGAGCATTTACAAGGCCTTGTGGATGATTCAACTCAGCATACCAACACGGCTTGGAGCTCATTGGTGGAACATGAGAAAAAGCTCAACAACAAAAGAGTCCCTGTTTTACGTGGTGGAAGTGCAAGCACCTCTACAAAGGATAGCGTACCTGACAAGACAACTTCAAGTCGTGCAGCAATGAGTTCTCAAGGTAAATTAAAAAAAAAGGGACGAACGATCATGGGGACATGAAGGGAAACTAATCATTTATGTCGTATCATAGCTGCTTTGAAATTATATCATTCATGCTTGTCTTCGTATGAAAAGAAGGAGATCCTCGATTATTCGCAAGTGTACTTTGTTGGCAATCATGCACAAAAACGTTTGGCTACCAAGGAGCACACCACTTGCAACTATGGCTATGATGATGATCGTGGCGACTACCATATTGTCTTGCGAGATCATTTGGCTTATCGATACGAAGTACTGGAGGTGCTAGGCAAAGGATCATTTGGCCAAGTCCTTAAATGCTTTGATCACAAGGAGGGGAAAATGACAGCTGTCAAGATTATTCGCAACAAGAAACGATTCCATGCACAAGCGCTTGTCGAAGTGAAAATATTGAAAGATCTCATCGAATGGGTAAGTATATAAGCGAGAAAGGTGGGGAGGAAATGGGTGCAGTATATACTCATTGTCATCATCATCATGACACCAGGATCCAGAAGATAAACACAACAACGTGCGGATGCTCGACCACTTTAATTTCAGGAGCCATTTGTGTATCGCTTTCGAATGCCTCAGCATAAACTTGTACGATTTTATAAAGAGCAACAACTTTCAAGGTTTCAGCATGGGATTGATTCGGAGGTACGTAATGTATATACGTTTATATGTGATGGATTATACGGCTGACACGTGTGGCATTCATTGATAGGTTTACTATCCAGCTTCTCAACTCGCTCGTTTTACTGCGGAAGCACAAGTTGATTCATTGTGATTTGAAACCTGAGGTATACACAATCCATCCTTCACACTCAATGCAACTGTGTATTAACTTTTTTATCCTTAGAACGTACTTCTCAAGCACCCTACCAAAAGCTCGATTAAAGTAATTGATTTCGGCAGCTCATGTCTTGAGAGCGAAAAAGGTAAATTGCAATGAGATAGGATAAGCGGCATTTTGGCTGACACATTTTTTATAGTATATACCTATATCCAAAGCCGTTTTTATCGGTCGCCGGAAGTGATTATGGGCATGGAATACAGCATGGCAATCGACATGTGGAGCGTTGGATGTATATTGGCCGAGTTATATACAGGTTTGTGGTGGGCCTGGAACAATGACAATGAACGCAATGGCTCATGGTGGTTCTTTGAATAGGATACCCCCTCTTTCCAGGAGAGAATGAACAAGAGCAATTCGCATGTATTATGGAGATACAAGGAGTACCTGAAAAGCACCTAATTGAAAAGGCCACACGTCGAAAGGTCTTCTTTGGTAAGTAACATCCCACTCCCCTCCCCATCTACTCACCGCGTTCAACCTCTTTGCTCATATAATGTATGATAGATTCAAATGGCTTGCCACGCATTAGTCCTAATTCCAAGGGACGTAAACGACGACCTGGTACCAAACCACTAAGCCAAGCGCTCAAATCAACAGATGACAACTTTATTGACTTTGTTAATCGGTGTCTACAATGGGATCCTGAACGGCGGATGACACCAGAAGATGCTTTCAACCATGCATGGATTGCACGATCATCATCGTCATCAAAAAAGCAACATCGATCATGATATCCCACATTTACCCGAACGGCAGCACATTCCCCATATCGTATACACGCACCCATCAACCGCACCCATGGTTGATCTCCTTTTACCCCACCATACTTCTTCACATTTTCATAGTTCGTATCACTCTCCCTAGTTTTGTTCTTGTAAACGCCTATAAGAAAACCTGACAACACTTCCATTACATCAATTCATGCTTGTATACCATTGTCTTCATTCTTGGGGGATGTGTCACCAACATGGAACAAGGTTCATAAATGGGTTGCTTGGTTGCATCTGTTGTTGCTGCGGCAGGCAGTCACTTGGCTGCTTTAGGTTTCAGCAACTCCACAAAAATCATTTTTTCCCTTTGTTCTTTGCTTCACGGTGCTGCGATCTCGATAGACATCTCCATGGCCGACTCATTAGAGCAAAGTGCCGAGCTGGCTTGGCCAGAATTCATAAAGACGAGAGTGCTCAACACCATCACAAGCTCACGCGTCTCGGATCGCCTCGACTTTATTAACCACGCATTACTGATCCGCCTTCGCAGAAAAGGTACCTCTTTCAGCATACAGCGACGTGTATACATGCATTGATGATTAATACGTGATGTGTATATAGATCTTCCAATCGAGGCATTGCCATCTTTATTACACCTTATCTTTTTAACGTACTCTCGCTATCATGATCGAGAATCGCGACGTGCCATCCTGGAGGTGCTCAAAGAACTCGACAATTGGAACGCAGAACACTTTCAAAAGACGATTGTACCTGCACTTGTAAAGGAAGCAGAAAAGATTGGCAAACGTACATCGACAGGGTAAAGAATTTCATTGTTGCATGAATTTAGGGTGTGTGTATTAAATACAAGCATCTTTTAGGGATTCCATCACGCCATCAGGTGATCGTTTCAACTTGTTGACATGGATCGATTTGCTTCTTACACGTGTTCTTCAACAACAACAACAACAACAAAACACCACTGCTATTACACAGCTCGTTAATGCACAAGCGTTGTTACTCGACACTTTGGTTTGCGATCAAGATAGAAAGACCATCTCAAAAAGTGCTTTGGTCGAAGTACGACGCACCATTCGTCAAAACGCTTCATTCATTCCAACATTGATCGATGCAGCACTTTCCAACGCACAACTTTGCACACCCTCTTATCGCAATGCTATTCTTATTGGCACCATGATCGACACGAGTTTACGGCTAAAGCAAAAGTGGGCTGAACAAGGGCAGCAAATGATTGTGGATGCAAAGACCAAATTGAACGAGTACTATTTGAAGAATATCATGTCCGCACGCACCGCAGCACCTGTACCAGTACTTGACGCATTTGGCGATTTTGTACACTCGTTTGTACCCGAGGATTTGTTTACAAAGGAATACGTGCCCGTGATTGAAAAGATCATGCTCCGATCCCCTGAAGTAGCATTACGAGGTAAAGCAATAACGATATTATAGGCATACAGCAACATTGATGATTGACTTTTATATACCCATTTAGCCACCTCTCGTCTTGTTTTACGCCTGTCATTCGATCCATCCACTTTATTCGCCACCAAATGGCTTGATCCTGTACTCAATCATTTACGTTCATCCTCGGCCAATGTGCGTGCAGCAGCTACCATGTTATGGGATTCGTTAGCGTTCAAGTGCAAAGATGTCGATTCGCTTGTCAAGGTGGCCACGGCTGTGAGCAAGTTATTGACGACTGGCAAAGTGTCATCTTGGGAACATCGAATTGTAGTATTCAATGCATTATCAGCACTTGCACAATGTGAGGAGCCATCCGTGAGTGAAAAGGCATTGGAGGGTTACTTTACCATGCTGGCCAAGGAATCCAATGAACAAGCCATGTCAGCTGCTGTGGATGGTACGGGCCGTCATTTGTCTATCTTGATCTACAATGATGCCTACTGCAAGGACCATAAGGCTATCGTGGATAAGGCTGTCAAGACATCTTCCGATGGATTGAAATCCACCAAAGCCAATGCACGCAAGGGTTGGGCCGTCGCTCTTGGTGATACGGTGTGGGCACAACGAAAGCCTAGTGACACTCTCAGCGCCAATATCATCCCACTCGTTCAGAATTTGTTTGCGACATTTGACAAGATTGTGGATAAACCATTGGTGTGGAAGGATGGTCCATTGGAAGCTTATGTTCTTGTCGGCATGGTATCAGGTCGTATCCAACAATGGCCTACACAGCCCATTGATGATTTGCTCAAGAAGCACAAGTACCCCTCCTCCTTGTTGGTGTCGAATCCCAAGCCAAGCTTTTTATTGTGGGATCGTATCTATACAAAGGCTCTTACTGCTCCAGAAGGTCTTTGGTTGGTGCGTGCTTTGACAAGTGTGCTTGAACGTGAATCCCTTGCTTCTCTCAAATCGGGTGCTGGTTTCTTGTGTGCTCAAGCCCTTATTTGGATCCTCACCAGTCATCCAGAACACACTGTACGTCGTGCTGCTTACTCTGATGCCTCCGCTGTCACCATGGTCGATGCTGATAAGATGGGCACTTTTATGAAAGAAGCCTTAACACAATGGCTACTTGATGTGAGTACATTTCATCTTCCCCCCCCTTGGATAACAAGATTGGATATTGATGTGTGTGTGTGTGTGTGCTTATAGATGGAAAGAAAGACCAAGGATAGCACCGCTATGGTTGCCATGAACGCTGACAACTACCGTGAATCCGTTGCATCCTATCGCACCGCCAGCGTACTCAATGTTATGACTTCTTTTGGCCCCGATGTTCCTATCGAGACTCGTGAATCAGTTTTGGTCAACCTTATGATCCTTGCTCACCACAAATACATCGCATCACCCAACGACAAGTACAACTGGATCACGCTCATGCAACGTGCAGGCATCAACCCAGGCAAATTGGTCAAGGATCATTCATCGACTTTGATGGAATTATTGAAATCAGCATTTGCTGCACGTGGTGAATCTGAAATGTTTTATCAAGCGGCCCTTTCAGCTGTTTCTACACTCGCGTTTATTCGTCCAAAGTTGATTTCTTCATTCATCGAGCTTATTCAAGACAACCTTGATCCCAAGTTGATGGAGGGTATTGACGATACCGAACGTTGCATTTGGAAGACTCCCGAGGGTGAAGTTTACGTTGATGGTAAATATATGCATGCTTGATGAAATCAAATGACTTTTTTATTAACGAGTAGTGCGATGATAATGTAGTACTCAACAAGAACAAAAAGACAGTGGTTACCGAGAACCGTAATCGTAAGGGATACGCTGACGACATGTGGGAACAAGAGCTTCGTGAAGAATTGGCAAAGAAAAAGGGTCTCAATACGCAAAAGAAATTGACCAAGGAAGAGCAATTGGCCGTCAAAGCGCAACTTAAAAAGGAAAGCGAGATCCGTGCTCATGTACAGGGTGTGTTTGACAAGCTGTCATTGGGTCTTGCTCTTGTACGGTCTTTGGTAGCCGGCAACCGACCCGATTTATCCGCCAGCTTGGTATCCCTTGTACGCACCCTGCTTGCCATTGCTAATGCCCGTGGTGGTATTCTTGTGGGTGACAACTTGGTCGACACCTATCTTGTCCTTGGCGAGTGTGTGGATGAAGACATCTATGCTATTCGCAGCGCCATTGCCTTGTCAACTTTGCGGGCCAACAAAGTGTTCCCCATCCCATCACGCTGGTTAGACGAACCTCTCAACGATTTGATTGCTCGTGTATTGTATCGTTTGCGCTTCATCACCGAATCACGTCCATTGGAACCTGCTACTTTTGGTTACTGTTTCCCCGTATTGCAGCAAGTCATTTTGCAAGGTGGTGTTGGATGTGATAAGAAGGATTCGGAAGCTGCTAGTGAGCAAGTGGTGATGGCTGTTGATATCATTGGCTTCCATTGCCCCAACGGCAGCTCCCCCATGATGCCACGCAAGGAAATGATTGACAGCCTCTTGTACAGCATCAAAGAGTATCCACCAAGCAGCAAAAATGCAAAGGCATCCGTTGTAGCATTGTGTGAATTCATGAGTGAAGGTGACGTCGATCGCTCCGAAATCGATACTCTCTTCCAAGGCTTGCTTTCGGATGAATCCTTGGTTCGCAACGCTGCCCTTCAAGGTTTGGATCTTTTGGATTTGACGGGCATTGAATACTCCCCCGAATTGTGGTTGGTGTGCCATGATCAAAATGAGCAGAACGCCGATCTTGCCGATGAGTTGTGGACCGAATATAGCATGCAGGTGGTGCCTTCGTACAAGGATCAACTCCTTGATTATGCAGGTAAAAAGTCATCATGAGTTGGGGTTATTGATGATTTAGCTAACACCATGAAATAGTATCCGATTCGACCTATATTCGTACATCGGCTAGCAAGGCTATTGCAGATGCACTTGAGATCCACCCTGATTCTGTTGTCGATACATTGGAAGCCATTTATGGCATCTACAAGCAAAAGGTAAACCTGAATAATATGGTATACAAAAGGGGATATCATTTATTGATGATGGATCGATCGATTGATTGATTGATAGGCTGCATCATTGGATCCCGAGTATGACAAGTTTGGTATGGTGATCCCTGAGACTGTGAACCGTAAAGATCCTTGGGAGGCTCGTTCTGGTCTTGCTCTTGTTCTCAAGCAAGCCGCACCCTACATGCGTATGGAAAATGTGCCAGGCTTTTGCAACTTTTTGATCCAAAATGAAGCATTGGGTGATCGTGATGAGACTGTACGCAAGCAAATGCTTGATGCTGGTTTGGCTGCTGTGAGTGTGTATGGCAAACAAGGCGTACAAGATCTGCTGGCAACATTTGAGTCCTATCTCAACAAAAAGGCTCCCGACAATGAGACACACGATTACATTCGTCAAGCTGTTGTCATTCTTTATGGTGCTGCTGCTGGTTTCTTGGATGAAGGTGATCCCAAGGTCCAGGATGCTGTTGACAAGTTGATTGGTACATTGGATACGCCTTCCGAAGTGGTGCAAAGTGCTGTGGCCGATTGTCTTCCTCCTCTTATCAAAAAGATCAAGCCCAACGTGCCAAAGATCGTCGAATCTCTCTTGCAAAAGTTGTTTGAATCTGAAAAGTATGCCCAACGTCGTGGTGCTGCTTATGGTTTGGCTGGTGTCGTCAAAGGTCGTGGTATCGTTGCTCTCAAGGAATGCGATATTATGACCACACTCAAGGAAGCTGCTGAAAGTAAAAAGGGATTCCAATATCGCCAAGGTGCTCTTTTTGCATTCGAGACTCTATCGGCTACGTTGGGTCGCTTTTATGAGCCATACATTATCCAAATTGTGCCATACCTGTTGTCGTGCTTTAGTGATGCCAACATGGATGTACGTGAAGCTGCTTCAGATGCTGCACGTGTTATCATGAGCAAGATCAGTGGTCATTGTGTGAAGCAAATCCTACCCTCCATTCAAGATGGTCTTGAGGAAAGACAATGGCGTACCAAAAAGGCTTCGGTGGAATTGCTTGGTGCTACTGCCTATTGTGCTCCTAAGCAATTGTCCGTATCACTCCCCAACATTATCCCACGTATCACTGATGTCTTGGCTGATACCCATTCGCAAGTCCAACAAGCTGCCAATCGATCTTTGCAACTCTTTGGTGAAGTCATTAGCAACCCTGAGATCCAAGAACTTGTGCCTGTATTGCTTGATGCGCTTAGCGATCCTAACCGTAAGACCATGTCAGCGCTTACATCCTTGTTGCGTACGTCGTTTGTACACTACATTGATCCTCCCTCACTTGCCCTTGTGATGCCTATTCTTGAACGTGGTTTACGTGAACGTGGTACTGAAGTCAAGACGAAGGCTACTCAAATTGTGGGCAACATGGCATCGCTCACTGATCAACGCGACTTGACTCCATATTTGCCAATCTTGTTGCCAGGCGTCAAACAAGTGTTGGTTGATCCTGTACCTGCTGCACGTGGTACCGCTGCCAAGGCACTTGGTAGTTTGGTTGAGAAATTGGGTGAAGATACCTTCCCTAATCTCGTGATGGAGTTGCTTGATACGCTCAAAACGGATACGGGTGGTGTGGATCGACAAGGTGCTGCTCAAGGTCTTTCCGAAGTACTTGCAGGTCTTGGTTTGGAGAGACTTGATGATGTGTTGCCTGAAATCATTGCCAATGCCGACAGCCCTCGTCCCTATGTTCGTGAAGGTTTTATTTCATTGCTGGTCTATTTGCCTGCTACTTTTGGTGGTCGCTTCCAACCCTATCTTGGTCGTATCATTCCTCCTATTCTTATGGGTTTGGCCGACGAATCAGAGTTTGTGCGTGATGCATCTTTGCGTGCTGGTCGTATGATTGTCATCAACTATGCTACCAAGGCTGTCGACTTGTTGTTGCCGGAACTTGAAAAGGGATTGTTTGATGATAGCTGGCGTATTCGTCAAAGCTCTGTACAGCTTGTGGGTGATTTGTTGTTCCGTATCACGGGTATCACCAACCCCAACAGCAAGTTCCAGGCTCTTGGTAACGTTGAGGAGATCAAGGAAGATGATGAAGGTGAAGATGGTTACACTGGTGCTGCTGAAGGTGGCAAGAAGCAACTTGTCGATCTTCTCGGCAAGGAACGTCGTGATCGTATCTTGGCTGCCCTTTACATTATTCGCCAAGACAGTAAGTTTTACCATCTCGCTTTTTTAATTTTCATATGCTAACATCTTTTTACTTTACTAGGCTCTGGTCAAGTGCGTCAATCCGCTTTGCAAGTGTGGAAGGCTCTTATTTCCAACACACCTCGCACCGTCAAGGAGATTATGTCTGTGATGATGTCGCTCATTATCAAGAATTTGGCTGGTTCCAGCTACGAGTTACGAGCCGTATGTGCTCGCACTTTGGGCGACTTGGTGCAAAAGCTTGGAGAGCAATTACTTGCCGAAATCATTCCTTTGTTGGAAGAAGGCATGGATTCACCCGATGAAGCTACACGTCAAGGTGTCACTATTGCATTCAGCGAATTGATGACAGCTGCTGGCAAGGTGCAAGTTATGGATTTCGCACACCAAATCATTCCTGCTGTTCGCAAGGCTCTTTCCGATCCATCACCCGAAGTACGCGAAGCTGGTGCTCGAGGTATGTTTAACATTGTATTACCCCAAAAGACTATTTTATTAATCCATATTTTATAGCATTCGATACGCTTCATCAAAACGTTGGTGCTCGTGCCATCGACGAGATTTTGCCTGCATTGCTCAACCAGCTTACTTCTTCGACCGAGTCTTCTACTTTTGCTCTTTCAGCACTCAAGGAAATTATGGCTGTTCGTGCCAATGTGGTGTTCCCAGTATTGATCCCTACTTTGATCACTGTACCTATCACGCCATTCAATGCTCGTGCCTTAGCATCACTTGTCACAGTGGCTGGCCCAGCTCTCAACCGCCGTTTGACAACTATCCTATCAGCCATTGTTGAAACACGCATGATTGATAATGATCCCGAACTCGACAAGGAGCTTTCTGCAACTACCGAAGCCATGTTGGTATCCTTGGATGAGGAGGATGGCTTGCCTACTTTGGTTGCCACATTGCAAGAATACGCTCGTAGCGACAACCCCAAGAAGCGTAAGGTGGCATGCGATATGACAGCGTCTTTGTACACGGACAGCAAGCTCGATGCCTCAGCTTATGTACCCGATTGGATTGGTACTTTGGTGTCATTGTTTACTGATTATGCTGAAGAAGTTATTCGTGCATCATGGGCTGCTCTCAATGCTGTTACCAAATCCGTCCCCAAGAGTGAATACGAAGAGTTGGTCGCCCCTACAAGACAAGCTGTTCGCAGTGTTGGTGTTGCTGGTACCGATGTGCCAGGTTTTTGTTTGACCAAGGGCATTGGTCCTTTGTTGCCTATTTTCTTGCAAGGTTTGATGAATGGCTCTTCGCAGACACGTGAACAGGCAGCATTGGGTGTTGGTAAGTGTTATCTATTCTTTGTATGCGTATTGATTGACTCCTAACAACCTCCTTTCTATATATAGGTGATCTCATCAATCGTACTTCATCGGATGCGCTCAAGCCATTTGTCACCCAAATCACCGGTCCTCTTATCCGTATCATTGGTGATCGTTATCCCCCTCAAGTCAAGGCTGCTATTCTTCAAACATTGAGGTAAGAAAAGAAAAATAGGAGAAGACAATGAGGGAGAACATGTACTCATCCATGGCATGCTATAGTCTACTCCTGACTAAGGTACCCATGCATCTTAAGCCTTTCCTTCCACAACTGCAACGCACCTTTATCAAATCCTTGTCCGATCCTACAAGCAACATTGTGCGATCCCGTGCAGCTAATGCACTTGGTATCTTGATCACTTTGCAAACGCGTGTGGATCCTTTGGTGGCTGAATTGGTGTCTGGTATTCGTACAAGTGAAGCTAGTATCAAGGAGACCATGATGAACGCTTTGCAAAACGTGGTATCCAAAACAGGAGCTGATCTCAGCGAGACATCCAAACGCAGCGTGATTTCGGTGATTGCTGATGGACTTTCGGATAATGCCGATACTGGTATGATGGCATGTGCAGCTCGTTTGTTGGGTAGCTTGGCCAAGGCATTAGCTCTTGAAGACACCCGTGCCACTGTTCAAGACCACGTGCTTTCTGAATCGGCACCATTGTATGGCTCGCTTATGGCTATCAATGCATTGCTCGCTGATACACCCACTTTGCTCGAAGATCTCGGCATTGTTGACCAAGTTGTGGAGCGTGTTATTGAAGCTTCAGAGAATGATAAGGTAAACAGTGATCATGAAAGAGAAATCATGTCATTGAAATTAACATCGAATGATAGGATTACATACCCGAGGCAGCCCTCACAGCAGCAGGCAAGCTGCTGCTTACCGACTACTTCCAAAATGAAGAGGTTATCAACCGCCTTGTTCCTGCATTGGCTCGAGTGATTGCTTCCTCAAGTGCTGGTGCTGGTGAAAAGAAGCGTGTCGCTTTGGTTGTCTTGCGTGCCGTTGGAAGAAATCATGCCAGTGTAAGTAAACCTATCCATCCATGGATGTTACTAGTGGAATAATTAATAACACCTTTATGATATAGTTGCTTGAACCTTTCTTGGATCAGTTGATACCACCCATGATGAACTGTGTCCGTGAACGCAACATCCCAGTGAAGCTGACGGCCGAACGTGCATTGATGTATACTCTTCAACTCCATGCTAGTGAAGCTGTCTATGAGCGTTACCTTTCATCGGTTGATGCTACCACCCAAAAGCAGATTTCGGATTACCATCGCCGTGTTCTCAGCAAACTTGTACAACAGGAACACCAACGTGTTAGTCAACTCCATGGTTCTCTCGATGAACAAGCCGAGGAAGAAGATGCAGAAGTTTGGCAAATCGGATCTTTGCAACGATTCAATGACGAAGACGATGAATAAAGCAACCAACGCATATAGATATTGGTCTGTGCACAAAACAGGCACATTTGTACAAAGCAATCGATCTTGGAAAACAATAAGGGTGATGATGATGATGATGATGATGATGGGCAATATAAGGTTGGGGAGAGAGTGAGAGGTGTCTCTTTGTGTATGTGCGTGTTGCTTAGCTACCAACCAACCCCCCAACAACCCCCTCTTTTTTTTCTTTCCCTTCAACAACACCTCTTTTTGCTCGACATAGTCCCTCTCTTATTTTTTATACTCTTTCTTTTCTCTCTTTTGCAAATGTCATCATTGGTATCTTCAATTCTTCAAGTGGACGATATGCCATTCATTGGATCATCAAAGCGAAAATCATTGCCAACGGGCACCAGTAGCGGCGGTGTTGGAGGTACACCTCGATTTGCGTTTCAAAACCATCACAGCAGTGCCGAATACCATGTAGCGCATTATGGGAGCAGCCCTGTACCAACACCAAGTACTTCATGGACATCCGAAATGAGCATGTTGGCCGACAAGATCCGAGACGATGATATGACTCGAACCAAGCAAGTTATCCATCTTGATCGACGTAGTATCTCACAAGGCCTTAAATTGGTATCGATTGCTGCTGATGAATACGATGGTGGCAACGAGACAGTGGCACTGGACATCTATTTGACAGGCATTGATAAGATCTTGATGGCACTTCCAAGTATGTGTATAATCGATCAACATGTATGCATTGATTTGTAACACACCCTATTAGACAAGACCGATCCCAAGACCAAGCTTGCATTACGGGAAAAGCTGATAAGGTAAGATGATGATGAGGATGATGATGATGGTGCCTAGGGATGTAGTACACACACATAACCCCCTATTCCATTCCATGCCACATATTCACATCATGCTCCCCACTTTTTTTTTTCTTCTCCCCTAACTCAAAATTCAACATAGTGTCGAGGAACGAGTTGGGATCCTGAATCTTCATCAGCGGTTACCACCATCCGATGCCAAAGCATGCCTTCAGTCATACATTGTGTCACGTATCACCACCACCATGAGCAGTTTTGAACAAGAGCAACCTGATCCAGTAAATCGATTTAAGCGAATGAGTCAAATGCTTGTCAATTTTGCGGTGGCCTGTGCTATTTACATCAAGCAATCACCGATTCCAGGTATGTGGATCATATCTTTTTATGTTTGATAAAGGGAGATCTAACAATACCCCTTATATAGACATCCTCTACTTTTTGTTTGGATACTTTATTCAGCTAATGTTGTGGCTCGATCGACAGTATCACTTTTCACAAAAGGCTCAGGATTTTGGTGTTGAATGTGTAAAATGGATTTTGGAGGCAGATGAAGAGTATCGCTTGCATGAACTCGTGTCAGAAACTATTTACACGTTGATCGCCGCTGGTCTTAAAGCTGTTGTTGCATTCAAGGAAACACCTCCTCGACGTGGAAACCCCACAAAGCAACGGTGGTAAAAGGAGATAGATACACTCTCTCACACACCCACACCTAATCTCTCTCTGTCTCTTTCTTTTCTGTGCATCCTTTTTTACACACATATCGAAAACCTTCTCCTCCTTATCATAGCACCACCACATACAAACACTATTGAGCATTCCATTCATCATACTTCCTCCTCCACGCACATATTTCCACCATAGCAAAAAGAGCACTCGTTTTGAAACCCATCTCTTCGTAATGCAATTGAAAAAATATTTATCGCATTGGTTCCTCATGTTGCAATGTAAAAGGCTTGTAGTAGGTGGATGGATGGATGAATATATACAAAGACGTCGTAAGTAGGTATCGATCTAAGCAAATGAATGGCGTTGAGGAGGTGGGGGTAATCAAGATGAGGTGCCTCTTCTCGTTGTCGTCGTTGCCATGGTATTGGTCTTTTTCGCCAGCTTGGTTTCTATGATACGGATTTGAGCATGATGACATGCTTTTTATCTTTGCTCCTTCAAAGTTACCTAAATGCCTTGAATATTCATCGAGTGCATGGGCCACCTTTTCAATTTCCACAGCTTGTTGATGAATGTCGTCAACTTGTGCCATAAATGTTGCAAAATCCGAGTCTATCATCCATGTTGTCAGCCATGTCATTTGTCCCCCTAACCATTGCACACTTACATGTCCCTTGAAGCCTTGTCATTTCATCCATCAGCCTCTGGCTCATTTGTGACATTTGAGCATACTTCTCCTTGGTCGTCTTGTTCATGGCTTCCAACAACTGGCACTCTTCCGTTGTAGCTACCCCACCCACCCTTAATAAGTATATCCATTTCCACATACATTCTTCGTGTGCTTAAGTCATACTTTGTAACTCATTGCGTGTGTAGGCAGCCAGCTTGCGAATGGCATCGTCCGTGAGACGTGTAATGTATTCTTCGTTCAGCATACGGGTAGCGTCATCAGGGTTCAGTGGTGTACCGATCGTCTTGTTGTTGCGCACAATCGATGCTGAAGATGAGGATGGCGATGGCGATGTCGCTGAAGCTGGTACGTTGTTGCTGTCGTCTTCCATGTTGGGTTGTTGTAGCTCTCACAAGAAGTTCACTTTGAAGAAAAGTCAGTCCACTTATGTAAACCACCTCGACTCCACCCCACACAAAAATACACTTGCACCTTCTATTAGAAATGTACCTCACGAATAGAATAAATAATAATGTTGAGTTTATGGTTTATTGGGAAGTAACTCAAGGCGAGGATGCTATGTTCATTGCGGAGGGGGGAAGGATATAGTGATTGTGTGTTATTACATGCGATGATGGGTAGTAGTAGTAGTAGAATGGATTTAGATGCCTTCAAAAATGAGTGGCTCACGAGGAGGGAACTTGACCATTCCCATAACAGGGAAATCCTTTGCGCGTTTGCCAGATGCAGTAGATACGTTGTATCGCATAATGAGTTCGGCAAGCACATACTTGATTTCATTGACAGCAAAGTATCGACCAGGGCAAGCATGTCCACCAAGACCAAATGAAATGAGATCATTGCCGATAGTAGAGCTCCACTTGTCTTCTTTCATGTTGAGGAAACGGTAAGGATCAAACTCATTGAGAGGCTTCATACCAGCTGGTGGGGGATCCATAGGATATACATGGGCATCTTCAAGAGCAGCTACAACGAGACTACCTTCAGGAATCACTTGGCCTGTAGACAAGACCACATCCTTCAATGCCTTGTGATGCAAGCCCAAGTAATCAATGTCGTGGCGTAATACTTCACGCAAGAACGAGTCGAGTAATGGGATTTCGCTGACATTTTCAGGTGTACGTTCGGGGCCCACTTTGCTAATCATCTCGCGCAATTCAGCTACCAATTGGGGTCGGCACGCCAATTCATGCAAGGCAAACGTGGTAAAGTGAGAGGTGGTATGAATACTTGCAAGTGCAATCTCCTTGAAATAGAATGCAGCATCACGTGGTGATCGATAACTACCATCCGCCTTGGGTAGTTTAAGCACCATGGATACAAAGGTTGGCTCGTCGTCTGGAAGCTCACCAGATGCAATCTTTTCAAGCTCTGGTACAATAAGCTCCATCAAAAGATCCAATTGCTGCTCCACCGAAAACATGCGTCGCACCACCGTATCGGCAATGGCATCAGGAAGGATCGTTAACAACATACCAGCCTTGATGATGTTTTGTGTAAAAGAAGCCATTGCAAGTACAAGATCCTTGTTCGTGCCAACACGGCTACCCGCAAAGCACAAGCACGAGATGCGTGAAATGGCCTCTGATAAAAAGTCCCATGTTGCCAAAGTACGCTTTTCACCAGGTTTGAGTGCTAGCTTTTCATCCAACATGCCCAAAAACGCCTTTTGGATACGTTCAGAAAACACGCTGATTTGCTCTGGTTTGAAATTTTGTTTGACAGGGAAGACAACTGCAAATATAGAAAAAGGTAAATATGCGAGTGCATGAAATTCATTGTTGCCAAATACAACATACTTGGGTGCTTGTCACGAGGGCTGATTTCTTCTTCTTTATGCTTGTGATCATAAGACAAATGAAGTACTCGTTGGGTGGGAACAACAACTTCGACACCTTCAGTGAAGCTGAATTGCTTGCGTGATGCAAACAAAAGCTCGGGAATCAAACGACCTGTCAACACAAAGGTCTCTCGGCCTGCAAGGTTGAGACGAAAGGCGGTTCCATATTTCTCACGGCATTCAGCAAGGAACTTTTGTGGGTCGCGATTGATGGCTAGTGCATGACCAAGGATAGGAAGGCTGCCGGATGCAAGGGGCACGATGTTTTCGATTTGACGTCTTCGTTTCGAAAACAACAAGCGATACAATGTCCATGTACCAACTATGGTAGCAGCAGCTGTGATGGCGGTTTGTTGGCGTTTATCGGTTGAAGAACGTAAGAGTTGAAGTTGGCTGAGTATAAGAGTAGCAGAATAAGCAAGGAAGCTTTGTCCCTTTTCTATAAGGTTGTTTGTTGTCATGATGTATATTCGTTTATAGTGGGATAAGAAGAAAAATGGTATAGATCGTGAGCCATACCTTCTTTATATAAGGATTTGCTGCAGTGAGTAATTGGCTATTTTGTTTCTCAGGCGAGTCAACGTGTGCGCGGGTTTCAAGGCAATCAACGCCGTGTCTCCGTAGAAATTCATAAAGTGCTCCATGTTTGTGCGCGGTTTTGTACCTCACTATCGCCGGATATTTGACCGATTATCAATCGCTCTCTTTATCACAAAAGCTGCAATAGTGGCGGACATCTCCTCCGGACTTGAAGCGGGCACTCACTCCTATACATATTTATATCCTTGTCAATTGCGTTGTTGTGCTCCGCATTCAATCATCACCTTTCCCTTTTTATCCCAATGTGGGGGTTTTCTTGAACGTTCTCTATAATATGATCGGTTTCATTGTATTGGATCGGCGACTCAAGATCATTCATATAATGACCCAAAGTCCCATCTCTCTAAGAAAACAGTGAAAGACAATGTTCATGCAAATTGTTTTCTTTTTACTCTCGGCCCGTACATCCACTTGACCAATAAGTGACAAGAAAGATCCGGCCCGGTGCGAGCTTTAATACATGTCTTTGTGGCTCATTGTAGTTCCGTTTCACAAACCATTTCACCCGTAGATCATATTACACAAGATTGATCGAGCCCATATCTGCCACTTTAAGAACCATTAACATACGCTTGCATATCGCATGGGAAGATCGCTCATAGGTATGCAGGTCCAAAAGGCATCTCCATCCTAATCCAAATATACTATAAAGGTACGCGTTGCAGCGCATGCATTACAATCCCATTTATTGCTTCGAAAATAGTAGCCTCTATAATCAAACTTCTATGCTATAAGACGTTGATACACATTTACATGTTCCACTAATCCCCTCTCATAATTTCGATTGTACCAAATGCAATGGATCCAACAACAGCTTCCTTGAAATAGTACCCCATGGCATTGCACAAGGCATTTGAGCTCAGCTTACAATGATTAATCGCTACCTTTTATTTTTGCAAGAATGCATAAGCTTACACGTTTACGCAACCACATTACTGTACAATCTCGTAGTACTCAACTTTAGAGGAGCCTACAATCCTTCGCTATCCATATTTACAATATGAGACTATCTCTGTAACAAGCTGTCCTGCAACAAATGTTTCAAGGCGGCGAACACATCGTTTCGTTTATATAGTTTCTACTACATTTACGCCCTCCCAGTCAAAATTTATAAATGAAGTATGCGTCTTTTATTAGAACAACGTAATCAGCATGATCAAGAGTACCTTGTGTGAAAGTTTCAGGTTCATGAGGGGCAATCTCAATATCAAGGTTTGATGTACAGTGTTCATGGGATTTGTAGGGCAGCGTCTTGCCTATTAAATTTCCACCTCTTCCACGCTTCTCCACTTGGTGCCGTTCCTCCCATTCTCGGCTGTTGCCCCATTCAAGTACAACTACCACCTGCGAACAATTGTGCTACTTCAACACATCATGTCAATCCTACAACTACCTTGATCCGATTGCCTTTGACTCAATGGCAAGTCCATGGGCGTGTACACAGCCTTCTTGTCACTCTTCTACAACACACGAGTCTCTTGACGCAACACACGCTCTTGTACACTCGCCTACCGCGACCAATGGCAACAGCATTCATTCCAGCAACTGCTATTAGCAAGGTCTTTACTCTATTGTCTCCAACAGCGTTCTTTACTTGCAACAACTTGCCTTACAGCCTTCGTTACGTGGACAGCAGATAGCCATTGTATAGAAGCAGCTTTATTTACGTGTAGCAACTTACTTCAATACAAACGGATCCCCATGGATGATGCCATTTCAACCATCAACTACTATTGCGCAATACAAGCATTCTTCATCTGTTTGAGCTGCGATAGAAAATGGCCAAGAAAGAGATTGACCAACAGCCGGATGGAAAAGGAAGCGACCAAAGGGGGGTTCTTTGTATCAGCATGTTGGAGTTGCAATGGTTATAGATGGATGCAATCAAGCACTGTGAGAGGGGATCCTGATGTCGTTTTGGTTGCTTGACACGTCGCCATCAGGAAGGATGGGCCATGCTACGTGGATGGGGCTGTGGATAATGATGATTTGGATGGCATGGATGTGAGGGCTTGCATCTTTGACGAAAGGAGGTTTGTCACCATGGATGACATTGGATATTGGAGTCAAGGCACGCACAGCGGCTAGTTTGCAATCATGGGCGAAGGTGTTTATGGCGGCAACAAACAATGACACAATGATACCCACTAATTCTATGTGGTCCACTGGATTGGTTTCGGGAATGGTTTCGGGAATGAAAGTGAGGATAGAAATGTGAAGGTTGGAAAGCGAGATTGGATCATCTACATCATTGCATCGAGACGCTTTGGTTGCTTGCACCACATCACATTCTTTAAACTTCCTTGTTCATATGCTGGTAGACGATAGGCAGTGGCCGTTCTCAGGATTGCACACAGGTTTAAATAGACGACGCGTGTATTTTTAAAGATAATAAACCCATAGTAATGGTACCCAACAATAGAGCTTGCTACAAAAGTTTGATCCATCAAAAGCTTAAGTCATTACTTTTAGGAAAATGTGAGCTTTGATACATCGTGAAATGAGTACATGCATATGCTCATCTATGGCAACTACGTATCAGCATGTGCCGCTATCTTGTATGTATAATCTTGAATGAGTACGATCCCTGAAGACAAACAATGCCATCCCCACTTTCACCCTTTCGCACGAATACTATCAGATGCACCGATTATTTTTGGCTTGTTAACTATACCATGTTTCCATACGGTCTTTCATAGGCACACCTTACTATAGGGGCAGGGACCATTGTTGCAATGGGATCTTGCACTGCCGTGATGCTCAGCGTGTACACTAACTAAGCACCACACACAACGAACGCCGTATACAATGTACATGGAGATAAGATGCACAAGGGAGACTCTCATGTAACGTCAAAGAATAGAAAAAGCGTGCGTAAACGTCTCCTTCATTCAATACCAATAGGGTAAAAAGCGCGTTGACAATACCGTGTCCATCCGTACCCCAAGGTATGAAATCGGGAAGAGAGCCTGTTGTTTATTCATCGTACTTCACTGGTTTATAAGCTGCATGCATCTCTAAACTTACAATCGCATGACCGTGTGAGAGCAAATAACCGTCTCAAGCTACATCACAACACCATTATGCAATCTCAACCAATAAGATTGACTCTTGAAGTCCCGCCCCTCTCGGCTTAATTGCTTCTGCATCTTTTGTTCTGTCTGAATCCAGCTACTTGACAATGAACAAAGATCACTTTTCATATAGCACCAGGCTTACAGCATATATAAAACATAAAGGTGGCTGTATCTCTAAACTTTACAATGAAATGCGGGATCTTTAATAGAACAAAGCTGCTCGCCGGAGTCAACCGGATCTTGTGTGGTAGTTTTACGATCGAGGTGGCCATTCCAAGATTTGGCAAATGTCGCTGCCAGCCAAATTGGATTCGGGTCGACCTCTTGAATTTTTTTCGACGACGACAAAAAAAACATTTTTGGCTGGTGGCGACATTTGGCAAATCTTGGATTGGCCACCACGATCGTGAAACTGGCACACACAAGATCCGGTTGACCCCGACGAGCAGCTTTGTTCGATTAAAGACCCCGCATTTCATTGTAAAGTTTAGAGATACAGCCACCTTTATGTTTTCACTATGCTGCAAGCGTGATGCCATATGAAAAGTGGTCTTTATTCATTGTCAAGTAGATTGACCCTGGCAGAGCAAAAGGTGCAGAGGGACGTCTTTGTGCAACAGAGCTACCTTGTATGACTGGAAGGATGGATGGATGATACTGTATACCATTGGCAATAGACCATATATTGCGAGCTATCAGCCATTTCCTCACAATCGGTACTGTTGCCCATTCTATGACATGTGAATAATGCACCTGCTCCAGACGTTCATTTCCATCATTCAACTTTCTTGATCCGAGCCGATTTGATTGAGCTACGCCCAAACACGATTACATCAGTTGAGCAACATAGAGCATGATGTATGTGGAGAGTGATGTAATCTCTCTTTGACCGTAGCTCAATCAAATCAGCTCGGATCAAGAAAGTTGAATGATGGAAATGAACGTCTGGAGCAGGAGCATCGTTCCACTGTTGTAGAATAGGCAACAGTGCCGATTGTGAGGAAATGGCAATTGATGCCCTACTACTGAATAGCTACAATGTATCATCCATTGACCCTTCCAGTTCTACCCAATCAGCTGTGCTATGCAAGCACCGTCCCTCTGCATCTTTGACCCCATTAATGTCTAGCTATTTGATAATGAACATGGACCACATTTCATGTAGCATCATGCTTACAGCATAGTAAAACAGTATCCTGCTCTCTAATCAGTTACAGCCTTTGGGATTAACCACCTTTATATATGGATACGGTTCATAGCATTCCACACCCCATATTCTTCTTTATATGCACATGCATGAGGAAACGGTACTAATGACGGCGTTGAATACTCGAGCATTTATTGGTCTGGGATTAATGTCGCGCTGTTTTCACGCGCTTTGATTCTTCGCGTTACATTCACATTTACATTTGCAGCAACGGTTTACTCCTCCTCCTTTTCCTGTTACTTCTTTCTTTCTATTGTATATACAAATGTCACGTCGCGATGAAGGGAGTGAGACCCCAACACGAGTAGCAATGTACGAATCTAGAACTCCTCAACGCACTCCTCAACGCAACACACCCACGAGAACACCTACAGGCCGATCATTCTTCAATCCAGGCACAATGCAACGACCAACACCTCCCGATTTTACTGCTTTAGCCAAGGAACAACAGCAACAGCAACAACAGCAGCAACGACCAGCAGTGCTAGGCAAACGCAATGACAACAACTTTGTTGCTTACAATCCTGAAAAGGAACCTATCAAGGTATTTAGTTCCAGCATACATACGGCACCACCTGTATCAAAAGCTTATATCAATGATGCGTAGGCTTATTTGAGGATCCGTCCACCGCCATCCATGTATCATGAGGAAGATCGTCCCTATCTAAAAGTCGTCGATGATATCGAGGTTTCGATGACACCACCATCAGTAAGTGCTTCACGGAATGTTTGATCCTTTGAGATATTGATTGTTTGCTGTATCTGCAAAAGGATTCCAATGCTTATCGTACACGCAATCGAGCTCCAGAGCGATACAAGTTCAGCAAGATCTTTACTGAGAATGTGAAGCAAAAGGATTTCTTTGACAAGACGACATTGCCACTGGTTGAAGATGTGCTCAAAGGAGAGAATGCGCTCGTGTTTGCATATGGTGTCACCAATTCAGGCAAAACATACACCGTCATGGGAACAAAGGAAGAGATTGGATTGGTGCCACGGACATTGGATGTCATTTTCAATAGCGTGCAAGGATACTTGAGTGAATCCAAGGTATGTTGGTGTCGTGATGAACATCGGACAAGAGATGATTAACTTCTTCGGTGGTATGTATAATAGCTTAAGCCGACAATGCACAGCCTTGTTCAAACCTATCACGACCCAGCTGAGGAGAATCGAGACATGTTGGATCAAATCATGCAAGGTACAACAGAAGGATTCGCGCCAAAAGGCATGGTAGGTAGTTTGGATAGACGCATTTAGCACATGATACTGATAGGACTTCTAGCAATCCAATCTATGGAATGGATCACAACCTACTATGCATGATCAAACAGGTAGAGAGATGCTTGGACCCCCCACTTGAGTCCCTTTTGTTTCTAATCATGGCGATTCGGTAGTAATCGACATCAACCAAAAGTATGAATACGGCATTTGGCTATCCTTTGCTGAGATCTATACCGAGAAAATCTATGATCTATTGGTACCGCCAGATAGGCACCTCAAGCGTCGACAGCTTCCTCTCAAGTATGAATTCCGAAGCGGACACAAGTACATTGCTGGTTTGAAGCAAGTCAAAGTACAATCGATCGAGGTATGATGATTTGGTCATTGGGATGTCTCATTAAATGGTTTTTACTCAAACGACGGCAATATAGGAAGCATACGCCTTGATGGAACAGAGCCAAAAGAATCGGGCTGTTTATTCAACATTATTGAATCATACCAGCAGTCGCAGCCACAGCATCTTTACCATCAACATTGTACGAGCCCCCATTGATGATGAGGACTATGTCATTGAGGTAAGAGTGCTACATTCGAGGGATGGTGGATCCAAATTTTAATTATCAATGCGTATCTAGGACCCATCGTATGCCTCGGTATCCAGAATGTCCATTGTTGACTTGGCAGGCTCTGAACGTCATCGGAACACATTCAATTCGGGTAAGGATGCTATAGTGGGTGATGGATGTTCGGAAGGTTGACATGTCTATGCTACGGTTTAGGACAACGGCTTAAGGAAGCAGGCAACATCAACAAATCTCTCATGGTACTGGGACAGTGTATGGAGACTTTACGCTTGAATCAGCTTAAAGCGGATATGGGCAAGGTTTGTATAGATTGGGCAAATAAGGATTTTCTCTCACCATGACAATGATTAGCGTCAAGCTATTGTACCATTCCGGCATAGCAAGTTGACCGAACTCTTTAAAAGCTCGTTTGAGGGCGATGGCAAAGCGGTAAGCACAACGTATTTCAACGAGGACATTGGAAAGCTAACGAGGTTACTTAGGTTATGGTGGTCAACGTGAATCCATTTGATACCGGGTTTGATGAAAACAGCCATGTCATGAAGTTTGCAGCCGTGGCCAAAAATGTGGCAACATGGAGACGCATCCATCCCAAGCTCGATTTACACAACATCTCTGGGGCAGGTACGGATTTGTTATTATCGTCAAGAACAATGATCGATCACTGACATGAGCATGTTCTAGTTAAACGACTTCGTACGCAAAGCGGAGAAATGCAAAAGCAATACACTCGATGTACGTATGATATACTGACATGGTGTGAGCAATTGTTGATGCATGCCTCGTGTAGATACCGGGAATGATTCTATGCTACTGGATGACATTGCTCCTGAATCCTCAACGGATGATGATGACGATGATGATGACGACGAAGAACAGGATCCTTTTGTGGACAATTTAATCGGCCAATTGGAAGAACTACGAAGCAAAGTAAGTTGTGGGTTATTAGCTTGGTACAGCAGGTTAATCTATTACAGTAGTGGATTGAGGCTGAATCACGCTGTGCTACGATTGAATCTACTGTAAGGCAGCAAGTATCGGTGGAGATGGAAAATGAGCTTCGCAAAATGGAAGATATCTACATGACAGCTTTACAAAACAAGGTTTGTTAGGAATAGGGTGGATGGTTCATGCTTTCAGCAGCAGCCTTATTAAACTTTGTGTGGGTGGATAGAATGATCTTAATCAGTCGCAACTACAAGAGCAGCTGGAGCGCATGAAAGACGATGATGGCAATGGTAGGCAAAATGGAGTAAGGGACATGTGTGCAATCAGGTGACTTAGTTTATCGTGGAATTAGATCCGATGCGTGAAAGCGTGTTAGCTGATGTAAGTGCAGTTGCTTTGTGTAAACAATGGTGTTTGAGATTACTTATTTGTTTGTATCACACATAGTTGCGACAGAGACAAGAGAACCTCACCGTTGAGATTGATCGATTGCGTGCGGTCATGCGAGATCATGAGGCTACTAAGAATAGCTTGCTGGATAAGGTAATATATTGTATGGATGCAGCTTCTGGATGGTTCTAACTTTTGGTAATTTATGCAGATCACAGAGCTGGAAAACGACAAGCGACGTGAACAGGAACACAACAAACAGCTATTGCAACAACTACGCAACGACAAGGAGGAGGAAGAAAAGCCCAAAAGCGTGCCAATGGAAGGAGTGGAAGAAGACGTATCTACACAATCATCCGATGCAGGCCAACAACCATCCAATCCTGATCCCAGGTTCCAGAAGCTTTTGGATTTGCGAAAACGATTACGACGCAGTGTCTTTAAGGGTGGAAATGAAGTATGTTGTAATTGATGCTATGCTATATCCAATCTAACTCTCTTTTCTCACCCCCTCTCCCAGTATGCCGATGACACAAGTGCAATCATGAAGCAGGTGGAGGAGTTTGAAGATGTAACATTCGAGCTTGTCAAGGCAAGTTTTTCTCAACATCAACCTGTCAATGTCGATCACCAGGATTAACCAAGCAATATACTACTATAGGAAACCAACATGGGCCGCCTTTTGAAGTTGATTGCACAACAACAATTTGAAAAGGATCCCGACAACATTCAAGAGCGTTCCAAGAAACTATTCAAGCGTTTTGCCCAATTGTCGATCAATGTACTTGCACCACCCCCACCGCCTACTCCTAAACAACAACAACAACGCCGCAATGCTCATCATACCAAACATCGCCACACATCCAATACAAGAAACACGTATCGCACTGTACTTGTTAGTGTGGATGCTGGCAAGGAAGAAGATTTGATTTCTGACATGCGGGTTGCCTTGGAAACTCTTCAACATGAAAATTCCAAACTCAAGAACCGTGTCAAGGTAAACGAAAAGCTGCGGTGGGATATGCAATGGATGCTAACATGTGGCTATATGGATAGACAATGCAAGAAGGCCATCGTCGTCTTAAGGAAGCTTTCAAAAAGACCAAAGATCTGGAAAATGACGTGCCATCCTTGATATCAACTTCCCACATTCTTGAAAAAGAGTCGCTTGATTTTGGAGCAGCAACGACTACTCAACGAGGCAAAGGGGTTGCCAACAAATCCACAGCGCTCGATGAGGAGGTGATTGTTACACGAAAGCATTTGCCATCCTTTCACTCATCTGTTTGTTGCATAATAGAATTCGGCTGCATGTCACGATTCATCGGGAGAACTCAGCCCTGTTTTAGAAGCCCCATCGTTACCCATGCCTGATTCCAGTGATGATGAGTATAGTGGTGACTCTTCCTCAAATCAAGAGCCTCTAGCACGACGTCGAAGGTATGATTATCCCATATTCGTGAATGATATAGTTTAGCAGAGTCATGACCAAACCTAATTGCTTGGATTAGAAAAACCGGAAGTATGTTGGAATAAGGTTGAGCCAAACAATTTTCTCTCTCTCTCTATCACTTGCAAGGCCTTGTTGGTTTTCAAAGACGCATCGTCATTCGACTCCTCCCATCCCATATCATATCATTACATATCTTCTCACGCCAAATGCACATTAATAACAATAATAATATTATCTCAGAGCATAATTAAAAATGAATGGGTGAAAAGAAGAGCATATCATTGCTGCTGTTGTTGTTTCAATTGGCTTTTGTTGTAATCTGAGCATGCCCCTTAAAATCTTCATTTATCGTATCAAGTACTGACGACGACAGGTATGCGCTGCTGATACCTGCCATTCTACACGTACATGTTTTAGGCATGACTCTATAATACAACCTTCCATATCTTTCTGGGATGTAAACAACCTGATCAACTTGATGCATACAAGCGGCTTAATTGGATGGGTGTACTTTCCTTTTTTTCCGCCTTCCGTGTTCCGGTTTGTGTACAACGTTTTTTTACTACATTCCTCTCGTGGCGATTATTATGAGCCATGGGTCATCTTTTCTCTTGGTTACAGAACTGCATTCTGCATGAGATGTCAATCCATTGGAGCCATTGGAACATGACATCAATTTCAATTTGCCGGCGTTCACACGATATCGATGTATAGGATTATACACATAGACGCATGATTAGCGCGTGTCACCACGTTTTATTTACATTTACTATTCATATCGCTGTAGAGGCGGGAAAAGCCATGATTGCAGTATATAAGAATAGGGGGGATCCACCGATGATACTTTTTCTTCTTTTCCCATTTTCTTTTTCTGGGCATGCTTACTTGGAGATCATCACCATCATCAACAAACTACCAGCTACTCCAAGACAGCACATGTACATTTCTTTCCGAGCATACGATTTCAGAGGACAATCAATGTACCACCACCACTTCTTCTTCACTACCACGGTGTACCGCGGCGTGCTGTGATATTAAACGTAATCATCATCATCAACTTCTGTACATGTTTGGTTCATTGAAGAAGGCTTGGACAGCCCATCAATTGTATCGACGTGAAAAACGAGCCCAGGATGGTAACACAAATCCTTTTGAATAAATGATTGCTTCTTCAACGGCATCATCCCCGTTATTGTTGATCAATGCAGCAGCTCGTAGGATCTTGGCACTACTAGTAGTGCTCCTGCTGCTATTCAACCAATCACGGGTTGGTATTCTTCCACGCCCTGCTACCACTTGTTGACGGATTCATGCATACCTGCATCAACATCTCATTACCTATAAATAATGCAATCGATGCAGTTATGCACACACCACATCTTCTCATGTCACGTGCGCTGTATTCGTTCTCATATTTCATCCAATTATAAGCCAGGGAGCAGTATCAGACGACATTTTCGTGCCTATTGTTTACCATAAAGACATCCTCATAAGGAGAAAAGCAATTCTTTTACATGGATACCCAATGTAGACATTGAATCAAACCTTGCAAGTCGATCCAGCTAAAGGCACATCGTCAGTTAGGAATGCAACAATGGTATGCGTTGCAAGGTGTGTGTGGCACGCATCATGATCCTTCAACGTCTCAATAGACACTCAAGCATTGCCATTGGTGATCGTGCCAAATCTCTTTCCCACATTCGATATTATAGATGTCGTTTGCTGCTCAAGGGCCTATGACCAAAATGAGTATGCCATGTTGTGGTCCCTTTTTATACCCATACATTGGGGTCATTGTGTCATCATCTGCCCCGTTTTTGGTACTCGATAGAATGAAGGGAATCAGCATAAAAGATGTACTCATTGTCTTTTATTGATAGCCAATGCCGACAACGTATCCATACAAGTAGAGGCTTCAATATCGGTATCATGCACAGCAACCGTGTTCCTATTACTTCATCCACACATGACACAAGCCAAAGACCTGTACCTTCATTTGTGTAACACTGATTTTGTTTGTGTTGCTCTCCCCCGCTTTTTGCTACAACCACAGCTGGATGAAATACTTGAATGTGGCGATTCAATGCATTGTCCATGATACACAATCAAAAGAACCCTCTTTATTATGCATCTTTCACATCAATAATCCACATCCTTCTATCATCTATATACACAGCATGGATTATCATCATGTCCCTGTATGATGTGGAGAAAACGGCTCTTATCTAATATTTGTGTATGTGATCGATGAGGTCATTGTAGCAGACATGTGAAAATTCAATGATCGTTTTGGCCATGTGAAGTTTGTCGTGTGTAGTTGTCTTCCTTTTTCATTCGTCTTTTCTTTATCCGCAACTCTTTCTCTCTCTCTCTTTCTCTCTCTCTCTTCAACCCATTATGCCCCTCTTGTCTCAACCTCTCAATGAGCGTTTGTGGATTCAGTCCAAGGGCAACTGGTTTCTCTACTCGTCATTAGCAGCGGCGACAGCAGCCTTCGCATTCCATCGCACACGTCTACAATCGCACAAGACATCGTCCGCCGATCTTTTATCAACGACCAAAAAGACATTGTTTCAAGAGACACCAACGTCCACCTTCGACAAACACAAGCACCTCTTCCCTGTGACAGATACGCTCAAAAAAGTGGGTGTCAATGATGAATTCTTTCGACAACTGCGAGCTATTGCAACCATTCTATTTCCACATTGGCATACCAAGGAAGCTCTATTGCTCGTGTTGCATTCGGCATTTCTCATTTTGCGTACATATTTGAGTGTGGTCGTGGCAAGAATCGATGGCCGGATTGTCCGAGATTTGGTAAGAGAGAAGGATACAGCATTCAAAGATGAATGAGGATAGGAACTAAATGCATGAGATACATAGGTGGGTGGTCGAGGTAAAAGGTTCTTGACAGGCCTCGCATATTGGTTTGCAATCGCTATTCCTGCAACCTACACAAACAGCATGGTAATATGACTGGATGGGATAACAGCTTTCGGATATTGATTCTCAATCTCTTTTAAAGATCCGGTACCTGCAATCCAAGCTATCAATCGGCTTCCGCACCCGGCTGACAAGATATGTGCATGATTTGTACTTGGACAATGACGAGAAAACATTCTACAAAGCTCTTAACCTTGATGGCCGTATCCAAGGAGCTGATCAGTAAGTGCTCTATATACCACTCATCCATTCATTGACAATCTTACTCACACCACCATCACCTTTAAAGGTTCATCACCACCGATCTTGCAAAGTTTTGCGATACATTAGCATCATTATACTCCAATCTCGCCAAGCCATTACTGGATACCGTCATCTTCAATTATCAACTGATGAAATCGATCGGCTTTGCTGGAACAATTGGTCTTGCTGTCAACTATATGATTACGGCACGGTTATTGAGAGCAGTGACGCCTTCATTTGGTAAATTGGCTGCCGTGGAAGCCAAGTTGGAAGGTGATTTCAGAGGTGCCCATACTCGCCTTATCACCAATGCTGAAGAAGTTGCCTTTTATAATGGTGGTGATCTTGAGCACTCGATTCTCAACAAATCGTATCAACGCCTGGTCAAACATATCAACTCGATTTACAAGATCCGCATCAGCTACAACATGTTTGAAGACTTTTTGATCAAGTATGCTTGGAGTGCCTTTGGTTTGGTTCTTTGTGCTATCCCTGTCTTTGCTCCCAACATGGTGGGTGGATATATCCCTTCTCCTGCTGGCACTGTGGTGGATGAAAATGATCAAGTGGGCTCTCGTACACGAGGTTTTATCACCAATAAGCGGTAATGTATTATGATGGTGTTGAACAAAAAGGAGAAAAGAGAACTCATCCACCATACATAATAGGTTAATGATGTCCCTTGCTGATGCTGGTGGTCGCATGATGTACTCTTACAAGGAACTTGCAGAGCTCGCAGGCTATACCACCCGTGTATATAGTCTATTGTCGGTGCTTCATTCCCTGCGTGTCAATGAATACGATGCCGATCATGAGGAGAAGTTAAAGTATTCGCTCAGCAATATCCAAGGCAAAATCCAATATGGCGAGGATGGCATCCGGTTTGATGGTGTACCCGTGGTAACACCTGCACCTGGTAAAGGGCGTCAAGGAGAACTCTTGGTAGAAAAGCTCAACATCCACATCAAGCCTGGAGAACACATGCTCATCACGGGTCCTAATGGTGTGGGCAAAACCGCTGTAGCACGTGTCATTGCAACGCTGTGGCCAACATTTGGTAAGCTTGGGATACACAATGTGTATGTGTAGGTTTTAACTTACACGTGTCATTCTCTCGTTCTAGAGGGTACTCTTTCTCGACCGGATGAAAAGAATATCTTTTACATTCCTCAACGACCTTACCTTAGTATGGGCACGCTAAGAGACCAGTAAGTGGTGTATATAATTAGGAAGCTACGTTGTCTTACACTATTTTAAATAGGGTCATTTATCCACATACCCACGAGGACATGAAGAAGAGTGGACGTACCGATGATGAGCTTATGAAGATCTTGGACGTTGTACGTTTGGCATATATCCCTGGTCGTGAAGGTGGTTGGGAGACCGTCAAAGAATGGAAGGATGTGTTCTCTGGTGGTGAAAAGCAACGTGTAAGTTATCAATGCATGTCCCAAAGGGATTTAGAAAGGTGTAACTGATAAGAATGTTTAGATTGGTATGGCACGCTTATTCTATCATCATCCCAAATACGCCGTCCTTGATGAATGCACAAGTGCTGTATCCGCAGATGTTGAAGGCTTGATGTATGCGCATGCGAAGGATATGGGTATCAGTAAGTAGTACATCTTGAGCAAAGGGAAATCGTGGAATTGACATTTTCAATAGCACTCTTAACCATTTCACATCGACCTGCACTATTCAAGTACCACCAATTCCTTCTTCGACTTACCGGCGATCATGGACAATGGACAATGGAACAAATTGGTACTCAGCAACAACAGCAATCGCTTGAAAAAGAAATGCAATCTCTTGAAGCCAAGTTGCAAAGCGTGGAATCACTCAAATCTCGCTTGGGCGAAATTGATGCAGAGCTCAGCCTAAAGAACATTTAATCGGATATCAACCCTATATACAACCCCCCCCCCTGCATTATCCCCAGGACACCTTATTATGACACCATACCAAGATGATCGACCTTAGAGTATCCACAACCCAGTTTTTAATACCATCCCATCGTACTTTTTTTTTATGTTATGAGCTTACAATACTATGTGATCAGTTGAGACCACCACTGTTTATTGCGCCAATAACGATAAATAAACCACAGCTGACAACTGCGCTGATCATGATTAATGCTTCCTTGACGTAATTCATTGGGTACCACTGTACGCGATGATCATTTGGTTCTGAGATCACATAATATGCATACATGGGAAAGGATACTGCATAGAGGAATTGAAAGATAATCCATCTATGGAGATGATAAGCATGATGAGTATCCATGAGATCCCTCTATCCTCAACATTTGACTTACAGCATCATATGGTTGCCAACAGTGACCAAGGTGTTTCCAAGCGTATGCAAGTTGGATGCAATAGCAAGGAGCATGAGGTTGAAATGCACAGATTGCATGCGGCGTTTTCTCTCCTTGCCGTTTGCATCAGTGTCAATGACCACTTGCACCGCATTGACATCTTTGGCAAGGCGGCGATTGTGTCGGTATAATCGGTAAAGATCAACACCGAGCGCAAAATCGGTGCTGAGACCTTTTTGGGAAACGGGTGAGATTTCTCTTTCAACAAATAGCATGAATGACTCCCTCCCTCCCTACCTTGGAACTTGAAGAACAAGGCATCCAATGGCCAAGGTAAGATAATAACCATTGCAGCAGTAGCAGTTACGTATAGGAAGCAGAGCGGGACAAAAAGAAAGTGACTAGAGTTAAGGAGGGGGCCTATCTGTTAGTGTATGCACAAGTAGCAGTAGGGATATCATGCAGGAGACAAACTTACCTAATTTCGGATCGTGGAATCAATATGCTGGCAAGTAGCCCAATCTCAAAGAGATTATGGAAAACTCCAAAAGAGGCCCATACTTTGCCGGCCCACATCAAGTCAAACGTGAAGCTTGCAATCAAGGTAGCCACCAAATATCCAAGGATTAACTTGTTAAAGCGTCCAATAGTCCGCTGGCCTGCTGGTTGTGAAGGAAGGTATACAACAAATATATAATACAAAGCTGAAAACGTCGCTGCAGCCATGATCACTACCGAGAACAAGGTCGTTGTATTAAAAGCATCATCGCTATAATCTACACCATGCTATGTGAGTTAAGCAGGCATCATGTTGCATAGGTTCTACTATCACCTTCTATAGGGATGATCCATGTAGGTATACCAAAGAGCTTGCTTTTCCAACGAGGAGGAGCGTGTGGTATTTCATCCATCCATTTTGCATGACCTTGTGTTGCCATGGACGCCAATAGCGCTGTCAAATATATGGCATTCATTATTTAAGTTTATAATTAGAGAGTGTGTTGGGAAGTGATAACAAAAAAAGAAGAAATGGAATCATCACAGTAAACACCCTTTTATATCTCGTGCTCGCTTCTCCGTGACAAGTATGGATGCATGATATCTCCCTCTTTGATGCATGCTGTACGTTTACGCCACTATCATTAGCACATCATCCCCCCGATGCATTATTTATGCTTTGTCATGAATGACTTATGTTTAATAATCAACACGTTGAACAAGCTTTTTACTGAGCAGACAAGATATCGGAATCACCAGCATCAGTGATGGAGAGGACACCAGTGCGGAAAAGCTTACCGCAAGCGGTACCAAGATCAATGTTGTCTATACAAAGAAAAATCATAAGTTCTCCTTGAAATCCACCCTCGATTAAACGTTATTAATACGTACTGCCGTTGTAGTGGTGAACACCGGTCTTGGACAACATAGCATAGTACTCAAGCTCAGACTTGCGAAGGGGAGGGCAGTTGCCAGCAATGACAATCAACTTGGCTATTTAAAGGAGAAAGCATGCATGCATTGGTATCCAGGCAACCATGATAACATGACAGCAAACCAATGCAGATGGTTGCTGGATCATTTGAACTTACCCTTTCCTTGACGAAGAGTCTTCAAGGTGGACTTGTAACCCAAGGTGTACTTGCCAGACTTGGTGACAAGCTGGAGACGGGAGTTGATGGACTCGACGTTCTTCTTGGACTTCTTAACAGCGGGAGCCATTGCTAATGAGACCATTGTAAGTACGATGTACACTTTGCCTTGATTGATCGCTTCAATCCTACTCACCAGTTGATTCTACGAGGAAGAGAGAGAAGGTTTCTACCAGCCCGTCTGCTGACAATGTCAAAATTTGCACTCAAAGTTAGCTGGATTCACTTTCAGCTGATGTGGTGGCTGATGTTGCTGGATCAATGCATTGATCATTCTCAGATAGTAGAAATTAGCCCATGAATGATAGAACACACCTGTCATTTTACATAGTAAAAATAAAAGTAAAGAGCGTCCATATACTTTTATGGTCATATTTAATATCAGCTTACAAACAACAGCCAAATCCCAATGCCATTAAGCCGCCCATAACCATTATTAGATGAGCTATCAATCAGCAGCTACCGCCAAACACCAACAATGATCACAATCACCGATAATAAGCATGTCATTGAGCGAACGTTGTTTGATGGATATGATTTGTATTTACGTTGCAAAAAGTGATAATGAGAATGTATGTGCAAAACGAAAAGGTGGAGGGGAAGACGAGGAGTGATGTAAACGTTGATGGCTAATTAGGATGGATGATTGAATACGACGATTACAATGAGCGTTTACAATCCTTGTTGCTATCGGTTGCTGCTTTGGAGTTCATAAGGTGTTGAGAAGATGACTTCTTGCTGGTGTTGCTGCTGCTGCTTAACAGGCTGATCCTCCCAAGTTTTAGCCCACCAGACGAGTTGTTCGGGTTCCTCCACAAATAGATTATAGTTGAGGAAATGCAAGAATTCAATCTCCAGGCGTGAAAATCGTGAATCAGCTCCGTTGCTATGATACGGAAGGCTACCCTTTTCTTTTTGATTTTCATTAAAGTGGATGATCCTGAGATTGGCACGCATGTATTTGGCTGCAATCATGTATGCCACAACAACAAGTCGATAGGCACATCCATTTGTGCCTTTGAAGTTTGCATAATTCTATGTACGCATTGAAGAGAGATGAGTCAAGTTGTTGTTGGTAGGATGCTGCATAGTAGTAGTAGTAGTATCGTATGTACCTTGTTGAGTCGGTCGATATAGCTGATGGCGATCAAAAGGGTGAGACTAGGGCATACGGTGGATATTGCGTTGGAGGTATCTTGTTGGTTGCAGAAGCGATCGAGAGCATGCTCAAGAAGGGTATCTTGGTTAACAGCAGCAGTGGTGTCCAGTAATTGTTTCATTAATTTGGAAATCTCTGGTGCCTTGTCTGCCGATTCCCAAGATTCGGCTACGTGATGTGCCAAGTGCTCTATTACATGCGTCAAGGTTAATTTTTTAAGCCGCTCCATAAATAGCCATATCAAAGAAGGGGAGGAGGGGAATTCTTACCCAAGCAACAATCACTGAGTCGTTCTCGTCTGTTGATATCGATAGCTTGAAGCAAAAGGTGAGCCTGGTAGTGGCTTCCTGCATAGGCATTTTGTGTAAAGCGTTTCAAGTCGTATATTTGAGGCATATAAAAGAGTCGTGAAGTGATGTAAAAAGGAAAGAGCAAAAAGTAACGTAAAGGAGGGGGATATCCGATAGATAGCTTTTATAGTTGGGAGATGGGATAGATGGCTTTATTCGCATGTGGGCGTATCAAGTTTCGGATTAATATTTCATCAGGTGCTATTCTACCGGAACACGTTGCCCGTATCAAGCATGAAGTACGGCATCACATTCTTGCAAGCGTGGTGGGGAAGTAAATTGTTCAGCCGTTTCGGTAGTCCGCTTCTTTTTTCTTGACAGCATTGTGACACATGGCTTGTTTGTCTTATCGTAATATCCTAATAATACTAGTAGTCAGCCATTAGTGATACTCGGCTTTACCGGTATCCTTTGTCCTCGCCCATTGAATGTAATCTAATGATCCGTAAACGGCTCATTGTCGGACACACATGGATACAATGAAGATGTTTCACAACAAACGCAGAAGACAATCAATCATCCAGCAACAACGATGCCAAGCAATTCATCAACCGAGTCTTTGTTTCATTACTACCCCCATGACAACCTATTTGATGCGAGACATGTTTTTCGCGCAAAACTGCTTCCGAAATGTATAATGTTACTACGCCCTAATGGGTAAAGACAATCTAATCCTATGGCAATACTTTTAATTGGATAACACCAACGCAACTACATTGATAGGCAAATGCAAATGGATTGGCATATGGAGGAGTGCGGGGGCGTCTATCTATAAGCCTTAGTGACGAAAAAGAATGAAAGCGGATTCATGCGTCAAGTCAATTTTCTCGGGGTGCGTACACGTTGTACCTTTTCTCTCTCTCCTCCCCTTCTCTCTTTATTACTTCCACAGCTCTACACAATGAGTGGATCACCACCAGCAAACCCTTCAACACCCGTACGAATTACTTCAGGAGCAGCATTCAGACGTCGCTACCGTCCTTATTTCACCAAACGTCAATTAGCAACGCTCTCCAATCTCAAACGATCAGCTTCTGGAATATCGACCAAGGAGACCACTGTTCGTATTGCTTCCTGTAAATTTATTCAACAAGTATGCCGAAAGATTGGATTGTAAGTCTTGGAGTGCGATGACCGTTGGATCCTTGACTCCATGCCAGGAACGATGTTGTATTGACACGCTTTATCACTAGTCCTCAGGCCACAACCAGTACAGCTCAAGGTCTCTATCACCGATTTTACTTGTACTACTCGATTCGTGAATACCCACCACAGGTATGTATATATATCCTGAATGAGTATGTTGGGGATCTTTATTGACAAGGCTGTTATAGGAAATCAGTATCACGTGTATCTTTGTGGCGTGCAAGATTGAAGAGACATTCAAGAACCTTCGAGACATCCTCGTAGCTGCTCACAGTGTGCGACATCCTCAAAGTGCCGAGTTGGATCCTGAGCATGTTTCAGAGGAACGCAAACGCAAGATTATGGGATATGAGAAATTGGTCATGGAATCCATTTGTTTCGACTATCAGCAACCCCATCCATACAGCTATGTTGTCAAATTCGTAAAGTGGATCGAAGCTATGCAAACACCACCCTTGGTTGATGGCAAAAGATTGGCACAAGAAGCATACAAGCTTGCAGTCAATAGGTATGTTCCATGGACCCGGATGTTGTGTTATCACGTGTTATTCATCCTTGTTGTCAGTTACCAGATTCCATTATGCATTGAATACCCTGCCCACACGATTGCTGCCGGTTGCATCTACTTGGCATCCATGTTAATCAAGAGCACAGACCCCTCGTTTGAAGGATTGGCAAAAGGACAACCATGGGATCAATTTTTTTGTTCACGTATGGAAGATATTGAAGGTATGTATATATATATGGGAGAGGATGGCAATGATGAATGCTACAGAGGATAACTTAAGGGTATATCCTTTAGACGTATGTTTACAAGTTTTGGATCTATACATCACCAGCAGCACACGACAAGATCGAGAAAGATATACAGAGATTAAGATCAAGATCAATGAACAAGCAGCGGAACGAGGAAAAGACCCAAACATGGATGAAGTGACCAAAGAAGAACTGGGTGCTCGGGATATCGATTGGGAATTCGATCAGACAACAACACCGTTAGAGATAGTCAATACCAATCAACATACTGTATGCTATGAATTTTCTCTGACGGCATCATAAAGTCATTCAACAAGAAAACTACGTATGTGTGTGTGCGTGTGTGTCTCCTCGTATGATACAATATTGGGATATTACAAGTGATGCGTTTGTGTGTGGATGAATGTGAGAGTGGGGTTGAATATGAAATGGCTCTGGTAAATAGGGGATAAATAGAGGGGCAAATGTTCTTTTTAACGCACACTGAACCAATCACGCCATGATCTACGAGGGCGTTTACCAAGGGTACTGGAAGAGGTGCTTGTTTGATCTTCCATTTCATTAGAGGCAACTGCCTTTGAGGAGGAAGAAGAAGAGGAGGAGGATATATCAATCTTGGCATCAGCGGTCTCATCACGTGATTGTTTCAAGAAAGGAAGCACATTGGTACCACCCGTTCCACGTACAACACCAGTCTTTGGATCCACATACTTTGCAAGACCTAATTCAGGGAAGATCTTACTGACCTTGGCCGACAAGGATCCTTCACGAATATGGGGTTCTGTTTCAAGGGCTGTTTGTGGGTACAAGACATTGTGTTCCACCTTTGTCTTTTTAGCAACAGGCTCGCTGACATCGCCCGTGTCGATAGCAAAGCCGCCATGTGCAATGTTAGGTCCCTTGCGTGCTTGGTTGACAATGTACAAGGTAACGATGCGGACGTGGATATCGCGGAAGTTTTTGAGCAAGCCCAAAATTTCATTATACACCTTGATCAAGTCCTTTTCATTATCGGTCAATGTGTGCTTGTGTTCTTGAAGCTGCATCATATAGGGGCGAATGTTGCATGCTGTTTCAAGATCCTCCAAAAACTCACGATGGGGTCTTGGCATATAGGCACGCATAGCGCTAAGGAATGCGTTACGATTGGTGCGCACAAAAGGTGGAGCCGATGACTTTTTGTAAATTTGAGGTGTGGATGGCTGCTGATCATCATCATTGTTTTGGTGAAGTTCATCAGCTGGATTAGGCGTGGGCAAACCTTTGTATCGATCCTTAATGCCAGTGTCATTGGGTGGTGTTGTACCTGCCGCCGCCGTCTTTGTACTTTTCTCACCCGTGGGATAATGAGCGACACCTAGTGCAACATCAAGTGTTGCAATCAGGCTACTTTGTGCTGCACTACCACCTGCATAGCGTCGATATTGGCGTAATAATCGCTCTCCTTCCGAAAGATGGCTCATATCGGCATACTCATCAGTCTCTGAATCCCACAATGAGTCAACGCCTTCGTATATCAGACCAAAAGGCAATCCTGCTTCTGCCATGTTTTCCCAACCAGCCAAATAAGGACGGATCTTCCAATAAAAGACGTAAGGGTCACACTTTTCGTACATGCGCTGTAACACGTCGTTCATGGTCGATAAAGAGTTTCGAATTGTTTCCAGGTCATTCAAAAGAGCCACCTGATTGTTCTCATGGATATGGTTGATGGCATTTACAATTGCAGTAATGCTTGGTGCTCCCGCACTTTCAATAGCAGTGGTCACAAGGTAGAACCACGACTCATCAAGCGATCCCGAATAGGTTGCAAGTGCTGCCAAGTTGCTACAATTTTGTATAGGAAACACGAGAATGATGATTAACCCATGAACACACCACATGTACGGAAAAAGGCAAGCTTGATATACGTATATGATATCACTGGTCCCCCATTGCATTGCATATTTACCTCAAGTCGATTGGTCCATCTTCATCCAATAAACGATAATTCCATAGGACAACAGCTGCATTACATACCACAGGACATAATCCCAGGTGATTTGCAATACCAGTCCATGGCACGGCAAGGTTCGCAGGTAATGTCTGTGTGCAATGCGTGGGAAAAAAGTTGTCAGAATTGATGTGAACAAGCAAGCCCAAAATAGAAGGTGGAAGAAGAGAGAGAGAGAAACACCATACCTCAGATGTCTTTTCGTGCTTGCCCCACACGTAACCATGCGAGATCATGCACAGCACAAGAAATGCACGACGATACTCTGGTGTTGTTTTCAATCGACGATAATCGAGCATCGGCATCTAAAATCATTCCATCATGGTGTGTGCACATACACAATCGTCAGTGCGTGTTTTAGAGTCCTCCCCCTTTTTCAATGTTGTCTATGATGGAATGTAAACAATACCTTCTCGACACTGCGTCTTAGCTTTCCAGCTAAAAGCAAGCCGTTAAAGTCATCCATCATGGATTCCCAAGGTGCAAAGTAAGGATCGGGTAGACGTCTCAACGGGGGCTCAGGGGGCAAAAATCCGGTAGTTGGCGATATATCATATTCCTCTAGAGGTTTCATCGGATGCATGGCAGGCATTGGGTGATAGCAAAAAGATATGAATGATTTAGATAGGAAGAGGATATAGAGGTGTATATATCAAAGGTGACGTCTCCACAAAGTGTCAAGCTCGGCGACTATTTATCCGGCAAAGGTAAAAAGAGATAAATGGGAAGAGAGTGGAAAGAAAGAAAGAAATGCGATCGTTGAGAGATGATGCCACTAAAGAAAAGACCTTTTCATTGGCTGGTTTCACATCTCGCGCCATTAAAGGCATATTCTCCATGGACGAGGGTCTGCCTCACTGGCCACATGGCTCTATCTCCGTTTCGCCGTTAAAAACCTAAAAGTGCATTTATGGTTGCAGCACAAGCACAATCGTTTTTTTTTCTGTGACAGTGGTGCTTACATATGAAAGTGGATGCCATTTGCTTAAGATCACCAGCCCTTCTTTTTTTCGTTTCTGCTTATCTCCACCTTGTCTCATTGGTTAGTTGCAGGAGCTGAAAGTTGGCATTGTGAAACCTTGTACTTTTATCGGTTGGGGCGATCACCACGAGTGACGGGCTTCAGAAAACAGGAGCCCAGTGCACCGTATTAGGTACCAAATGACACGCGTTATTGGGAATCCTGTATATGCTAGATGATCTTTCATCAGCATATTGCATCCGATGGTTCACAAAGGAGCTGTTAGGTCAAAGAGCAATATAGGTGTTATAATCTACTTTCTCGTGTAAGCCTCCTCTATCACCAATAACCAAATAGGGTAGTTAGCTGCAATCATATCTGGTACGAGATGGCGGTATACAAGCATGATGAAGGGACATAAACACGAAGACGTCTGAGGACATAATACACCATTTTGCATGAATTCTGTAACATTGGATTACCTATGCCATCATGTGAAAAATGTTTATTACCCATTCACTGCTACAGCTACCATAACAGCTACCATAGCCCGGGAACACTTTATGCTTCTTGTTTACGAGTACGCACCATAAACGGCTTGAGCAGATCTTCCACCATAAATTTGTTGCCATGACACTAAAACGATCAGGGATCGGCAAACAACGTGTGCCACCCATCATACGCTTTCCTTTGCTTTGCTGCATACGCGAACATACATACGTCATCTAACCGTATCCTACATTACCGTGGTTGCCATTGACAACATACAAGCGCAAGCTGTATCCATGTTGTTGGGTAGCAACGAGAACAAAGGTTCACTTCATAACGTTGTTGGGTTTCCGTGCGAGTAGAAAGAAAATGCAGCATGTGCATGTTTGTGATGGTGGAGCGGCATGGTATTACCATCTATGGCTGTTTGTGGCAGAATCGGAAAGCATTGCTTTGTGCTTCTCCTTGATCCACCACACGTCCCACGATCCAAACAATCAAACATCATCATCGCAGCGTATATAAAATCCACAGCGCAAAAATAGAAACCAGCTAGTTCAAATGCATTGTTGTCACTAAAAGATATTCAAATGAGCTGTTTACAGCATACTTAGATAAATAGGTGTGGGTGTGGTGGTTGTGTTTATGCACTACCCTACAGCGCCAAATATATAAGGGGGTTAGATTGGGAGTTACTGAAATCTTTTTGCTCTTTTCTTTTCTTTACTTTTCCTTTCCACAGCATCATGAGCCCACGACCTGAATATGAACCAGATGAAAATGAGCCAGATGAGGATGAGAGCCCTGATCCAAAAACAATGCACAATCAATCAACTCCTACGCCATCATCTGGTCACGATCTTACCAATGCTCGCCCATCTGAAATTACTTCTCAGACATCATCATCATCATCATCCTTACAATCATCAGACAACTCATCGTCTTCAATGGCACCATCCACCATTGGGCCATTGGTAGTAGCGCTGGTCGTTATCCTTGTTATCATCACATGTTGTATTATCCATTGCTCACGTATCCGTAAACGTCTCAATGATGAGCAGCGGACTCAAACCATTAATGGATGGACCTCCTTCATGACATGGTTTCAACAACCGAAACAACAACATCGCGACCTCTCTCATGGTGAAGAAAAGAATGTCATTGTACACGTCAATGATGCTGATAGTGGTTTACAACATCGATTATCCAAACCCCCACCCATGTCACCATACGACGATATACAACCTGCATCTGCAGAGCAGCAACAACCAATGCATGCACAACAGCAACAATACCAAAGCACACCACCACCCAAGCCGCCACCCTTAGATACCAAACAAAGACGCCGACATTCACAATCGCCTTCGGATGAGCGACAGCCATCGATTGTATTTTCATCAGGTTGGGTATTTGCCACGAATAATAGTCAATCGCCCAATACACCTGAACCAGCAGCCACGTTACCATCATCACAAGAAGCCCACACTGAACGGCTATGTCCACATCAAATCACTGTGGATGACGATAATCCAATGCCTGTTATTACTCAAAAACCACATGCAAAAGCTGATCTGTAGTCATGAATGTATACCTAAAAAGATATCTATATATATATAAAAGAAACCAAATTCGCATACAGCACATGGAAAAGGAAACAATTGATAATTCAACATGGGAAGGAGATGAATGCGGTATTCAACAACTATGATAGTGGGAAACTTATGCTTGTTTTTCTTGGATCGGGGTAGTCTCGAGAATTTCTTGATGTTGCTCTTCTCGTTCTTCTTCGGCCTCCACATCAGATGACACGATATTATTACCGAGCGCATCCACTTTGGGCTTATCTGACGATACACGCGATGCAATCCAGTTGTACCATTCGTCCATCGTCTTGCCATTGAGGATACCAACAATGATAATTGACATGTTGTCGCAGCCCAAACCGCCCACTTCAGTATCAGGTGCAAGGCAATGATCCATCATCAATTCACAAATTTCATCCAAAGGCGTCTTGTTGGCAAGCTCTTCCCGTACAAAGTCAACCGCTTGTTGGTTCGTCATGCAATCCCAGATACCATCACATGCAAGAATAAGAAACTCATCATCATCGGTCAAAGGATGTTCAATAATATCAGGATTGCCTATCATCCATCCATGGGTCAAATTCTTGTCACCTCATACCGCCAACTCCTCCCATCCCACACTTACATGTCACAACTTGTTCTTCTTGGGGAAGGCTATCATTTTGCTTGAATTCAAAGTCACCAATAGCCCGAGAAAGAGCAAGATTGCCTAGCGTAGTGCATGACGTTGAGCTATGACGAAGGATCGCTTTATGATTTCCTTACCGTTTACACGTCCAAACTCAACAAAGCCTCCAGCTGCAATGATACGTTGTGATTCTGCACGATCCACTGGCTTGTGATCATAGGATAATGCCTTTGATTTTCCCTTGACACTGATAACGGACCGAGAATCTCCTGCATTGGCCTAACAAAGTGCAATTAGCCTCCTTCCATTTGCTCCCTTGTACTCCTTTTTGTCATCTTACCACCAAGACGCGGTTGTCAGGTGTGATCAAAGCAGTGACAGCTGTACATCCAGATGGGTCGTATGCGAAATTGCTATCTGTATACATCAAATCTTTTATCAGCGAATGCATTCTATTTCCTCATTGATATCCATACCTTCACTCAACTCCCTATCAATGGAAAGAAAGCCGTCCTTGAGTGCTTTTTTGTACTCTTTTTGGTCGAAATACTGCGATCCTCGAATCTTTTTATGGAGTGATTGTCCAGTGTATTGTGCAATGGTGGCGCCTATGTATGTATGTATGTATGTATGTGTGTGAGCTTATTTGATGAATTGATATTGGTGCATGAAAATCATTACCGCCGTGTCCATCATACACTCCGAAAAAACTCGCGTCTGTGTCGTCAAGCTTAAGCAATGTCGTGTGAGCATCTTCCATGGCTATTGAAAAGTGGATATCGGGTTAAGATAAATTGATATTGTAATGATGACGATGATGGATACACATCGACGACGTGCCCCAGTCAAGCAACCAATATGGCAAGTTGCTATGACCTGGGGGGAAACGACGACGACGACCTTGTGATATCATGTATAAAAAAGGATACTCAATCGCCAGCCCTGCATGGCCGATGCACCGTAAGCAAACCGATCATTGTGGTCGCGACTCGACTTTTTGTCGACAATTGGCTCTGAGAGTGTTTGGCCCATGCTAGAAAAAGACAAGCGGGTCAATGTTGGCATGGAGTGGTTGCAGGTTATTGGGCGAAGGTATACAATACGAGTAGCTGTTATATATATATAGGAATCGTAGGTTGTAAGAGTATAAAAAAGTGAGTAGTGAACGAGCTGATCGATCGATGGATTGAATGCGCGCGCAAGAGGGTAAAGCAGTAAAAGAGGAAAAACAGTACGACTATCGGCTGCGAGCCCTTCCCAAGCCAAACCCCCCACCCCCAAAATTTTCTTTTGCTCGGGATATAAGCTTGCTTTTGGTTCCCTTGTCATTGTGAAAACCCTTACCTTATCTCTTTGTATTCCCCGTGAAACAATTGTATCTTCAAACAAACGACGCGTTGCATCCATTCATTCTCTGCTTACTACTACACCTCTGCTGGTTTTGCAATCTATCTTCTCAGAAACGCCGACAACTTGCATTATCTATCATCTTTTCCCCCCTCTTTTCTCCTTCCCCAACCATCCAAAATCGCCCGTTTCTTCAATGACAATAATCTAATTATCCCAATAAAGTAAAGAGATACAAAAAAAAACAAATTTTGATCGCCACCGAGCTTGGGCAAAAATATAGGAGCCACCGTGGATCGAACACGGGACCAGAAGATCTGCAATCTTCCACTCTGCCACTGAGTTATAACTCCAACTGTCGGTGAAACCGCGAGTTGCTATAGCAACACGCCAATTTCCTAAAAAGGAAATGTGCCGTTTTCTTGGTACCATTCAATAGCGGACGACGCAACGAGTCTAATGGTGTGTTTGGAAAGGTTATTAGGAAGGTGGATGAAGATTAATTTGTTCTCGAAAGATTTCGAATCGAGTTGAATATCAATTTGAATAGGCGTAGTTTAGATGCTCATATCTGATACAAGGGGATACGTCATGTATGATCCTGTATTATGGTGTATGATACATTTATGAATGAATGCAATGTTACAATGAATTGGATTGAATAGGTGATGAAGGAATAGGGTAGATGAATGGTGGTTGTGGTGGTGGGTCACGTATAGGAAAAGAGTGGGTGGGTGAGTTGTGTGGGAGCGGGATGGAATTTCAGTTGCTGTGTGCAGCTGGCAGTTGTTATGCAGGTTTCTTTTCTACCATGTCTCTTTTCCCTACAGCACAGCGACCCAAGCACTTGGTGCAGTTCAACGCAGGAAAATGCATTCGTGAAGGCAACATGTTAAAGCCTGACTTGCGTAAAGGGTAATCTACCACGACTTTGGAATGGACGCGTCAGCATTGCATGGCACTCACCTATCTATTTCCCCCACCCCCATTAATAGAACAGTGTATATGGATCAGGTTAGCACACAGGGCACAAAGACGACGACGATGCGTATCAATCGCTGACACCCTTGGCATTAGAGCGAGGATCAGCTTATGCACTTTTATTGGAAAGAACGTAAAGCGTCGACTGAACCCGAAGAGGTAGGCAACAACAGCTCATCTGTGTCAAATGAGGAAAAGGATCCAGGGTGTCGATGGAATGACTCAACTATGATATGATAATAGGATTTGATTATCTTTCCAGACGAGGCCGAGTTTGTGCGTGTCAACGAATGTACTACGGGACGTGTCTATCTATTGAAGTTCAAGTCTTCCAACCAGAAATTGTTCTTTTGGATGCAAAGCAAGAGTGATGAAAAGGATGAGGAAAACGTCTCTCGTGTCAACTTGTTGATCAATGACCCACAAGCTGCTATGGAAAGTGCAAGTGGTTCGAGCAGGATGCCTGGTATCGATGTCAACCTTGGTGGCAACTCCCCCGCTGATATGATGCAACTTTTGGGTGGTTCAGGTAATACTTTCATCATTGTATCTATACAACAAGGATACTCATTCCACCTTTATAGATGGCATCTCTCGTGAAAACATTTTGCAATTCCTTCAGACGGCCGGTGGTTTTGGGTAATGGGAAATTGGATCATCATCACCATCATGTAAGCAAACGTATTCATCCTTTTTTTATCCATGTAGTGGTACAATTCCTTTGTCTGTTCCTTCGGGTGGTGATGGCCCCGTTGATCAGGATCAAGGTGAACGAACGGAAGAACATGATAGCAGCAACAACCGTCAATCTACCAATGTCACCCCTGCTCAGCTTGAGCAAGTGCGAAATGCTCTTATGGGCGTACAAGCACCAGGTAAGAAGCAATCCGGCAGGCATTTGGATCATAACATCAACTCACAATGTTGTCATAGAAACCCAAGATACCTCAATAACCTTGTCTGACAATCTCATTTCCGAGTCCCTTACACCTCTTATCAACGACAGCGAATTGTTCTCAGCTCTTTTCCCATCCATCACGCAACCTTCTGGTGAGCAATCATCCGATCAAGTACGACAACTTGTTTCAAGCCAAGAATTTCAACGAGCATTGTCCACTTTGCGTGTTGCATGTGAGAATGGTGAATTGAACACTGTTGCTTCAGAGATTGGATTGGGTTCGTCGGCCCACAACAGTAAGTATTCAGGTGGATGGTTCTATAAATGCCCAAATCATTGACATGGTCATCATTTAGATTTTGAATCTTTGTTAAGTGCCTTTGGAGAACAAGCCAAGCGTCGGCAGAGAGAAAGAAATTCAGATGCCATGGAGGAAGATTAGAGAATGTGGATATCTTTGTTTTTTTTCCTTTCCCAATATATTCTTTTACATTACAAAACCAAAATCAAAGAGGGAGATGGGGGATAAAAATGAATGGGTGAATGGATGGATGGATAGGTTGAAATCATTATTCATCGGGTTCGAAAATAAGACTATAATTATCGAGAATCGTTTGCACCACCTTGACTTGCCATTGAGTCTCTGCCAATCTTTCGCTATCTTGAGAATCCAATGTACTGCTCATACCGCTTGATTCATTGCCCATAAGCGTCAAACCAAAGATGGTGGCAAGGTTGGATGAGCCCATCTTGTTGTATCGTTGATGTTGTTGTACCCTAACGTATTATGGTGAGCTTATGATCCAATCACTTTTGTTCCAATCCTTACTTGTCCAAATGGCACATTAAATGTTTGAGAGTCGCGTAATGGGCATCAGGCAAGTCATTGATGATCGTATGTAAACCAAGCACACGCATTTGTTCATCCTCAATTTCTAAACAAAAAGGGTGGTGAGTAAACCACAGCATGTGCATGGGTGCTTTTTTTTACGTACTTGCAGCTGCCAAAAAGTGTTGATAAGTTGAACGAGGGAATAAAGGATCAGGCAATTCTCGGAACCATAGCTTGAGGACGCTTGTAATGTTGTTGATATCCGAGATGTATTCTTCAGTCATCAAGTTCACCCCACGACAATCACGATCAAAGGCTGCCCTGAGTTTTTGGATTTGGGTATTGACTCCAGACAACCGATAGATTCCCACTGTGTTAAGGCCGTATGTTTCCACCGCCTCCGTACACTTTGTCAAAATCAATGGCACCTCTTCTCGATCACGTTCCATCAACATGTTGAGATCCACGCCGAATACAGGATTGGGATTAAGTACAGCGAGGGCGCTAGCAGACTATGGCAATCAATGAGTACTCCTCTTCCTCTCCCCAATTTCCATCTATACATACCATGCTATACTCCTTGTATGGGATATCACTCTTATAAGTACGACCGCTGCTTCGGCTGCTGTAGGATTTGATAAAGTCGGCCATATCCGCATCCTTGTCAATCTTTTCGGTCAACGACCGCAATCCAAGACCATCATCATTATCAAGAGCAAGACCATCCGCTGTCAATCCTTGTTCGAAAATGTATGCATAGCGAGCCAATTGATATCTCAGAGCCACACAGCATTCATCTCCCACATCCTTCAGATTCTACAATTCCTCGTTAGTGATGGCTTGTAATATGCGTCGTGATCGTGAAAAAGCCTTACTGTTAAGATCTTTGGTAGATGCGTTTGGAAGTATTCTTTTCGAGCTGCATTGGTGGATTGTAGTTGTTGTCGATAATTCTGATCTGCCATGGTTGCCTTGGCCCGTGCATCCTCTTCCATCTTGTTGAGCTAGAAATGGGGAACCATAAATTAACCTGTTTTTGGTAATGTACCTCATGCATTAATCTACTACCCTACCTGAGCTTGCGTCTTGTTGTTTTTAAATAGCCCTTTTTTGGGTACATGAAGTGGGTCATTGTTCTTTTGCAGTATCGCTCGTTGCCATTCTTCACTTTGCAATTCATACTTTTGTTGACACTAGAAAAAAAGAGCATTAGGATACCTCACATCCATACACCTTACATAGACACATTCCCCTTTTCAATGTACTACCTTTTCCAACATTTGATCCGCATCCGTGAGTTGCTTTTCATGTTTAAGACCAATATCCTTGACCTATAAGATTGACAATGACATATGTCAATAATGACAATCTAAGACAATCATACTAACATACCTGCTTTCTTCCCTTCTCTGTATCCTTCACTAGCAGATTCAAATCATCGGCGACTTCTGTAATATCGGCAGAGAAACGCAAACGTTGTTCACCAATCGTTTCATGTACTTTGAGGAAAGAGGTCCATGCATCGCCATAAGTGCTATGTGTAAATCCCCCATCACGTTAGTAGTTGATCTCAAGCAAAGGAGTCTTATAAATACCCTGAACGTGGATGTGCCTTATCAAACGACTCTGCCATTGATTGTGCAAGCTTGGCCATTTGTTTGCCATATTCCTCTTCAATAGCGGCACGCTTCCTGAGAAACAGCATAGCATCCTATCATGATTGGATGGGGGGGGTAAGTTAGCATAACCAACCACGCTCAGGAACGTTGCATAACATAGTCGATCAGGTTTACCTTGGCCGATTGCATATCCTGTTTGACCTTGTCCAAAAGACATTGGAAGCCATTCTATATAAGGGGGGAGGGCAATGCGCATTAGATCTAATAAAGGGGAGCTTATTGGTAAAGCAGCACCTACATCCATGTCGGCTAATTGAGCAAACACGTCTTTGGAACGTACGTCGTGGTCAGCAACGAGACCAGCCGTCTTGTCATCGTGCATTTGGCTGTCAGGACTTCGTTTATAGTCGTCTGGCTTGTTCAAGACCATTGTCATCAGGCAGAGAAGAGAAAAAGAAAAGCGAAGGGACGAATAAGGAAATACAAAATACGGTTGAAGGTGCCACACACACACATTGGATTCAGACCGGTGATATTATGTCTACCGCATCATCTTTAAGGGGTCCCCTTCGTTTGCATGGCAACTTATCAGAACGATCTCCAGGGTGATATCCTCTATCATACCATTTACTTGAACGTTTCCCTTGTTCCCAGGTGGTGACCATCTCCAAAGTGATTCCTTTATGCATCCTGCACTCACACACACACATCAGCCAACTGCCTTGTGCACCACTAAGCATATGATTTCATTGAGACAGCAATAATAAAATCATTGTTAGCTTTCTTTTTTCTCGTTTTCTTTCTCTCTCTCTCTCTCTCTCTCTCTCTCTTTTGTTCCCTCCCTTTTTCTTCGATCCCACTCAACAACTCAACAATGTTACAGCACCATGATGATGATGATCCACCACCACAACAACCACAACCATTGTTATCAGGTTGGGGTTTATTACCACACGACCTATTATTATCCATCGACAATTACTTGTTTCCTGAGGATCGCTATGCTTGCTTATACGTGTGTCGTCAATGGTATTCGGTCTTTTCCACCTTATTCTACACGCGTGTCACTGTCACCAGCCCTTACCAATGCATCCAACTATGCGAACATCTTGATACTGTGGGTGATGTCATCAAGGAGTTGGATATCCAGTTATGCACAGACGACTTGGAAAAGTGGGCTCATCCCTTACCAAGTCGATGCCCCTCGCTTCGTGTATTAAGAGTTTCCACCTTTACGATACCACCATCATCCACAACATCTCCTACTATTACTACCAGCTCTCCTCACCACCACCACCACCAGCAGAGTGATGAATATTATACCCCTTATCGAAATATCTTGGGAGCAACCATTGACAAGTGTTGGACGTTGCCAAGCCAATGTTTGACTACGCTGAGCCTCTCTATTCGACAACTTGAAAAGGATAGCGTGCTGCGGATGACAAGTCAGCTACCGCGCCTCACCAACCTATATTTGAATTGGATCAATGGTTCTTGGAATACCAGCGATATGGATAAAGTCCATGCCCACTGTCAAGAACTTACGCATGTGTGGATTTCAGCAGAGACTTTCATTACACAAGCCAATCACGTTATTCAGCTGGCTGACGATGACGATGATCCCGAAGCTCACTTGGACCAAGAAGATCACCATCATCATCATCATCACCACCAGCCATCCAACAATGATTTGATCCAACAACTCTTTCCAAAAGCGGCAGCTGGTCCTGCTGCTCCACACCTCGTCGATTTTCATTTATCCATCTACCGTGGTCTATCAGAGCACATGTGCGACTGGTTCGTTTATGCTGCTCGCAATTATCCTCAACTCGAAGCCTTTGCACTTGAAATGCGACCCAAGCACCAAGATCGTGTGGGCGAAAGACCCTTTGAATATGACTTGCTGGACATGCTCATGACATACAAATGGACACGGAGGATATGGAAACAAGCAGCGTTGCCTGCATTACGTCTTTTATTTGAATCATGCACACAGCTACGATCCATCCATCTATTTCAACTCTATTTGCCACGTCACTTTTTGGAAGCTTTGTTTAAAAGTCGGCTTGAAATGGAAACGTTTGGATCGACATGCAACATCCACTCCATTTGGCGCGTTGATAGCAGTAACTGGTTTTTTTGCTCCACCTTGGTGACACTCTCGTTGCAAGCATGTGTCACTGCGCCAGCTACCAACAAGACCTTTATGCGCTTTTTGACATCGATGCCATGCTTACGTCATTTACGACTCGCTCGCTATGAAAGCTTTTCGCTTGACGCATTAATGCATGCATGTCCTGATCTCGAATCACTCACACTCGATGGCATGCCTTTGTTGGAAAAAGAGGAAAACAAGCTGGATGAGGATGATGAGGATTCAAGTACAAAGGAGGTGCGATTGCATACGTTGGTGATTCAACATGCCATTATCAGCGAGACCTTTTTCAAGCATGTACGACCTGGACTCACCTCTTTGAAAATGAGACATTGTGCCGTCATTGGAGGAGGATCATCTACGTGCTGTGCACAGGTGCCTATCCCAACCGAAGTCGATCTCACATCCATCACGCTCGATCAAATGATGTTTGAACAACCCACCTGTGATCGCAAAATGGTCAAGGTCAGTGGTCGGCTCCAACGCTTTGCTGTCATTGGTATCAAAACTACATCCTCCAAATATCAATGGTACGATCTCCGACCCGATAGCCTGTTATCTCAACAAGATGAACGCGTGCTCGGAATTAGGCCTTGCAATGAAAACAAATGCTTGATCGAAGAAGAAAATGACAACAACAATGATGATGCAAATGACCACAATAACACTGCCTTCGGTCTACATGTCAACTGTGGCTCTGTTGAACGCGTGTTGGTGGATGGTAAACGGTTGCTGGATCGACCAATGTTGTAGTAGTAATAGCAGTAGCACAATAAAAGTGATCGGGATATTTTTTTTCTTTGCAGGATCTGTCAGGATTGCATAAAGGTATTGATGTGGATAAAAAAGGCTAGGTGACGTTGTACAGCATGAAAGAAGGAGAATGTGTGTGTGTGTGTGTGCGTGTGTGTGTTCGCGTGGTGGTGTGATTGATAGGAAGAGAAGAAAGAAAGAACCGAGGTTTCAATAAAGCATTATTTTGAAACCAGCAGGATAATCTACCATGCTCGGGGGGACACAATCAATGTATTCTTTTTGGCCCATGTTTATGTATTTCTTTTCTTTTTCCTTTTCTTTTCATTGTTCCGCCGCCATAATATACCACACACACACACATGTCACATGAAGATGAACGACGTCCTCTTTTATCACATACCACTGTCGTACCCCGCGACATGGAGGATGATGCATCCTATCATTTCGATATCGGGGTGGATGAGCTTATGGACCTAGTGGATCCAAAGAACATCAATGCACTTGTTCGGCTCGGGGGCATTGATCAAATTTGTCAATCATTACACGTTAACCCAAAGATGGGACTCGGCAACAATGATGATGACTTGAAAGCACGACATGATACCTTTGGCAGCAACGTTCTTCCAGAAGCAAAGTCTAAATCTTTATGGCAGCTTATTGTCGGTGCATCGGATGATAAAACTCTTAGTATGCAAAACATGATAGCTAGTAGTTGTGACCCCCAACCATCATACTAATCTCATTTTATTTATACATAGTCATGTTGACAGTGGCAGCAGCCATATCTCTCGTTATTGGTGTGTGGCAGGATTATTCACCACAACATCCACCTAGTGAGCCACGTGTTGGATGGTATGTACGCAAGTTCAAATTGAATATTTATTGAGTCATTGACGTATACATTTAGGGTGGAAGGAACAGCCATTCTTGTGGCGGTGATTACTGTTATCTTGACGAATGCGATCAACGATTATCAAAAAGAGATGCAATTTAAAAAGCTCAATGCCAAAGGCGAGGATAAAAAAGTGACGGTATTACGGGATCGTCGAGAGCAACGGATTTGTGCATCCACATTGGTAGTTGGCGACGTGCTTATGTTGGAGCCAGGGGACGTCGTATCAGTAGATTGCTTGTATCTTGATGGCTACAACCTTGCATGTGACGAATCAGCTGCTACAGGCGAATCTGAAGCTGTCAAAAAGTGTCTCGCAAGCCAAGTCAATGATGAGCAAGATGACTGTTTTATCCTTTCAGGATCCAAAGTACTGGAGGGTGTGGGTCATGCACTCGTTATAGCTGTTGGCAGAAATGCATTCTATGGCAAGACCATGATGGCGCTTCGAACCAATAACAGTGGTGGTGGTAATGGACCTCAGCAGCAGAGTACGCCTTTGCAACTGAAGTTGGATGTGTTGGCTGAGCAAATTGCAAAGTTTGGCTTTGGTGCATCCGTTACCATGCTGGTGACATTGATCATCAAGTATTTCGCAACCACCGAGAACCTCACAGGCCCCAAAATCATGTCAACCTTGATCAACATTATCATCCAAACCATCACCATCATCGTAGTTGCTGTGCCTGAAGGCCTTCCAATGGCAGTAACCATGTCCTTGGCATTCGCAACAACCCAAATGCTCAAAGATAACAACCTTGTACGTGTACTCTCAGCATGCGAAATCATGGGCAATGCAACGACGATTTGCACCGATAAAACCGGCACGTTGACGGAGAATCGGATGACCGTTGTGAAGGGCACTTTGGGTGTGGAAGCATTTGACCACAATACAGTGTCATCATGGATGGAGCAAGTGGACCCTGTTGTTATCGATCTTGTGATTCAAGGTATCTCTGTCAATTCAACGGCGTACAAGGATGGCGACACGTTCTTGGGATCCACTACGGAATGTGCATTGCTCATCTTTTCACAGCAATTGGGCGGTGATTTCAGTGCTGTGAGACATCAAGCGCATGTTGTCAAGGTGTATCCATTTTCATCCAAGCGCAAGAGCATGACTACAGTGTTGGCATTACAAGATAAGAAAGAAGAAAATGATACCATTTATCGTGTGCATACCAAGGGTGCATCCGAAATCATTTTACGATCCTGTAGCCGTTACGTGAATGCACATGGCGACGCTGAATTATTGGATGACAACGTGCGACAACAATGCGAAAAAGTGATTGACAAGTATGCCGATGATGCTTTGCGTACCATTGCATTGGCTTATCGTGACATGAATGCTGATGAATATGAGCAAATCAATGAACAAGAAGAACCCGTGCTTGAAAACTTGGTGTTGATTGGCATTGTTGGTATCATGGATCCATTACGTCCTGGTGTAGTTGAATCAGTGGCAGCTTTTCGCCGAGCTGGTGTGTTTGTACGCATGATTACGGGTGATAATCTCAAGACGGCAACGGCCATAGCAAAGAGCGCTGGTGTATTGACACGTGGAGGAGTTGCCTTGAATGCAGCTAAATTTCGAGACATGTCACCTGACGAACAGCGCAATGTGATTCCTCGGCTACAAGTACTTGCAAGATCCACACCCACAGATAAAACGGTGGTGGTTGTACGGCTACAAGAGCTCGATCAAGTGGTGGGAATGACGGGTGATGGTGTCAATGATGGACCTGCATTGAAACTAGCCGATGTCGGATTCAGCATGGGTGTCACTGGTACTGAAGTTGCCAAGGAAGCGAGTGACATTGTCCTGATGGATGATAATTTCAATTCCATATTACGCGCCTTGCTCTGGGGTCGTACGGTGAATGATGGCGTACGCAAATTCCTTACTTTTCAGCTCACTGTCAATGTTGCTGCTGTTGTCATTTCCTTTGTCAGTGCCACTACTTCATCACAAGCCCAAAGTGTTCTATCCGCTGTACAGCTATTATGGGTCAATCTTATTATGGATACGTTGGCGGCTCTCGCTCTCGCCACTGAACAACCCACCATGGAACAATTGGATCGCAAGCCTGCATCAAAGTTTGCCCATCTCATCAATTATCGCATGGTCAAAATGATCCTCGGCCAATCTCTCTTCCAAATTGGTGTCAATCTCGCTGCCATTTATGCAGGTCCACAGCTCTTCCGCATCCATGATGAAGCTGTCCTTCGCACAATGGTGTTCAACATGTTTGTCTTTCTCCAAATCTTCAATGAGATCAATTGCCGCCGCGTCGATCTCTCACTCAATGTTTTTGCTAATATCACAAATGATTGGATCTTCCTCTTGGTGCAATTATTGGTCATCCTTGGTCAATTCCTCATTGTCACTTTTGGCGGGATCGCTTTTCGCACCACACCATTAACATTCCAACAATGGATGATTACTATTGGTATTGGATCCTTGTCACTCCCTGTGGGATTGATCATACGGATGATCCCGGATTGCTTTGGTTTCGATCGTCGCTTTAATGAAGATGCAAGACCTCTTACAAGCTATTCACGTCTCAATTGGGAAGGTGCCATCGGTCACGTGCGTACACAGCTGCGAGTCTATTCAGCCTTACGTAGATCATATCAAATGGCACAGGGACCAGAGCATCAACCCCAGCAATATGCACATCATTTCAAAGCTTCCCATCCTCATACCTCAAAACATCCCAATGAGAACTTTTCAGCACCTGGTAGTCATTCTTCATACGCTAGTAGCCATGCTTCATCCGTGGCAAGTGCTCCAATCCATAATGTAAACTATGGCAGTGTCAAGAATGGTAAATAAACCAAAGTCATCTCATCTCATCATGTAATGCAACGCAACTTTGATATCAAGTGAATAAGGTGGATGATGTAAAATGCAAAATACACGTGTTTAATACCAGCACAATGCCGTAAATTCTATATATAAATGGATAGGTATGATCATGATCTTGATTCCTTGTTGGTCTTCCTCCTCTTTTTGGATCTTTTCTCAATATCGATGATACGCTAAATCGAATAGTGTTAGTTAGACCCAACCCATAACACATGAACGACATGTATACTTACCATGCTTGCTACTCGCTTGGCGGTAGATACTTCGGTCAATTCTTTTAGCACAGCATTCTCATCAACCTTGTATTCCTCCAATTGTTTGTCTGTGATATTCTAGATCAGCAATCCTATTCTTTTGATCCTTCAAATATACTTACTTATCCGCTCCTCGATACTTTGAATCAGCTGAATGTCCTTTTCAGAGACGATTGACAGGGCACGACCACCTCTTCCAGCTCTTGCAGTACGACCCACTCTGTGAATGTAGTCTGTAGGATCGCGAGGGATGTGGTAATTGATAACAACTTCAACGGATGGAATATCCAAACCACTATAGATGGATAACATGAGCACACACAATCGTTCTTTGAATGAATCCAATGAGAACCTACCGACTGCCGACGTCTGTGGAAATAAGGATCTTGACAACTTCAGCTCTAAATCGACCCAGCGAATTGAGACGCTGTTGCTGTGTCATGTGGGAATGCAAACCAGTGCAATCGATACCAAGTTCAATCAACATGACGGTGAGTAGCTGTGCTTGATCACATCGACCACAAAAGATGATAATGGATTTGTCTTTGAAATCATCCGATCGTAAAAGATGAGCGAGATAGACATGTCGTACTTGGGATGGAACAAAGAGGTATTGCTGTTCAAGCGTAGGCACTGTTGAGACTGACATGTCGCATAGATAAGTGAAGGGTCGTTTTTCTTGATGTTGCAAAGCAAGGATTTCATTTGTCATGGTAGCGGTATACAACAATGTTTGGCGTTTCTTTGGCAAAAGCGAGAGAATGGCTTGTAATGCAGGTGCAAAGCATGGTTCCAAAAGACGATCGGCTTCATCCATCACCAAGAAACGCACACGTGAAAGATGTACAGCATCAGCACTGCTTCGAATATGATCATGGAGACGGCCCGGCGTGGCAATAATGACATGGGGTCGCTTGGATAATTGGATCGCTTGTTCAACCATATCCATACCACCCACCACAATACAATCCTTCAATCCAAGGCTTTTACCCAACACACGGAATTGCTCTGCAATCTGGAAAGCCAATTCTCTACATGGTATACCTTCATCAATTCATGTCCCTTTACACCTTGTATATCTATTATTGTCCATACCTGGTAGGTGTCAACACAATGGCAAACACACCATAGGGATCTTCAGATAGCTTTTGTAGAATAGGTAACGCAAAGGCTGCAGTCTTGCCAGAACCTGTTTTGGCACCACCGATAATATCACGACCTAAACAATGATATTAGAACTACTTGTAAACAAAGGATCGCTCGAAATAAAGGATCGTACCTGCTAATGTTGCGGGAATACAAGCACGTTGGATCTCTGAAGGACGTTTGATCTGCATCGATTTCAATAGCTCGCACAAGGAACCATCGACACCAAGATCCGAGAAGGTGGCTGTGGGTGGAGCGATCTTGGGTTTCTGATCTTTGGACTGGTTCTTTCGTGCAGCTGCTACACGACTGATTGTAGCTGTGCTCATGGTGGGGGGTTGTGTAGGTGCGACAAAGAGAAAAGAAATCTTTTTTGGCTTTCGCTGTTAATGCGTGCTTTTTCCAAAGACACACTACTCCGATCCCTTCCTTTGCTCTTGAACATAGGTTGTCATGTGACATGTCCGACCAGGAGCTATCATCCATACCACTGCCATCGCCTCATTAGCATGCAATCACCGAAGGATTGCATTTTACAAGCTCCATGATAAATTACATGCTATCCATGCATACATCTAGCGATTACAACTTTTGCCATCTCATCATCACGCAGTGTACTAGTAATAAGGGGCAGTAGCAGCACCCGAATGAATAAAGAAGGGATATGGAAATAGTTTTTCAAGCGATTGATACAAAGGGTTATAGATGCTCTATGAGAATGGGGACACATGAACTTACCGTTTATGTCATTGTTGACAAGAATGATTTCCACTAACAAGAACATTCCATGCGAAGAAAATCGATTTGATTGTCAGTTGCATGATCCACATCCCATGGTAAGAGAGCATGTTATCAAGATCGAACTTTTATTGAGGATTGAACAAGCAATTGAATACATGATGATTATAAGAGTGGAAGCAAAAAGGTATGAATGGTGCGAAGGATTGATGCTGCTACATAGTACACAAGCGTAAATTTCCCGTTGATCTTGATCAGGCACCATCAGGACGTCCAATCGCTATTTGATTCTCCCAATCATAACTGTGTTCGAAGAACCATTCCATCACCAAAATATCTGGAATATGAATACTTGACAGAGTCCTTGCGTTCCTTCATGCGATCACAAACCATGAGGGAGGCACTTTCAATATCTGAATGTTGGCGGCAACTCGAACATTGCATCGAATCATACACTTTAGGAAGTGCTTTACTTTGGTCAAACTTGTGCCGGAGGGATTTACTTGCTTCAATGATGTTGATTGCTTTGTCTTTGTTGTCTTTGTCACTTTGTAAGCATTGTCACGGTGATACTTCTGCTGGATGGATCGCTTTTGATCTCGCTGGCGTCCGCATCTGTGGGAGCATTTTGAATCCTTCTTTATTGCGTGATGGTAATGCTTGACATGCAGGATCCTTTTTGTTGTGCGATGATGATGCGCTGCATGTATTGGGATCCGATATTGAAAGTGACAGGGATCCATATTGTTGGGATGGCGTTGCACTGGAGACCAGGTATCGTTGTCTTGGACGACGTGAGATGGCATCAGAGATAGGACAAATGGCACGTGGACTATATGTTGTTTTCTGTCATCGTGGGAGAACGCTTCAAAGACGACATGATGGTGGCGCGAGGTTGGTGATTTCCCTTATCTTGTGATAACGCATCGATCTTTTCTTGAACTATGAGGTCATGTCTTGTGTCTTGTGTCATGCAGGTCTTCTCAGTCAAAGTCTACTGAAAACGTCTATTTTGACATTGAAGACCTGTACCAAGAGGCGCATATGGTGGGAATATGCCCGCATCATACGAGTGATGGAAAGGTACAAGTGATGGAAAGATACGGGTGATGAAAAGTGATAATTGATAGTTGTCATAGCGGATACGTTGGGTGGATCGCCTGAAGGAGGAGCGACTGGTAAGCGGTTGATGTGATTCCTCACGTTGCTGGGTTGTATATTATGTGTGTTGTAGTGTTAGGAGATGATGATGACGGGAATACATCTGCATCGTAACGTCTGAAGGAAGCATGATTGATAGGAGGTTGAAGTGATTCTTCACGCATGTACTCATGTCACCTACAAAGGAGTCCCAAATTCCTATCAGACTAGGTATTCTTTTTATATATGAATGGTAGTTATACCTACAATAAAGGTTCAGCAAGGAACACAGCCAATGTCATTAGGCACCAATGAGCGCTTCAAGTGGTAAAGTAATGAGGTGAGCTACATAAATGAATGCATAAGGACCCTCATTGTTGTGATCACATAAAGACTAACATCCTTGAGACTACCAAAGGCCACTAATGATGATATGAATACAAGTAGAAAGAAAGGGCGTATGATAGTGTTGGTGACAACAGCCTTGTTTATATGTGAGTGGGCGTGGGGATTGTTGTCATGATTGATCGAGCTGATAAAGTGGTCATAAGCATCTTGGAAGTGATGGAAATCAACAGCTGATAAATCAACCTCCCACTTGAAAGGTGATTTTTTGTAGGTGACATAGGTATGCCGACTCCTCCATTGGAATGTCTTCATCCTCAGACGTGGCTCCTCGGCAGCAAAATATCGTTTGACTCTTGCGAATCACCGTTTCTTGCAACACCACAGGGTCCATCTCGATTAAAGATTCTTCTTGTGAATCAGCTTCACGTGTATCTTCAGTGTAGGTCTCCTCGTTTGACAGGCTTGTTTCTTGTGGACCAAGCTACGTGCATCTTCAAGGTGTAAAAAATCGCCATCCCCAACATCGTTGGTGATGTCAGTTATATATCGGTAAAAGCTGTCGACAACGACAAAAAGAGAGTCGTAGATCAATTCAGGAAGTATTGCTTTCCATGGTTGTAAGAGGGTAGAGAAGAGAGGCAAAAGGGTCGCAGCAACTTTATTCTTTGATTTATTGCTCAATGTGGTGGACTGCCCTCTTTTTTCGTTCCCGTTTTGGTAAACGCACGGGTTCAGTGCACTCAAGAGCTCTTATCTACAAAACGCTCTTGCCAACGTTACATGTTGATTTGCATGTCTTGTTTTTATTTCCCACGTCCTTCGATGGGCCCATGGTTATAGGGGCAACCATTTCCATGGATACAGGCATGTGTTGTGATGGTATCATTGTTCCCTTGACACCCATTCCACTTTTCATTTATAGATTAGACTGATTATACATATGCATGAAATCCACTTTCTGCATACCTATAGACGTGTTCAAGTAGTAGCAATACAAACACCCCATTGATACTCTCAACGACCATCTTGTAGCTGCATGATGACAAATGATAACATGTCACCCGATCTGCCTTTTTTGATGAATGTCATGTTGACTTGAGCGTTCTGCAAACATTTCTGCTTTTCGTGCATCATTGTTTCACAAGCTTTTGTTTACACAAACACCAAGATTTGGTTTCTTCAACAAGGAACAATGAATAAAAGGGCGCAATGTACATCAATTGAAGTAACATCCTATCATATGAAACAGGAAAGCTATCATTTTGCATAGCCTCTTTGTCTATGTTATATGGCTATGAACAAGAAGAGCTGCACTGGTTGCCCTGGTTTTATTAAGTTTAGTGGTTCTGGTACAAACAGTGGAATGCTTTTGTGGTCATTTCATTATACATGTGTTTGTCATAGTGAGATAAGGCAAAGGATGTTTGCATGTACAATAAGGATGTATACTCTAAGGGAAGTGTGTGTGTGTGTGGGGGGGTTCTCAATGATCGAGTAACTGCTGTCGATCATGCTGCCACGAAGTTTAATATACGAGCGGAATTTGAAACGTGTTATATGGCCAGCATGGCCCCAATACGCAGGGTGATTGTGAGGAGTTGCCGTCTCTTATCTTCATTCTTTACACCAAGTTCAAAAGCTTGCCACTCTTTCTCTTTCTACATCATGGACGATCTTCTCGATCTGAATTGGGCTGGTGACAACAACAAAAACAAACCTCCGAGCATACCTCAAAAGCCAAGCTACTTGGCAGGCAATCCCACGTCGAGCAACAACAACAAAAAGCAAGATGCATTCGCAGACTTACTCAACTTGCCTTCTTCACAAAAGCCCACCGATCGCTCTCAGTTGCCACTTGCCGAACAGCAACGTCTAATGCGGCAAGAAGCCATGGGTATCCAATTGCCCGCATCGTTTACGTCAATGCCGTCATCGACCAAGTCATCTCCACGACAGCAACCACAGGATACGTTTGGTTCACTGTTGGATCCTTTCGGTGGCAAGTCGTCTAATACAACATCCAATGCAAATACGCCACTCAATGCACTGTAAGATTCTTGAGGCCATAACATGCATGAATGAATATGAAGCTTATGGGACGATAATAGGCGCTCACAGTCGTCGACTCCTAATCAGCAACAATCACAAGCACAATGGAACTTTGACCTCTTGGATAAAAGCAAAACCGTGAGTGGGATGGAAGGAATATAGTTTGATGATGGTAATCTAATTGGGCTTGTTTATCCACATTAGACAGCGTCATCACCATCTCTTTTGGATGATCCATTCGATGCAGCAAGTTTACCAGCCCGATCATCAGCTCCACCGCAACAATCTATGGTAGACGATAATGATGATGATGAGGATAATCCGCTTGGCATCCTTTCAAAGCCTGTTCAAAAACCTCGCACAGTAAGTTGGATTGGATGTAAATGAATGGAGTAAGGATACTAAAGGTGTACCATTAGCCCTCTCCAGAGCCTGAACAACGATCGTCAACTTCATCTCCACATGTTTCCTCAGCATCTCCACAAAGACAATCACCACCACCCAATGATATGATGGTCGCTCAGCTGATGGATATGGGCTTTTCGGATGAACAAGCCAAGGTAGCTCTCGAAGTAACGGGTGGCAATGATCTACAAGATGCTATTGATTTGCTTGTACAAAATGCGGAGGCTGTGACAATTCAACAAAGGGCATCATCACCCATGGAAACATCTCGTTCTGATACTACACGTGCACGTCAATCAGTCTTTCATGATGATAATGCACCTCGACGACGTCCTCCTCCTCAAGATCAGCCTCGACAACCCTCTTCTTCTGATGGATCAGGTGCAACGACGCCCAACTTTCAACAACACAAAGAAAAGCTCGTGGCACAGGCAACTGAATTGGGAGGATTTTTATACAAGAATGCGAGCATGTTTGTAAAGACTGGACGGGAGCGTATCAATAAGGCGGTCGAAGATTGGCAGGAACAACAACGTGCTGAGCAACGTTATCGTGCTGAAGGACGACCCAAATGGATGAGAGATGATATCAATGATGATGAAATGGGTGCCGCTGCTACTGCCAACCGATCACGTGAGCAGTACACGGAGAAATTTGTGGATGATGACAGCTCTGATGAGGATCCTGCATTGGAACGTGAGCGTGAAATCGCATGGAAAAAGGAACAAGAAGCCAAACGAAGGGAATACGTTCAACAAATGCGACGACAACAGCAACAAGAACGTGAACGTATTGAAAGGCAACAAGATGAAAATACGTATGTTTCTCCATCACGTCGACGTGCCATGCCATCATCTCGCAGTAGCAGCAGAGCACAAACACCTGTGAAAACAACAACATCAACAACACCAATGACACCACCATCCAAGAAGCAGAGATCAAGACCCGTTATTAAAGCCTCGGATGATGTAATGATGCGTGTCAACAATGCACGAAAGATGGGCAATGACAAGTTCAAGTTGGGTCAATTTGGCGAAGCAGAAGATGCCTATACGCAAGCCATCACGATGCTCCCTGATGGACATGATCACCTCGTTATCCTATGTAACAACCGGGCAGCAACACGGCTCAAGATTGGCGAATACAAAAAGTGTATCGAGGATTGTGTATTGGTGGTTGAGATGGCTGAATCAGGCGGGGATGATAATATCGAATCGGAAGGTGTTACTATACGATGGCGTGAACAAATCAGCAAAGCATTGCATCGTAAGGGTGAGGCATTGGAGCATATGGAGAAATACAAGGATGCCATCAAAGCATATGAGCACATTGTCAAATTGGATGGTGCAAACAATGCAAAAGTCAATCAGGCTTTGGCTCGTTGTCGACGTGCCCTCAACCCACCACCTGCAAGCAGCAACAGCCCTGCCAAACCAAAGTCAGCATCCAGCAACAAAAAGAGTAGTAATGATACTGCTTTCCCTGGTGTCGATTATTCTGTCTTTGAAGTCAACAGCTCTTCCACCACCACCACACCACCAGCATCATCATCACTATCACCTGCGGATATCGATAAGAGCAAAGCGGTGGCGGCCATGAGAGCTCAGGCTGCAAAGCAAGAAGCAGAAGATGCAGAACGTATGCAAAAGACGGATGATGTCAATGCAAGGATATTACAGTGGAAATCGGGCAAGGAAAACAATCTACGTGCATTATTGGCAACTTTGGATACCCTTTTGTGGCCTGGTGCGCAATGGCGTGGTGCCAATATGAGTGAGTTGATCAATCCCAAAAAGTGCAAGATTATCTACATGAAGGCTATTGCCAAAGTGCACCCTGATAAGGTATGTGTGTGCAGGAAAGGGGGTGTATATACAATGAAACTCATTCTTTGTTATAGCTTCCTTCAGATGTCACAGTGGAACAACGCATGCTTGCAAGCGCCATTTTCAGTACTTTGAACGAAGCATGGGATTCATTCAAGTCTCAAGTATAGAACATTTGTTAGACATCATCTTCGATTTGTACTTTTTCGATATCCAAAAAGACATTGCATTTGCACTGTATTATCCCATCACATGAAATCGATGTTGTTTTTTCTTTGTCAAACATGGATCGACGGTGACACAATACATGTTACACATGACATTCATGCAGCAGTATCAATGATTTTCACTATTCAAACATAGATTGTAATCGGATAAAAGAAAGAGAGGAGCGAGTGAGAGGTGTCAAAATGTCTAATCAAAAGTTAAAAAGGAAAGGTATTACGGTAAAAGTAGAGTAAGAAATAATGCTTGGATAAGAGGAGGGGAGGGGAAAGAAGAAGAGTGAGTGAGTGAGTAAGTGAGTGAGGGGTCTCTTTTTTAATTTGAGTTGCCGTTGTTGTTGCCACCGACGCCCTATAAAATGTCACCAACATGTTAGCACATAAATCACATTCACATGATTTCGTCAAGACTCACAGGATGATCAAAGGCGAACCACCAAACCAAGATAGCAATGACGACAGCAAGGATGATACAGATAACAAAGCAGCACCATTTTTTCTATTGACGCGCGTTGATTGAGTATGGATGGCAACATTATACAAATCCCAAGGATTGATGCTTACCGCGCGTGTGGATCTTGCAATATCGATAGCTCGTGAGAGATTTCTGTTACCGTGTTTAAGGTCTTGTGCTGTGGCCTCTGCATTTTGTTCAATTTGGACGATGACTTCACCCTGTTGGGACACAAGCATTTGCATATCCTGGAACAAGTCATGCAATTCCTAGTACACACCAAGTTAGCATCTTGTTCTTTGTCCCATTGGCGGTGTCATCACACTAACCAAAAGCGTCTTTTCAATCCGCTTAATGTCATCATGGCGACTTTGTACTTCAGAAAGAACAGCTCGACTTTGAGCTTGACGTCCAGCTTTCAGAATCTATAATATACAAATGTCAAGGTTTCAATATCATAGGGTGGTTAATTGTACGTACCGATTGAGTAAATAGCTGTGTATTTTGATCCGATTCCATGATGTGGTCGATTTCCTCTTCCGTCGCTTCAGGTTTCACTAAAAGCAAAAAGTCAGTTTTGTGTGATTTGGAACATTTTTTTCCTCGCTCGGGTGCCTTACCAATCCTGATTTGTCGTTCAACACGTTGTCGAAACTTTTGTCGATAGCCGTTTTCAATGTCTTGATATCTTCTGATGGTCTCCAAGAATCGTTTACGCACGGCTTCACTCTTTACGCAATATGAGACAACTAAAACACCTCCCTCTTTTTGCGCTTTTCCTATACCTGTGTCTTTCGAATATTGGCTTCTGATGCATTCGTAGCAACAGCATTTCTTTCCAAAGCAGTGATGCGTGTTTTGATATCATTGTTCTGGGCCCGTACTTTAGTCTGAAGCTGTTCCAATTCATTCGAGAGCTGATTCCATTGGTTGTCGCTATAACTAACGAGTGCTGAATTGTGCAAGCGTTCAATAGCGTCGATATTGTCGTTGGCAAGGGTGATGTTCGTCTTTATATGTTCAATCTAGATGGCCATAGTAGTGGTTATTACACCTTGTTATTGATAAAATGCATGCCATCTTTGTGTATACCTCTTGAAGGAATCCATCCATTGTACGAGTATCCGCCATGGGTCGAGTTTGCATTTCATAAGTCTCGACATGGTTGGTGTTGCCATGATGACGAGGTGTGGGTGGTGGGGGTGAATTTGCACGATCGAAACGTGTTACAACAGGTGATGGGGTGCGACGATAACCAGCGGGAATACGTGCAGGGCCAAAATCATCGCTGTTAATGAGAAACAAATTAAACTCGCTTTCCCTTTATCACGCACACACACACTCGCATTCGGTGTTCTTTTTACCTGCGTTCAAGACCTTCAAAAGAGTTCTACAAGAAGCATAAGTTTAATATATTAAATGATGTGACACAAGAGCAAGGGTGAGAGAGGAGGAGGAGGTCATCAAGAGAGAGTATTGTTGTATTCCCGGGTATTCAAGCAGTAGCTGTAAGGGGTGGTGGTGGTGGTGGGGTTTTATAAACGCATACCCGCAATTCCTCGGTACGATCCCTGAATGAGTATGACATTATGAATCAGACGAGAGGATAAGAGAAAAGGAGTGGAGTGCTGTTCCTGTTATATATAAAAGAAAAAAGAGAAAACAAAAGAGGGAAGAACGCAAGTACAAAAAGACGATCATCAGCGTCGTGTTATGTCTACGGACCTGGAAATCTTCTGGTGCTTCCGTTTTTGGGCGGCACTATTGATGACTACTGCTACTACTACTACTACGCAATAATGCCAAGAGCACTCACACACTACCTTTACTATCACTCTTCACAACCACCACATGAACACAAGGTTTCACTCTTCTAAGAAAAGCAAATGCTTGGCTTTATGATTTATCTTTAGTAGTCGATGGATGTGTTTTTCTATAATAGTATCCCTTCTTCAAGATTGCTTCTTCTTTCCGGCGGCTGATGCAGCAGCAAGAGCGCGTTGGCGTTTAAGCACAGCATCCACATGACGACGAGCATTTTCCTTGTCTTTTTTATCATTCTGTAGCACCATCACCGAGTCAGCTAGCATTGAATGGAACGTGTAGTAAATGGCTGATCCCACTGATACAAAGATAAGGAAGATGGTAGCCCAGAATAGCACCCATTTGCCTTGAATAAATCCAGTAGCAAGCCATGCAACAAAGTCGAGACGACGAGGATAAGTCTTGAGGATGATATAAAGCAATGCGTTTTCTCCAAGATCCCAAGCAGTAGTGAGAAGATGAATCCATACACCAGGTCGAATCCATTGTGGTGCTTTTTTAAATCCCATATACGTCAACAAGCACAATGGCAATGTACGACACAACAAGAATGCATTGTCGTAAAACAACAAGGACAAGTACGCCTCACGACCCTTGGCTCCATAACCTGCAAGGAAGCTGTAGATGTCATCCGCTGTGCTTGGATGGTGATACTCGAGAATATCCAATGTAGGCTTGCCCTCTGCATCCAATTGCCCATTAGGATTGACAATCTATACATACATCATGGATCAGTATCATCCTACTTTGCGACGACCTTGTTGCATAGCAACGCTTTACCGCTGAATATTGATAAAGGCGATCAAGGCAGATCTTGGTGAGGATGGCAGTTAGAATGACCAAACGGGGCTTGCAAAGGTATTCGCCAAAGACATGGGTCAACTGAGGAAAGGGATCGAGTCTGATCCTTGCAAGACGATCTTTGATGGACATTGGTTTGTATGGGATGAAGTGGCTATAAAACGCGTGCTGGTGGGAGAAAATGGGAATTGAGACGGAGAAGGTGCTGCAACCAGACTACTAATACAGGGCTTTAATGTTTACCCTTTTATGATGATGATGATGATGATACAAGTTGGTATGTATTTAAAATTGATCAAAGTTGCCATAGCTACCACTACTACTTTTCTTTTTACTATTGCCAGCAAGGTATTTGCCAATGCCGCCTGAGCCTGCTTTCTTGCTATTTGCCACATTCGGTCCAAACCATCCCATGCTATCCTCCTTTGCCCGCTTTTGTTTCCGCTCTTGCTCTTCTTGTTCGGCATTTGCTTCATGTGCAAGCTTACGCTTCAAACGCCCTTGGAACTCCTCAAATGGATCAACAAATATAGACACCTCCTTGATTCGGATATCACGTTCAGGTCGATCCTTTTCATTGGTAGGAACAGCCTCCATTTGATTCAATACATCGAGACCGCCCACGACTCGTCCAAAGATGGTATGTTTCTCATCAAGATGTGTGCATGGTCGATACGTAATAAAGCTGTGATTCACCACATCAATCAGTATACGTATTATATGTGTGTGCCTGTGTGTGCATGAGCAGTAATAACTTACAATTGCGAGCCATTGGTATTTTTTCCTTTGTTGGCCATACTAAGTACACCACGATCATTGTGTGATAAGCTTCCTTTGATTTCATCGTCAAAGGGTCGTTTCCAATAGGATTCACCACCAAGACCCGTTCCAGTGGGATCACCTCCTTGGATCTACAAACAACATCCAATTCATCATTTACTAACTCCGTCTTTAATGCATGAAACATTCCTCCTCCTCACTTACCATAAAGTTCTTGATGCTGCGATGAAAGACGGTATTATTGTAATAACCTGATTTGGCCAAAAGTACAAAGTTGTGGCAAGCCCTGGGCGCCTTCTCACAGTAAAGCTCGAGATTGATGTTGCCGAAATTGGTGATTAAACGTGCATAGCCATTCTTGCGGATCCGCTTGTACATGAAAAAATCCTCATCAATCAGTGCACTCTCATTGACGGTAACGGGTGTCATGGATGTCGATGTGAAGGATGCTGCTGCTCGTCCAGTAGAGAAATGGGCTGCATTGTAAGGTGTGTTGGGCTTTTTAGGTGTAGTTGATGATGATGTTGTTGTTGCTTTGTCGGATTTCTCTAGTGCTGTTGCTGATGATGGGTTGAGTTTGGCCAATACTTTGCTGGTGGATCCAAGACCTTGTACATTGATGTTGTTGACGGGTTGCTTTCGTGCACGTTCCTCAGCTAAACAATGTACATGTATGAGATGACGGGTAATAGCACACACTTTGATGATGCTTACCTTGATCGACCACCTTCATATCATTCTTTAGATAATGGAATTTTGACATGTTGCGGTTGTCAAGGTTATGAGGATCTTGGATCATGATGATGTCTTTACGTGTGAATGGCTCATCCGTAAGTAAATCTTTCCAATGCTTGGCTTTGATGTTGAGCTTCTCAATGGTGTCATAGGCGAAGACGTTGCCGGTTGTCTTGATGGCGGCGATGGCTGTGTGATCTGAAAACACCTTGTATGTCACTGGGCAATAGAATTCTTCCTTGTCATTCTTGAAAAAGTTGAGCTTGATAAGGTTCTTGGTGTCCAGCTTCTCACCCGTCACTGGATTGGTGCCATACTTTTTAATGTAGGGAATAATATGGACCAGATCAAAGATGATGCCCTCGGGTGTACAAACAGGATGCTCGAATGGTTGAAGTGAAAGTGAACAACAATAAAAAGGTAAACGTCGAAATCCATCGTTTTGTCGACGGCCCGTAATGCCTGAAGACGCTGAATGCTGACCGACTTCACCACTCCACTCAGAATGCGTAATGTACAACTTGTCGGTCCATTTGCCCATGGTGTCGAAAGTAAAAAAAGATACAACACAAGCTCTGTTTCAATGCTCATCATGTCAAATACGGTATCTCGATTTCAATCTCAGGCGACCACACCTAAGATGTTGCCAATGTCCAATAGCTTAGGTTTTATTACTTTAGCCAACAGGCATGTCATCATTGAATCCCCCAATTTACAATCTTAAGGATAATAAAGATAGCCTGGCAATGACCAGCCTCTTTATGATCATGTTTCTACCGGCCCTAATTTGGCTATCCAATGCTCAGGCTCATTGATGGAGAATGAGGCATGATTATTTGTGTTGACATCCCACCCCCCTTTGCCATCCCATGATGCAACGTGCAATTGTAAAACGAGAAAGACTATGACACAGTTTTATTGGATTCTATCATATTCCCTGAACCCATACTAAAGCAATGGCAATTGCAGCTACTAACAGGGCAACTTTTATGATCTCTAAACCAATCAAAGATATGTACAGCATGTCCTCCATGTCGACACGTTTGGCACCATGTAAACCAGAAATCAAATCCTGATGGATCGACTGCAATAAAACGGGATGATGAGAAGGTTGGCATTCAACTCCGTTTATGGTCACATACCTTTACGTGAGTCATTGGCGGCAATAGCTTTACGTAATGGATCGATGGGTGTTCCCATATGCATCAAACACAAAGCACATCGTGGTAGTGGCTTACGACAGCTTGGACATACTGTAGGCTGAAATAAAGGATCCCATGTGAGTGAGTTTCACGCTATCTTCCAAGGACATGAGCTAGGTATCCCTTACCTTTTGCTTTCCCGAAGCACGACCTCCTGATGAGAGGTTGGTTTGGACATTCATTCGTTTTCCCTCTCGATTTCGAACATTCTGGACCAGCAAGCTGTGACCAAGGGACTGCGAGCAATAAGTGCATCGTACATAAACCTGAGGTGGAGCAACTTCGCTTGCATTGTTCATCCTTTGTCCACGTTGGATATCAAACTTGGCTCTTGGATGCCATAATTGCCATCGATCCAACAATGCGCGATAACTATGATGATCCCCATTAAAATGTAATACTTTTTGGAGATCAACAACCCTTACCTTTCAATCCAATCTTCCACTCGTTTGTCCTTGAAACGTCGAGGAACCACAAAGCTCATCACAAGACTTGCCGTCTGCACATCACCATATCGATTGACTGTTTGCTCCAAAAGATCCACCGCTCTGCTGGTCAACCCTGTAAGAAGCACACCTTCCACGTCACCTTCTCGAATCAGCTGTTCTGTAAGCTTGTTGAGATACTGGGTCAATTGATCATCTTGTAGCACGCGCAAGGCAACCGATACACGCTCCTTTAGTGAAAGGTTGGGTTCATTCAGCACTCGGAACCAGTCGTTGGATGATATATAGGCGAAGATAGCACGTAAATAAGGTTGATCCTCCATATCGAGACTCAATGATTCGCAAAGCTGTCGCCAAGTTGGATTTTCATTCGGTGAATCGGGTTGAAAACCGGCCAGCACAGCTGACATCAATTTACGCTGCTGGTCTGATAGTACATCATTTTAGCTTTTTCCATTTCCTTCAAAACGTTATCAATCCTTACCATTCTTTCCCGAACCTCGTACGCTCCCCAAAGCTTGAATGGCTCGATGAGGAAGTCCACTGAAAAATGCCCATCCTGCTGCCTTATCATATTCACCACGCGATTCCAATCTATGGTCACACACACACACATACATAATGAGCGAGGTTGTATGCATTAGAAACAATCATCCCACTTACCGTACTAGTTCTTGTTCCAGCTCACTTTGGGTGAAACCAAAACCGCACACTTTCAATGCCAAATTTCGTTGAATGGGTTTGGTCGTCTCCACCATGGCAAGTGCATCATCCGATTTTTCTTGAAGAGCCATAAGCTTCTCCTTTGAAGATTTCTTGTTGAATTCGAATCCTACGTCACAAAGTAAGAAAGATGCTTGCTCGCATAATACTTGTGTAACCACTACCTGGCCCAGACCAGATCCCATGAACACCCTGAAAGTTGTAACTAATCACTTGCGACATGTCTCGAGACAGCTTGTCAGCGCCTAACATGAGTAGTATGAGTGATTTGAAGGTTCAACGTAACGTATACAACGACATACGATGGATCCATGACCAAAGCTCTTTCATCTTGTGATCCTCCTTGACAATATCAATATTTGTTCGAATCTACATGCATCAATGTAAGCTCTCCGTCTTCAAATGACACCGTTTTTGTGGTCACTTTTACCTCCATTGAATATCCCAATTTGACACGTTCACGCATAATGACTGAAATATCGTTTGCTAATTCCTTGGCTGCATGCACTGGTATGGATGGTGTCAATAACCGAAGTTCTTGTTGTTGTTGTTGCTGCTGTTCTTCGTCCTGCCTTTCATCATAACCATGTCATTCAAATTGGAAGCCAAGATGACCCAAAATTAAACGCTTACCATTGTGCTTTTTTATCACTGATCCCAAATGCATTGAACCGATCCATGACAGCACGTGTAGATTGTTTGGCGGTTGAGATATCGTCGCCATACGTTTGCATGATGTCGCAGCCACCCGTCAATGCAAATCCGCCTGTTGGACGCCATGACATCTTGCAAGCTTCTTCAAGCCCAATAGGTTCAAATTGGCCATCTTTGTGCATGGTAAGAACACTTGTGCTGCATCCACGACGATCTTGATTGCTGCTGGTGGGAATGAAATGGAAGCATGATATTGATTTGCTGGTGGGGATAGCTATTCCATCATGATGAATATACCATCCACCCACTATCTTTCCAAAACCACTGCTACTTACATTTTCGACTCTTCCATAACACGGGTATACTGAGATCAGCATCATTGGACATCTCGACTAGGGATTGAAGTGCTCCTTTTTCTTCACTCTTTGCTTGCGTAGAGTCATGATTCGAGCTGATGGTGCTTGTTGGAGGTGCAGGACCCATATCCGATCCACGTAACGAGCACGTTTCCTGAATATCCCAAAGGCTGATGGATTGTGAATCTCTTGTAAGTGATGCAAGAAGACCAGGTCGTGTGGATGAGAATGCAATGTGGGACAAGTTGTGTTTGAAGCCGCTATCCGAACTAAGTGTGAGGACGTGTGTCATGGTCAAGGGTTGATCATATCAATAATCATGCAAAAAGTGAAAAAGCAAAAAGCAACATGAAAAGGATATAGGATCGTTGGTCTTGCGAAGATCCCAGAGTTTGACAACGCCTTCTTCAGTATAGGAAGCCACTCGATAAGGGTTGAAAGGATCCACGGTCGTGCCATAAACTGCTTTGGTAGCAAACTGGAGCGGCGTTGCATTTGAATTCACTGGCGGCGATCGATGTTAGTTACTTTTTCATAAATGAGTAATATGTTTCCATCTTACATACCTCGAATATCAAAGGCTCGTAGATACTTGTTTCCCATACCAGCCACCAGCAACGGTGCTCCCAAATGACTCGACCAGGCACAGGAGGCAATTGCCTCTGATGATCCATATTGCTGAATAGGTCGTTGCTCTCGACTGCTTTACACATGTTGTCAATATAAAGATAGGCCATCTTCCATTTCTCGGTTTACCTGGTAGATGAAGAAGTTCCCACATGCTCTGCTTGGCTTCCATACGGATTTGTGTATCGCGATTTATCTACAACGCGCATATGTTAATATGGATCAAAGAGAAGCAAGAGAGATCATACCTGAGAAAAAGACATCTCTTTCACTGAATCCACTCGTTGAGCGTGCACTACTAGGTCGATAGTAAGGTGTCGTAGGTGTTTGTGGTCCAGCGGATGAAGCTTCCACAGCTTGTGAGATATCCCACACCAAAAGACAAGGATCATTTCGCACTTTATCGAGACCAGCAGCCAATAGATGTGGATGGGTGGGAGAGAATGATACGACATTGCAAGGACGAGACATTTTGACACCAAGGACAGGATACGGTTTAGTGATGGATGCTGCTGCTGCTGCTGCTGTTGCTGATGATGATGATATGGAAGGACGTGAAGTGTTGCGATAAAGAGGTGATTGTGGACTATCAGCAGCGGATGTTGGATAATCGGTTTGAATATGATCTTGCATGCGCACCAATACTGTTTTGCCTGTTGTCAAGCCCACAGCGATCAAATCAGATCTTTGAGGATCGGGACACCAGTCAGTACACTACAACAAGCAGCTATTCAATATACCAAACATCCCCTTTCATCCAACCAACCCCCTGGTGCGCGTCCTTGCTATCCCTGATTACCATGACAAGCGTGATTTTGGGTATGGTGGACACAAGAACAGCTTTTCCAGACTGCCCAATCGTCTAATGAGAGAGAGGTGCCAATGAGTCCCCATGAACGGAGAAATTGTCAAGGTCTGCATGTATACCTCGGGAATCCATTCATACAGCTTCAACTCATTCCCGCTGACGAGGAACTGGTTACGATCCGAGTGTGGTGACCATATAATGGAGCGCGTGGACGCCATGGTTTATAGGAAAGCGTGCAAAAGAAAAGGTGTGTGTGGGGGGAGAATAAAGCAACTTGGACAACAGCACTCAATGATCTCCGCAACTTGGATGTGTCATGCGCGATATAAATGATAGACTTCCTTTGCCATATTAGTGATCCAAATACACGCTGATGCTGTCGACATGTGTACTATCTATTGTATTTCAATTCATTCATATGTTCTCGTAATTCAAGGTTGAGGGGGTGTATGTATGTACAAGAAGGTGCGTGTGCGTGTGTGTGTGCGTGCGAGAGATAGAATACAAGGGCTACTATGCGAAGGAGGAAAGTTAATAAAAACACCAATCTCTTTGGGTGTCTATCTTACCTTGTTGAGAAAAATGGTGATCAAAAGAAGTATCCTCCAAGATGGAAAGAGAGTGCAGCTTTATACTATATGTGAAAAATGACTATGGTCAATATTCCATCGGATGATGAAACAACTTTATTCTTATAATGATGACTTTTGGTAAATAGTAGCTTTGTCGATGGTGCTCGTAAATGACAGAGAGAAGGTGATGTCAAAAACAAAATGGGTCACGTGACACTACTACACTTGAGCGGGATTTATGGAGGAGCATGCAGGATCCATCATTACCCTCTTCTTCTTCTTGTATATGCTACGTAGAACTGCCATGCGTTTCATTGGTATGTATTCTCCTTCATCCATATGGGAAGATCAAGCATTGACATTATAGAACAGATATTGGTGCAAATTTGACTGATCCCATGTTCAGGGGTGTTTACAGGGGAAAACAAGCTCATGAAGGTATGTCACGTTGAATGGAAGGAAGACGAAAAAAAGTATTCACGATCGCCGTCTCGGTAGATGATTGGCATTTAGTCCTGGATCGTGCTCGCAAGGCTGGTGTGGAGAAGCTTATCATTACGGGCACCAATTTGGAAGAAGCGAATGAGGCGATCGACGTGATCAAGCAGCACAACGAGAGTAGGTATTTTGGGGAGGCTCATAGGGCTCTGCTCTGTATGTGACTAAATCATTTATTGGCGAAGATCAGATGCTCTATTCAACCGTTGGCTGTCATCCTACACGTTGCGACGAGTTTGAGCAATCACCCGGTGGTCCCACAGAATACCTCAATCATCTACTTAAGCTTGCTCAAGAGAATCCATCCACTGTTGTGGCTATTGGTGAATGTGGTCTAGGTAGTAATACATGTCCATTTTGATCTACTGTTTTTGGATAGCAAACTTATACTATGGCCATCCTCCACAGATTATGATCGATTACAATTCTGTTCCAAGGAGACCCAGAAAAAGTACTTTGAAGCTCAATTTGAACTGGCTGAAAAGACAAAGCTCCCCATGTTCCTTCACAATCGCAATACGGGTGATGATTTTGTCAACATGATCAAGGCCAATCGTCACCGATTCACCCACGGTGTCGTGCACTCATTTACAAGCACGGTGGAAGAGATGAAGCAGCTGGTGGATTTGGGATTATATATCGGCATCAATGGTTGCTCACTGAAAACGGAGGAGAACCTTCAAGTGGTTAAGGAGATCCCAAGAGATCGCCTAATGATCGAAACAGGTATAATTGGGTTATGTTTTTATTGCATACCTTGATCACTTACTTGGCATTGAATGTTTTCCAGATGCACCATGGTGTGAGATACGGCCTACACATGCTTCTAGCAAGCACTTGGCAAAGATACCAAAGGAAGAGATGGAGCTCTATGCCCCCTTGTCGAAGAAGAAGGAGAGATTTGAAAAAGGATTGATGGTAAAGAATAGATGCGAGCCATGTGCAACTGGGTAAGTGATTTTGCAATGTTTTTTTATTTGAGAGAGTATACTAAACGATATGTCATTCTAGTCTTGTCCTTCACGTAATTGCTGCCATTAGAGATGAAGATCCTGAGGAGCTCGCAGAGATTATTTGGAAAAACACTTGCAATGTATTCTTTCCCAATATAGCCTAAATGAAACAATGAATACTTTTTACAACAATGAATACCATGTTATGATGAATGGAAGAGCCCAGTGGGATGTGTTTTCATTACCATCACCTATATGTAATGCACAAAAAAAAGCGTGCAAGCGGAGGAAATTGCATTCGTGTGCACCTCTTCTTCCTCAGCAAGCTAAAACATGTAAGCCAACTCCTTCGCTAATCCCACCGATGTCATGCCAACCCCATTAACGAATAGGGCACCGAAAAAGAACTCCAATAAAAAGATTTCAAGTCCCAGTGTTTCGAAAGCAAAGGTTTGTGATGGGGGTCATGAAGGAATCCTAAGTACTAATGTCGAATGGGTTCTCTGTAGGCAACACAAGATTCCTTAGCAGGTCCACTCAACTTGGCCAGTATCGAGAAGCCTTTCAAGAGCTCAAAGTACAAGACACCAAAGAAATCCAAGAATCTAAAGCAAATTCTAGCAGCTGAAAAGACGCAAGACTTGGATCTCAATATTCCTACATGTAAAGTTGGCCTATGTGGATTGATTAGAATATATATTGACGAGAGGATGCGTCTATAGATCAAAACATTGAATGTCCTCCATCCATCCTTCCACAGCAAAAGTATTGTGACATTACGGGTCTGATAGCACGATACACGGATCCAAAGACGGGGTTACGCTATCATAATGCCGAGATTTACCAGTTCATCCGCACATTAAGTGTACCAAACGTTCAAGCATATTTGGCGAGTCGTAATGCAGCTGTCGTACTCAAGTAGTAGTTGGATTAGAGCTCCCTCTCACCTACACACCCACGCACATTTACATTCGCCATTGTTCATCACCATCATCATCACTATCCGCCTTATAAAGTAATGCACCATCATTCCCATAGCAAGACAAAATTAAGCATTTTTTTGGGATGCAGGGTTAATGGATTAGGTGGGGTACGCAGGAGAGGAGGGGTGGTAGTTGTAGATCACATTTACATTGAGTATGTGGGTCATGTGTTACAATGGGTCAAGTCCTTCAAGTGTGTGACATGCGGATCCCATCCATGGTATTCCCGTGCGAGAGAACATGGTTGCCAAGTCCGATTTCGATCCGATGTTTCTCGTCATGTCCATGAACAAGGTCTCTTACAAAAGGCAACAACACCATGCAACCCATTACAAGAATAGGTATAGTAGCTCATCATAGCCTAAAGTTGGTACTATCACCATTTGCGGCCAAAAGGGGGAGAAATGAGAACCATTTTTCAAGTGGCCATTAACCAGGTGCGATCTGAGTGTCAATGAATAATGATCTTGGCCATACATAAACTTTGGGGAAAAAAGACATGTAACAAAGAGGATAGGAAAAAGTCAAAAGTTTAGGTAATCAAGCAACCAGCGTGATGACATTTTACTATAGCAACGGGCTGTTTAGTGATGTTGGGTGGGTGATGAAAGTGGTGGTGCCAACAACAGTAGCTAAATCAATGAGTTGCTTTTTTTAGCTGATGTCGCACACAGTTTATCGCAGGTGGCTCGGGATGATCTCGCTCATTCTTTTTGTTGTGTGCCTTTTTTTGTGCATACAAACACATCTACACATATTGCTGCAAGGGCAAAAGAGGGGGAGGTGGAGAAAAGCATCAACAGATAAATGAATCCAGAATGAAACCCAATGCAAGGGGAGACAAAGGGGTGAGGTGACATGAAGTATTTATCAAGAGTAGTCTGTGCGGATGCAAGTTGAATACAACCAATCTATATAAAACGCCCGTTCTTGTCCTCTTGTTTCTTCCTTTTCTTTCCTCCTCCTCCTCCACCACCAACAACCACCACAACCGCTCCTCCGTACACATTAGCACATGAGTCAGCCGCCTGCTCGATACAACGAGTATCTTCCTTCTGAAAAAGGTGCACAGCGCCCAATGCAGCCCATGGATCCCTATGAGCCAATGCATACTACAACAGGTTAGCCACTCCTCCTCCTCCATTCACGCGAAATCCGAGATTTAACCCATGAGGTCCATTGTATAGGCATGGCACAACCTCATACACAGCCGATAAATTATGACCCATACGATGATGCGGATGATCCATATTCAGTACCTGCGCGATATCCTGCCGGTGGTGGTGGTGGCGGCGGTAGTATCAATGACCAGCAGCATAGTAAACGACATTCTGGCAGCCAACAAGATGGATACCACCCGCCTTATTCACCACAAAGTTCCGATCCATTTGGTGCATCATCCGAACCAATGTACTTTGATGACGATAAAGAAGGAGCAAATGGGTTGCTAGCCGACAACATGGTAGCGATGGATATGATGGAGCAATACGAGTCGCCACAGAAACGACAAAAGGATCAGTTGTCTGAAATGCAACAACGCAAAAGGAAAAAAAGAGGATGTGGTGGATTACGAACACGATGGATGGTCTTTGCAGCCTTTGTGTTGATCATTTTGATTGCCTTGGCTTGGTTCTTTGTATGGCCCCGTTGGCCCAACAGCATCCTATTCCAGAATGCCGGCATCATTACACCCTACGACTCATCCGATCCTGAATCCAAGATTTACGAAGCTGTTTGGCAAGTCAATCTCACGGTGGACAATTCTGAAAACTTTGTCCCAACCCATTTCAAGGAATTTCATCTCAAACTTTACGACGGCAGCACAAATGTCAAGATTGGCGAGGGTCGCACAGGTTCCTTTATGATTCCCGGGAAAACGCGAGATAAGATCATACCCATCACCGTCAACGTTCAATACAGCGCTTCCGATGCAGGCGATCCAACACTAAAGAACCTGTTTTATTGCTCATCACTCGCACAAAATGAAACAGCATCACAAGACACGCAACTGGGCATCAACTTGCTCATGTATCTCGAGGAATCCATTCAAGGCATTGCTTGGAAAGAAACCGCCACCATCCATCCCTCCATTGTTGCTTGCCCAAAATGATACCATGTACTTTTTTCTCTCATTTGTATTTAGCATTTTTCTACAGTTCTTCTTCTTCCATCCCTCTCGCATCTTTAGAGTCCTTGCCTTCCTCTCCCCCCCTCCTTCCATTTCCTTTTCCGCCTTTCTCCCCCCTAATGATAAATCTCAAATATGTATATACTCGATTTCTTTGGAATGGAAAAAAGTGAATGCTGGTATGATATGTATTACTGCGAAATTCATCAGTTGGGATTGCTATGCAGGTTCTCATCTTGAGGACTCGTTTTGCATTTGAGCATAAAGCTATGTACATAATGACTCGCGAGCTGCAGGTGGATATCACGTGTCGCTTGACAAGCATTTATATCATCGAAGTGGGTTGTGTTATGGAATGGGGGATCATTTTTTTGTAAATTGTATGCAGCTTTATTATTCAGATCAAGGTGTTGAAGGTTTGCTGCTCCTGCCTTGGTGTTGAGGTCGACACTGACAACGAGATTGACGAAATGGCTCTGGTGATGAGCTTGGTATAAGATTGTTCAGTGACAAATGATGACGCGAGGAAGCAAATTGCGCCAAGCACGGTATATACAGCACTTGTGCCGATGAAGGATGGAACGAGCAATCATACACTGTCGTAGTAGCAGGATCCCAATAATGGGCTGCAACATCGATTTGATCCTCTCTTGTGATCACCACTGAAGGATTCTTTTCAAATCGTGTGTAGTATTGCTTGAGGTAGTATTGCTTGAGAAGTATGCCATATTGTTCATGGTACTCTTTCAGCTTCATCCTTCGCGCTGGGACCCATAACTCTTCCTCATGGCCTGGGATGGTCAATACTTGTCCTCGCTGTACATGTTGGCCATTCTCATCCTTGATGATACCAATGTTCGTGCGGGATGACAAGGCTTCGAAGAGGTGGGTCACAGAGTTCCTTGTCGTCGCCATGATAGATGCGCATTCTTTTCTTGTATGCCAACATGCGAGAGGTCCATTCTTTACAGTAGGCAACAACATCTTGACGCCCGTGACCATCATAGTATATCTATAAGCATTGCTTTTTAGCATGTATGTTCTTTTCGATCTACATTAAGGTTGTACTTACCCCATTCTTATTGCGTCGGTAATTGTATCCCCATTCCATAACATCCACAATGTCGTCAATTCTGTTTGACACAGTAGCTGCTATTGCTTCTCCACGTTCTGCGTAGGTAACAGACGTTGCTCCAGGATGATAGTTCATGGAGCATAGGAGAAGTCGACGCTCACGTTTGTCATAGTCTTCGTCAAAGAAACGAGAATAACGCTGTTGGAGATTCAACAAAGGGGGGTCATGAAGCGGGGTATGGTTGCCAAGGATACTGTCACGGGAACACCAAACCGCCGGGGAAGAATCTCGTCCTTAAGATGTACATGAAGAACCCGAGGATCACGATGACTTGAGCTTGCAAACCACTAGCACGTTGATGATGCCATGACAATCATAAAAGTCGAGTCGCTGTATGGTTGCTGGAATGTGGTTGAACCGTGTCTGCTTCAAGACCAGCCAAGTGATCGTTTGGGATGCTCTTAAACGATGATCAAGGAACCGGGGATATGTCGAGGAATACGTTGAAGGTGTTCATGTTTGGCCATTCATGACACCCCTCCCATTGGAACAATGTTGCCAATTGTCCAAAGCGATCCGTGGACGCGATGCTCGCTACGAACCAAGTCGAATCGAGTCAAGACACACTTGCTGCTGCTGCCGTGATTGCCTTAAAGTCTGCACTGCGTCTCCAGCTGGATTATGGCCGTGGCAAAAGCGGTTGAGGATAACTTGTAAGAAAAAGGGGTGAATAAAACACGATGGAATTTGATTGTACCTGATTTGTGACACAAGCCTTCTTAAAATGTGGTCATTGAACAAAGAATCATGCAAGGAGGACATCCACTCTTTTTTACTTCCATTTTGCCACCAACGGACAAACAAAGGACCCAATTCAATCATTTGATCATTCATAAAGGAAGTTTTTCAATATAATGAAATGTACAGTTTTACACTATTCATTCTTCTTGTTCAACTATCGTTGACTTATGGATGTGCTTAAGGTGATGGCAATGACAGGCTATGTAGCAGTATTCCTTTCTTCTTGACCAAGGGATTACATAACATTGACGGCACCTGATCACTGATTGCCAATAAAGCATTGGGTACTCAGGAAGCATACATATTATGCAGCTGACATGTCTTTTTAAGCAAGAACCGGCTCTCGGTGACAAAAGTACTCGCTTGGATTGCGATCTGTATAAGGTTGTTTTCGGTTTTTTGAGGCAAATCGATCCGTAGTTGGCATATTTTGGACCACTCGTGGTTTATGGGTGCGATCATATGCTCCAATGTTGCATACATTGATGCTGTTTCTCACGAAGGAGCACATTCAAGCCTCGTCAACTGATATCAGGGTATCGGCTTCTTCACTTGAAAACCACGACGAGAAAGCATCAGGTTACGTATCTCACCTTGCTGCATAAAAGAATCTTTTCTATATTTCTATGACGCCACTTTTATTCGATGCATTTTGCTTCTACCAAGAAAACATGATTGATCCCAAGGTTGTAACCATGATTAGGATCATCATGTGACTCACCATTACTATTTTGTGATACGTAGTTGGAATGAACCAGAGAGTATTGATGTGCATGACACTTGAACCAGGTTTACGCATTGGGAAGGATGCTGACAATTATAGTGTGAGAATCGATCATCCGCGGAGGACGCAAGAGTGTTACAGGGGGAGGAGATGATGTTTGCTAGGAACCTATCGCGTGGGAAATGAGTTCAGTGAGTCGGCGCTTTCTCACACGATGTCCAATCATCATCGTCGTGTTACAGGCAAAGAAAAAAAGTTTACTATGACCACTGAAACCTTGCATGGATGATGAGGAGGGACGTGCATCGTTGCTTACATTATTCATGATGCCATCCTTGTGGTTAATTATGCCCGCATTATATCATTTGAGTTCTAGGCAATATACGGTAGTCATGGATACAAAGATAGATGACCGGAACCAAAAGATAGATTGTATCAAAGAGACTTTCCATATTCAGGACATCTGGTCTTGCTGAGATGTTCCAAAACACAACCCCACCATTTGCCCGCCTTTTTCCTTTTTTCTTCGTCCCACTCCTTACACTTCTTCCACTTGGGCATCAGCTTCTTTCCACTTTTTAGTTTGCTCATTCACAAATACACATGATCCGAAGCGATCGTACATCGCTGCCTGATGCATCTCTAGGCTTGGCACAAGGCAATGCTCCATCCGCAAACTCAGGCTGGTCTTCTTCCCTGAATGAACATGACACCATTCCCTCTCCACTCGACCACACCAAACGCAAACGCAACGACTCATTCGGATCGCAAGCGTCTTCCAACACCGAAGCTCTCCCCGCAAGAACTCTTTCAGGTGAGCGTAGAATACCCTCTCTCGTGATACGGCAGAGTTGATGATTTAACTTTATATGTCTTATAGTGGATAACGCCACCGCGACGCAAAATCTTTTAGCAGAGTACCTTCAAAATGGTAAGTGTGTTGCCTGGATACTGTGTAACTTTGTAACCTAACACTTGCATGATAGCCGAGCAACAACAAGGAATCGACAGACGCCCTGGAAGAAAACCTTTGCACCAAAAGCAACCTGATGTGAGTGTTTTAGAGATCACTTGATTAGCAGCAGATGATTGACCTTCTATTATGATGCAGGATGATGAAGATCCCAAGGTTAAGCGCAAAGTGCAAAATCGAGCAGCTCAACGAGCATTCCGTGAACGTAAAGAACGCTATGTACGAGAACTGGAACTCAAGATTCAACACATTCAAGCATCGCATATGCAAACAACATCGCAATTGACACAAGAGAATCAATATCTTCGATTTGTGATCCATCGTCTCAAGAGTGAGCTTAGCACTGTGAAGGGCATCCCAGTGGAAAGCATCCCAGATCTTATCCCTGCTCTTAACGAATGGCAACAACAACAACAACAACAGACGAGATTGCCTCCTACACCTAATGCGAATGGCTCTGATCTTGCACCTTTCTTGACCATGAGTTCACAACCTATTCATACCGCTCCTACACCCATTGCACCTGCTCCTCCTCGATCACGACCACTTGCCCCTGCAGGTCCAGCACCCATTGCACCTAGACCCAATCATGCAACTACTTCTTCTTCCTCTTCTTCTTCCTCTGTACCATCTCTCAAACGACCTGTTGCCATCTTACCTCAAGCATCCAACAACAATAACAACAACCATCATCATCAGCATCAGCATCATCAGCAACAGCAGCAGCCATCTATCAACCCCATCACCACAACCACCAACAACAACAATACCAATCAACAGGCTACATCAAGCTATGTTCAAAATGCTAGATTACCTTCTCCACCTGAAGTAGCAGCATCCAATAGCTCTACAGCAGCTCTTTATGTGCGATTCAGTCCTCAAGAAGCCGCCAGTGATCAATTTGGTGATGAGTCATCTTACCTCACTTCTTCACCTGTTTACGAACGTCAAAATCTCTTCAACACCAATGCTAGTGGTAGCAGTGCTGCTGGTAGCCACCATAGCCGATCACCACCACCTTACATGGGCTCTGGATCCGTTGCAGGAGGTAGCTCCAGCAAAGAAGATGTGGGTGAAAAGGCCGTGGCTGTGGATGAAGTGGAATCCGAAGCAACTCGTATTCAAACGGTGTGGCGACGACTCAACTTATATGGCCGCTTTACCGATTTCAGCTTTGATCAGCTTTGTCGTGTGGCTCAAATGGCTGATGGTAACCCTGCCATGCAACGTACCATGGGTAGTGATGCACGTGTAGAGCCTTCCATGGAAGATTGGGAACTGGACAAGCTCATGCACCAGATCGATCCAGATCATTTGTAATAACTCTTTTCATATCCTTGCATTTTGCTTTTCTTTCTCTCTCTTTCCCTCTCTCTCTCTCTTGCATAGAAAGGTTCACCTTCCATGTACATATTCTATCTTCTTCCTCTTCTTCTACTCATCTTTCTTTTCTTTATTTCAATGTCTTGCCAAAGCTTGTATTATCATTATCTTTTTACCCCCGGAATAATACATCTCTATCAAGTTTATCCTATTACATATGCATTCATTGTATCTAGATGTCTCCTACCATATGTGGATTGATAAAATAAGGGGGAGGGAACTTGCCGTGTTATCTACTGCATTCCTAGGGCCATTTAGATTTCATTACTTTTTTTTTCTTTTTCTCTCTCCATCCATTCATTGTTGTTGTTGCATGTTCCAGCAACCCTTAACACAAGTAACCTTGCTGGGCTTGGTATGCTTATGCTGCCCAGGCATGTTTAATGCCCTCATGGGCCTAGGTGCCGGTGGATCCATGAGTTCCAACGTGGCACTTACAGACGCAGCCAATGGTGCATTGTATGGATGTTTTGCTATAGTCGGATTTTTTGCAGGTTCTATCACCAACATGGTGGGTGTAAAGACTACATTGACGGTAAGATCATATGCACACGCACACACGTATACATGCATGCTATGTACTAAGCAACAAATCTAGGTAGGCTCCATTGGATATGCATTGTATGCATCCGCCTTTTGGATTTATGATCGGCAGCAAGTGGATAGCGTTGTAGTGGCAGCAGGTGCAATCCTAGGTTGCTGTGCGGGGATATTTTGGTCAGCACAAGGTGCCGTGATGATGTCTTATCCTGAAGAACGGCACAAGGGCAAATACGTTGCTATCTTTTGGACCTTGTTCAATATGGGTGGCATCGTGGGATCGGTGATTGCACTTGCACTTAATCTGGAAAACCATCGAGGGGGCGTATCTACAGGAACATACACCGCGTTCGTTGCCATTATGCTCTTAGGTGTTCTTTTGTCTCTCACCTTATTACCACCTTGCCGTGTACGACGTGCTGATGGATCCCATGTCGCTGTAGCAGCTGCAGCCAACTGGACAAGCGAGCTCAAAGGTGTTATTTTGATCCTACGTGAATGGCGTATTCTTGCATTGACACCAGCGTTCCTTGCATCCAATTGGCCCTATGCATACCAATTTCGTGTCAATGCTGTGTACTTTGATGCTCCTGATCGTGCATTAAATGACACCATGTACTGGGCCATGCAAATCTTTGCTTCAGTGATGTTAGGTCTATGGCTCGATTATCAGCGTTTCCCTCGTCGTCTACGTGGTCTCTATGGACTTGGTGCCATGTTTGTCATTCTCATGGTAGTTTGGAGTGGTGGATTTGCATTTCAGCTCTCATTTGGCAATCACGTGGAACACACTACCCATTGGACCAATACATCTTCCTTCGCAGGTCCTTTTGTGCTTTACATGTTTTATGGGTTTGCAGATGCTCTTTATCAAACGTACCTTTATTGGCTTATGGGTGCCATGTCAAATGACCCTTCATTGCTTGCACGCTATGCTGGGTATTACAAGGCCGTTCAATCAGCTGGTGCTGCTATTTCGTTTGGAATCGATGCTGTGGATATTCCTTTGCGATGGGAATGTCTTATCTGTTGGATCATCCTATTCATTTCTTTTCCACTCATGTTGCTCGTTGCCAATGGTGTATCAGATACAAACGATCTTGTCATTGATAATGAAAGCTTTTACGATGAAAAACAATCAATCGATACCAAGGAACACGCAACACCTCCAACTATTGACAAAAGTCCTCAACAACAACAGCAGCAGGCATCTTGATAAACGATGTATGTGACCATGTTATATTATTAGAACAAGAGTAAATAAATTGTAAAGCATGTGATTATCTACAATGATGGATAAACAATAAATGAAAAGGAGGAGGACAGCATGTGTGATATATACATCGTAGTCATTAGGAAGGATCAACCGCCCGATCCCACATGAGTCTGGAGTAAATGGCTCGTCTCATATGTTGGTCATACTGATCAAAGTCATTGTCATCGTACGAATTATTGTCTTCTTCTGATGTATGTCGTGTCAAATTGGCACGTCGTCTATGGGATAATGTCGATCTTGATGTCCATGTGGCTACCGATTGCGCTAGTGATACCACATCATCATCACGTGGCTCGGTCTTGGTGTTGGTAGTGGCTGTGGTTGCTGTTGTGGCTGCTGGATCAGTGGATCGGCCGTGTGTTCTTTGAGATGAGCTATTTGACAACCCATCATCATCATCGTCACCAGAACCACTTTCACCTTCACTATGTGTAGTATGTCGATCATCACCATCACCGCCGCCTCCACCGGCACCTGGTGTAGCTGCATGAAGTCGATATCCCATATTGTGTAGAATGGCTGCAAGATGCTTCATGATGTCGTAATATTTCTCTTGACTAACGGGCGTCCTGTTGAATCTCGCTTGCTCATAGCCTTCCAAGTATCCCTGACCAAGTTGTCCATCGATAATGTTGTTCTCAATCAAGTAGTCAATGTACTGCCGCACTGAAAGGTAAAGGGGTCGTGCATAAACACCATTGATCTCGATCGCCGCTTGTTCTATAAACAACAAAACAACCTAACATGTCAAATCTGGGCAACCATAATATCCTTGTAACAAGCATATGTGGATATACGCTTACCAATAATGATGGGTGTTCTTGCAATGGCTCGTTTGAAATCCACACCTTCAAAGTTCTCACTGCCTGATAACATAGCATCATGAGTACTTTTTGCTTCTCTCTGTCAAAGCTGTTTTTCTATTTACCAGGTTTTGCACGTCCTAGTTGACCAATGTCTTCAGCAAGTGGCTCAGCGGCCTTTCGTACATTCCTGGCATTCTCGAATTTCCTTTTGATATGAGCATATACTTTCTGCATGACAACAATGGATGAGTTATCATGCGTATCACATGTGCTTCTTTTTCATACTTTTGGTAAGTCATCTTCCTTAATTGGAATGTAGATCTTGGGTATATCTTGAAGAGATGCTCGTACTGTAAGGACTCGACTGCAAGAAAATGACAAGGCAGCAATAGCCTAGATAGAACCACGTTGATCAGTTAAAATGCCGCTGAACCCTCATGGTAGCACTCGCAATAAGGGAAAAACAGGGTGACACCCTTACCAACACCACATAGCTCGCAGCGACAACAACAAGGTTACGATAGTCAAGCTCATCCGATTCCGTTCTGTCGGCAAGTGCTTGAATAATAACATCGGCGGCACTGATGGCAATGGCAATGGCCGTGAGCAAGATCAGGAGGAACAGCGACGCCGTGTATAGATAATGCGTTAGACGGGTGCTGTGCATGTAAATGCGAAAGCGTCGTCAAATAAAAGTCGTCGTCGTCGTCTCGTCTTCGTCTTCGTCTTCGTCAATTGTCTCTCGCTTGGGTGGTAGTAGTAGTGGTGATGGTGTTTTATATAGACGCTTTTGAAAAGTCTCAATCCAAGGGAATAAGGGAAAGGAAAGGGTTCAACACACACCGAGTTGCTGAGTGAACGTTTTTGGATCTGCCATGTAACCCCACCACCACTCAAATGCAGGCTGTGTCCTGCTCCGGCACATGGCTTTCAGTTTTGTGGGGTATCACGCCATCATCATGCGCTGATTCATTTCACTACGATTACGTCGACGTGGCAACCGTATCCTTGTTTATCACCGTATCCAGGCATTAATGAACAAAAGACAAAGACACCCACTTTGATTATTGTACACAATGGGACATCTCTTAATCATTAGGGAGAATACTATCCACCGTAAGTAAACATTGCCAGTGGATGATTCGCTGTTTCTCGCGAACATTGGTGGCAGAGTGCTTCTTCCTCTATAGTGCTCTGAGCCTGGTGAACTCATGTATTAGGCAGCACATATTAGTTCGATCCAGGAGGTGAGAACAATCATCTCTCTACCACGTGAATAAATAATCAATGCTAGTCTCTTGATTTGTATGATCTCTTTGACTCGATTCAATTATGACAAAGAAGGATACCAAAAGCGACATTCTCCGTACCAATATCTTCACGTCTATGGAGCTCTATTTTCATTTCAACTATGACGACGTACTGATAAGTTTGGCACAACGCCTTCCTGTATACACTTACATAGCTTCATGTGTGTGTGCCTGTTACCTGTTGCATCATCTCCCGCCGTATAATTATCTTACAAGATCTAGATCCCAAAAACGAAGGAACGTGTGCTACGATGTTACTGCAAGATCTAATCGCAATTGAATTACTGTATACTATCGAATGCCACCTTTGTTTAAGACACAAAGAATCAATCATACCCCTTTTCCTCCTTTCTCTTTCCTTTATACAGCATTTACAAGTGGTCACGCTTTTATAATCCTGCATGTCGTATCATAGATCCTTCTATAATCAAATGGCCACACACAACGAGCTCTAACTAAGGAAGATGTTAGCCAACGCAAATGCCGTATCCTTTAAACTAACTCTTTAATCCAACATCGTTCACAAGGGATAGTAGACTGGGCACGAGGTTGAGAAGTACGATGCATTACTTTAATGGAGGGCACGTCGATATGGGAATTATCTATCTTTGGACGTGGATTGTGCAAAGGTGGGTGAATGAATGCGAGTGGAGCTTGATACATGGTTTGTCGAAACATGCAGATGATGATGGTTGTACATGGCTGACAGGTTGCACAAAGGCCAAGTTGACAATGGACACACTCTTTTTCCACGCGTTTTATATATCGAATCTCTTCCATCCCATACACCAAACGCAATATCCATATCCATATCCATATCCATATCCATAAGAAGTCGTTTGTATTGAAGCACGTTGCTACGCGTAAATAAAGCTGCTTTTAAACAATGACTATCTGCCGTCCACTTAACGACGGCTGTAAGGCAAGTTGCTGCAAGTAAAGAACGCTGTTGAAGACAATGGTGGAAAGCCCTTGCTAATAGCAATTGCTAGAGTGGATGCTGTTACATTGGTCGTGGTAGACGAGTATACAAGAGAACGTGCAGTGTCAATGGAAGGCGTGTGTTGTGGTGGGGTGTACATGCCATGGACTTGCCATTCAGTCAAAGACAATCGAATCAAGATAGTTGTGGGAATGACATGATGAGTCGAAGCAGAACAATCGTTCGCAGGTGGTAGTTGTGCTTGAATGGGGCAACAGTTGAGAATGGGAGGAAGAGACAAGAAGTGGAGACTGGAAGACCTGGAAATCAAATTGATTTTCCTGAAGCTTGGATGAGTACAAGCGTTGTTCAATCAAATCCCCTCGAATCAAGGAAGTTGAAGGATGAGAATGATGGGCTGGAGCAGGACAATCGTTCACATGCATTGGTTTTGGGCAATAAAAGTGATTGGGAGGAATGTACTATTAGCTGCCAGTTTACAAATAACGAATCAATTTGATCTTTCTCATATTGGATGATATTTCTTTGTTTGAGCGTAGCTCAGTCAAATCAACTCGGATCAAGGCAATTGAATCATGGAAATGAACGTCTGGAGTAGGAGAATCGTTCATATGTCATGCAATGGACAACAGTGCCGGTTGTGAGGAAATGGCTGTTAGCTCGCAATATATGGTCTATTGTCAATGGTATACACTATCATCCTTCCATCCTTCCAGTCATGCAAGGTAGCTGAGTTACACAAAGAGGTCCCTCTGCATCTTTTGCTCTGCCAGGGTCCACCTACTTCACAATGAACAAAGACCACTTCTCATATAGCATCACGCTTACAAACATAAAGGTGCCTGTATCTCCGAACTTTACAATAAAACGTGGGGTTTTTATTAGAGCAATGGGCTCAGCTTGGCCAACAGCACCTTGTGTGAAAGTTTCGCGTTCAGTGTCGCAAACAGCCCAAAAAATATTTTTTTGGTCGTCGTCGTCGAAGAGGTCGACCCCTGGATCCAGTTTGGCTGGTAGCGACATTGCGAAATCTGGGATTGGCAAGCTTGATCGTGAAACTTTCACTCAAGGTGCTGTTGACCAAGCCGAGCACATTGCTCTAATAAAAACCCCACGTTTTATTGTAAAGTTCGGAGATACAGGCACCTTTATGTTTGTAAGCGTGATGCTATATGAGAAGTGGTCTTTGTTCATTGTCAAGTAGGTAGACCCTGGAGAGCCAAAGATGCAGAAGGACCTCTTTGGGTAACTCAGCTAAAAAGTCAGGACTTCAGGGACAATGCATGAAAGGTACGCAACCCTCACTTTTATGTCATACATTGGCAGCTAATAGCCACTTTTGTGCATTCCCAACTTTTGTGCATTCTATTGTAGGTGGACGATGCTCCTACTCCAGACGTTCATTTCCATGATTCAATTGCCTTGATCCGAGTTGATTTGACTGAGCTACGATCAAAGAGAGATTACATCACTCTCCACATACATCATGCTCTATGTTGCTCAACTGATGTAATCCTGTTTGGGCGTAGCTCAATCAAATCGGCTCGGATCAAGAAAGTTGAATGATGGAAATGAACGTCTGGAGCAGGTGCATTATTCACATGTCATAGAATGGGCAACGGTACCGATTGTGAGGAAATGGCTGATAGCTCGCAATATATGGTCTATTGCCGATGGTATACAGTATCATCCATCCATCCTTCCAGTCATACTAGGTAGCTGTGTTGCACAAAGAGGTCCCTCTGCATCTTTTGCTCTGCCAGGGTCAATCTACTTGACAATGAATAAAGACCACTTTTCATATGGCATCACGTTTGCAGCATAGTGAAAACATAAAGGTGGCTGTATCTCTAAACTTTACAATGAAATGCGGGGTCTTTAATAGAACAAAGCTGCTCGCCGGAGTCAACCGGATCTTGTGTGCCAGTTTCACGATCGTGGTGGCCATTCCAAGATTTGCCAAATGTCGCTGCCAGCCAAATTGGATCGGGTCGACCTCTTGAATTTTTTTTCGACGACGACAAAAAATATTTTTGGCTGGTGGCGACATTTGGCAAATCTTGGAATGGCCACCACGATCGTGAAACTGGCACACAAGATCCGGTTGACTCCGGCGAGCAGCTTTGTTCTATTAAAGACCCCGCATTTCATTGTAAAGTTTAGAGATACAGTCACCTTTATGTTTTACATAGGGTGCAAACGTGATGCTATATGAAGAGTGGTCTTTGCTGATGTCAAGTAGCTGGATCCAGACAGAACAAAAGATGCAGCAGCAATTAAGCCGAGAGGGGCGGGACTTCAAGAGTCAAATCTTATTGGTTGAGATTGCATAATGGTCCCTGCCCCTATAGTAAGGTGTGGCTATGAAAGACTGTATGGAAGCATGGTATAGTTAACAAGCCAAAAATAATCGGTGCATCTGATAGTATTCGTGCGAAAGGGTGAAAGTGGGGATGGCATTGTTTGTCTTCAGGGATCGTACTCATTCAAGATTATACATACAAGATAGCGGCACACGCTGATACGTAGTTGTCATAAATGAGCATATGCATGTACTCATTTCACGGTGTATCAAAGCTCACTTTTTCCTAAACGTAATGACTTCAGTTTTCAATGGATCAAACTTCTGTAACAAGCTCTATTGCTGAGTACCATTACTATGGGTTTATTAACTTTGAAACTACAAGCGTCTATTTAAACTTGTGTACAATCCTGAGAATGGCCACTGCCTGCCGTCTATCAGCATATGAACAAGGAAACTTTAACGAATGCAGTATGATAAAAGCAACCAAAGCGTGTCGATACAATTCTGTAGATGATCTAATCTCGCTTTCTAAGCTTCGCATTCCTTCCTCCTTCCATCCCGGAAACCAACCATGTGGGTCACATAGAATCAGCGGGTATCATTGTGTCATAGCATCCTTGGGTGCTACCGCCATAAACTTCTCCAGCCATGATTTGCAAACTAGTTGCTGTGCATGCCTTGACTTCAATATCCAATATCATCCATGATGGCAACCCGCCTTCCCTCAAAGACATAAGCCCTCTCATCCATGCCACCCAATCCATCATCATCCTCACCCGTATCCACGTAACATGATCCATCCTTCCTGATGGCGACGTGTCAAGTAACCAAAACGACATCAGGATCCCCTCTCACAGTGCTTGATTGCGTCCATCCACCCATCCATCCATAACCATTGCAACTCCAACATGTTGATACAAAGAACCCCCTTTGGTCGCTTCCTTTTCCATCCGGCTGTTGGTCAAACTCTTTCTTGGTCATCTTCTATCGCAGCTCAACCAGATCAAGAATGCTTGGTTGATATGGTATCATCCATAAGGATCCGTATGTATTGAAAGCAAGTTGCAATGCGTAAATAAAGCTGCTTCTAAACAATGGCTATCTGCTGTCCACTTAACGAGGGCTGTAAGGCAAGTTGTTGCAAGTAAAGAACGCTGTTGGAGACAATAGAGTCAAGGCCTTGCTAATGGCAACTGCTGGAATGAACGCTGTAACGTTTGATCGCGGCAGAGAAGCGTGCAAGAGCGTGTGTTGTGTCAAGAGACTCGTGTGTTGTAGAAGATTGACAAGAAAGCTGTGTACACGCCATGGACTTGCATTCAGTCAAAGACAATCGGATCAAGAGAGTTGTAGGATGGACATGATGGGTTGAAGCAGCACAATCGTTCGCAGCTGGTAGTTGTATACTTGAATGGGGCAACCGTTGAGGGTGGGAGGAAGAGGCAAGAAGCTGAGAGTGGAAGAGGTGTAAAATTAAATAGGCAAGACGCTGCCCTACCAATCCATGAACACTGTATATCAAACCTTGATATTGATATTACCTCCCTCGAACCTGAAACTTTCACACAATGTGCTCTGGTACATGCTGATCACCTTCATTCATTTAAAATTCGCAAACTTCATTGTGAAGATCTAAAATGCGGGGAGGTCCAAATGGTGGATGACAGGAACAAAAGACGGGACAACCCACCGCCCCGAAGTTGCCCACCTCTAACTTGAAAATTGGTCTGAAGGGTGCTCTTGAGCATGTTGATCAACTTTTTCATAATAAAGCCCTCACGCTTCATTTGAAAATTTGGAATGGGAGCGTCCAAAAGTTTGAAAGACGGAGACATTCGCAGGGTCTGTCTTTCAAGAATTTATAGATTCACTGTTTGGGCGTAGCTCAATCAAATCCCCTCGGATCAAGAAAGTTGAATGATCGGCATACTGGGCTGGATCAGGAGACTCGTTCATATGCAATAGATTAGGCAACAATGGGGAATGGGAGGAATTGGGTTATTAGCTGGCATTGTATCAACTTTCTTAAATAGTGTACAAGTATCATGCATCGCCAGCTGACTGACTCTGTTACACAAACACGCCCCTCTGCATCTTTGGTTCTATCTGGATCTATCTACTTTACAATCAACAAAGACCTCTTTTCATATAGCATCACGCTTACAGCATAGTGAAAACATAAAGGTACCTGTATCTCTAAACTTTAGAATCGAAAGTGGGGTCTTTAACAGAACAAAGTTGCTCGTCGGGGTCAAAGGAATCATGTGTGCTATGACCGTCTTTATGTTTTCACTATGCTGAAAGCATGATGGTATATGAAAATTGGTCTTTGTTCGTTGTCAAGTAGCTAGATCTTGGCAGAGCAAAAGGTGCAGAAGGTATTGTTTCGGGAGCATGGGATTTGAAGAGTCAATGCTGCAGGTGAATTATGCATGATAGTCCTCTTCCCTCCTACGTCTGGTAAAGCCCGCCTGAGATAGGCTGTATGTACTTTCTTTTGTATGTAAGTATGGTGTTGCTGATAAGCCAAAAATGACCACTGTATTCGAAAGCATTTCGTGTGAAGGCACAAGGTGGCAATGATGTTGTTTGTTTTCAGGATTCGTTCTCATCATACATACATAGTCATAATAGACCTAATAAAATGAGTATCGGCCTCTATACTATGTCATGATAGAATGGTTTATTGAACCCATAAATAGCGGTATATTATGCTTCATTGTTCTCTGGCATACCAATTTAAGCCTTGGTGTGGTAGGTGGCAGGTGAATGGAAGCTCGTGGCGGTGCTTTTCTTTTCATCACCGGGATCATAATAGCAACTTCTCCTGCTGTCAGTGTCGCTCAAAGCAAGCGAACCACCATTCCTTTCTCTTATCTTGGCCAATTCTTTTTCAGCTTTGAAGACGAGTGATGATTTGGTTGCAAAAATCGCATCCATTTCTTCGAGTTGTTTGTTACTCGTTTCAGGATAAAATGCCCATACAATAGGGATGGTTAAGAAATTAAGAGCAGCAAGGATTATAAATGTGATCCATCCTATGCCTGAAATCATGGGTGGTGTTATCTCCATGATAAAGGCATTACCTATACTCCAACCCACGACACTCCAAGCACCTCCTTTTGCTCGTACTTTGGTGGGATAGATCTCGACCTAGCACAAAAATGAAGCACCCTGGCATGAGTCACGCTATGATGTATCATCGATCCCAAAAGACTTACAGGATAAAGCCAAGGAACCGCAAGCCATGTCATCCCAAAAAAGCCTGTGTAACCAAATGTAAAGACCGTTGCGGCCACGCCATACGCCAATGGGTTCATAGACATGATGCTTGGTTTTGTCAGTACTCCGATCAGTAGCATACATATTCCTTGTAGCACAGCTCCATAGAACAATGTGAATCGACGTCCAAATTTATCGAGGGTGAAAACAGGCACCAATGTACATAGCATGTAGTAGATGTTGTTTAATCCAGATAAGAGCTGAGATGTGCTTCCAGAAAACCCAGCACTGGAAAAGACTGTGGGTGCATACACGGTGATCTACAAGATGCAGGTTAGCCACGTGTTTTCAAAGATCGATTAAAATTTCATACGTACCACTCTATTCATCGCCATTTGTGTTCCCCAAACATGTAATACCATTGATCAGCATTTTCATACAACGTGCATTGTACCCGATACTTACCCAATTCCAGTCAGCTCTTGAAGGATTTGTAACCAAATGCTTAGATGCACACGCCGCGGGATATTAAGACTATCCTTTTTAAACAGCATGCTCCAATAGGATGGTTCACCTTCTTGAGCCTCTACTTGTATTGCTTCCATCACCTGGTTGTATTCTTTTTGAACCTCTGGATGAGCAGGATCACCATCACCACGCAAAGAGCTGAGGATGTCAATCGCTTCTTGTTCACGACCCACTTTGCATAGCCATCTTGGGCTTTCAGGGAAGAAATTGATACCAATAGCAAGGAATAGCAAAGGCACTAATTGAAACGCTATGGGGAATCTCCAACGCAGTGCACCCCCTGTAAAGCTCATTGCGTAGTCGATCCAATACTAACATGGTATGGTCAATGTGCTGACAAACGCGTCTAAATGGTGTCACGTATATATGCATATGTGCGCGCTTTTATCTTACCGCTACCACCAGCCCAAAAATGTTGAGCGTAAACTCCATGGCAATAAACATGCCGCGACCTACAAATCGTGATACGTGAACGTGAGCACACACACATACGTAGATATCCCACATTTGACAATGGCAATGCTTACTCGTGTGATGGCTTGTCTCAGCACTCCATACTGGCACAATCGCATTTCTACATACCAATATAGAACATGTGAATGTGGGGCAATGATGACAAATGGATGATGATAGCTTACAAATGGCCTGTGCCAATACCAGTAATGATACGGGATGCCATCATCCATGCAACATCTTGTGCTGTAGTTTGTAAAACAGCACCGAGGATGGCGATGAGTGAGCCAACAACCACTGTTCGAATACGTCCAATTTTATCGCCTATGTAACCCCCCATAAGGGCCCCAGCGCATGTTCCAGCGTAGTACACAGCAACCACACCTCCGAGTAACGCCTCTTGGCCGCTTAAACCCATCACTTGGATGTAATCGGGTGAAATGTTGACGCCGCTCATTACTCCTTGGTCATACTAGGATGAAAGCGGCATCATTAATGAGTATGCGATCATGGTAATGGTAGTAATAATAAGGGTAAAGGACATACACCAAAGAAGAAGATGCTCAAACCTGCAGCGAGGTTAATAGCGAGCACCAGTTGTCGACCATGAAAGTAACGATATAAATTCCACGAGTCCCACATTGGTATACAACAACAAAACAAGCGTCAATGATCCTGCCAGTTCTGTTTTTTATACATTGATGTTACGATTACAACGTTCTATTTGCTTCCTGATAAGGTGCAATGGGGAAGAGTGGAGGATATGTATTATTGATACGCATCATCATGTGTGACTAGAACGAGGGGGTGTAGTAAATTGGGGTATGTGCTACAATAAAGGGATCGAGACCTATGTGTGAATGTGGTAGGGGAGAGCACTTGTACACTTGGTAGCACGTAAAGGATGACATTTGTGGCTGTTGCAGCATGCATGTAAACTCCTTGCAGCAGCTTACCATGAACAACAAGAAGAGGGAAGCCCCCGATGTTATATTCTCGGAGAATTCGGGGGACAACATCATACAACAAACGTTGACATTGAATAAGAAGCGTCTATCGGCAGGTACAAATTGAGTAGGATGTTGATCGATGATCGTTGGTAATACCGAAAAGACAACAACGCTATCGAGTTCTGTTGCACCAAGATGCAATATGAGGTGCAGCAACTTCCACGTGCCAGTTCGCTTTATATTATAAGCACAACAACAATCGCAACTCTCGCTTGTCCCATTGATTACCTTGTTTGGTTCTTTTTCATCTCCCAACCTTTCTTCTTCTTCTCCCCCTTCTCTTTTATTGTTTTTCATTCATGACCTTCCCGCAGCGTAGCTGCTCTTTACCCGTCGTAGAGCATCCACCAATACGATCATCCAGCTTGGCAACGCCATCATCATCTAATACCACCACCACTACCACTACTACAACCACCACTACTACTTCCACTTCTACTACCAATGACACCGATGAAGCTATATCATTACTCGAATGGAAACGCATGTCGATATTGCGTACGTTGGATTGGTCTAATATCCTTGTCCCCACCGATTTGTGGACATCATCCCAACTCTTCCCTGATATCAACCAAAAGGATGAATGCCAAGAGACAGCAGATCGATTATGGGATGGTGATTTATCCGTTATTGAACCAACATCAATGGCATCGTTTTTAGGTCGTTCGTAAGTGGACTTGAGAGAGGTGTGGTCGTACCTTTATCCTCCTTCTTATCTTTCCTTTTTTGTATCAGTACACCTTTCTCGCAATGCACTCTTAAATTGTACCTTGCACACTTTGACTTTGGCCATTTGAGGCTTGACGATGCACTGAGGTAACGAAAACACGCTTGAGATTGTCGAGACGACGCAATTGACTAATTCCATCAAGAAAGCTTTGTGGAAAACTATACTTCAAGGCTGAAGCACAAGAGATCGATCGCATCCTGGAAGCCTTTGCACATCGATATTGGCTAAACAACACGCACGAGCTATATGGAAGTTCAGGTAACTATAGGAACGTATGTTTACGTCATGTGCTTACTCCTTTACCTGCAGATGTTGTGTATGCGGTGGTCTACTCGCTTATGCTGCTTAATACCGACTTGCATATCGCCAGCGGTCACCAACGCATGTCTCGGTCGGCATTTTGCAAGAACACAATGAACACGCTTTGTGGACATATCGATTCAGTGGACGTTGATTCCTTTGGTGGTGTTGATGCATGGAAAGCTGACATGGATTTACGTTTAAAGGTATGGTGCGACAAAGGAGGGATCGACGCAAAAGAGGTATAGAGTAACTCATCCTGAAGAATAGGAGCTGTATGGATCAGTCAAGCAACAGGGGTTCACCCAGCCGATGGATCGACCCGATCAACCACCGCTCAATGAAAAGCCAAAGACGCTGCTGCATAAGATGGGATCATTACGACTTAAGGAAAAGCGCTTGGTAAGCATTGAGGTTTAATGGAGATGATTGAAGCGATATTAATCGGTCTATTGGAATATAGCAAAAGGAGGACAAATTCACAGACGTTACACCACAACAACAACATCATCATCATCGACCTGCTAGTGGACCACGACTTGAAGGAAAATTGATGTGCAAGATGATGACAGAGAAGCCCAACCGACGAAAGACCGAAGGATGGTACCGTGAATGTTGGGTATCGTTGGATCGTGGATATCTGAATATCAATGAACGACGTCGAGGAGGTTCATTTTCATCACCAGCAACAACTCCAATCCATCGATCACGTTCAGCCTATGACCGGTTTCGTACCAGTGATGATGACACAGCAGCTCGAGGATCATTTCAGGTATGAATTAAAAAGAAGGATTCCACTTTTACAATGTATTGATTGAATGTTCACTGATAGAAATCATCCAGGGAGATGCACATGGCTTATGCACTTGCAACGCCTCACGCACCAAGCTGGTATCATGATGGACCATCACCTTTTGGATTTATGCTACAACTTGCCGATGAGAGGACTTACATTTTCAGCTGTGAATCCAAAGCACAAGCACAAGAGTGGATCCAACATTGCAATTATTGGGCAGCACGTGAAAGCAAGATACCATTAGGATGTGGGGTGAGCAATGCGACTTTTGGCTGGGAATCACACATCCTCAAAGGCTTGATCGACCTGGATCGTATGCCAATACAAGATTGGATCCCACCCACTATCCCCTTTATTGGCCCCACCATCACAAGCCAACATGAGCAATACAGCTTTATCCAAGATCATCTTCAAAGCCTGCGAAGTGAACACGAGAAGCACATGGCTGTCTGGAAACCAATGACATTGGTATGTGAAAATCATGCGCTTTCATTCTTGTACAACATTAACATCATACGTGCGCAACGTAGGTGGCAAGAGATACCTCAAGGTGGTCTCAAATGCTAAGGAATTGGGAAAACAAGAAACGTTTTTTGGACAAAGAGATACAGCGTTACAAGACGTATGCTGATGCGTTACAGCAACAAGATGAGGGGGAAACGAAGGATCGGAAAAAGGTTGAGGATCGGCAATCACAGCAAGAGCAGAAGGAAGAGAAGGCTCATGTTGAGCAAGGATCATCACAACCACAACAACAACAACAACCATCCACACCACCACCATCATCATCATGGTCAGTCAAGCTTGATTTTAATGACACTTCATGGACCGTGGGGACCGATTTGCTCAAGGAAATCAATGAAGAATTGAAGCTCTCTGATAGCGGCTCATTGCTTACAACGTAACAACTTTTATTTGTCACCTATGTAAATGTATCTTTCATTATTTACTATTTGGTATTATCGAATGTTGGGATATTGTATGGGTACGAACCGGGTGGTCGTATGGTCAAATGCATGTAGAGCTTGAATTTTAGTGAAAGGACATACATTTTGACACGTAAACCCAGACCAAGAAGCTTCACATGACGATGAATCCTTACCATTTGAGTCAATACGGGCGCATCCGATCGGGAGTTACATTGATCTGCATATGCATAACACACACAAAACACACAAAACCCCCCTGGTATCGATTTCCCACACTCGTCTGTTTCTCTTCAATTTCTGTGCTGTGAAAGTTGCTACGCATAATAAAGCAAGAGTCATAGCTGAGATTTGACATTGCCAATTTGGTAATTACACTAATCAGCAATGTGCCACATGAACAAGGAAATTGATACCAAAAGCGAACAGCTGAGATGAGGCAATTCAATCCACAAACCGAGAGAGAGAAAAAGAGACAAAAAAACATGCCCTGGTTTTCAACGTAGCACCAGGTGATGGTCATGCATTTCCACATTATCATCGATTACAAGGAGGATACTCGCGAAAACTGGTTTTTGACTCAAAATAGAATCTGATTTCGTATTGCGTGGATCATGACAGATGCCATAGTTGTAGGTAGTATCAAATGACGCTGATGACCACTGTCATCAGTTTTCAATTTCTTGATAAGGGGGGGGGTGGTTGTGGGTTATGAATCAATCCCTAATTTGCCATCGATCCAATATGGAGCGCGCAGCTTGGCGTAAGTGTAAGGGCTTTTCCTTTTGTAAACACACGAACCAACAACCCCTTCTTCTGGTCACATCAAGGACCGGTTTGGATGTTTGCATGCAGCAAGATGAATCCCATGTCATGAAAAAGAAAATCAGGAGATACCATTTTGTCCCACGATGTGTCCCCACACATAGATGTGCTGCAACGCAATAGAAATCTTGGCCCAAACAGACACCAATAGTTATCATGTGCTTTGGGCTTTAACAAAAAAAATACAAGCTTGGTTATGTTACATCTCGGAGGATATTCCCCGTGGCTCAAAAGGGTCGGAGCAACACGAACAATTGCAGCACGGCATGATGGCACCCGACTGGCTGGTGAGCGATGATGAGGTTGTATACGTTAGATTTCTGATTTTTGATTGGACATGATCACCAAACCGCGGGGCTGCACTTTGCTTTCCCACGGGTACCAATATGGCCAGCCGCCCAATCATTTTGCACGAGCTTATCAGTCTTGACCTCTACAAACTGCTATCATTCCATCTTTGGCCAATGCCGTTTCTACTCGCCGTCCCATTGATCCCTTGTAGCTCTTTGTAGAATAAAGTAGGGATCATGATACGCAACATGTAGGTGGAGATGGATATCAGCTATCGATTGATGGGTTAAAATCCAATGATCCATCATAAAATTAAAAGATTGTTATTGTTGCAACTCCTGGGAATAACGCCTGGGAAAGTTAGGATGACTATAAGATCTTATCTATGTCCACTCACGCACCAATAAATATAGCAGGAGATTTTGTTTCTCTCTCCTTTGCCTTTCCCCTTTCTTCCTATTTTCTTTCAACACCTCCGCAATGGACAATCCTCGTATTATATCAGAACAAGTCTTTGGTTCAAGTAAAAAGATACAATTCATAGGCATGTCGCCTATGGAAACGTTATTGAACGCTGTCAACTGCGCTGATCGCATCGATACTTCCGAGAACTCGTCCCACAACAGCAGCAGCAATAGCAGCCCACGCACTATGTCGATTGAATCCATTCTTGATACCGATTACCCAAAACCATCACCTTCACCACGACCACCAACCACCATCAGCAAACCTGTCAACACATTTGAACCCGAGAAACGACGATGGATGCATAGCAGCGAAGATGTACCAACGACGCATGAGCGATCGAACAAAGTGCGACGCATGGTTTCTTCTCCTCCACAACGTATGACGACCTTAACTTGCCTTCATGCAGCTGTGGCACAAAAATCATATGGCTCTGAAAAACGCTTCTTGTGTCCTCCACCCGTGGTTACAATACAAGGCGAATCCGCAACGCATCCTCTTGTCTCTATGGCGGTGATGTGTGAGAATGGTGATCGTTTTTTGGAGCAAAAGATTCTTCTTGATGAAACAAAGCATGGCAGCTTCAAGTACTTGCATGTTGCTGGCACTGCAAAAGCAAAGCAATTTCATTTGCGTGTTAGCTTGGCTCATGGTGCACCTGCTCACAATGGCTCATCACCTTCCAGCAGTACTAGTAGCAGCATTAACAAGCCTACATCTCCTCCTCCTCCAAGCCAACCCTATGTCACCTTCTTCTCCTGCCCAATTTCTATCATCTCCAAGCCTTCAAAAAAGACATCCAAAGCACGCAATGTATCCAGCTGCATCGTTGCCAATTCATCGGTATCACTTTTCAATCGCATCAATTCTCAAACCGTACGCACCAAATACATGACGACTGAAAATGGCCAACTATGCGCAAAAAACTCATCATGGGCACCATTCGATATCATTGTATTGCGTCAACCCAACAAACCACAGCAAGGTGTTGATGATTTGACATCGCCACCCACCAATGCACCTGTCACTTATGGATCTGAAATCATGCTGAAGGATACTCAGACGGGTGTACTTTCTCCACGCATGATTATTCGCAAGGTGGATAAAGGATACATTGCTCCCAATGCCAGCGGTCCTGTTAGCCAAATGCAGAAAATTGCCTTACAGCTTATGCCAACCTCTGACAACAGCAATGATGAATCCATGTACTTGAGCGCAAAGGCATCTGAAGACACCAACACAACCGCTACATGGCTTGAATTTGCTACTTCCAAACGCAACGCCGATGATCAAGAAAAGGTTGATGACTATTTGTGTTGGACCATTGTTGGTATTGCCAAGTTTGAATACAGCTACATCGAGCCAGCACTCCCTAACAATGCCGAATGGGGCACGTCACCCTCACCCTCATCACCTATCATGTCATCTGGTGCTGGTGGTGGTATGCATGACAACAATAGCAGCACTTCTTTATATCAACAATACAACAACGGCAATGCTCGACATCCACAACTTTCACCGCCACCTTCACCACCACGACGTATTGTTCCATTGCCACTCATTGATGATGTACGGTATTCGCCTCATCGTATCGAATTGACAGGTCAGCATTTCCATTCATTTGAATTTTGGATCGGTTCCCAAGGTCCCTTGAAGCCTCTTGATCAAACGCCCCAATCCATGGTGTTGGATTTGCCACCCACCCAAGATTTACTCGTTGCGCACCATGACCTTCTTGTGGCTCGATCGGATGGGTCACGGTACTTGGAGTTGCCTTTGGTCCTTAAACATCAACAAGATGGCAATACATTCTCCTCTGGCAAGGGACTCGCTTGTGATATTCTTCCAAATGGTGATGCTGGTCAATGGTCTGTAATTGCTATGCATACACCTCCTTCTTCCTCTTCTTCCTCGGCGCCGTCGTCCTCTTAGTTTTATTGTTCCATCCCATTCCCTCATCCGACATTATTGTTTTACTCTCTCTCCCCCATCCCATTCCCTTTGTTCACTCTATCATTGCGCTCTTTTGTACATCTATCATCTTTTCTTCGTTGCTGTGTATATGATTTTTCTTTTTACTGTAAATACAACACGATCAAGTTTTTTTTTCATGGAATGATGACATTTATATGAAGATTCCTTAATAAGAGTGGATGTGTGTGGTGTGGGGGGGGGCTCTGTGTATGAACGGCATAGGTCACGGGACTTGAATCACACAAAAGACAAGCTGTGGCTCCTTTGTTCAAATTGATATTGGCGTTTTCTTCTTCTCCACCTTTCTCTTTCACCAGCACATAATGTCCGATAACCATGCCGATTCACCTGCAACGAATTCACTAACGCCTATGGATCTTGACGTCAATGCAGCCACAACGCCTGAACAACAGCAAGTACAAGTGAATCCAACAGGTGGCTCCACCGAATTCCAAAATCCTCAAGTCGCCATGGCAGCTGCTGCCATGCGTCAAACAGATGCAACTTCCATGCCACCTCCACCACCGAGAGATCCCAACAACGCTTCGTCATCAGCTGGTGCTGCTCCACCTCCCGGCATGCTTCCACACGGTCACTTTTTGCCACCCATGCCATTGCATCCTCAGGTCACTCCACAAACGATGGCTGCTGGTGGGGCTAATGCTAGTGGTGTTCCTGGTGGTATTCCCAATGCTGCTGCTGCTGCTACTGCTGCTGCCAACAATGAGCCTGTCGTTGATCCTGAACTTGCAAAGAAAGAAAAGACACTCGCCGAATTCCTCGCCATGATGGATAGCTATACACCTATTGTAAGCCGTGTTGCCTTCATCTACGTGTACTGTATACTAATAGGATTGTTGTTCGTGTTGTTTAGATACCAGATGCTGTAACAGACTACTACTTGAGCAGGACAGGATTTGATTGTGATGATGTTCGAATGTAAGTAGATGGGGGGATGATGATGGATATGGCGTATGTACGTGTGTATATATTAACATTCCCCATACATAGAAAACGATTGCTGGCATTAGCAGCACAAAAGTTCGTGGCAGATATTGCAACAGATGCCTTCCAATATTGCAAAGTACGACAATCGGGCAATCGAAAAACGGGCAAGGTAAGCATGAGGGCAACAACGAGGATAAAAGAGAAGGATCATTCGTGTATATTGATTCTTGTGGATAGGATCGCAAGGCAGTGCTTACAATGGACGATCTTTCAGCTGCTTTGGGTGAATACGGAGTGAATGTCAAAAAGCCAGATTACTATTCTTAAACTCTTGTATATACTTTTATAAAATGATCTTGCCGATGCATCCAGAAGCTCTATGTATTTGTTTTCGTTCAATGCCTATAAATGTATAAAAAGATGTGCAGGATCTCTGGTCTTCGTCATGTGATACAGGAGCGCGTATGTAAGGTGATTTGGGGTAAGCCCATGTTCATCCTTAAGCATGGTGGTAATACGTGCAGTGGGGTTCAGAGTCAGGTTATGATTGTTTCTTGGGTGCAATTGGATGAGTTCTTGTTATGGTTGTAACGCAAAGGGTTGAGCAGTAAATATGATCTAGCTAAACGGTACCATAATATCCACCATTAAAAGTTGTACTTGCAAAAAGATGATGTATTTGAAAAGCGTTATTCTTGTATGGAAAATAGAAAAAAAGGGACGATAATCTAGTTATGCATGATTCATGAAAGGTAACTTTTATATATGTATATACAGCGCATGACATTTTACTCCATCTCGACATCCTCGTTCTATAAGAAACGATAAAATTAGTAGGCTGTGACAATAGATGGTGGGGGGGATGATCACTACTTACCTCTACACGGCGATTGCCAAACTCAACTTGGACCTCAGACATTTGCTTCACGGGGGCAACCTTGACGACGGATGGTGCGCTGAGAACCTGAGCTGCAGTCGTTTCGGCAGGAATGCAATATTGAGAATGAACAAAAGGAAGAGCTGGAGGTGAAGTGGTGCGGATAAGACCCTCTGGTGTAACAAGGATGGTTGCCTTGAATTGGGCCACGAGATCAGATGTCCGTGATGATCGCATGGGAACGTAAGGCGTAATCAATTCATGTTGAATAAGCGAGCTCAAACCAAGACGTGCTTGTTTCGTTGTCAAGGCACTAATAAAATCGATGAATCAGTCGACCGACATCAAGTGGGGGGAAGCATAAATATAACTTACCGTGCAGAGAATGGGAACACAGTATACTTGTCATTGATTTCGGCATAGGCAACACGTGCACCCTTCATCTTGAGTTGATAGGATTTGTGGACATCACGTTGAAAGACATGGGGCTTTTCTTCAGCTGCCTTGGTCTATAGAGGTATATAAGTCATTTGATTTCTCTCTCTCTCTTTTTGTTGATCATTTCCCCCATTGATCCAATAATTTACCTTGCCATCACCGGTAGTCAATACAATGTTCATTTGATAAACCTGGTTGGGTTCGATTTGGAAATCAAACTTGTCAAGATCTTGCACAATCATATCATCAGGGAATCGGTTCTCGATATCCTTGCCAGCACGCAACACAAATCGCTTCATGGGAGAAGAAAAGGTGCCTTCGACAGGCTTACAGCGGTAATAAGCAGCAATCTCGGTAATCACTCGTGTAATTTCAGAGCTCTATCACATATCATTTAGCCAGCTTCCTTTACAATCCTATCCATGTCACAAGCTATACCTTGACGCCAGGTCGAAGCATTTGGATAGCAGCCTCGAGAGCATAATGAGTTGCACACACAACATCAGCAGCACGTCCCTGGATAGGTTGGCTAGGCTCGGGATTGACAATGACAGTATGGGCGGCAGTAGCAATGTAACCATCGATATGGGCACCCAATTCACTAGACAACACATGTCAATGACCTGGATACCATCATCCAATTGCACACAACTTACACCTTAACAACATCGCCTGGCTTAAGGTTGTAATCGGAATCAAGAAGAGGGCTCGAGTATTGCACAATGTTGTTGACAGAGACACATGTAGGAACAGCCACACCTCGATCCTTAGACTTGAAAGTCTCGCTTGTCTATCAACCGTCAAAGAATAAGTCGGCTTGCTATTATGACCTTTTATGGCACTTACGTGAGCATTGATCAAGTCATCGCCATACTGGCACAGATCGCAAATCGAGATACCGGGAGCAACATGAGAGAGCACTTGGGGCAAGACAGCTAAAAAGAGATCGAGAATGAGCATGCTGTAACGGATCGATCGTGTGGTGTATGTGCACGTGGTGGGGGTGGGAGGACTAACCGTTGACAATGTTGCCAGCAAGCTTGTACTTTTCAGAGACTTGGGGATTGGACAATGTGTTATCGGCAGCGAACCGAGAAGGCGTGTAGGTCGTCGTGAGTTCCATGCTATCGGTCATTGTGGGCGAAGGAGGAGGTTGTGGAGGGTGAACAAAGAGGGGGATGATAGTGATAGTGGCGGTGATGTAGAACAATGCCCTACTTTTTCCTACAAGCCACTCTCATGCAATTGGGAGAGAGAGCGGTCATTGAACCCATAGCACCAGGAACATCCACATCCACCACTGTCGTAGTAGTAGATAGGAAATGTCAACAAGCAAATCAATCATCTCATGACCTCAAATAAAGAATGCGTGATACATGGATCTCTCTATTTACAATTTTGACATTTTAAGGGAGTGCATAAACCCGCCATTCACACGCTACATTATCAAATACAAACCCGCTGACGATGATGGTGGTGGTGGTGCAATCATATGATGTTGATGTCTGCAGCGTTTGTGGATAAAATGGGCTATGCGAAACGATCCTAGATTGCGGATCCTTTTCGTTCCGTGTCCCCCTCTCTCTCTCACACACACAATGCCTAAATTCGAAGATTCGGGATAGAAGATGAAACACAACTGCTGCGAGAGATTCTTCTCAATGTCATTAAGCTTTGACATTTTAGAGTAACGATTAAGGAGAGAGCCATACATATGGGGACGGCAAATTAAGACGTGGCTGATGTACTCGCTCGCATATGTATATGTACACTAAAATGTTCCACTTACGAAGAAACTTGAATAGTGTCATCAAGTACGTGATGTAGTAATATTTTTTCTATCACCCAAAGGTAGAGGTTAGGTTAGTGCCGTTACCATTGATCACTACTGCTGATGCTGCTGCTGCTGGTGCCATTGAAAGGAAACCTCCTTCTAGACCATTCCAAGGACACACCTCATCCGTGTTGAGTTGCGTATCACAACCTTCTTTTGCTCTTCCATCCTGGCCGTGTTTGCAAATGTTGTGCAACGTGTGGCTGCATTGTTCATCGATTCCAAAAGAGCTGTATGTACATGGAGGCCATATGCTCTCGTATCCGGTGATTGAGCACCAATTTGGTATCTGCAAGGATGCTCATACCCATATTGAAAAAATCAATGAAGCCAATTGAAGCCGAGATGCATCCTATCTCTTTTGCGCGCATGCAACAAAAAGAGCACAACCCGATCGATAATGCTATTGACATCCAAAGAGGAGTAGCCGTTAGCAAGGTTACGGGGGGTATTTCTTGTGATACCGCTGTGGGCGTGATACATGTAGTGTTTTGGGATACGTTCCATGATAAAAAAAAAGTCGCCACATACAACTCGGATTTACATCTATGTGGGGTGTTGGAGTTGGGTGATGACCAGTGAGCGGCAACTTTATTATAAAATGACATGTTCCAGCCCAATAGCCCAAATGTGTCAGGGTATACTCCCCTCAACTACTGGGTCTTTTGGGTGCATTGTACATAGTACAGGCCTTTGAAATAATGAGACACCTCTTTTATGCGATGAGTTCATGTTTACCAGTGGTGGAATGCTGATCCAGTTTTTTAGCTTTTATGCAAGCCCATATCATCTCGGAAGACATATTGCATCAAGCACATAAACAAAGAAGGCTTTCCTCATTCACAACCTATTTAGGAACTCCCATCAGATTCCCTTGCTTATCGTGCTACACAACATATCCTGAAGCAGGGTCTCCTCACCATTCCCCCATCGCTGACATCCTTTATGAGCTAGCTTACATTGCTTTGGTCAACTAAAATATTTATTAGCTCTCTCTCTTTCTTTCTCTCAACGGATCATCTTTTCGCATCATGCTTTCAACCCAAACAACATTATCGAATACGCCCTCTTCCTCTTGTGATGTTAAACGACGTTATCAATGCGGCGTTTGTCTCAAGTGGTTTAGTCGACCCACAGCACTAAGAACCCACACTTATATACACACCGGCGAGAAACCTTTCGAGTGCTCCATGTATAAAAAGATCTCCTCATGATCGATTTTCGCATGATCTAACATGTAAATGTATGCATACTAGAACGGGATGTGGTCGAAGATTTGCTGTTGTCAGTAATCTACGTCGGCATTATAGGGTACATTTCAAGAGTGACAGCCTTCCAGCCACTCCCAAGATACCAGCTGTGCAGCGTATTCGACAAGTACAGCAATTAATGGAACGCGTGGCAACCTCATCATCATCATCATCAGCATCAATGATGTCTGTGTCCACAAATGATAGCAATAAAAGTATACACAAAACAACAACAACAACAATCATTCAAAGTGGTACCAGCACAGACCCAGCAGCGACGACAAAATGGGATGATCCAATTCGGGTGTACGGCATACCAGAAGTATCTTGTTCCGAGCATCAACACACAATGACTTCTAGGACTGTGCCACAATACAACAACAACATGTCCATTGCTTCATTGGTAGTGTAGCTATGACGTGTGCGATGCGATGTTTATTATCAGATGGAACTAACTCACTATCATCTAGCTGAATTCATCTTATAGGCCTTCATATCCTCAACAACGCTCTAATAGTATAATCCTTGCATCCTCTAATGACCATATCTAATTCGGATAATTATAAAAGTCTCTCTTTCTTGGGGTCACAACATTTGATTTGATCTGTGTAAAGTGGAGATCCAATTAGGATAAAGCCCAGTGAATGTGGTTTCTCAGACGTCACAAGCCCTTTCTTTATCTTCTCCCTTTTTCTTTGCATTCACATACATACACACACACACCATGTCCGGCTTAGTACAGCAGAATCGACTATCGAAGGAAGAATATCGCAAGCAAAAGGATCTTGATGCAGCTCGTAAAGCGGGTACAGCACCTGCTGAAGTCGACGATGAAGGAAACGAGATCAATCCTCATACCCCACAATTCATGTTGAAGGCGCCTTGGTATGTCGACACTGGCAAAGTCTCATTGAAGCATCAACGTGCACCGCAAAAGCGAAAGCATACTCGATTTGGATTGGAAGAGGACAACTGGTATGCCCGTGGTCAACGAGCGGTAAGCATCGATATTCAAAGTTACACCATAGAAAGGGATAATAATATCGTACATGTAATGATTAGGGACCTGCTGCTACCAAGTATCGTAAAGGAGCTTGCGAGAATTGCGGTGCAATGACACATAAGACGAGGGATTGTGTTGAGCGACCACGAAAGAAAGGTGCAAAGTGGACGGGGCGCAATATTCAGGCTGATGAGATTATCCAAAACGTCGATATGGATTGGGATGAGAAACGAGATCGATGGAACGGTTACGACCCTCGTGATCACGACAAGGTCATTGAAGAATATGAAAAGGTGGAAGAAGCACGTCGAGCTCAAAAAGCAACTGAATTGGATATGCAAGGTCCTACCACCACTTCAGAAGCCAAGAAGATTGCACGACTTTCAGATGATGAAGAGGATGATGAAGACAAGTATGCCGATCAAGCTGATATGCCCGGTCAACATGTCAATACCAAGACTCGTACTACCATTCGTAACCTAAGGTATGTTCTATCTCGCTTTCGTACCATGACCAAAATGCATTAACACTATCTATGATATTAGAATTCGTGAAGATACTGCCAAATACTTGTACAACCTTGATACTGAGTCCGCATACTATGATCCCAAGTCTCGATCCATGCGTGAAAACCCACTCAAAGAAAAGTCAACGGACGATGTTGAGTTTGCTGGTGACAACTTTGTGCGATACACAGGCGAGACATCATCGATGGCCAAGACACAGCTCTTTGCATGGCAAGCTGCTGATCGTGGTAGTGAAGTCCATCTACAAGCCAATCCCACTCAAGTGGCCATTTTGCACAAAGAATACGAGTCAAAGAAGGACAAGGTTCGAGATTCGACACAAAAGAGTATCTTGGCAAGATACGGTGGCGAGGAGCATTTGGCAGCACCCCCCAAGGAATTACTCATGGCACAAAATGAAAACTATGTCGAATACTCACGTACCGGTCGTATCATCAAAGGCCAAGAACGTGCCAAGGCAAGGTCAAAATACGAGGAAGATGGTAAGTTATCATTTGATATTATTGGAGAGGATCCTATCATACTCATTGCATGGCTTTTTTATATAGTGTTTATCCAAAATCATACTTCTGTATGGGGTTCATACTGGGCGGATGGTAAATGGGGCTACAAGTGCTGTCGATCTTTTGTCTACAACTCTTACTGTACCGGTGTTGCTGGTGTCGAAGCTCAAAAAGCAGCCGAACAATTTGCTCGTGGCAAGGCAGCAGCCTAAATAGTAGTTGTCAATATGACGAGTTCATCCATAATAAAGACCTGATATACCACACACTCACATACATATGATAACCTGGTGTGATGTGCATGTGCATGTGACCTAGCAATTGTTGCATGTGCTATTGTTCACTCAACGTCGTTGTCGTCGTCGTCTTCGGGATAGCTCCGACTTCTTTCACTTGAACTGTTGTACACCCAACCACCCACACCGCCATACACACACACATACATACATACACAATGAGTGGTTTAGAAAGTAGGTAGCCATCGTTGACTTTTTATTCCTCTTTGCTCATCTAGAACGTCTCTGGTAGAGAATCTGTTTCAATTAAAGGTTTGATTCGAGCATGACAGGTGCGTCTCGGTTTGGGAAGCTCATCTGCGTTACTCCAGTTCACAGCCAAGCAACTCAACAAGCAATCGAAGCGATGCCAGAAGGATGAAGGACTTGAAAAGGCCAAATTGAAAAAGGTATATATGGGTTAGGCTTGTTGCTGTAACGAGAAAGAGGAGACAAACCGATAGTATGTATTAGGCTATTCAAGACGGCAATATGGAGGGAGCTCGTATATACGCGTCCAATGCTATCCGAAAAAAGAACGAGGCTTTGAATCTTTTAAGGCTCTCATCAAGAATCGATGCCGTGGCAAGTCGAGTACAAACGGCTGTCACCATGCGTAAGGTAGTAACGTGTATGATACGTGCGTTTCAAGAGGAATGGAGATGGCTGACAACGCTACATGCAGGTGACTGGATCGATGGCAAACGTAGTCAAGGGGATGGATAAGGCAATGGAATCGATGAACCTTGAAAAGGTATATACAACATACGCATGCCATGTCTTTCTTTTGTATTCAACGTTTTCTTGGTAGATATCCATGGTGATGGACAAGTTTGAATCACAATTTGAGGATCTGGACGTGCAAACAGAATACATGGAAGGAGCAATGGCTGGCACAACGACGATGACAACACCCCAAGGTGAAGTGGAGACGCTTATGCAACAAGTGGCTGATGAGCACGGCCTTGAACTCAATCAACAACTCGGTCGATTGGAACCAAGCAACACACTTGCTGAGCCCAAACAAAAGGAACGTGATGAAGATGCATTGTTGACTGAACGACTCAAGGCATTGCGTGGATAACACAAGAGATCATCCCTATTATTATCCAGAAAGATACACCAACGTCCATGTAGATAGTGAAATTGTCAACGTTCAATGACTCGTGATATATCCGATGATAGGTGTATAAACCCTCCACGTTTTATTTGAGTGATAAAAAAGTGTGTTTGTAACGGATTGCTTGGTACCTGAGATTGTGTGATTTCAAAAACAGCAAAAGAACCCTATCTCTCTCTCTCTCTCTATCGCTGTCGTTGAACTCTGTTTTGGAAAAGAAAGAGAATCAGGCAAGCTTCTTGAAACAATGAAGCGGAGCAAAAAGTTGCTATGTGCATCTCCCCGTACAATGAAATGAAATGAAATCCATCTTCTCGACAATGAGCCCCATTCTTTTTCTTTCTTTCATCTTCTTCCTGGAGACAAGGTGAGCAATGTTGTGCTTAGCCAATTGCGCAGAAAAGTTTAATTGATGCCAAGCACTGCGTATTGTATGTCATCATGTGAGACCTATGCGGACATTTCTCTCTCTCTCTCGAGACACATGCACGCGTGATCTTTTCCGGTGCCAAACAAGCCCACCAAGCACAGCTTGAAATCGACAACCCATCCTTTTTATCATCGGTAAGTTTTCTTCCATTTTGGATGATTGTATTGTGTACGCTATACCAATTGTGGACGCATTGTAAACATTCCATCTTGTTGTCGTTGTTGTAGAGGTGGCACACACAACAAACCTTCGCCGGATATTCGGTGAGTGGGCTGGCTGGCGGGCGGGCGGGTGGTGGTCGAGTTTCAACAGCCGATGGCATAAAATGGAACGCAAGCGCCACTTTTTTTCTTGGCTCTTTCTACTTTTCCATACTTTTCTTTTACATAACATGGGCTGCCTTGGTGAAGTAACATCCAAAAACTTTTCGCTTTATGGTCAATGGTATGTATTAGGGGGATAATGCATTCAATGGTGAATGTGCGTGTGTACGCGCTACTGTTATTTTTCCGACAACGATACTCACCCACCCTAACCCTTATCATAAAGGCTTGGCATTGCATCCATCTGCTGTAAGCATCCTTGAGCAGCATTCAAAACGAGCTCTTGCTAACAACAATCATTCATCCCCACAGTGTTGATCGCGCTTGGTGTTGTTGGGTTTCCTTCCCATATCGTTTTCAGTATTGTCGGCTGGTAAGTTACTACCATAGGGGAATGAAAAAGGGGGGACATGGAAGCGTGTCCATGTCCGTGCCATGAAAAGATCACTAACATGGATTGTTTGGATGATGCAGGGTGATTGCATTAATTCTGATCTTTGTCGAAGTTCCTCTATGCATCAAGGTAAAAAAGAGTCGGCTGCTCAATCTTTGGTTCTCCTCACAGAATTAGGATTACTCACATGTCTCTTTTATTTTCTTACAGTGCTGCCCAACAAGCCCAAAATTGTATGTCCCTTTTGATCACCAGGAGATTGTGTGTGTTTTATAGGAAGGCTAACATGATTCAATCAGCGACACCTTTATTACATACTTTGAGAACTCTTGGTTCCGTGCAGTCATGTACCTCATGTAAGTACAAGGGCAATGATCAAAAATCGAATGATGATGATGGGATCTGATCATGTCTTTTTTTTTACAACATTAGCTTTGCAGTGGTCATGTTCCTCAGGTAACGTGCAACATGTGCCGTGTCATGTTCAATAATTTACCCACACATCGTATTATCGATCAACAGCAACCTGATTAACACGGGGCCATTGATTGCTGCCGCTGTATGCTTATTGCTAGCTGCCATCTGTTACGGTAAGGGGAATGGGGAGTAGGAGGAGGAATCGAGAAAGGCTTGGATGTCCGCATGAGATCATTTGCTGACATGCACATGTATAACAAATAGGTGCTGGAGCAGCAACGGGCCAAGCATTTGCAAGCTCAAAGTAAGGACAATGGAATTTGACATGTTGTGTTACGTTGAATGCTGATCCAAACATTGCACTTTCATAGGTATCTCGGTGGTACGGGTGTGGACAATGTCGTGTAGACACATTATACAGGACCTATTTTGCTTTTTGTGTGTGTATTCCTACTATTGATTATTCTCTTTTCCCCCCTACCCAATCATCCTTTATCTTTTCTCTCTTCTTCTTCTTCTCTCTCTGTAGCATACTACCCTTTTGTCTATACATATATGTCTATAAAAGATCGAACCAGCAAGGAGCTGCTCCTTATTTACAGAACCGGAATGTGAACACACTATAGAGCAAGGGATGGATGTCTATCCATGTCTTGCACTCCACCCGATCCTTGATTATAAAAGAAGGTGCTCGTGATTTGCTTTTTTCTATTTTTCTTTGCATTCTCATTTCCTCTCACTCTACTACAAGCCATCATCATGGAAAAATTCAAGGAGGTGAGTTATACTTATATCAGCATGAGTTGCATCTGATAGATTCTTGGCAGAAACTTTCCCAATTGCGTGCCGAGGTGGAAGCAGCCAACGTCCGAGCCGATGAAGCCGAGGCAAAAGTCAAGAAGCTTGAAGAGGAACACATTCAAAAGGAGCATGAGACAAGCTCTCTTGAATCCCGTGTCAAGCTATTACAAGAGCAATTGGATAAGGCCGAAAGCGATTTCAAAGAAGCATCCGAAAAGTATGTATTTGGTACATGGGGTGATGGTACTCTTTTTATTGACATCTATCCTTTGATTCAGTTTCCGTGAAGCCGATTTACGTGCCGAGCAATTTGAAAAGAAAGCCAACAATCTTCAACAAGAGCTCGAAAACATGGAATCGAAACATGAGGAAATGTGTGGCAAGTACCAAGCAGCCAAAGCCGAAATGGATGAATTGGAACGTCAGCTTGAAGGTGTCTAGTAGTGGATTATCATTGAACAAGGAATAGTAATAAACGACCCACACATCTCCATCCCACAAGGGAGGAGGCACGAGGTGGTTATTTCAGCACATTCATAATACAAGGAGGATCCTGTTTCAAAGGGATGGAAAAAAGAAAAAAAAGAGCTATGAGGGAGCAAAGCTATCATGGGATGGGACATACAAGCATGTGCAGGTTGTAAAGTAACCAAAGTCAGCAAGTGGGATGGGATGTGTTGGCATGACGCAATGTCGAACAAGCATCAAGTCCTGCTGACGCGGCATGATGGAAGCAGTGTGTCTTTTGTGTGTGTCTGTGTAGTAGTGGTGGATCAAAAAAACATTCCCCGAACATGTTCCATGGACCACCAGCATATATTTTCCCGGGCGATAGATCCACTCGTCCGTTTCGCTTGTAACCCATGTTATTATTACCAACCTTTCTTTCTTTCCCACACTTGAACCAACATGGAACATGACAAACATCCTCTCGAGCCTTCCAGCAGGAGGACAAGCACAACGGCTGCTGGTTCCAGTGGTAACCATGGCAACACCAATACCAGCCATAACGATAGCATAAACTCTTCTCACCTCGATCCCGACAATGCTGCACATCGCTCTTCAAGTGAATCATACCACCCTCCATTTCTTGTACGATCCCGGTCTCAAGCTGAAAAAGAACGCATGCAACGTCAACTTGAGCAGCAAAAACGTACCAAAAGCCCCTATGATACCCTTCGTCGTGTTTACGAGCGATACTCTACATCCGCTCTTTTGGAGAACAAAGCAGCTGTGGCTCGAGACCATTTAGGTAATATGCAGATCAAACAAACGCAGGGTGTATATGTATATATATATCCAATGCGGCTTTATTAGTGTGATACACGCATGCTTACGTCTCTTTCTTATATATGGAATAGCAAATGAACGTACTTTTCTTGCATGGCTACGGACATCCTTATCCCTTGTTACTGTAGGCGTTGGTAAGCATGAATGTCATATGTCTTTTTTAGTGTACATCATTTCTCAAGTAACGTGTTATAGCAATTACACAGCTTTATAAGCTTAGTCCTGATGGTGTGCATGCACATTCGGGGCGTGCTATTGGTGCTACGTTTGTTGTGCTTAGCATTGTCTTTTTGTATATGGCCAATGCCAGATACTTTCATTCCCAGGTAGCTCTTACCAAGGACCGATTCCCTGCCAGTCGCGGTGCAGTATTATTTGGATCGACAGCTGTATTAGCCATCCTCATTGCCATGTTTGTTGTCATCATCTTAGACCAAAAATCATCATAATGAAGAAGAAGAATATCTGTATTTGTAATTGACATGGGGGAAAGGATAATATAAACATCACAAGCTACTTGTATAACGTTGAGAGGGGGATTGAATAAGAAAGAAGAGAAAGAGATATATAATCAACAATGTGTAAGGTAGAAACGAGAGAGAGAGAGAGCGTAGAAACGACAAAGGGGGTGATTGAAAATGGGGGAGAAGAAGGGGGTAAAAGGGAAACAAAGCCCCTGGATAGTAACCCCGTAACTGTAGATTTTGATTTTTCTTTTCCAATATGGAATGAGAATGGGAGCATATATACAAGAAAACAAGGTTGTAACAAGATACGTGCAAAAAGGATGCAAGAAGAAGAAGAATGGACAGCGAGAGAAGAGAAAAAGGTCGGCTCCCGGTAAAAAAAAGGTGGATAGCAGGATCACTTAGTGCACCATATTGGCGACAAAATGGTTACGATCACCGACACTGTACGACCGAGGTCGAAGCTTAGTCGTTTCTGTCACTTGCAGATGGTGCAATGGGACAATGAAACTCGAATCTTGAGGAAGCGGATTACCGGTACGTGCAATCTCTTCTTGACTGTAGTAGTGCTGATGAGCAGTTAAAATTTGTCGTAGTTCCTGACAGGCATCATCATCATCGTGACAAATAGTAGTAGCGGGTGGATTGGTGGTTGCTGTTGTCGTAGTGGTAGTAGTAGTGGTGGTAGTGGTGCTAAGAGGGCTGTAGACGGGTGACGAAGGCTTCTTGGGGCAAGGAGCAACGATGCTTAACGAGGCCATTGTAATAAGAACACAAAGAGACAAGATGAACAAGTATATATATGGGTGTTGATATGTGAGGGGAATTGGATATGTACAAGGGGATGGATGTAAAGAAGAAAAGAGCAATGTGCGTGAGAGAGAGAGAGAAGAGAAACAAAATGCGGTGATATATAAAAAGAGCAGCATCCAATTTTATCACAGGCAGCTGCCATGGTTACACAACCCACGGTCCTCCAACACGAGTTGGGCAAAAGCGGAGCCAGTGGTATCTCTCCTCCGTTGCATGACCTGCCGTTGTCACGCGGTGACACACCTGCCCTGCTTGGCACTATTCCTACACACACACACTTTTGAAGAGAGGGCGAGTCTTTTAGCCTGCCAGCTGTCAAGGGGTGAAACACATCAGTGAGGGGGGGAGAGGAAGAGGTTACTTTTTTCTCCTTCCAACAACAGTCAACAGCACATACAAAAAGCTTATCTACCATCATGTCTTTTACGGAACAGCTTGAATGTCTCACCACAACATCCTATTCATCACACCAATATATATGATGCGCCGATTTAACATCGAGAGAGCTTATTGCAGCAAAGGCTGTATGTGTGTAACAGATGATCCTGGTGATACACATTCATTAGCTGTGCACACTTTGCATATAAGCAACCATATTGATGTCGGTTCCCTTCTCGGCATGCTCCTTTCAGAGAGAGTGAAAAGAACATCACACGTCCTATTCACACGCGTGTACCTACATGCATCAGCACCTTGACACCCCTAAATGTGTGTGTGTGTGTGCGTTTTGGTTGGTAGTCCTAATGGCGATAATGATGATGATAATGACCACTACACACCCGCATGCACATGCACGTACGTTGCACTATTCATCTTTGGCACAATGACCATCAATTATCGGCAAGCCTGCGAAAAAAGAAAAAGGACGCACGAGTGCCGCCGCCCACCATTTGCATATTGGCTTGAGCCACATTGCGATTCCTCTTTGAGTATTTGTGTACATGTATGTATGTGTGTTTATCATCCACGAGTCATTTGTTGAATCCTATTGCCCGTGCACGTACTATCGTTCTTGTTGACCCATTTGTATCGATCGGCTTGTTCCCCGCAGCGGTGGTGGAATCTTGTCTAGACCATTTAGTATCACCCTGATTTAGAAAAAGCGAGGGAGTGAGCGTATAAAGTAGCTTATTTGACATCCGTAACATCATCAGCTCTCCCTTTTTGCCCCCTAGGTGTTACACTGTGCTTCGCCTCAATAAGCAGGTCATTTTTACTTTTTGCACTAGAGCCATGTGTTTTATGGTTGGTGCCTTCCAATCGAATGGCCTGGTGTAACATGATATCCATGCACTCGTGTTGTGAGTTGATTTTGTCAATCCCTTCATACACATTTATCCACCGGTGATGATTCCGGAAAAAGCGAGACTGTAAACCTTATTTGACCTTGGACCACATTGATATTCCCACTCACTTTGTGGATGATGATCTCTCTCTCTGTTATCCACACCCAGCAAAAAAGCTGATCATCTTTATCATTTCACAAAACATCTATTTGCTTAACGATTCTTTTTTCGTGCTCAAGTATTTAATGTTCAAGAGGGGGTCACATGATGATTGTTTGTGGGTGGAGTGGTTGATTCTATGGGTGATCATCTTTTTCTCATGGTGATGCTTCCTATATTACCCCAACAGCCTTGGATTTGCCATGTTCTCGAATATAGACGGTTTATTTATCATGTACTATCCACTACCATAATCCTAAACCTACGTATCTCTACGCCTTCGATTGAACCCACTTGCATGGTATACGCCCATAATCCAACATGGTGCAGTAATAAAAACAACCGATCCTGCTGTCATACCTGTTCCTTATCAAACCCACAGTGAACCGCATCCACGTATGCTCCTGAATCACCTGTCGATCGCGTATCAAGGCTGCAAGAGAAAGAGACGAGTGGTTGCATACAGAAGAGAACCTGATCATTGAATACCTTGCATGTTGATATCGAAGTTGCTTGTAAATGGCACGTTTTTCTCGAATAAAGTAATCCGTCAGCAGTGTACACGTGTTGGACCATACGCTTACACACTTGAGCTTGTTTGCATTCGACTTGGCAATGGAGTGCATGTCGAGGTAGGAAGAGTTGAAGATTGGCTGTGTATATACATCTAATAAACTCTTGCCGGGAGATAGTCAATTGGTAGCTCACATGGTGATGGAAGTAACGAATGAAAGAGGTGGCTCATGTAGAAGGACGTGGACACAAGTGTCAAGGGCGGCAATGAGGAATAAAAGTACAAGTAGCAAAGGCATATGCAGGGACGACATCCTTTATTCAAGGCGCGATTGCGCAACGCCAGGTTGCTGATATCAAACGTGATCCGATCATCTTCGCTGCTTACCGAATACGCATACCAGCAATATTAAGAGCAGGTTGACAACATGGTAAATCACCTTTGTGATAATGGGGGTGTGCATTAGACGTACAAGTGATTGATTTCCTTGATAGATTTCTTATCGCCTGCCCCCGAATCGCCGATGTATGCAGTAGGCTCTTTCGAACTTGATTCTGGTATATGCGCCCCATCACTTTATCAGCTCATGGATCAATTTATCAATGCATCATCACCAACACACAGAGACCCACGCCCATCGTGCACAATAAAAGGATGTTGTCGCCGCCCATCATCATACTCCCACATCTCTCTTTCTTCTGTCGTTCTTCTTTGATTGCTTACATGGTCAATTTTTCAAGGTTTGTACGTATCCCATTTCTTGCAGACTTTGTGAATATGCGCTGATCCTTGTGGTCATTCATAGGGTTTCTTTGTTCCCTGCTTTCATTGTTGTCGTCGTCGTCCTCATTGTGATATTGGATTCTTATAAAAAGGTAAAGCCTGATCATGTTGCTTGATGAGTCACTACTGATACACGCCACCTTGTTGCTTTCCATATAGCTATCTCTTCGTGAAGACATCTACAAAAGCTGGTTTCGCTATCATGGCCTACGTCGGGTGCTGGAATTGACATGGTGCATTTGGCATGGTGCAAATAACTCTCTATTATGGCCCTCTCAAGAATCAACTCTCGCGGCATCGATTTGTAGAACTCAATGTCAAAGCCTGTGAAATGTTGAATGAAGCATGGATATTTCTCTCGCAACTTCGTTACGCCTGTGCCAAGTTACTTGCTGGTTGCATCATAATCAACAAGAAAGAAGCTGTAATCGCCAATTCAATCGAGGTGTATGAGCGCTCCCGAACAATCGATGTTCACCGTGAGAGATCATCCATCATCAAAGGCTCGCCATCTCAAAGCTCGCTGCCACCAGCACAGACAAAGTATCCCAACACTTGGGCAACCGTGCTCAGCACAACTTCCCACAGGCAGCCGACCACCAACAAAAATAAGATCACTCAACTCAAGACCAAATGCCCCCAATCAATCATCAAGGACAACATTACAGAAATCATCAAGCTTGCAGAAGAGAATGAAGCGCCCAGCATCTTGAACCACAAGGCCGTGGATAAACATCTCTGCAAACTAGCCGGTTTGCTATCCAACAGCATTGCGACACAAACAATGGTCGTTGATCAAATCATTCAGGCGAGGTATGTATCTTGAAAAGGTCGACGCAAATCCAACGCATTGTTAATGAATGTCGATTAGCCAACTTAAGAACCAAGGACCATATAAAACGCGCTGAAAAACGCTTTTTTTATTGTCGTTAATCCCAATCGTTTGTTGTACATGATTAAATTCTCTCATTTGAAGTCGTCCACAATCGAGATACAAAGATATCAATGCTCCTAATTTTGTTGTTGTTGTTCGGATGCGATGTATTGACAGCTGCTGTTTGTGTATTGAGAGATCAAAATGTGTATTGGCTAGATCAAGGTTTTACATAATGCGGAATGCAAGAAGTGAAATCCCATTCTCCCAATCTGTGTATGTATGAAACATCAGCTGTCGTTTTAGATTACAAGTGGATGAAGGAAGTATTCCATGATAGGGTCCTCCTCCGACAAATCGATCGTCGTGAAGCACCGATTTTGATCAAAAGTAAAAGAGAAGCAAAACTCAAATGTTGGGTCATGTAGTAAAAAGAGCTACGTTTCTATCTTGGTGAACGAGCAGTCCAAGAAACCAATATCGATACACTACTACAACTTCTTATCTATGAGAAAGAAGACCCCTTTTTTCATTTTGATGGAGGACAATGACACGCTGTGTCTTGAAACAAGGTTGATCCACCGAATGGCATGTACTACCTTTCTTGGCGGTTTCTGTGTAACGACAAATGCAGCACTAAACCAGAACAAGGGCACCCGGTTCACACATAAAAAAGAAAACGGTAAAATATTATAGAAAAGGCTGATTGTACATCTACACAGAAATAAATACGAAGAAGGAGAGAGAGAGAGAGAGATTGAAAAGAGAAGGAGGCGGGTTGGATAGCATGATATGGCTATTGTAGACAGGAATGGAAGGGGATACTAGGTGGGTGGATATGGTAGTTGTTGTTGTTGTGATGGTGGAACAAGCTGAATGTTTTACATGAGCACGCAACACTTGTCGGTAGCAACATCGGGAGCATCTTGCATGTAATGATCATGACCACCACCGTGCATTTCTTGTTCCTTGTTGAATCGACGTATTTCACGTACAACTTCATAAAACGATTCGTCTACTCGGATCCTCTGCTTGGCTGATGTTTCAAGGAATTGACATCCAAATCGTCTCGCAAGATCACGTCCTTCTTGGCTTGATACTTGTCGTTCCGCTTCCAAATCACACTTGTTGGCCACGAGCACCATAGGAAAGTGGTCGCGATCCTTGACACGGCAAATTTGTTGATAGAATGTGAGGATCTCGTCAAATGACATGCGTGATGTGATCGAATACACGAGTAAGAAACCTTCACCGTTACGCATGTATTGTTCTCGCATAGCACTGGATGGATGCTATTAGTCATTCAACCCACTATCATACTCATTTGCGTTGTTTTTGCTTACCTGTATTCTTCTTGACCAGCAGTATCCAAGACATCCAACAAGGCAGTTTCATTGTCGATCACACATTGTTTACGATATGAATCTAAAAGAGGGGATAATAATAAGAATCAGCAAGATCGATCTACCGCCGCCGAATCGCCACCATGATATCCATACCTTCAATAGTAGGATCGTACTCGTCAACAAAATGCGACTGGATAAACTGGATCGTCAGGGCCGACTTGCCAACACCTACAAAAGTTCAAGTGGTCAATATGAAAAAAAGTAGCCGAGCATGTGGATAAGGTGTTCCAATGAGGAGGAAGAAAAAGGGAACCCATGGAATGGAAAAAGGCAAGGCGAGATGGACTTACCACCGCCGCCGACCATGACCAACTTGTACTCGCGAACAAATGACGAAGCTTTTGACATGATGGAAGAACAAAGGTGACAATGGGTGTAGTAATAGTAAGTAAGTAGTAAGAGTGGGAAAAAAAAGAGAGAGAACTCCTCCTTGGTGGAAGCGGGAAAGCTTGCTCTCCGTCTTACATCCTGTACTCTTTTTCTTTAGTCCCTTTGCTCTCATTCTCTCTCCTCCCCCACCTTCACCCCGATTTTCGGAGGTTGCGGATCGCTTCTTGTTGTATAAGAACATTACATAGCTATCCCATTTACTATCATCATCATCGTCATCATTGAATAGCATGAACACCATCATTCTACTATTATACGCCCGATCTTACAAGGGAACAAGGTGAATAACCTGGATATCTTGTGTTCCCTGATTATATACAAATGGGGACCTTTTGTACCCTTTGAATAAAAAACGGGGAGCAAGGGTCTTGCCATTATTCCCGAAAGATCACACAATATATATCATTGTTTCAATTTGCATGGTAACAATAGGGTGACAAGCGGGTTTCTTGTTGTAGAGGATCATGCATCACATGTTTGGTGCCCTGATGATGATGATGATGCAGCACTTTAATCGATAAATGAGAGAGAGTGAGAGTGAGCCTGCTGCTGGTTACTTTGTACATCAATTGTGGGTTGCATAAGTCACATGGGCTCTTGGGATGTCCCCCTCCACACATGAGTATAGCTCCACTTGAGTCATATGTGCATTTATATGTCATTCAGTCAACCCACTAGATACTTTATTAACCTGATCACCGATCATATCAAATATGATGAAATGGCGTTCTTTGTATATAAATGACCACGTGCATAACTTTACTGGCGAAACAATTTGTATTAAACAACAACAAATAGTGATAGGGATATGTAAAGCGTATACTACTTCTAGCATCAGCAGCAGCAGCAGCAGCAACAGGTGACAATGTACTATGACCTCATATTCCTGGTATTGTGCCAGGACGAGGAAGAGAAAAAGACCGAGGCACGGGTTTGATGAGCCATGTACTTTTTTTGCGTGATGTGAGTGTTGCTGCAACGACCCAAAGTAGGATGGATGTGTGACCCAGGCGGTTCACGAAAAGGCAAGCCATGATGCAAGAGCTATGATAGAAGTGGGGGGCCATGAAAGGAATGGTTCCGTCGGCAATGTCGAAAGGGGATACACACGCACACACGCATACATGAGTGTTATGCTGTTCAAGTCTTACAATCCTTGGATTATCAATGGTTGCTCACACGCCCTTGTTTCATTTTTATTCTTTTTCTTTTTCTTTTCCCTTTTCACCTCCTCATGTCATCTCCATTGCCTGTCAATGCAAAACAAAACTACCAACATCCACGCGATGGTGACAATACTACCAGCAGTAGCAATGGCAACGAAGACTCTCAACAGGATAGAGCTGCTTCCATTGCTCGTCTAAGCTCTTCTCCTGTTCGCTACAGCAGCTCTCCTCCTCGCAGCATAAGTTCTGGAAGATCGTATGGTAGCACCGATATTGATGCCGTCATGGCTGGTTCCACTGGCTTGTTTCGTCCCTTGTCAACGCCCACCTACAACTATGAGGACAACACCGTATCAGTGGATTTGCCTGAAGATCAAGTAGCTCGTGTGGTGAAACGACATTTGGTGGATACAACATCACCGGCAGGCTCCATTATAGGCACAAGTGGAGGTGGTGGAGGTGGTGGTGGTAGTGGAAGTTCTGTACAACGCATTCAATCCATTGATTCCACTGGATCCTCTGGAAGTAATATCAAATCGGTGCATCAATTACCAGGTGGTGCTATCACACACGACATTTATAAATGGGCCGAAGCTGCTGATATGGAACAAGCTCGTCGAACAAGATCTCAATCCGTTTATATCCCACGCAATGAACCTTCGGATCCTGCATTGGCTCGTTTACGTGACCCCGGAGGCTTTCGTCGCTACTTTGTTTATGATCGAGCTGCTCGCCAAGGAAAAGAACCTCCTCATTGGATGACTCGTACTTTTGTCGACTTTCTTGCATTGTATGGCCACTTTGGTGGTGAGGATCTAAGTGATTCGGAAGATGAAGATGATGATTCCGAAGAAGACAACGAGCGAACTGGACTACTCAGGGGTGATGATCGGGCAGCTCGTTTGATTCGTCGTGCTCAAGAAAATGCAGTTCAGGGCACTGCTACCCCTGGAAAGGCTGTTTTCCTATTACTCAAGGCATTCGTTGGAACAGGTACAGAGGATGTGAATGGATGAATGAAAGGAGTTAATAATAACCCCTTGGCTAAATGGGTATTCTTTTTCTTCTATCCCAGGTGTCATGTTTCTACCAAAAGCGTAAGTGGGGTGCATATTGCAAGAGGGTGCATGCTTGTTTATTGTTATCATCACTCACACGATAGATTGCATATATTAGATTTTACAATGGAGGCATCTTTTTCTCAAGCATGCTCTTGTCAGCAATCGCTTGTATTTCCCTTTACAGTTTTTTGTTGTTGGTGCAAACACGTAACAAGGTCCCTGTATCGTTTGGTGACATTGGCGGAATCTTGTTTGGCAAATTCATGCGAGTGGCGGTGTTAACAGCCATTACGTTTTCGCAGGTGAGTTGCTGGGATAGAAAGTGGGGAATGGGCCACGTTGCACAAAGGGGAAGGGGAAATCATCAAAAAGACTAATCAACCCATGGATATGGTTTTTAAGGTTGGCTTTGTGTGTGCGTATATGGTCTTTGTGTCTCAAAACCTTCAAGCATTGATCGAAGCCTTGTCCGATTGCACAATTCAAACACCCCTGCCGTACCTGATCTTGTGTCAGGCTGTTATCTTTGTACCACTGGCTATGGTACGCAAGATCCAGAAATTGTCCTCTTTTGCCTTGATCGCCGACGTATTCATCATGATGGGATTACTGTACTTGTACTATTACGACTTTCTCACGCTCGCCACTCATGGTATCGGTAATGTGGAATGGATGATCAATGCCAAATCCTTCCCCATGTTTATTGGCACAGCCGTTTTCACCTACGAAGGCGTGGGTCTTGTGATTCCCATCACTGAGTCCATGAAAGAGCCTCACAAGTTCCCTCGCGTCCTTGGATTTACTATGGTTGGCATCACAGCTATCTTTTTATCGGTTGGCTTTATCTCGTACCTTGCCTTTGGAGATAAGGTACAAACCGTGATCCTCCTCAACATGCCAGCTACTCCCATTGTCAACACCGTTCAAGCTTTGTACGCCCTTGCCATTTGCTTATCAATCCCATTGCAACTCTTCCCGGCTATTCGCATCATTGAAAACATCCTCTTTAGCCGATCAGGAAAGCACAATCCTATAGTCAAGTGGGAGAAGAACGCTTTTCGTTTGGTGGCCGTATTTATTTGTGCATGCATTGCCATTGCTGGTTCGAATGATCTCGACAAGTTTGTATCACTGGTGGGATCATTGTGCTGCTTACCACTTTGCTTCCTATTCCCGCCATTGTTCCACTTTAAGGCTATCGCAAGAACTCGCATGCAAAAGATGATTGATGTCACCATTATCGTATTCGGTGTAGCGTCCATGACTTATGCAACAGGTATCACCATTGCACTGTGGTCTGAAGGTGGTGGAGGTGCCCCCATCTCTCGATGCGTACCCAATGGCAACTGAGCAAGACGTCATATGAGAGACCTCGTATTATTACTACTTCTCCTCCTCCTCCTGCTATCTACCGTCTCATCTTTTCCCTCTCTCACTCACACAAATAACAATCCTGTACTAGAATGTGGTTGTCTCTGTATTATCTTTTCGTTTCCCCTACCTTGCAATATAGCTTACCACCTCCTATATCCCCATTAACAGCAGCCATCCACTCACACCACCACCATCCTATTATATCTCTTACATAAAGATATACCATTCATATTCCCCTTGGATTATGGTAGTAATGATGCCATTCACGAATAACACTGCTTCTCCTACTATGGATGTACAAGCGAACGATTGTATCGTGTACTAGGTTTATTCACAAATACGACATGTTAGGCCAGGATCGTAATTGCGATCCACACCCAAACCAAAGGTCTTCTTCATAAAGTCATGGTACAAGGTCAAGATCAAGTTGAGTTTCGGGAATACCTTGAAGCCTACAAGGATCTGATCACCTCCACATGCACATCACCATGGGACATTTTAACCGCCTCAGCATGATTTAATTAGCAACATGGGTCAATGGATCAAGGCGCTACCTCGAAAGAAATGCCGTACAAGTATAGCTGGGTCGTCAAGCAATACGATTAGTGGATGTTGTCTCATAACAAGAAGATCCAAACATCACAATGACCACCGCGACAATGAAAGTAGGACAACAATGAAACGCTATTATGAATGACCATAAGGTCCTCTTTGTTAGTATCCACAATGATACTCAGATCGACTTGGGGCTTTGACGGTGTAAGCAAGCAAAGAAATAGGTAGGAGTAAAATGAGCAACAAGCATCCTTGTTGTGATGATTGTCTTATGCATGAACCCTTGTATGCCGCCATACCTACTTACAGAGCAATTGCCAAAATGGCTTCATTCGAGCGCTGTAACAAGTAGCCACGAATTAGGAAAAATTCTATCCATTAAGGTGTCACGTCGAATAAAGGTCATTGTCCGATTCGATACCATAATCAACATCTACACACACACACACACACGAAGTTGCATGATAAAGTAATACACAACTACGAGACCAATCAATGCCATCCACTTGTTCATGTACATCCATCATCATGACATTCTCATACATGTGAATCATCCCATCCTCATTTATTGAGGCATAAATCTATTATAGAAAGCTATACAACAATGTGGCCAAATGATAGTGGTGGAAAATGCATATGCCCAGTGTCACGTCCAACAACGCGGGCCGCATAAGCAGAGGGTGGATAAATGGGTCGCCGATCGGGTTATAGTTTAGAGTGTTTGAGTACAATCGAGACACAAAGCACGCGCTTTTCACTTTTGAATTTCCTCTTTTCTCTTGCAAAGTACACTTTCAATGCTTGAAGACGAATACTACTGGGGTGCTCCGTACGTAATTGAGACAAATGCGCTGTTCTTTTTGTGTCTAATGCTTCTCATGTAGCACGTCCACCATTGACTGGTGCGAGGTATGCTTTCGCGTGTGCACGATCGTGTATGGATCCACTTGCTCTTCTAACATTGCATACAGGAGAACTATATCGTATCACCCTATATTGCCGAATTCTTTAACGTAAGTTGCCTTGGGATATGGAGGATGTTCTTGAAAGCTTACATGGCTCTCGATATAGACAACAACCAATCTCGCCTTTGGTAAGTAGACAAGGCCAATGCAAACGGTGTGTGTGTGTGTGTGTGTCAACAACCATATTGACAATGAATGGGATGGATTATAGGCTTGCTTGCATTGTTTGGTATTTGGAACACGCTAGCGAATGGCTTCAGCAAATCGTTCATCTTGGCCCACTTGTCAGTCATGTTTGTCGGGTTTGGCTCGTGCGTAATTTCTGTTTATATTGCTGTATCATGCAAAGGTTACTCACCATGGATGATGGGATAGGTGGTGCTTTCACATGACTTTACAATACGAGATGCAGCTCCTGGATGAGCTTCCTAGTAAGTATAAACGCACATACATACGATGGCTATAAGCGCTGAACTCACTTCTTGTATGATATAGTGATTTACGCCGCTTGTGTTATGGTTTGGCACATGTAAGTTTGAACTCACTTTTGTGTGTGGATGCAGAATATTCACGTGTGTACGACATAGTTTTGAAGTCTATCCTCAGAAACGATACGGCATTATGCTTCCTTTATTCCTTGTCGCCTATTCTGCATTTGTTACGTACTCCTATTTGATCATCAAGAATCCTGTATACCATCAAGTGTGCTATGCCTTAGTGGTTTTCGCTATTATTTTCCGATGCATCTACGTCAATCACTCGGTGCCATCCATCTACGTCTATGAAAAGCCCTGGTTGACTCGTCTCTTGTGGGGTGGTGCATCTTGCTTTGTTATTTCATTCCTTGTTTGGAATATCGACAACCAATTCTGCGATAGTCTTCGAGGCTGGAGAACGACAGTAGGACTACCATTGGGTGCTGTTAGTGAGGTAGGCCAAAACATGTGAAGGTGGTAATGCACAAAGTCACTAATCGAGATTGGCTTTTTCTTTATTAATGCTAGTTACATGGCTGGTGGCATATTGGAACAGGTAATTGGGATGAGTAGCATGGAAGGAAGGGGGTTTGGTTGGTGATGATGATGCTCATCAATGACTATTACAGGTCTTGGCGCATATTACTTTGTTGTATTTTGTGAATGGATCCATCAATTGATGAAGGGCAATGCTCAACAATACGAGATCGTTTGGCTCGGTCCAGTTTGCTATATTCGTCCCGTTCGGAATCAAATCAAGAAAGAGTAGATGTGAACCCCTTGTTCCTGAGCTATGCTGTTTCATCTATTTCTCAATATATTAGATTTCGCATTGAGATGCTTGTGCAATAGAGATGGATATATTCCCATTGCGGATAAAAATGATGTGCATGTGTACTACCAAGAGGAAAGAGAAGACATTGGTTGAATTCGAGCTGGGGTTGGGCTTAGCGTTGCCATGATCGCACGCACGCACACACACATATATCCTCCACTGCTTGCTAAAAAAAGAGCGAATCATCCTCTTTCTTTCCCTCTCTCTCTCACTCACTCACTCACCTCGCTCACTCTTCCTCTCTCTTATTTACAACCACAGCAATGAACTTCAACAACATTGCCTCACCCTTTGCAGACCATTACATGGACACTTCCGGTTCACCCAGCTCCTCTCTCAGCTCGCCATTTGAATCACCAGGAGGTTCACCCACTGCAGGCTGCTTCAAGCCCTATATGCAGCAATCACACCAGGCGTCTTTACAATTACCAACAGCCACTCAACAAGGTGGTGGCATGCAACCCAATCGACCTCCTTCACCATCTGCCTCCAGTGGAAATAGCACTTTTGTGTATAAACTCTTCCAGCAAGTGATCAAATTACAGTGGATATATATAAACGACTATCATTGCTAACATGTATCGTTTAGGATTTTGGCTGAAGAAGACGAGCAACTCATCAAATGGGGACAAAATGGAACGACGTTTATCGCAAGAGACAGCCAAGATCTTCGTGAAAAAGTATTTTCAAAGTACTTTAAACACAAAAGTTTTGAGAGCTTTGTGAGACAACTCAACATGTAAGTTCGATCGTTGGATGATAAGGAAGGATAGGATGGCTAATTGATTGATGTGTGTGTGTGTGTGTGTGAAACATGATGATAGGTACGGATTTCACAAGGTGAACAAACAATCGCGTGGACAGCGAGGAGCTGAGAACCAGATCTATGAATTCAAGCATCCCAATTTTCAAAGGCATCGTGCTGACTTGCTCGATGAGATTCGGAGGAAGCCAAACGATCATGCTGATAGCCGTCGTGATGCAAACGCCAATCATGGAAATAGCGCAGCCACCGATCCTTACGTGTCGCAAATGATTAGACAGCTGCAGCAACAAGTGGATCATGTCCAACAACAGCTTACCCATGTGCAACAAGAACTCAAAAGCACCCGGAGGCGGGAGCATGCTCAGGAACAGATCATCAAGAGCATAACAAACTACCTTCGACAGCAACATGGTGCACAATGTAAGGCATTTGTGTTGTTGCCATGGATACGATCGATCTAATAATATCCCTTCTACATAGTGCAATTACCCGCCGAATTAGATTTTGATCCAGAGTGTCCTCCTCCTATTGTTATTTCATCGCATGACGTTGACGCTTCTGCACCACATATGAACCTGGATCCAACACCGTCATCACGTCGAGCAGCTCGTCTCACCGTACAAACCGATAATTTGGGTCATATCGCACAAGGATCACCTCTTTCATCACCATCATCCTCCGTACATCAATCACCCGTATCACCCATGAATGAATACCATACCGCCATCAACACTCCATTACCGCCCAGTCCAAGCCCAGGTCCTTTTACAGATGATGAAGGTGCAAGTGTTGGTAGTTATCAGAGCCCTAATGCTTCACCAATGGGCGATCCTTTTGCAATGTTTACCTCCCAGCAACAGCAACAGCAGCAACAGCAGCAATTCATTTATAATTCATGGCAAGATCAGCAGCAACAAAACATCCAGATGATGGATCCTCAAATGATGGCCATGATGCAACAACAGCAACAACAGCAATTACAACATCATTTCACAGGCACAAACATGTAGTATTCTTGACACATTTTCTATTCTGTACACTATTCTATACACATTTTATCTATTGCATTTGCCCACCTGCCGTAACATTACATACCCATAAATCAGAATGAAACTGTTTCCACGTGCTTTTTATCATCACCCATATTGTTCAATATAAGCTTTTAGAGGTAAGATGCGGCATTGTATGCAGTGGGCGGGGCATGGGATCAACAAATCGGAAGAAAAGTACCTGACAACCACCGACCGGGCATTTGCCTTTTGTAGACATTGCAACTCTTGTTTCCTTTTCACCCTTTCCTTTTATCTCTCCAATGACCGTTCCTGTAACTGTATTGACTGGATTCCTTGGAAGTGGCAAGGTAACCACACAATTGACCTGTCATGAGTTGGGTTGGGTTGGGAGGTGGCACTGAATGCTGATGAGTCGACCCTTTTTATCTTTCAGACAACTCTCCTCAACTACATTTTGAAAGAGCAGCATGGCAAGCGAGTGGCCGTCATTGAGAATGAGTTTGGTGAAGTGGCAATCGACGATGGGCTGGTAGTGGTGGATGCTGGTCAAGAGATATACGAGACTCAAAATGGATGGTGAGTGTGACACACGGACACACACGACCACAGACAGGCTAATGATGATGATTTAAAGTATATGCTGCAAAGTACGAGGGGACTTGGTGCGTATCCTGCATGACTTGATTGATAGCAAAAAGCCTTTGGATTTGATCCTTATTGAAACAACCGGCATGGCGGATCCAGGTCCCGTTGTCCAAACCTTTTACATGGATGAAAAAGTGCAGGCAGCATTTCGGATGGATTCTATCATTACCATGGTGGACGCTAAGCACGCCAATATGCAACTCGATCAAACCCCTGAAGCCTATCAACAAATCGCCTTTGCAGATGTCCTTTTACTCAACAAGGTGGATCTCGTACAGCGGGCTGAGCGAGACAAGCTGATCAAACGGATCAAGGAGATCAATGATGTGGATATTGTTCCTTGCGAATATGGTCGTGTCGATCTTGACAAGATTATCAACATTGGTGGATTTGATCTTGAGCGTGTTTTGGAAAGAGAACCGGCCTTTTTGAAAGAAGACGATGACCATCACCATGAACACGTATGTACAAAGGTTTGAGTGTTATTGGATCAATGGCATTATTGGCTGACCCAAGGTTACTATAGGAACGACATGAGGGTAGCATCACATCCGTTGGTATCTGTGAACCAGGCGCATTGGACTTTGATCATTTGAATCGGTGGATCCAAAGTGTGTTAGCATCTCTCGGCCCCAATATTTATCGCATGAAAGGCATCTTGAATGTCGAGGGAGAAGAGGATAGATACGTTTTTCAGGGTGTACATATGGTATGTAGGGCATGGTGACATCCATGCGATTGCTTTTTTTTCTTACACAACATGTTCTAGGTATTCGACGGCCAACAAGATCGGGCATGGGGACAAGATGAAGATCGTATCAACAAATTAGTGTTCATTGGGAAGAACCTGAAGCGTCAAGTGCTTGTAGATAGCTTTAGACAATGCATAATCAAATCATAAAAGTGGAGTTCTCATCATTGCCATTGCTACATTTCCAAAGAAGGGTTGGTTGGTACTCCTCCTTATCGCCCATGATATTATTATTGCTGTGACACGGGGATTATATGATGTATCATCCCTCGACCATGAGCAGTAGTACGACGACATGTTGCTTTTGAGAATGTGCCTCAACATCTATCCAGTAAATATGGCGAGATTCAATCCCTCCATAAACCTCCTTGTTTACATGATTCGTATGATCCCAAAGCACACACATAGCTATGATTGCTATTGAATACCAGTATTCTTTATCAAAGGCGGTCGTTGAAAAATGCAGGGAGCCTCAGCATACATGTGATGGTCGCTACTGCAGCAGCAGCAAGCTTTATTCTTTGATGGATGTTGTGATGTCTATCTGTTGTCTTTGCTATTGGGGGAATAATGTTGTGTGTTACCAACAACAATGCCACCTTCAGATTTGGCTGCAGCCACGACGCTATTTATAGTTGTGCAAGCGATTGCTGTACCACTTTGCGAAGACTTCCAAGAAAAAATAGACGTGGACCAGCATATCCCTTTTTCTCTTTATAACCACTACTACTACACACACTCGTTTCCGCCCGCCATTTGTCGTCGTTGTCATTCCCATCATGGCGTCTAATTCCTCTTCATACCGAATGGTTGCCATCGTTTTGGCGTTCGTAGCATTCATGGCGTCCGTTGCCCTGGCTGCCGATGTTGTGAGAATCGATGAGCCCACCGACAATGCACAGTTGCCTAGCAACACCGAGATCAGCTTCAAGTATACAGTTATTGGTGCTCAAGCTGGTATGCATAATGATGAGCGCGCATTTGGATGTACATGCATTGAGTTTGGATCACAGGGTTTTAACTGGGTTATCACTATTTAGCTGGTATCACGGATGCTTACTATCCCAATTCGATGACGGTCGACTTTGAATGGGTGCAAAACGGCAACGAATCCAACGTGTTGCGTTTCAATGCAGCTAGCTCACTTGAGACGACTTCTGCACCTGCTGGTGTATCGGATAAGCAATATGAAGCTACATGGAAGACACCCAACTGCCACTTTTTCACCCGTTACAACCCTAGCGAATACACATTCTCGCTCCTCTTTACCCCCGTCTATCCTGAACTTACACCCAACATGACAGCACCTGGTCCCGAGCAACAAGCCATGTCGGTACCCGTCAACATCAACGTCAACAATGGCACATTCCCCAGATGCTAGAGATTGAATAAATGCACCAAAGCACCCTATTTATATTTCATTTGCTGTTGTCTGCAGGAGAAGAGTCGATTTATGCGTGACATGTTATTAATAAGCTAAACTAACGTCGTCATGGATATGGTGGTTGGGCGTGTTGGATACGTGTGTGAAACATCTCCGAGGTGACTTGAAAATGATAATCTCAATGCATTGATTCAAATGGAAACAAGCGTCTTTTTAGCCAGCAATAACAACAACCCCCCGCATCATTAGCCCTTGTTGACTCATTCTTCCTCTTTCTTTCATTCTTTCATTTTTAACCCCCCTAAAACACACTTTATCAACTTTGTTTGTTCATCATGTCACCACCACCTCCACCACCAGCCAACGGTAGCCAACAGGGTGGCTCCAACAACAATGCTGATCGACCTCGTGAGCCCATCGTATCACCATACATGCCAAAATACCCCGATCCCATGTCAAATATCTCCAACTTCAAGATTATCGAATCGACGTTGCGAGGTAATTCTTCTTTGAAAGCAATGGCCTTTATCCATGATGGATCGTTGACGTCATAGACTACTTTAGAGGGTGAACAATTTGCCAACGCGTTCTTTGATACGGAAAAAAAGATTGAGATTGCCAAGGCACTTGATGAAATTGGTGTTGATTATTTGGAGCTCACGTCACCAGCAGCCTCTGAACAATCTTTGAATGACTGCAAGGCTATTTCCAATCTTGGATTGAAGGCTAAGATTCTGACACACGTGCGTTGTCACATGAATGATGCCAAGTTGGCGATCGACACCGGTGTGGATGGTCTTGATGTGGTGATTGGCACATCCAGCTACTTGCGTGAATTTTCACATGGCAAGGATATGGATTACATTACTGACAAGGCCATTGAAGTGATTTCCTACATCAAGGACCAGGGTCTGGAGGTGCGTTTCTCTACCGAAGACTCTTTCCGATCCGATCTTGTGGACCTTCTCAGCATTTACAAGGCTGTCGATAAGATCGGTGTCAATCGTGTGGGTATAGCAGATACCGTAGGATGTGCCAATCCACGTCAAGTCTATGAATTGGTGAGGACTTTGCGTAGTGTGGTCAGCTGTGACATTGAATGTCATTTTCATAATGATACGGGCTGTGCTATTGCCAATGCATATGCAGGTAAGACATTACAAAAAAGTGGGATGGATGGATGGATGAGAAAACTCATCATGGTTCTATGTATGCAAAGCTTTGGAAGCGGGTGCTACCCACATTGATACATCCGTTTTGGGCATTGGTGAACGTAATGGTATCACGCCATTGGGTGGTTTACTTGCTCGCATGTATGCAGCGGACAAGGAATACGTCTTGAACAAGTATAATCTTCCAAAGATCCGTGATGTGGAAAACATCGTGGCTGACGCCGTTGAGGTTACGGTGCCATTCAACAATTACATCACTGGTTACTGTGCATTTACCCACAAGGCAGGCATCCATGCAAAGGCTATTCTCAACAATCCCAGGTATGGAAAGACATGTGCACAAATGAAACAGAAAAACATAACCTAACAAACAACACTCCTCCATTTGATAGCACGTATGAGATTTTGAAACCCGAAGATTTCGGCATGTCCCGCTATGTGAGCATCGGCCATCGACTGACGGGATGGAATGCCGTAAAGAATCGTATTGAGCAGCTGCAGCTGACTGATCTCAAGGATGAGGATGCTAAGATTGTCACTCAAAAAATCAAGGAACTTGCAGACATTCGACCGCTCTCACTCGATGATGTCGATACAATGCTGCATCATTACCACAGTGCCAAAAATGAAGGTGCACATAAGCACTTTTTAGATAACATTGGTACTCCAGACCAAATTGCAGAAATGATGAAGAATATGGCATCTCAATAGTAATACATAGCTTTGATAATTTGTATTAAAAAGAACATGTTCACGCAACACAAATAGATCACTTTTTACAACATGTTTCAGAAGAAAGACTAATGCCGCTGTCGTTCCGGATCGTTTTTGGCTGGCCCATGTTGAGTAGCAGTGTCACCGGTGATCGGATTTCCACATTTTCGGCATCGACACCATCGTTGAAATGAAGCGTGATAATAAGAAGATGCTTGGCAGTTGGGTTGATGTTGTTGTAGAGGCAAGAGGCGGCGTCTTGATCATCGAACACTATCATTGGTACCATGCAGGGTGCATCCCAAGTACTGGATGGAGAGGGAAGGACACGTGTCATAACTAGCCTAAAAAAAGTTGGCAAAGGTTACATACAAACAATGTCGTATGCAACATTAAAGTGCGTATGAGTCTGACAGCCCATGCAATAAAGAAAAAAGGGGAATAACGCGACCAAAAAAGGCTCACGCATAAAATTGTGTGTGTGTGTATGTATGTGTGTGTATATGAACCCTTTAATGCCTGATTCCTTTTGGATTAGCCGACACCCGATGAGACATGAAGCAAGAGGAGATGATGCTTTGTTATAACGAGACCGTATTCGCACGCACAAATTCTCGGGTGGCAATGATGATGGTGTTGTATTCAATGTGCTGGGTACTTCAATCTCGTATTGCCAATTTTTTGAAGGTGTTGTACCCCAGTACATTTTAGGCGGAAGTCGTTTCCGATCATCATCGGTAATAGTGGTGGTGGTGGAGGTGGTGGAAGTGGAGGTTGCTGAATTTGACGGCTTACCCACCGTATTTGGTGCTAAAATGGGCTGAACGGATGATGGTGAAGGAAAGCGAGAAGGATGATGTTTGTATCCATTGTTCGGTATTTGGATGGGGTGTGTGCAATGAGTAATCGCTCCATGGTCGATAACAAGCATGTATGTAAAAGATAACACGGATCACACGAAAAGTTAAAAAGAGAGAAAGAGAGATGGAAAACACCACTGAATCAAGATTCTTTTATCATTTTTCGAGAAAAGAAACAAAAACAACGCAAACGTTACACATCTCTATCTTCGCTAGAACCCTTTTTGATCAACTGCTCTTGGAGTCGTTGAGCTTGGTGTGATTGCTGATATCGCATGGCTTCTTCATCGGAGATGTCCAGGATACGTGCTGCCTTACTGCTCCGTTTAGGCGCAGCAACAGGTGTAGCAGGGCTGAATTTTTCATCGAGGATCGACATGTCTAATCCCATATCGTCGTTGTAATCCGGCCCTTCTTGTTCCTCGCCATCCACAAGTACCGGACGTATGGTTTGTGTTGCCAGCAACTCTTCCATGTACATGTCATCATTCTGATTCCCTCGTGACAAAGGTAGTTGGTTTGTTGCTACACGTCGCCTTCGTCGCCTATCATTGCTCCTCCTCCTGTTACGGTCTTGATCACACCATAATGCGCTATATCGCTTTTGACCCAAACGCCTATATCGAAAAGATCGTGGCATACATCGACGCCATGGCCGCTGTATTCGATACGTGACACGGCGCATAATTCTCCATGCTTTGACTGCATAATGGCTTCCAATCGATGACTTTGTTGCAGACATCCCACTACCAACAGGCGACCATAGCTTCTTCCAATCATCCAAATCATCCTCATCTTCCTCTTCGTCATCATAGTAATAGTCATCGAATTCGTCATCATCATCTTCATCGTCGTCGTCGTCGTAACTCGAATGACGTCCTGATCGGTTGATGTATTCCACCGTGGTCATATTCAAGTACACTAATTGTTACACATAGGCATCATTAATCCCTCAGTCTCATGAGCGCGTCATATATGACATGTATGTTACTTACCTAATCGAAGATGAAAAAGGAAGAGGCGTAACATGGCAACGGCACCAATGATCGAAAGGATGGCGAGCAAGACTGCAATGACCAAGCTGAGATAATAAGCGAGGCTCACACTGTAGTTGGCTTGAATTGTTCCTGGATCATCCAACACTGGCCCCGTGACATGCATCAACAATTCCAATGCTATAGGACGAGGGCAAAATTAGCGTACCATGTGACATCCAAACAATAATATTTTCTCTCTCCTTACTTACCGTGACCAGCAAACACATTTATCCGATATGTGCTCATCCAAAGCGTGGTTGTCGCCAAGGCCGTATACCACACCAATGCAGATAAGGCCAACGTGATCAGGGTCATGAATAATCTACCATGATGCATGAGTCAAGGGGATACTATATATACGGATACCTTATAGCTTACTTGTAATTGCTTTGTCCAATACAACAATTTAGCCAACGACAATGGTGATCCATGCCAGCAACGCATTTGTTGCATAATTTGCAATGTCGAGTTGATTTGGGTCTAAAGATAATTCGAGCATGAGTATATATATAACATGTCTCCTTCTCTCTCTCTCTCTTTGTTTTCCCCTACATGTACCATGTCCCTACCATGTTACTCGTCCATGTTGCCCACCATCCCTTTTCATGCTACTTACACTTTGATACGACATATGCCACACACGTTTGTCATTGAATCCACAACAGGGATGCCATATCGACGTACGTAGGTTTTGCTTCGAGGAACTTGATTTCGCTGACGAGCTACAATAGGTTCTTCGGTTGACACGAATGATGTGATGATGCTGAGTAATTTGACGCCAATGCTAAAAGCTACCATGATGTATGAAAGAGTCAAGGAGATGATAGTAGTATGAACCCCAGGGTCTAACATTGGTCATTGACAAAGATGACAATATCAGAACCAAGGAGTAAATAAGCGCATACACAAGAGTGAAAAAAGGATATCTGCCAACTCCATGGCCAACGTGGGGTATACAAGAGAGTGTTGGTTGATAATTCTGGGTTCCATGCTGATACCAGCGCACGGGTATTATCCATCACTGGATCGCCATTGACAAAGTGATATAGAAAGCCAAAGAAGCCAAGGTCGACAGTGATACATGCGATCCATTGAAGTATAAGATAGTTGTCAAAGGGAGACTGATATCCATGGTTCCTGAGCCAGTCATTGTCCTCCCATGAAGGAATGGAACTGCTTGATCGTGTAAAAGATATTCGCATATTGAATGTATATAGAGTGTGTTGGTGGTGGTATAATGCTGAAAGAGATCCAATGCCGGTTCGTATAAAAGAGTCAAAGAGTGGGTGATTATGGTAATGACATTGGGGTTGAGGAACAAAGAAATAGCCAAGAGACCCGAAAGCGGAAACAAGTGTATGAAGAAAGAGAAATAGAACAAGCAAGAGAGAGTGAGAGAGAGCGAGGAGAAAGCCTTGGAACCGCATCGTGTGACAAAGGAGGGATTGTATCACCCTTCATCCACCCCTCAACTCACATCTATATGTACATTGTTTTCCCTTGCTGTTGTATCTCATCATGTCAATGATCCCGGTATGTTGCGATTTCATATGTCTCTCATTACACGTCCTACTATGCGTTGTGCGATGGCGTCAAATGACATTATCACCCACTCCACTTTTGCCAATAAACAACCTTCCATATCACCCGTTATTCATATCCATCTCAGCTTGCCCAAAGCGCTATGGTAGGTAGTACAGAGAGGATCAGCATGATATTCACGGATCAGCAAACGTCGTTTTCACTTTTGCTATAACTTGTAAACGCACATTTTCATGTTCCAAATTGGGTACCCGTATCACCTTCCTGCAGTGCAACCGGCATGATGCTGCCAGCTGATCGGTCTTGAAAGAGTGACATGCGTACATTCATAAAACACTCACACTCAGTCTTTGCATATGCATATCCTCTGCGGATGTGAATTATTATGGTTTGTCCACGCGTCTACTTGTTTGGACCCATACCATCTTATTGCAGCAACAACGACATCGATGACGACTGAATCATTGTATGATAATGTTGCCTGTTGACAAGGTGCTTTGCTTACATGTAGGATGCATTGCTCACGTGATTGCCATCGTTGCATCACCAACAGGCGTATTGCTTGCATAGTGCATGTTGGATGCGAAAAGTGTAATGATGATGAAAGTGTATCATGCAAATTGAGCATGCCGATATGATGTATATGGAATCGATGCAACAACAGCGTGCTGAACTAAAAGTGATGGATCCATCATTAGCACATTCTTATTCACAGCAGCTTGACGGGATTAAAGAACGCGTGTTGCAGCTCGATGCGTAAATAGGTAATCATGCATACAAGCATCGTGTACATCTTGTTGAAGGTATGCTGTCAAATTGCTGGTGCTGTATCGACACAAAAAGACATCAATACAATTGCACTCTTGATAAGAGCATACATCTATTTAAACGATTCTCCTGCTTCAGCCCATCATTTTCATCCTTCAACTTCCTTCATCCTAGAGGATTTTAACGAGCAACACTCGAATAAAGAAAAATCGGTTCCTAACAGCCTACATTCCTTTTATGCCTCCATGAGTAGCCAGCTAACAGCCACTTGCTCCCATTTGAAACTTTTGTCAATTCCACTGCATAGGAATGATGCTCCTGCTCCAGGCATTCATTTCCATGATTCAATTATCTTGATCCGAGCTGATTTGACTGAGCTACGCTCAACCAAGATTACATCAGTTGAGCTAGATAGTACATAATAGATGTGTGGATTGATGTACTTGCTCCTTAGCTGTATCTCAATCAAATCAGCTCGGATCAAGATAATTGGATCATGGAAATGAATGTCTGGAGTAGGAGCAACGTTCCATTGTTGTAGAATAGGCAACATCGCTGATTGTGAGGAAATGGCTGATAGCTCGCAATACATGCCTGTTCCTAGATGATCCATAAAGTAATTATACATTGACCCTTTCATTCATGCAAACGTAGCTGTGTTACACAACACGACCCTCTGCATCTTTTACTCTGTCAGGGTCTAGCTACTTGGCAATGAACAAAGACCACTCTTCATATAGTGTCACGCTTACAAACATAAAGGTGCCTGTATCTCCAAACTTTACAATGAAACGTGGGGTTTTTATTAGAGCAATGTGCTCGGCTTGGCCAACAGCACCTTGTGCGAAAGTTTCACGTTCAATGTCGCAACTAGCCCAAAAAATATTTTTTTGCTCGTCGTTGTCGAAGAGGTCGACCCCCAGATCCAGTTTGGCTGGTGGCGACATTGCGAAATCTGGGATTAGCCACGATGAACTTGAAACTGGCACCCAAGGTGCAGTTGGCCAAGCCGAGCACATTGCTCTAATAAAAACCCCACGTTCGATTGTAAAGTTCGGAGATACAGGCACCTTTATGTTTGTAAGCGTGGTGCTACACTGGGGCTAAAAAATATGGGTTCAAAATGAAGCAAATCTGGTATATGTGCCACATATGAACTTGAGCAGGTTTTTCCAGATTTATAGCAGACAGCAATTGAAGATATGATATATACCAATCTGAAGCAGCTCATAATAAATAACCAGATTAGCAGCAGATTAACAATAGAATACGACAGTCCGCATTTAGCTGCCTTTTAGATACCACCAAGATGTCATTAATGATTGTACCAGATATTTATGAGATAACTTTCATATGACAGCTAGCTACTTCGGATACACCGAGATACGATTGCCTTCAACTTATATACATATTCCATTATTAAGGCTAAGCTCTTCCTTTGCCTTTTTCACGCGCACTCTTCTTCCTCGTGGTCATTTGGGGTTGCTGTGCCGCATGTTCGGGCTGCGTGTGGTCACCAGTGTCACCAATGATAGGACTCCTATTGCTTCCTTTTTGCTTCTTTGCTTTTTCGCTTCTTGTAGCACGCTGCGAACGTTGACGCTTGGATCCTAATGGCTTGGATTAGCAGAGTGTTTATAAGAAACAACCATGAGCAAGAATAACCTTGACAGCTTCTTGTTGGTCTTCTCTCTTCTTCTTCAACCTCGTTTTCGATTTGGTCTTCTTCATTGGTATCCTGAGGAAACGTATTAGCTTATTATGGGGTGGAGACGATTTAATGTGTTGCTCAACAGTATCGTACCTCAAAATCATCTCGATAAACCTTCTCCGCTGTTGTCTGTACAGGCTCATTCTCATGCGCTGATTCACTAAAGTAAAAACACTGCTGTTTTAGAATCCGAACATATCCACCTTATAATGTTTTGGCACTCACCTGTCACTTGATGAGTCGTCTGCCGCATATATGTTACGTGGTGGTGATGGTAATGGATGCTCGCTTGTACATGCAATTCTATTATGGAGAACACTCGTTAGCAAAGAATGATACGATATGATGAAGTATACAACCTCTGTTGGCCGCTGCGACTACTCTCCGCTTCTTGAATAGTTGATGGTTGGCTTATTGTAAGTCTTGAAGCTCCAAGGGATGATACACTTGATTCAGCTATAGCTATCCACAAATGGAAGTTAACAAGTGTAGACGACACGCTACGTACAATTCATACCTTGTTTTTTGGGGGTTGTATCTGTGCTTGTACGTCTGAAGGCTTCGGTCATGATCAATCTTGCACCCCATTGGCCTTCACAAGCTCTCAGCGGAAACAAATCGACAGACATGTCCTCCAATAATCGTGCCATTTCTGTTTGTGCCACTGATATTACATCGATCCAGGTAGAATTACTTGGTAGATTGCCATGTTTCCTTCCGTTAGATGCTATAAGATTGGATATGGAGCGAGAGTTTCTTTGAAAAGACTGTGTGATGCTCCGATCCCAATTTGAGCCTTCTACGTGTTGTCCAATGGTATCAATCAAGCCCCATGAGAACTGCCTATAACGTTCGTTTTCACCACCTCGTGGATGCTTGTAGGTAGGTCGAATGTTCGCCCACCGGCCTTGAGCAGTGGTATTACCGCCAATTGCAGTGGTAGGATTTGTATTGAATCGATCAATAAGGCCCCGTATCATCTCCTCTTGTTGCGTTATCTCCTCTTCGAGCTTATCGAGCCTCTGTGCCACCTCCTTGCTTGACCGAAGCACTGATTCATTCACATTTTGTATCAGACTCAATAAACTGCTAAGAAGATCCACAGCAGACTGGTTGGAAAGGTTGCTCATGATAAGTTGAAAAAAAAGGGGAAGAGAAGAGCAATCTAATCCGCAGCTGAGAAGATCACTTATTTGCTGTATTTGTACAACCCAGGAACCTGTCATATCGTCACGCTTCTCGCTGCAATGTAGTATGTATAGAGGTAGCAACAATGCTTCTTGGATAAATTTCTTATTTAGGTGCTGCCAATGTAAACATGACCGGTAATGATTGGTACTTCCTCCCACGCCCATCTTGTGTTGAAATCCTCCACGAAATCTCATACTGGTCATTGTTTCTTTCTTCTGTTTTCCGATGTCCTCGAAGCGTAGCTACACTTACGTTTGCTTTAACTGTCATCTTCGCTTGAACAATCGTGATGATCCTAAAGCAGAGCACCAACAGCGTTGTGCGGTGGAAATAGCAACCAGAACCATCAAGCAAGCTAGAGAATGCTATGGTCATAGCGTGTTTAATGATGCGTTTTTAGCAGTGCTTCGAGAGGTATTCCTAACAATGAATAGAGAGCACTATATAACACAGGATTAACCATCGATTATCATGAAATAGGATCATACCACCATTACGAGCACCCACGATTACGAAAATGAAGCATCATCAAGCCATCATGAAGCTGGGTAGGCTTTACATGCAATTGCAACATGTTCCCCTTTCCCCTTTCTCTTCAAAGTAAACGATACTCAATCATTTTTATTGCCAGAGCTGTCGATGTAATGGATGTGGATGAAGATATCGACGTGGAGCGTGCTGAGAATGAAGAAGATCCGCAACAAAATGTTGACAGAAATGATGAAGATGGTGATCAAAACGATGAAGGAAGCTTCAGCCCTCATATGCAAACCGATCCTGCTCCTCAATGGGATCATGAAGATATATGGAATCAGCTTATGTTTCCCAGACTTGATGAGGTATAGGATTGAATTTGGATTTGATAGGAACATTGGCTGCTAATATATTCGATTTTTCAATGTATTCAAGGTCTTTTCGCATTCAAACACTGAAACGATCCCTCAACATGTTGCTGTAAGCGCTGACATATACACACTTGGAATGACTCATGGAGGCTCGCAAGAGCTATGCGAGAAAGTAATAGCTAAGGTCAACAAGTATATTGGTGATCGACAGCCGCATCTCGTAAGCTGCTACCGAGCAAAGAAGGCCCTTCGGGATTTTTATCCGATCAAGCCAAAGTCGTATCCAGTGTGTCAAAATGGGTGTATGTTGCTGTCCGATTCATGTTCTCTTGTTCGATGCCCATATTGCCTATGTAATTTTTGCTATCCAGACAACAAGCCTAAGCAAACAATCGAGTATCTCCCCTTGCGTGATCAGCTCGAACTAGTTGTTAGGGATGATGAAGCACGTGATCTTTTGAAATATGGGCAACATTATTCGGCGAATGACGATGGCATCATGTACGATATTTTTGATTCTCCTTTCATGAAAGAGATCAAGAAGACGCATTTGTTTGATGGTGATATCAACTTGAGCTTGATGCTTTTCACAGATGACTTCCAGCCGTTCAAACGCAGCAGCCACTCTATGATGCTCGTTCACGCGATAATTTTGGATTTACCACCTGAAGTCCGATATCATCAAAAGAACATGTTGCAAATATGTGTTACTCCTGGTCCCAGGACTGTCGATGCAATTAGCTTTTTGGAACCAGTTCTCGAGGAGTTGGAATCAATCGCCACTGACGGCTTTCATGTTCAAGTTGGTAGTAGCATGTTACGCGTCAAGGCACACTTGGTGCTTGTGGGTGGCGACATGCCAGCAGCTTCAAAAATGGCAGGGCTTATAGGCCATACTGGATATCACGGATGCCGTTTTTGTTACATTAAAGGTACTCCATTGTTAATGGCGAAGTCATAATGAAGGTATATTAACATATATGGGTATTGATACAGGAAAACACAATGGCAGTGCAGTGATATTTCCTCCTGAACAGGTGGAATCTGATATGAGAGAACCGGCCATGTTTAAAGCTTTACGTTCTTCTATTGGTCAACGTCGCCCCAGTCCATTCGCAACGCTTCCTAGCTTCCATGGCTACACATTTTTCCCGATGGATATTATGCATTTGTTAGGACACGGCATTGCTCATCAGCTATGGAATATGATGCAAGGAACTTACGGCAAAAACAACAATCCATTGTATTTAAGTCCGGCTACCCGTAACACCATCAGCCAACAATTGATTGCTTCAAGCCAAACAACACCATCATCGTTCTCAGGCTCTTGTGGAGATATCAAAAACAAATCGGGATACTTTCGTGCGGTGGATTGGATACACTTTGCCCGCTTCTTATTGCCTACGGTGCTGCTTGAGTATGTGTCAGACCCAGAGGCTGTAAAAGCTTTATATCACCTGGTCAATATCTTTGAGATTGCATTTAGTCGGATGACCAAGCCAAAAGATGTCAAGTTGTTGAAAAAATCTGCTAAAGGTTAGTAAGAAATATGACAATCCCGAATGTTTAACTAAAAACAACACTTGTTTTATTTACAGGGTGGACAACGTTTCTCAAATCACAAGTATCTCGACAAAACCTCTCTGACTCAGTGTTTACAATGAATGAACATTTCTTGTTACATTTGCATCGTGTTCTCCGCCACCTTGGTCCATTACCAGTTTATGCAGCATTTGCTATGGAACGTGCTATTGGTGAGATCAAGGGTCACATAAACTCAAAAAGCAACCCAGGAAAAAATGCCAGCAATGTGTTGGTTGATTTGGCAGCAGCTCGTTATCGAGAAAAAAGAATGCAAGGAAACAACGATGATAGTGAAGAAGGTCGAGCCCAGAAGAGATTTATTACCACCACCAGCAGCGATGTGGGCAGCCCTGAGTTGTGGGGGCCTTGTATTCGATGGATCAATTTGAGTACAAATCCACAAGCAAAGTTGGCTATTCGTGATTACTGGAGATGGTGTCGTGGTGCACAGCATTTGACCATTCCTAATTGTGATATACAGCAAGCATCGCGAATGTGGAGAATGGGCAATTATGATATACCATTGGTGTTCACCAGTGCGCTAAGGAATGAAAAGACGGCCTTTGTCAGATGCATTATACCTGTTGATGTTGATAAATCAAATGATCCAGCTAAGGTACAAGTACAATCAAGAGCATACATCGGCCAAGTTAAATTTTACTGCAAGCATATATACGATGATGAAGAGGTATTGCTCGCTTTGGTGGAGGTATGCAGTACGGATGTAATTGATGGCGTACCATGGCCTTATGGAACGAACAAACGCAAAGCATTGAAGGCCATACCATTGTCTTGTATTGTTTCAGACGTGGGGGTATCGCAGGCAAGCAGTGGCCGACATTTTTTCTTCTGGTCAAGCAGCAATGACAAGGCTGAAGATTTTGCTGTAGATATAGACCACCCTCTACAATATATATGATGATGCACACTACTTTTAACAGACGTGAAGATCCCGATCAGCGGGATGAGTGAGCTTCTTTTGTCATTCCTTTCGGCTTGTTCTCATGTAAAAAGGCTGTCACAAAACCAAGCTTGTCCCAAGATTGTTCGCATATTCAAGATTGTTCGCATATTCTAGACACCACCTGCTATTCCTTTAGCCTCCATGCAGATTCAGATGTCCCCAAGATCCTTTCATTCCATACAGCGCCCATACAACTCAAGATTCCACCCATTTTTAAGATTTATGCCATATGAAATAGATTCTGTCTAGAGCAACTACCCCCAGTGCTATATGAGAAGTGGTCTTTGTTCATTGTCATAGCTGGATCCTGGCAGAGCAAAAGATGCAGAAGGACCTCTTTGGGTAACTCAGATAAAAAGTCAGGACTTCAGGGACAATGGATGAAAGGTACGCAACCCTCACACTACGGGAAAAAAGTTGGCTATTCTTGGGTTAAAAGCTGGTGAAAAAATCCCCCGTTTTTTGGGTGACTTTTTACCAATCGACCCAAAAATCACCAACAAGATCACCGGTTTATCACCATAAGATCCCCCATATCCCCCACATACGACCATGATTTCACCAAAAATCGCCAACGAGATCACCGGTTTATCATCATAGAATCATCATTATCACCAAGTTTTCCCCCAAATACAACCATGATTTCACCATAATCACCCATGGCATAACAACTATATCCCCAGGTCATTACACAGTGGGTGTGGGTTATACATTGGTGATGGTGGCCATCCCATGTTACCATAGCACCATGCAATGGGAGTTCAAGTCGACCGGAGTGGACAAGTGCCAGTAGTAATCCATTGGGGTATGCAGCCTGTGCCGGTGCCACTTGTACAGTGAGCACTCACACCCCTCCATCATGCCCAACACACATACGACTATGGTATTGAATCGCAAAATACTGCGATTGGGAAGGTTAGATGCCCATGTTGCATATACAAAATCTCGAGAATTCCACTGTTTCTGTCACTGGCGGAGTTTGCTTTAACATAGCTACCTGCTTCGTTCATGCATCCAGCAGCTTCATTGAAGTGTTGTAATGACAAGGAGTATAAGAAAAGTAGTGTATTGATGCTGTAAAATCATTTAAACTGCACCTTGAGGGCTAGAGTCATAAGGGTGTTTTCGGGTTATTAAGGTGATATTTGGGTGATAGCATTCACCCATCATTCACCCAAATCCTCTTTAGATCACCAATGGTTAAAGGTGGGGTATTTAGGTTGTATTTAGATGATTTGCTGTAACCGGAAAATGACCAGCGGTAACCAAAGGTGATTTCTTGGGGAAATGGATGAAAAGCAGGGGATACAGTCACCTTCTTTTCACCCATATCACCATTGGGGGTTTATTGGCGATGTTGGTTGTAATCTGGTGAAAAGATCACCCAAATTTAACCCATCAAATTGGTGATTGCAAAAATCACCCATATTTCACCAATATCACCGAGTATTCACCTTTTTCACCCAAATTTTTCCCGTAGTGTCACTTTTATGTCATACATTGGCAGCTAATAGCCACTTTTGTGCATTCCCAACTTTTGTGCATTCTATTGTAGGTGGACGATGCTCCTGCTCTAGACATTCATTTCCATGATTAAAGTAGGTTGATCCGAGCTGATTTGGTTGAGTTACGCTCACACAAGACTACATCGGTTGAGCTACATCGAGCGTGCTCTATGTCCAGAGTGATGTAATCTCTCTTTGACCGTAGCTCAGTCAAATCAGCTCGGATCAACTTACTTTAATCATCGAAATGAATGTCTAGAGCAGGGGCATCGTTCCCATGCAGTGGATCTCGCAACAATGATGATTGGATAAAAGTGGCCGTTAGCTAGCAATACATGCCTGTTCCTAGATGATCCATAAAGTAATTATACATTGACCCTTTCATTCATGCAAACGTAGCTGTGTTACACAACACGACCCTCTGCATCTTTTGCTCTGCCAGGGTCCACCTACTTGACAATGAACAAAGATCCCTTTTCATGTACCATCACGCTTACAGCATAGTGAAACCATAAAGACGCCCGTAGCTCGAAATTTTACAATAAAGTGTGGGGGACTTGAAGAGAATGAAGTTGCTCGTAGTAGCTGCTGGACGTTTTATTGTTTTACCGATCCATCCTTATCATGACCCGATATGATTGCGCATGCTATTACACTATTGCATCTCGTCGTGGTGTATCAACGTTGGATGTCACTGGTGTTGTGAACTCGATCTATAAGCTGCTGTTCTTTTCATCCTGCAACAATCCACTTGTACTCACCATTCACATGCTATCCCTCAGCGTTGATAATAAAGCTGCACATTGGACATTTTACATCGGGATGGTATTGTATGGGTAGCCATGGACAAAGATGCAGGCATTACATGCTCCGCCGTCACTATGAAATTTTGGGACAAGGTGTGGTAGAAGAGCTGGACATCTTTCTCCTATATTATACTCACCTTCTTCACGCGCTCTGAATGTCCAACGAGATCTTCCAAAAGCTCTACGAAAGCTCCAAGCTCCTCGTTTCTTCCAACAATCAGGATCAGGTGCCGGTCCTTCAACGTGGACTTGACCAAATCGATACGGAGACGCGACGATTGTTTGGGAAGCACAAGACCGATCAGGAACAAAAAGCCAATGCGTAAGCCGATCTGCCACATCGATGGTCAAAACACAAGCACAAGAACGTCTATATTAATACCAATGTACAAAGGCATTACTTTTTGGCACAGAACGGCATCAACAGCCACGACTTGACGCAACAACTCGAGTCCATTGACACCAGCCGAATCTTTGAACCAGCAGATACGATCACGGACACTGATGTCGAGGTATTCTTTACCTTCGCAATAGGGTCAAAACGGATTCTAACGCATGGTTGTACGATATAGAAATACTTGCAGCAGGCTCATGAACACATTATCATTGAAACGATTGAGGAATGCAGAGAGAGCGTATGTCTCATTTACATTGTATATGTCTCTATTATTCAATCCATTCTGATTCATCTTATTGATAGACATGCGATGATTTCGAGGAATTGAATGATAACGTGATGCAAGGCAACTGGAAAAACGCACAACGTCGCATTTTGGAAGAATGGGATCATCATCAGGACACGGGGATGTTTACACGCGACGACAAGTTTATGGGGATTACTATGGTAGGTTGAGAAGGCAACCTTTTCCTTGAAACCATGACAAAGACTTATCGTATCGAAATAGACACCCGCTTTTCGTAAACGTGTTGATGACTATGCCGACATCATTGGCAAGTTGAACGATGCCCGGATCAAGAATCAACCATACCCGCTCATTGATAATCTCAGCCAGCTATCCAAACCATCAGATCCAACACGGGTGAGTGTATGAAAGCATGAATGATAAGCAATCAAGGCATTAACATGATGATGGTACAGGTGCAGGATCGTGCTATGGATGCTTGGCAATTGGTGAATGATTTGGCATCTGAAGCTAGCCGAGCTGGTCTTGATCAACATGGACCATTGCAAGTACCTCCTACAAATGCCTTCTCTATCAACTTATGCAAGGCGCTTATTGATACATCAAAACGCTGGCTTGAAAAACAGTAAGTATTGAAGATGGGAAATGTGTGAGTGTGAGTCTTATATGGTGCATTTAGGTTTGTACAATATGTGGATGAGGTGCTCTACAAGAACGCACGTGAGACCCAAGTGGGAGGCGTGCCATCTCCTATTTTACGCATCAAGGCATTCATGAACTATGTCTTTCGCAAGAATTCAGGCTGGACTGATCCACGATTCGAGGTATAATGGCTACATGCATCTTTGATGGCGGGATTGTCATTAACATAAAGCACGTGATTAGGTTGTCAACGACACACCCATCTGGACATATGTATATCTCCTTGTTCGCAGTGGTCATGAAAAGCTTGCCCTGAAATACGTTGAAAAGAATGAGCAGCTCTTTGATACCGAGCCACGCTTCCGCCATTACTTTAGAGAATATGTAGACTCACCTGAGAAGCGGTAAGTTTGGTCTTTCGTTTTCATAACGCAAAATACTTATTCAAGCATTTCTTGTTAGCTTACGAAAACCCACTCGAGATGCTGTATTGGCCGATTACCAACGACTAGAATATGGTCAACAAAGCGTGGATCCTTACAAGCTCATTCTTTACAAGATCATTGGACGATGCGAATTGAACAAAAAGAGCCTACCAGATGTGGTGGCCACCACCGAAGATTATGTTTGGTTGCAGGTGAGAGTTTTTAAGGATCATAATAGGAAGTGGTGGGCTAACATTCAATCATTGAAAGCTTTCGTTGGTGCGTGAAAGTGCAGGAGGTGAAGAGTCGGCTTATGAGCAGTATCGTTTGAGTGATCTTCAATCCATGATGGTCAAGTTTGGCTCCAAACGTTTCGATCCCAATGGTAGCAGTCCCTGGAACTATTTCAAGGTGTTATTGTTGACATTACAATTTGAACGGGTATGTCGTATTACGATCCATTATTGACATGTGCTAATGGTGTTATGGTTTCATCATCCATAGGCTGTCAATTACCTCTACAAGAATGAAAAGTGTCGCTTGGATGCAGTTCACTGTGCTATTGCTCTTGCATATACCGGACTTTTACGCATTCCAGATGAACCATTGACGGCAAGCATTGATCTTTGTAAGTGAAAATTAGGTGGAAGTGAATGCAGCCGCTAATGCTAGATATAGTAATCATTGGCGATGATGGCCGAGCAAGCTTCAATTTTGCACGTCTTATATACCAGTACATCCGCGTCTTTTCGACCAGCAACCCCCAAAGCTCATTGCATTACATCTATCTCTTGACACTCTATGCCAAACGCCAATGGTACGATTCCGACGACATGTTCACTCTATGCTATCAATATATTCGTGGCCTAGTACTCAGCAGCAAAGAACCAAATATCATCCTCGGAAAGACATCAACGTCACTTGGCCGACAGGTAAAATGACGAAATGGAACATGGTGCCCTGTTTTCTGTATCACTAACGGTAACTGAATTAGGATGGTTTGATCGACCGACACAAAACACTAATCGGGATCACGAATGAGCACAAATATGTGGAGGCGATTTTGATGCCCATTGCCGAAAAGTACAGCCAAGAAGGCCGATACATGGAAGCTGTCTCCGTATACGAGTTGACCTCAGTGAGTGTTTCATCGTGTTTTATTAACAAAGAAATAACTCTGATATGACGTTCAATAGGATTACAACAAGGTGGCTGATATTCTAAACAAGCAACTCGGCGACGCATTACAACAACCACGTACGGCTGATCGGGATCAAACGATTGAACATCAAACAAGTTCGGATGAGGAGCTTATCAACTTTTCTATCAACACGTTGAGGAGTTATGAGCAGCAACAGCATATTGGCATGTTCATCAAGGAATCCAAAAAGAATACAGCCATTATTCTCGTCAGCCTTTTGAGATGTCGCAGCCTATACGATAGTGGAGCATATGAGCAGGCGTTACAGATCATTCGTGAAACCGAGGTTATTCCCTTGCAAGACAACTTTGCAGTCATCCAGCGAGCAGCCGATCGATTTAATCACATTGACGACGCCATCAGCAAAAACATGCCGGACATGCTGCTCATGGTTACCGACATGCTTTATAAGCTATGGACCACTTTTACTGGGCCCCAGATGGCCATGCAACCAGCGGCGAAACAGGTAAATGAACTCCGGGGGATGAAGCTTGTCACAACTCCTTTGTTTGCTTATTGCCTGTGCCCATTGTTTTAGACGATTTCCATTATTGAAGAGAATATTCGTGCCATTCTTGCATTTGTGGGTATGATTCAATTCAAGATGCCCGCTGATACCATTACAAAATTGAACCGGTAAGTTGTGTGTTTTGCTCGAAGGAACTAGAACCTAAGAGCTTCTTGGATTGGTGCAACATGGCTTTGGCTAATTCGGTATGTTCCCAGAGCTGAAATGATCATCACTGGCCAGCGGCATCATTGATCGGATTCGGGCCCTTTACTCCGAACAACTATCTCAATAAAATGACGTTTCGATGTTTCCAAAAAGAGCGTGTCTTGTTCGACGTGAGTCACCTTTGCCAAGTCTATTTAAATACAATGTCCCCTTCTGTTTCGCCCACCAGACTCGTTTCCTTCTACCATATAACGGTTTTCTACTTTGAAGAACCAACGCTTCTACACTTTTACTATTACTCTATATAAACAATGGCATTTCTCCAATCCGATATCGATCCTCTATACCTCCGTGAAAAGCATCTCAGGATGAGCGAAAGCAGCAACAACAATAGCATATCAACACAAGCATCTGCATCAACGACATCCATAGACGATACCGACCACTTTACAGAAATGGATCTTGATGACCATCACCACCATCAAGAAGGTGCCGTATCATCAGCAGTAAAACGCTTTTTTGAATTTGGCTCAAGTACAATGTCATCAACATCCACAACAGGTGGCCGAAGATCAACGTTCTCAAGGAAAGAGAACTTGGATCGTCTCGTTTCCTTTTATTTGTAAATCAATCCTCATTCATTCATACATTCATAATCACATCCACACCATTGTAATTTTTGCATTTCTCGTGTTCTTTGTTACCCCTTTTTCATATGATGTTAGCTATCCCATTTCGCATGTCTTTGTAAGCCCCATGAAATACAAGTATTATTGATTTCAAAATGCATTCTCTTTTACGTCTCAAGTGATAAACAAAATGGCTATCAATGATTTCATTCCAATTGCAATTTACATAGGGTGGTCTGTGCTCTAATGTTTATGTGTGGCAAAGGTAGCTATGTGAGTGCGTGTGCATGTGAGAGAGGGAAAGAGGGTTGTGTGGGTGGGTGTGGGTGGCATGGCAACCGGGTAGCGCAGCTACATCCCATAAAAGGAATTCACCGATCTCAGACCAAAGTTGATTTTGAGTGGGTATGTCTATGTTTCCCCTCTCGATTTAGTGTGATCCTTTGTTTCTTTTCATTCTCTTTCACGTTTTGCAACACCTATGGGCCTCTTCAGTGCCTTGAATACCCTCGCTCATGGAGCGCAGCCTGATAGCTATATTAGAAAAAAGAGTTATCAATTCGAAAAAGAACTCGGTAAATATAAGGTTTTCCCCCGTATGCGTGTTATGATATGCATGTGTCCGCTTACATCACAAATTGCATCCAGGTCGCGGATCATTTGGATATGTCAAGCAAGCAACTCGCCTTGACGACGGTTTACAACTAGCTATCAAGGTCATCCCCAAACGACTCGTTAAAGGCCACTTTGACTTGGTGCTATCAGAAGTGAACGTGCTCAAAGATCTCAGTCATCCCAACATTATCCGATTGTACGAGACATTCGAATCACGGTAAGCGAGCGATCTCCTTGCGATTGCCTCCATTCGGGTCCTCATTCTCTTTTTCTCATGTAGAGATAAATTTTATATGGTATTTGAGCTGTAAGTGATGTGCGATCAACATATGATGTGTGTGATCTATCATGTGTAACCGCTATGCCTCCCCTTTTTTTCGCATATATAGAGCTACAGGTGGCGAGCTATTTGAACGATTACTCGAGTTTGGCAAGATTGCAGAGAAGGATGCGGTAAGCTTTTGAATCAAAAGATGTGGTGGTATCTATGCATTCGACGCGAGCATGCACAACAATATGCAGGGTTGTTGTTGTGTGCGTGTGCGTTGTGCTTTGAAGCATGTGTAATTCAAGCTAGAACAAAAAAAGACTGACGGCCGGTGCGCTTTCTTATTGTGTATGTTCCAGATTGGTATAGTCCGATCCGTGTTGCACGGCTTGCAATACTTACATTCCAAAAATATCGCTCATCGAGGTAAGATGGAATTACCCAAGCGTGCGGACACAGTGCCCGGTACATGCAGCATGATACCTAATGTGACACACATACACCTTATAGACATCAAGCCAGAGAACTTGCTCTTCAAAGATAAATCGCCCAATGCTGAGCTTGTCATTTGTGACTTTGGGTAAGTAGCTTATTTTGCTATGCTGATAGCAACATGCGAATCTGACAACATCCACCACTAGCATTGCTAAGAAGCTCACCGACCCACCATCATCGGTGCTGGACACTCTTTGCGGTTCTCCTCTTTATGTTGGTAAGTCAAAGGACGTGTTTTTTCTATCAACATTCATTGACACACATACAATACAGCACCTGAAGTTCTCGAGCGAAAAGCAAATGGCTGTCCAGTCGACATTTGGGCTATGGGGTAAGTGATAACGAGTCATAATATGGGGGACAAATCATTAACCCACAATCCTTCCCCGTTGTAGCGTAATTACCTACATGATGTAAGTGAAAGCAGGGTCTCATGATGATGAGGAGGATCTTAACACGCTCAATAGATTGTGTGGATATCAACCATTTCAAGGAGGTAAAGATCAAAAAGACCAAAAAGAGCTGAATTCGCAAATCACGAATGCCAAATATGAATTTCATGAGCGGTATTGGAAGAACATTTCGCAGGATGGTAAGAGCTACGAGGGATGAGTGTTGTACATAGAGGCATTTGGCTGATTGAGATTTGGCACCATCAATAGCAAAAGACTTTATTCAGCAGTTATTGTCTTTGGATCCTAGTAAGCGACCCACTGCCACTGAAGCATTGAAACACCCATGGTTGACAGGTGATGTCGATGCCGTATCATCCGAAAAGCCTGCTGAATCTGCAAATGATAAGTAATCAGCAAAATCCTCATCAGCTGCTGATACCACTACACAAGCGGCTGCATCATCATAGTTCCTCTGTGTTTTATTCGTTATCTTCCTACGTGCATTATATTGTAGAAGTACAATTGTAACAATTAATAGTATTATCTTTGCCTATATCGTCTCACCTCCTTCCAAAGATGTTCGAGAATGGAAGACAATGATAGCGTGGAAAGAATTAGCGACGTTTTAGGTTTTGAACCTAAAGGGTATGTTTGTTGGCATGTTGGGGTATCGTATTTGAAGAGGTATCTTCGGAGGGTTTTCTTGTAACGGGCACTTTGGATAAGCTAACGTTGAAAAGGGTAAGACCCATTCACTGTTTTCATATGAGATGGTGGATCGCCCTTGTACCTGATTCTTGTCGTGCTGTGCCTTGTGTACATTGGAAGGCATTGTATCTGTTGGCATGGAAACCCTATCAGCATGCTATTAAGAATCATCTTTTGTGTTGCCGCCAACCAATTTTGTAAAGGGGTCGGTTGACAAGGAGCATGTGACAAGATGGCGCGATGGTCCATCCGGGAAATTCTACTATTCAAACCTTGATCCTCTGTGGCTTTGTATAAAAGGAGCTTTTAAGCTTATGAACAAAGAACACAAATGGCTTCCTCTTCCCCTGAATATCTCAACCACGTCCTCATGCGATTTGGACACCATCTCTCCTCCTTGGAGCAACAAAGCTATGCTAAACAATTTAGCAGTATGATTCAGAGCTCGACACAAGGCTCGACGTTGTGTATGAAACCATCATCCGCCTACGTTGGACCTATACACAGAGTCTCAAGCAGCACGCATCGCCTTCCATTTGTTGGACCAGCCCCTGTTGTCCATCAATCATCCTCCGTCAACAAGAAATCCACCACCCGTATCATTGTCAACCCGCTATCATCATCATCTGTCACCTTTTAAAGCAGCAATCGATCGATAGACCTCTTTTTGTTTCTTGTGCCACCACACTTGTCACCATCATTATCCACTTGAAAAAAGCCGACATAAATACCCGAAGTTACATCATCATGTGCTTGCTTTGAAGCTGCTATTCTTATCAAACAAATTCTCCGGATTTGCATATCCGCTCGACCCTGAGCATGTCGAAAATAGCAATGCACGTTTATTGTATACGATATGGAAAGATGGTGTGGGGAACTTTATGCACAATGGATGAATCAATGTTATTGGCTGGGATGATGGGTGGGTCCTTGGGCTGCATTTTAGGTGATAGAGGCGCACACACACACACACACACGTGTTGATCCCGCATTGTTCTTTCTTCTTCCTTCTCTTGTCGGTCGCCATGAGTCTGAATTGGGCAATGCTTGCTCAAGACGAGCCTGTCTTGCTTCCCGGTGAACATCAACACTTGTTTCGGCAACACGGCATCAAAGCTATACTCGATTGTGAGACACCAGAGTAAGAGTTGTAGACCATGCTTGTTTCCCTTCCAACCCATTCACATGGCATGCCCATTCTCCAGTACCCGCTTCGAAGCAAAAGGAAAGCTTTATGTATCCAATCAAAGAGTATGCATCTCGTATGATAAATAACAAGGTACACTGATACGGGGTGATTAGATTGTCTTTGTAGCTCAACCATCCACGCCATCCCTCCAAACATTGAACATACCTCTGAGGAATCTACGTAACTGGAAACTCGAACAACCATGGTTCTCAGCCAACTACATCACATCCACATTGATCCCGGTAAGTTTTATTTCATGCATTGTTTTACACAATCTCTTTTTTCTTACCTTGTGTGAATGAATAGGTGCCAGGAGGAGGGTTACCACGCGCTGGCAACCTTACATTGACATTTACTGAAGGAGGTATGTGTGTTGGGGTTTGAGAATGCTGGATGATGATGTTGTTGTTGTTGGTCGTGTGAGAGCCCATGAATAACTTTATATGATTTAGGAGCCATTGAATTCACGAGTGTGTACCGCACCTTGTTGGAACGCCTTGCAGTGGATGGAACAACTGAAGAGCCTTTACCAGCCTATGAGCCGCCCCCCTATTATAACCCATGATGATAATTTTTTGTATAAAGAAAGTAGTTTATGGACATATACATCTACATGTGTGTGTGTGTGTGTGTGTGTGTGTGATGGTATATAACTATATGACATGGCCTTCGCTTCTTTGTATATCTTCAACAAAGGGACCAGGGGATGAGGATGTAGTGTGATCAAACCCACCACCAGGAATGGACCATTGTTGTCCTGCAGCACCCATTTGTAACATAAGATCGTTCATGATGGTGTCATTATTGGATGAATCCATGACCATCATACCTGCTGGTGTACTGACAGGCGTTGTTGCGGTATCCATAGGTGTTGAGACGGCAGGAGAATAAGCATAATCGGATGGAGTAGTGGCACTCATGGTATCAAGATTCATCATGGTGGTATCGGAAATGAAAGGGTCAATGGGTGGTTGTTGCTGATCAAAAGAAGATGCTTGTTGTTGTTGTGCAGCAGCATGTGGAGGTGTGGGATTATTCATATACGCAGGTACAATGGTAGAAGCAGAAGGTTCACTTGGAATGGAAATGGTGTGTCGTCGAGGATGATTCAATGATGGTGGTGTTGTTGCTACTGTTGGCATGCGAGGAGGAGAAGGATGATGATGGTGATGTAACGGCTGTTGATGATGATGAGATGAAAATGGTTGATGAGGAAGAGCAGTTGATGGATGATGGGAGGGTTGACGACGAAGCGGTAATTGTTGTTGACGTTGTGCATAATAAGAAGGCATCATGGCCGTCATGGATGATTGTCGTCTTAATGAACGTGCAAGTCGTGGTTGTTGTTGATGTTGATTTCCACTCTCCATGACCGTCGAGGATGATGAATCATATACAAAATCAGGTGGAATAGGGGATCCTCTTGCATGAGCTGGTGGCCAATTACTTCCACCACCCAATGGTTTGTTCATGTGTGCACGTCGAAGCGATCGTAAATCCTCTTGTGAGTATGACATTGGATGTCTCAAACGGGATTTACGCTGTAAATAAGCTTGTGGATTGCCAAGATGCTGCGCTTGTTGCTGTACCGGTAATGGCTGTTGGTGATGATTGTAGATGGCCATATTAGTGGTCCCACCTCGCATCATGAGGGATGCAAATCTTGATGGATCTGAAAAAGCAGCACTTGAATTGAATAATGAGGTTGCCCCTCCACCATCAAGCATATACGGCATCGTTTGCTGTTGTTGTTGTTGCTGTTGTGGCGGCGTATTGTTCATAGCCATTTGCATCAAATGCGATCCAGGACCTGTCAATGTGTGTCGTCGAATACCACGTGCAGGTGATGACATTACCGGTGATGATGATGCGGATGATGTATCAGACGACAATGCAAGTGGATCTTGTTGTGGCATAGGTGTGGCGGGAGGAGGAGGTGGTTGTGGTGGTGCGGTTGCCATGGAAACAGGCGTAGGATGATTGTTGCTATCACCCGCCGATGACACGGCACGTGCTGGGTCAACTACCATACGACCATAAAGTTGTGCAAGTTCAGCATCTTGTTCCTTGATATGCGATTGTAATTCAATGGCTGGGGATTCTGCTGCCAAGCGATTGAGAATTGAAAGCGTACGTGAATACTGCTGTTGAGCTACTTCGGCTATCATCTTGTCAGGGTTTGACATCTCGTAATGGTGTACTGTGGCAGCTGATGTTAAGCAATGAATGGTATGTTGTACACCACGCGTCGGATAACTGAATACATCGAGAGGCTGTGTCTCGAGTAATGTCTCCGTAATGGCTGTAATATTGGATGCTGCCCAAGCACACAATTGTTGATGTTGATAGGGCTCCATCATGTCGTTGTTATTGATAGCACCGGCTGGCAAAGGATGTAGCAAATAATGTCTGTGCAAGAGAATCATGCTGAAATGGTATGTCATGTGGAGAAATGCAGCAAACACATTGCCGATCGCTTGTTTTTCAGCGGGGTAAGGTGGTAAAACACCTGCAATGATCTGCATCGTGGGTGCATAGCTCAAAGTAGCTGGGAGCTCATGAATAAAGTTCTCCAAATGCGTGTGTAATAGAAACAATTTGCCTTGTTCCTCGAGCACTTGCACAGGGGAACGCTTCTCTCCTTGTGCATTTTGCCGTGCCGTCACCCTTCTAATGGTCGCATAGATCTCGGATAGCGTTCTCGATAATTGGATCAGGGCAATATTGCTTGTCACCACTTCTTCGAGCCATGGCCCTTCTTCGCTTGTCACCGAAGGATACTCGGTGGTACAATCGGCATTGCTAAAATAGGGTTCTCTTGCTTGCTCGATACTATACAACCCCACCACCACGCACGTGTATCATGTCATTAGCACATGCTCCTCTATGTTTTTATAGTAAATGTTACATACCTCATCATAAGATCATATATAAAGACGGTCCAAAACGTGCGTTTCTTTGCCTCATGTTCCTGAGGATCCTGACCAGGACGTGGCGTTGACTCCATTTGAGGTAACCCCAGATCGTTACACATCTTGGCAGCTATGCCGAGGTACAATCCCGGTCGCCGAAAGAATCCGAGACGCTTGTAATACTCTTGATACTTAGTCAACAACACGAGACCTTGAATTGTCGATAATCGTGGCGCATCTGAATATTCTTCGACTTTGGCAAATGCACGTTGATAATAGCCGAATCCAGGAACACTCGAAGAAGGGGGTGGAGGAGAAGATAATGATGATGATGACGATGATACATTGCTGCTGTTGTTGTTGTTGCATTCATTTGTCCAACGTGATGCAACCGCACACATTGCAAACAGCAAAAGAGGTGATGGTGGGTCAATATCGGTAGCCGTTCCGATCTGCTTGTAGAACATGGGATTGTGGATCATGGGGACAAACTTGTGTACGTGGGCAAAGTACGTCTCAATAAGTGATTGTGATACTTCTGGCGGTAATAAGGATGCCGATGATGATGACTCTTCCTTGATATCCGTTTCCATCGCATTGTCCCTTCTTTGACCCATGATAGTGGTATCCCTGTGATGGCTGATAAATTGGGTTGCCTCTCCTCCGTACAAATTGGCGATACGATCAATGCGTTCGGGTACGTCATTCACGTACATGGCTTGTCCAATCTCATTGATACCAAATGGGTCGATGGTGTTGTTGCTGTTGCTGCTGTAAGATGCCATTGCTGTAGATGTTGGGATTGGTGATGATGTGGTTGGTGTGATTGTATTCTCGTCTATAGCATACCAAGATTAATACATATATACGCCAACAATGGACGATAAAACTTCCATCTCCCTCACCTTGTCTGGTAGCTGTGTTTTCATTGTTTCCACCCACTGATCCCAACAATGCATTATCAAGAATCCGACGCGCAGGACCATCAATGGATTGTAAAGCCTTTTCAACCAGCTGAAGACGTGCTTCGAGAAGCTCAATGTACTGCTTTGGTGGACCACGCTTTGGAGGCAGCTTTGCAAAGACGCATTCGATTTCTGATTTCCTGCATTTGGAACAAGGTTGTACGCCATCACATTTCACCTAGTAAGAGGATGATAAATGAGTAACCATATCTTGTGCAATCATAAAAAGGGGGAGAGGTGGGGTGTACTCAAACCCCAATCGAACGGATGCTGCCGATATGCGTGTGTGTGTGTGTGTGTGTGTGTGTGCCTCCTTAGCCTTGTGCCACCATATTCCCATGCCATCATAATCATCATCATCATCATCATCATCACCACATGTAAAACGCAAAGGGAGAGAGAAAGGATAGCCATGAACCCCCCTCTTGAATAATGAAGCTATCCAAATAAAGGGTAAAGTGTCATTACCTTGCGTTTACGGCATTCATCACAAGCACGCATGCTCTTGTTGCGTTTTGTCGGTGTTGTTGCTGCTGCTGTTGCTGTGGCGGTGTTGTTGTTGGCCGGTGCGGGCGCTTTGGCCTTTGTGTTTCGCTTGGATGACTCGCTTGTTGTCGTTTGTACATTGATATCAGATCCACTTTGCGACTCGTGTTGATTCTCCATTGTGTGTGGGGGGCGTGCGTGTATCAATACTCGAACAATACGTGTATGTAGTAACTTGAGCGGAATGAATGAAGAACCGTGTCTGTGTCAATCACTCAACAAGATAAACCCTGTCATCGCGTCGCCATGGCTACCATGAGTACAATGAAGCATGAGTCCAATCCCAACATACCTTGCTACAGCAGTAATTGAGTGAGTGTTGGGGGTGTCAAAGAGGAGAGAAGAAGAAGGCAAAAAGTGAGAAGGTACGAGCGAGAGAGAGAGAGAGAGAGAGAGCGCTGAGTTATTTAAGTGTTACAGTCGTGTGAGTTCATGCTACGCGGATGTGGTGCCCTGTGTGTCTTGGATAACTATAACCGGAAATGCCTTAGCGTTCTTTTCCCTGGAGAGAGAGCCTTCTGCTATGTCGATCGTTCCTTTGTTGGATTGCTTGGACTCTGGTGGATTACACGCTTCATTTCATCATGCTTCTTATCATGCGTCCCATATTAATCAATGCCCGATTCATGCTACTGCTACTATGATGACCCCAACAGCGATTACTATCTTTGACTTTATTTCTCATTGAAAACAAGATACATAAAACGGTTGTACTACACATTAGCAGAAATGTAGGATCGATAAGGGGTTTATCATGGGTATCCAATCCTGTCAAACCAACATCATCTTCATCATGTTGGTCAATGCGGCGCTTTGGGCAACTAACAGGGGGGAAAGCATCTTTATTTTGATCGTGTGAGTGTTATATCAAACAGCATGCTTGGTTTAATGATCATAGCCATTCAATGCAATGGAAGCGTTGTGCTATATGGGATCCATACATAGCACCATGAAAAAATAGCAACTTGTGTGTCCGCTAGCTGTAGGTATATGTTGTGCCTTTTGCTACCAAAATGCACGTGTACAACCTTTGTGATGTTTAAATCCCTGATTACCAAAAATCATAGCTTACTCCATCTCGCATATTATCTGCACATTTTGGGTAACGTCCAATGCATGCAATGGTCCACACGTTCTTTCACGTTATCATTGAGTTGAATGGCGGCATAGTAGTTGGCATGATGGCGTGTGAGAAATCGAGGTCTTGTTATCATCGACAAGGTGACGGTAGATCGGAAACGTGGCAATCAGAGCTTTGATACAGGGGATGCTTGATTTGTCTTTTTGGGGATACTATCATACGTATGTATGCCATTGATCATTTTCATTGTCGGTGCTACTTTTTCAATGAAAAAAGAGGCTCTGGTCAGATCCTCTTTGTATACATGGGACGTGTACACGACATTCAATTCCTTGTTACGATTGTATGAGTGAAGCGGGAAACAAAGAAAATGGGTTCATTGATGTTTGATAAGCCCAAGGTGCGAAAAAGAAAACAAAGAGCGGAAAAAAGAGACGAGGGTCATATCAACTGTGATGCAATGCAAAGTCGTAAAAGACAAACAATGACATCCACAGCAGGGAAAAGAGAGAGCCAGGAACACCTGCATGGGAAAAATCTACAACAAGGAGCGTAGTGTTGTTGTTGCCCTAATGATGATGATCATAACCAGGAATACAACCCTTTATCGCATGCCTATGGGCTGGAGTCAATTACATGATACGATTTGTTACACATGTCGACGCCAAGAAACAAATGGGATGATGGTGCAAAGTGACAATAGCAACACAATCAAAAGAATAATAAAGAACATGATGTAGTTTTCTAAACAGTCGTAGTGCTATACATGGAGTAACACCCCTTATACGCGTGTGGCTGTCAGATGGCGTCGATCCTCAAGCGTCTCGTTATTTGCGCAACAGATGACGGGGATGGGGTTGTTCATCATTACACACGGATGTTGTGCCCCATCATCCGCGGATACGGTAAGAATGGGAAAAAGTTATTGATGAGGCTCGTGACCAAGCTTTATGACAATAGAGCTGCATATTGTAGTCATGAGTTAGCATCCAGCATGGGATCTGGGGGTTATGTGAATTAACCCCCATTCGTGTCAATCCAGGTAATCGATAATTGTGGCTTGGCCATTCTAATGGTTGTAATGATGATTGCTTTTGTGCCTTGTTCCTATTGACGAAAATGTTTATTCATTGTGGATGATGTATGATATCCAAAAAGAAGGTTGGGATAATAAACGGCCCCTCGGGACAAGGAACGGGGATGATCATGTAATAGAGATATGTGTGTACTACCGGATCGTACGGCAAGAGTAGGGCCCATTTGTGTGTAAAAGGCATGTGGCGTAACCTAAGTTCATTCTCAGTGAGTGCGGCATTAGAAGAGATCAGGTGGGGGAGAGAGAGAAGTGAGAGAGTGAGAGTGGTGCTTGTATGTTTATGCAGGTAGTGGATCAGGGCCTTCCTTAGCAAAGGTCCCGTAATAAATAGTTGACAAATACATGTTTATGGAGGTGGATTAAATGCAAAGTAAACCGTTTCGTGTGATAAACAACAGTGCAACGACCCATCAAGGGTCTCGCTTTAATCTGCAATGATGGCTCTTGTACGTTACACTCACATCCATTTTCCCATCCTCTTCAATCATTTATTCTCTTTCTCCCTTTCCCTTTCTTTCCCTTTCTCTCGCTATTCAAATCATGATCACCAACGAAGCTCTCTCTGTGATCGATGCATCAGGTCGCCAATTCAGTTTACTCAACAACGATACAAGTGTACCAGTATACAAACGAAGTCGCACATCTCCCCCTTCCCCTTTACCTGAAATGAGCTATCCCCGTCCCCAATGTCCACCGTCATTTCAACATCGGCATGTTACCAGCAGCAATGGGTGGCAATATAGAGAGCAAAATGGCATGCCTGCTGCTTGTGTATCTCCTACATCACCAGCGTCTCGTGGCAACAGTTGCCAACCTGCACCGCCACCAACACCAACACCACCTGTCAATACCAAACGCAAATATCATTGCACAGAGCCTGGATGTAACAAGAGCTTCACTACAAGGTAAGGTATTGTGTGCACTTGTGTAATAAGGAACGATGGGCTTATTATTCTTCATGAAAAAGTGGGCATTTAGCTCGCCACAACAGGATCCACACAGGCGAAAAGAACTTTCCTTGTCTTTTCCCGGGTTGTCAATCCCGCTTTTCCCGTCAAGATAATATGATGCAACATTATCGTACACACATGTCTCCAAAATCAAGGAAATCAAACAAGCGTACCAGTATCACTACCATAGCAACCACATCCACGGCTCCTTCATCATCATCTTCTTCGGTGGTTGATGATTCTAGACCAAGACCTCGACTACATGCTCACCATCGTATCCAATTCGGTGTTGAACGACCTTTAACCATTGATCAGCATTTGAATAATTATCATCAATCACTTGCATCCCCTGAACGCTATTCTTCTGTGCGATATGACAATAATGGCAGTAGTTCCATCAAGACATCTGTCACATCATCCACTGAGTCCTTTACCAATATCACTGCAAGGAATGGAAAGGATTCTTTTTATCATCATCATCATCATCATCATCATCATCATCATCGTCAATTATCATTGCCCAACAACAACAACAACAATACCAACGCAGCACATACAGCATTACGATCGCATGTAAATCCGTCATCATCACTACCTCCACCAACGCAATCCTCATCACCATCACCCACACAAATTGATCACGATAACAACAATGAAAGCGATCGACGAGAGAATGACGAAAGAACTGATGGACTCCTTCAATTGGCACATGTTGTAAGCACCTTTGGTTGAAAACCCTTTGTATATTAAATGGTCGTTTGGGATGGCCTCCAGATACCTTGTTTGTTTATCAAAGTACTTGTGATCTCGTTAGATGTACTCAAGCCCCCGCTCCCACCTTTGTCTTGCCTTTTATTATCATGCATTCCGATACTTTAGTAACTCACGCTATGTTTCTCTTTTTCTCCCATATTTATATACGCCTGTATCAATAAACAACCCCATTATCGCATGAATTATAATAATGATCCTTTTTATTCTTGGTCTATAACTAGTAACAACACTCTTCACAACAACAACATATGCACATGGCTGTTAACCTGCAGAAAGCTTGTTGTTAAACGCACTTGTTACTTCCATTTGTGGATGAATGTGTATACAACTTACAGCCCACAACAACAACCTTGTGGATGATCACAGCAATTCCAACGCGATCGGTAGCCATACATGTAGCCTGGATGTGGTGGTGGTGGCATCATGCCTTGTTGAAAGGGAGGTGGTGGTGGTGCGCTCATCATGCCTGGCACTAAAAAGTGTGAGAAAATAGCTCATCTTCAACAACCAACCCCCTGACACATTTCGGATATCACTTGCTTGTTGATGGATAGCCCATGGGTGGAGCAGGTTGATAGGGATTCGCAGCCATACTACCAGGCGTCATCATGGGCGGTGGTGGTGCTTGGGGATAAGGTGCTGCTGCTGGGTTCATGGGTGTCATCATGTCTTATTATAGGTAGCCTGCAAGTAAATGGAACCCTCTAACGATTTAGTGGGCAAAGTTGTTGTTGAGATGAATTTATACACAAACCTTGACTTGAACAAAGAAAAAAAAGGGAGGCTGCTGCTGCTGCTGCTTCTGCTGCTGCTGAATGAAAATGTCAACAAAGGTGCCAGCACAACAACTCACAGAGTAAAAAAGAAACGAACATCAGCCAACTACCCGTATTAGGCTGACTTTTTTACCTCCGTGTGTCCATATCACAATGGTGATGTAGTATTACATCTATATACATACAAACGTATGATCCGTCATTCGTTCGCTGGGGATTACCATTTCTAATTTAGTGCTGCACAACAATAACAACAACAACAACAACAAAACATGGCCCGTTGTTCCGATATAGATCCCCAAATACACCAACTTCTCCTCCCTTGTCGTGTGTTTATTGATGTAACTGGACCCTGTGTTATGAAAAGAGCGAGAGCACAGACATCATGGCCTTTTGGTATTTGACATGTTGCAGATGGGTGATCGTCGTCGGACCTCGTTCTCCTTTGCCCGAGACACAAAATAGGAGTCATGCGTCACACCATGGACCTCATCTACAATGGATGGATGGATGTGTTGGACAAGCCAAGAAGGCGTTACGCCCCAGGGTCTGTACTCTCCAGAAAAAGCAACCCGGTGTAATAATGACAGCTGACATCTTTATTGCAACATCGCCCTTGATCACTTTTGATTTACTGGAGCGAATTCTTATGCATTTTCCCTGGCAACCATTCCGATTTCCATTTTCAGTGCACCCAGCGATTCGCATCTGTTGCCCCATTTCAACCACATGTCGCACTTGTCAACGATTGTCCTGCTCCAACCCATCATGTCAGTACTTCAAATGTCTTGATCCCATAGACTTTGACTGAATGGCAAGCTCATGGCGTGTACACCTTGACACTTCACACACTCTCTTGCACACTTCTCTGATTTGTGTATCAGCTATTGATCTTCCATCACTTCGACTCGGTCCTCCAAGATGCTTGACCACTTTACCAGTCCAATCAATCATGACAACAATTCTCACGCCCACTCACATATAAACAAGGCTGTTGTCACCAACGCTATCATACGTCCTTTCTTTCTTCTACTTGTATTCATCGTCAATGGCCTTTGGTAAGTCTCAAGGATAGTCTTTATTATGTGATCCCTAAAATGAGGGTACTCATGCATCCACCTATGTAGCTCATCTCACTGATTATTGGTGGCTAATGGCATTTGGTTGCGTTCCTTGATGGAGCTTTGGGGTAGGTATAACTATCACTTATATATCAAAAGGATGCCTAGGCTAATGTGAAAATTGAGACTCCTTTGTAGGTGACATGAGTACATGGCCTTTGTTCCAGCAGAAAGAACTCGACGCCATGGCTATGCAGCTAAAGCAGAAAGGAATGACCGATTTCATCTATACAAGTACAATGCTGATGGCACTCTCAGAGTCAACGACCTCTCCGCCAATGAAATCCTTGGATACAGTGATGCTGGCAAAACAAGCTTTGATCATTACAAAGGAATGTTTGGGATGTTGGCTATGATACGCACCATGGCGCAATTATACAACGAAGCTACGTTCAACACGTTCAACACATTTACAAAAACAAAGATCCATTTCCTTCATGCACAAGGTAAATTATTCAAGTGCATCACCGCCTGTGTATGTGTGTAACTCACAACTCCATTCTTAGGTGATCCATAAGGCATTGGTCCATATACTCGCCTACTGGATCAGGAAAGTAATGTATGAAGGCTACTGGATTGCGTATGGAGATGTCAACAAGCACCCTAGCCCCTACACAGGCTGTACTGTATTATGGATGTAATGTACCAAGGCCTGTGGTTCATTGTGACAAGGACAAGTGGCACCCTATCCCCGACACCAACACCCGGCATCTACATCATGACCAAAGAGCAGCGAGTCAAGGTGCCTGTCAGCTTCTCCGAAAAAGACATCACACTCCACCCATTTATGATAAAGCATTGCTGTAAGTTGTTGGATGGCACGATCGCATGATTTTATTAGCTCACATAGGCTGGACATTACATAGATGGCTTGTGAAGAAACTTTATCAGTGCTCAAGGATCTTAAACGAGAACACGAGGTCGATTTACGGTCATCCAAGGACAAGAAGCGGCAACATCATCAATCCCATCATTATTCGCTTGAATGAAGGAGAACATGCGAGCATTGTATCCGACTATGGTTCCATGAGCTTGCCCAACAGTCCACTCCATGATTGATCCATATTCCTTGTATCTCTTCCACCCATCTTAAACAGCTGTACATATACATGATCACTATTTGCACATTAAAAAAAGTCTTCTTTACCACTGATTAGAATGGTTGTTCTATTATTGTAAATCAACCGCTGTGAGTGATACTATTTTCAATGCATGTGTTCAATCAACGTGCATCCAGTAGCCACACAAAGCTAGTGAGCACGTGCTTCCCATGGAGTGGCGCATATACAACACTACTTCCGCTTTGCCCAACAAACCAACCACTTGACCCACACTACTATTTGGAATCCCAGATAAACTTTTTTTACACATGATGACAAACTCTACATTTGTAAATGGGATAAACATAGAAAGAGAAAGAAAAAATAGAATATGCAAAATGGAGTACAGGCTGATCTATCGAGGTGCGTTGTGGATGATAAAATGGGGCTGAGGCGACGTGATGTTAAAATGCACTCGAGAAATGTTCAATGGTGGGGGGTAGAGGTTGAGATTGAAGAGGAGAGATGGATCAGACTTGTTTAGTTGTAGGTATCGTTCTTAAGGGAACTATCAAAAAGAAAGAGATTGGGTTAATTCCAATGCAATTTGATTCTCCGTTTTTTTCTTCCAAACTTACCCTTCAATGTCGGCGACAACCATTTCAGTAACAAGCTCATCAAAGCTGACCTTGCGCTTCCAGCCAAGTTTTTCGTTGGCCTTTGCAGGATCACCAAGCAAAAGTTCGACTTCGGCAGGGCGGAAGTACTTTGGATCAATACGAACACGCACCTTTCCGGTTTCAGCATCCTTGCCAATTTCATTGACGCCTTCGCCTTCCCAAACAATCTTGCGGCCGGTGACAGCAAATGCCTTTTCGACGAAGCTGCGGACAGTGTAAGTTTCACCAGTGGCCAAAACGAAATCTTCAGGCTTGTCTTGTTGAAGCATGAGCCACATGCCTTCGACATAGTCACGAGCATGACCCCAATCACGCTTGGCATCAATGTTACCAAGATACAAGCATTCTTGACGACCCAAATGGATATCAGCAACAGCACGAGAAATCTTGCGTGTCACAAAGGTACGGCCACGGCGTGGGGATTCGTGGTTGAAGAGAATACCATTGCAAGCGTACATGTCATATGATTCACGGTAGTTGACAGTGATCCAGTAACCATACAACTTGGCAACACCATAGGGCGAACGAGGATAGAAGGGAGTGGTTTCCTTTTGTGGGGTTTCAACCACCTTACCATACAACTCGGAAGTAGAGGCTTGGTAGAAACGGACACGATCTTGCAAACCACAAGTGCGGATAGCATCCAAAAGACGCAAAGTACCAAGGGCATCCACATCACCAGTGTATTCAGACATGTCAAAAGAGACCTTGACGTGGGATTGAGCAGCCAAGTTGTAGACTTCAGTGGGCTGGATTTGAGCAATGATGTGCACAAGACAAGTCGAATCGGTCAAATCACCATAGTGCAAAAAGAACTTGACGTCTACACATACACATACACACATAAGTATCCTTCTTCTTGATCACAACATCATCCTCTCCCTTACTTACTCTCATCATGACGGTCCTTGTAAATGTGTTCGATACGACCCGTGTTGAATGAGGAGGATCGACGAATGATACCATGCACCTCATAACCCTTCTTGAGCAAAAACTCGGTAAGATAAGAGCCGTCTTGACCAGTAACACCTATCAATGGAGAGTCAGCATCGCATCATCTAATCCAATGGTCGAGATGGGCTCATCTGGAGACGCAGATGACGAGCCAAACACGCGCGCGTGTGTGGCACGTGTCAACTTACCAGTGATAAGAGCAACCTTGCGGCTGCGATATTCTTCAACAGAGATGGTAGACTTGGCAATCTTGACGGGAGCAAAAACGGCTTCGGACATGGTAATAAAGAGAGATAGAGAGAAAGAGAGAAAGAAAGAAAGGAAAAGAGAGAGAGAGAGAAGAGGTTTCAAAATATATTGCAGACTCAAAGAAGATATCTATTTTTATATAGAGAGAGAGTTCATTTTCGATGGGCGAGAGGTGTGACACAGCCAGCCATTTAAGCCCGCTCCCACTTTTTTCTTTCTATCCCACATTGGACGATGATCTGCCAAGCAGTGAATAGTGAGACATGACTATAATTTAGATGACACTATTGCCTACTATAAAATGTTCAATCTTTTCTTTAATCAAGATGATGTGGGGGTGATATGGGCGAGAAAGAAGAGCTGAGATAATAAAGGGGAGGGAGGATGATGATGAGGAGAGAGAGAGAGAGAGATGACTATGATGTACGTTCTTTTTTACTGCTATCGGAAAAACTACACACAAAAGCAACGTAAACGTACGTACACGCCTTGAGTGGGTAAAAGGGATCGACGCACCCCCCAAGAATCGGCATCAGAAAATAAAAGTGGGATCTAGCTTCTATACAATCTTGTTTGGCACTAGCACAAAAGGGATCTGATGCTCATTTCGGCCTTTCGTTTCGAATCGGTCTTGCCGACAGCCTTGTCATTATCTGCTGCCATGGTATTACCATCCGTAGCTGCTGCTGTATTGGGATGGGATGTAGTCGTTGCCGTGGAGATGTTGTTACTACTGCTTTGAGCGGCTGATGCTGCAGCATTCAAAGTGCTACTTGAAGTCTGCAAAAAGTATTGTGTCGTTGGATGCGTGTAAGAAGGTGGACCTCCTCGTGGTGAACCTGCGGGAGGGGCAGCTGGAGCAAAGCGATAGGCTAATGTCGAATAAGGATTGTTTGATTCGCGTCCAATGGGAGGTGGGGCTGACCCATTTGGACTAGCAGCAGCGATCCTTCGAAAGTAGGGTCCGCCAGTAAATGATGGGAAGAGTCTCTCAGTCACTGCTGGTGCTATTGGTTGCTTGTTGCCATGACTACCACTACCATGACTACCACCAACACCATGACGACGACCTTCATGATTGGATATCGGTGCAATGTTGACTTTGGGAACAGCATGATCCTTCTTACTACCAGCTGGCAATGATACAGTGTTGAGCTGTGAATTGGCTGCAAAATGTCCTGGCAGGGATCCTTGTCTCGCTTGCAATGGCCCTGATGAGGATGATCGTGCTAGCTGGGGTGCAATAGGTCTCAGTGTAGTATGTCCCATAGAGAATGATGATGCTGAAGATGATGATAATGATGACGATGTGCTGCCAGTATGAAATGTATGCTGTGAAGTGGATGCATGTACTCTTGGTAATGTTTGTTGGAATCGCAAAGAGGATGCATTGAATGCTCGGGTATGATGTTGATGGGACAACAAACGCTGTTCAATACGATATTGGTGTTTCTTCATTTCGGCAACAACATAGAGGTGTTTGAGCGTGGCTGGCTTTGTCAAATCCGCACCTAATCCACCACCAAGATAGACAATGACTTCATACAATTCATGCTCGCCACCCTGTTTCTTGATATGAAGCGTATCCGAAAATGTGCCTGATCCTGATGCAATCATCATGAGCCGATCTGGGTCTGTATCATAAAATATAGGTGATGTCGTTCTTTCGGATGGTGGTGGACGAGCTTCAGGGCCCAATGTGTTGTTGTTGGTGGTGGTGGTGTCATGTTGTTGTTGTGCAATGTCCATAATGTTGTCCAACAATAAGCGATGTAGACGGCCTAATCGATCCGTGTCGTGAGAAGATATCAATTCATACAAAGATCGATGAACGAGATCCCGCGGATGGTAGCCCCATAATTCGGTCACCTCATCAGATGTACGTGCACAACACATTTCCATTGATAAGAACATGGTAATGGTACTCTTGGATGTTGATGATGATGGTGGCGGCTCGGGTTCTCGCAATGCTTGTTGACTTTGTGATGATCCACTGCTATCATTTTTCCGATGGGATATGGCAATATGGGGTGATGGTGATGATGATGATGGTTGTTGGTGAGTAGAAGTCTTGTTTTGAAATGACTCGATAGGTTCATGCACAAAAGAGATGGCGGTGGTAGAAGGTGTTGTGGGTCGATGCATGGCTGTCGTCATGGTAAATGTTGCTGTTTGGATCATGCCACATGTTGTTTTTTCTCTTGCTGCTGCTGCTGCTGTCACAGACGAAGTGTCGAGAATCACTGATCCACCATACATTCCACTGAATCGTTTGGTTTCATGCAATCTTGGACGGCCTCGTTTCTTATGCTTAGCATCATGGCATGTGTCTGATTTGCCGGCAGCTACACAACGCTTGCATGGTCGGGATACTATTTCGGATGTAATCCACCAAAAGAGAAAAAAATCGCCGGTGCGTGTGAGTATGGGTGTAGATATATAACAGTGATCAGCCTTCTTTCAAGGTTCCCCATGATGGATCACAGATACAACACATACCATCGCACGCCAAGTGAGCCTTGCGACAGTTGACGCCTAAAAAGAACAAACACATTGAATACATAGTGCTCAAAGGTTGCCACTCATAAAACGTTGAGCTTACATGCACTAGGTACATGAGATTTGTAACCGCGTTTTGCTGGTACAATCATAGGAGTGAGCTGATTGTCTGCCATGGTGGAAATGGTAGTAGTGTCATCGTCGTCATTGGAAGGTGTTCTTGGCGTAGGAAGTTGTTGGGCGGAAGGAGCAGTAGAAGCGGTGGTGGTGGTGGTGGTGGTGGAGGAGGAGGAGGTAGTGTTTGTATTTGAAGTAGTAGTAATAGTAGTAGTGTTGGCGGTGGCAGGAGTGAATATACATGATGGTGAAGAAGGCAACGTAACCATATCCGACTTGGAATGGTGCGATTCAGCAACAAGAGGATCTTGATCAGAATCGGGTGAAGGTAGGTGAAACTGGGACAGCGACGAAGAAGAAGAAAAGGGAGGGTCGTCGGGTGCCTGCATAACAAACAAAAGGCTTTACTTTTGCTAGTAAGCAGCAACACAAGCAAAAGATGCTGGTTTATATCAACGTGGAAGTTACTGAAACAACGACCTTGTATGGAAGATAAAAGCAAGAGAGAAACAAGTAAAAGCAGGTGCTGGGGTGGTTGTATATATGCCAGCTCACATGCAATTTCAGCAGATGAGCACTTGGGGCTGCGTCACATAGATGAGGAACTTTGTTTGGTTGTGCTCATCATCATCATCATCCAAATACACACATATACAGATACACATACATAGCATTACATGATGTACTTGTTTTCCCCCACATTGTTCATATCGGCTACACACACCGGATTCAACATGAACATCAATCCCCTTCTAGAAACATTCGCAATAGCTGTGTAACATTCAATACTACGATTACTCCGTTTTCAAATGGTCAATGTTTCCATGCTGCTACCAAGTGATCATTATCATCCGGTAGATTGACAAACCTTGTTTGAAGGCTGCAGCAATATTATCATTCTCTCTTTTCGGGTGAAATCTTATCTCTGTTTAGGAATAGCAATAGAAGGATTTTCGCTTAAAGCATTTTGACGCAACAATATTCCCGAATAACGTGACCATATGAATGAGAAACAAGAGTAAAAGGAAGATGATAAATGCGCATAGTTGGGTGATGATGATGGGCAAGTTCTGTTGCCAAGGCAAAGGCTGTTGGTAGGTTGGGATCAAAGACGACACGTGATTGGACAACATGATACACACCCACCCACACATACATACTGCTTCCGCTCATATCATTACTCTATCTCCCTCTCCTTCTCTTTCTTGAACAGACACAGCTGTATATAGTATATATTTATCTGCACCTTGTCCTTGATTTATTCTCTCGTTTCGGCTATACATATACAACAAAAGCACCAGCACCAATCGCCTAATGACTATAACGCATCGGTCACGGCCCGTCAATGCCACTGTGACGAATACAACTGCTGAGGGATCGCAAATCGACGACAAGGAGCCACCCAAATACCATTGCGATGCGTGTAGCAACGATGTTACCAACACTGTACGAATCCGTTGTGCTGACGACGATTGTCCTGATTTCGATCTGTGCGTGACATGTTTCAGTGGAGGAGCCGAGCCCATGAAGCACAAGACGTGGCATCGCTATCGCATTGTCAAACCCCACACGTTCCCCATTTTCACCGAGGATTGGGATGCTGATGAAGAGTTACTCCTTATTGAAGCAGCACGCAAGTATGGTTTGGGCAACTGGCAAGCGATAGCCGACTATGTGGGTACGAAGGATCGATCCGAATGTGAGCAACACTATCTTGATGTCTATGTATCAAGCCCTGACTGGCCGATGCCACGCATGGATGTCAAGTTTGATGAGCTTAGCGAGAGCGAATGTCGTGAACGAAAGCGTCATCGATTACAGCAATCACGTGGAATGCTTCCTCGCGCCAAAGCAGTAGTGGCCAATGCCAACAAACCAGTGACAAGTGGACCTGCATATCACGAGATCCAAGGTTACATGCCTCGTCGATTTGAGTTCGAGACCGAATATGAAAATGATGCTGAGCAATATGTCAAGGACATGGTGTTCAATGACGATGATACCCAAGAGGAAATTGATCTCAAACTGATGGTGTTGGATATCTACAATTCACGCTTGGATCGACGTGCAGAAAGGAAACGCCTTATTTTTGAACGTGGATGGCTCGATTTCAAAAAGATGCAGGCAGCTGAAAGAAGGAGGTCAAAGGAAGAACGAGAAGTCTACAACCGTACACGCGTCTTTTGTCGTTTGCAAACAGCTTCTGATTATGAAATGTTGGTTCAAGGATTGGTACGAGAACAGCAATTACGGGATAGGATTTCTATTTTGCAAGAGTGGCGAAAGGCTGGTCTGACATCGCTACGACAAGGCGAACAGTATGAAAAGGATAAGCAATCACGCCTTGCTCAACTCAAAACGCTTATTCAGCTATCGAATGATCGCATGGGTGCTGCTGCAGTGACTCAACGCAATACATATCGTGCACAAATGGCAGCTCTTTCGGCAACTCCCAGTGGTGCCAACATTTTCAGAGAGAGTGGACGATCAAGTACACCTACACAAAGCAATGGATCACATGTCAATGCTTCTTCTTCAGCTACAGCAGCTGCAGCAGCAGGAGCAACATCAGCAGCCAACACAGCAGCAGCAGCAGGAGCACGACGACCAGCAAATCCTTTGGATATCAGTGAAGCGGATGGTGTACACTTGTTGACGGAAGAGGAACAAACATTGTGCTCAACCTTACGTATTCTTCCTCGACCTTACATGGTGATCAAAGATACGATTTTGAAAGAATATGCCCGCCAAGGATACTTGAAACGACGACAGGCTCGAGGTCTTATCAAGATTGATGTCAACAAGACGAGTCGCATTTACGATTTCTTTATTGAGAGTGGTTGGATCAAAGCATTCAAAGGACCTTCATCATCAATACCAGCAGCCAACAATCCAGCGACTAATGCCACTACACAACCAACAACAACATCCCAATCAACTTTACAACAACAACAAAGTCCATCGATATCATCATCACAACAACCAGCCACTGTACCTGCATCATCCACATTGCCATCATCCACTACACCTGCAACTGTGCCTGAGGCACCTACTTCATCCACTACAACAGCACCACAACCACCAGCTGCAACACCTACACAAGCGTCTCCATAGTTTCCAGTTGTAGTTTCTTCTTTTTTGAACCCGTAAATATAAAACTATTGTACAAGATTATGTGATATGGATTGGAGGAGGGATATGGTATGAGAGGCTAATAGTAGTAGTAGCATGATGATGATCCATGAATACGTAGTGAAGCAACCTTTCTAAGTATGTATCCAGGCAACAGGATCCCAGATGAGATGCGTGACAGCGGACTTGAATATGATTGGCTAATGAAGCGTGGGTGAGAAGAATTCTTACCCCGCCACACAAAGACGGCGGGTGAGCGTCAAGCCGCTTTTGAGCAGCATCTTTTTTCCTCTTGTCCTTTATTTTCATTGGAAGGCCATCAGCCTATCAAAGCGAACAAGTCTTTTGAGCCAATAACCATCCAAGTCCTTCTACCCCCGCGCACACAAAAAGTACTGCAGGAACAACGTGAGCCTCTTGTTTCTCTTTGTCTTCACTCGCTCGTCTCGAGATATATCAAATTGACCATGTTGTGTTTTTCCAGTCCTTTCTCAACTCTATTATGGAATCTTACAACACAACAAACAACAATGGCCGTGTAGGTTCTCAGGAACCTCCAGCTTCTTCTGTACCTCCTGGCACCATGGTATGGCTTCGATCACTTTGAATGGGTTGACTCAATGGGAGTGTGTGTGTGTGTGTGTGTGTATGTACATGTGTGTGTGCTTATAGTGCCCATGTTTTGCTATAGAATGAAAGCCAGCGTTCTCCCATGGCATACGATCCCAGCCGACATCTCAGCTATGGACAACCTCACGTCTCTTTGGCAAGTGTATATATATATTTGCATTGACAACATCGAGTATGATAATAACGATCTATCTCTATATAGCCAGCAGCATTGATCACAGCACAAGCTCAAGCAATGAATCCTTCTGTGTATCGTGGACCTAACGGAGAAGTCATTGTAGCTCCTGCAGCAACACCTCAGCCTCCAGAGGAAGAACCTTTGTATGTAAACGCAAAACAATATCACCGGATCCTTAAGCGAAGAGCAGCACGGTTCAAACTTGAAGAGATGAACCGAATTGGCCGAGCTCGTAAGCCTTATCTCCATGAAAGTCGTCATCGACACGCGATGCGTCGTCCTCGAGGTCCTGGTGGTCGTTTTCTAAGTATGGCATTTCGGAGAGAAAGAGAGTGTGTGATATAGATGGATCCTTTTTTTTTGCTTATCGGCATTGGTCATTTATTGTAGCCACCGCCGAGATTGCAGAACTCGAAAAGGCGGGTAAAATGCGGAATGGTCAATGGATCACGGATGATCAAAAGCAAACGACTCCAGAGCAACAACAACAACAACAACAGCAAACTAATGATATCAATGGTGTGGAAACGAAAAAAGAAGAATCGGATACTCAGGGCTTGAATCACGCACAACAAGCTTAATCTTAGCCGCCCCCATCTCCATCATTTCATAGTTTCCCTTGTTTCACCTGTAGCATACCACCATGTTCTTCTTTTTCTCAATCAACCTCCTAAATCAAATCGTATTCAATCTATCATCTCAATGCGTTATGACTTGCTTGTCGAACCATAAAGAACAACATTGCATCACTACCATCCACGCATTCATGCAATCTTTAATCCTGCAAAGACGACTACTACCACTCAATGCATGTTTTATGACTTCATCATGTCACACGATCAAAGGGATTGATGTCTTTCGTGTTTTTATGGTCTTTATTTTCGCGATGTGAATGCAATCATCCATCATATTGCTATCAAGTGGAAGGTGGTGGGGGCTCATGGATATAAATACCAGCTCGTGTTGGCAAGATGGGTCAAGTTACTGTAACATAAATCTTTCATAATGAGTAACGATACAATTCATGCAAGCCTAATGACTCGGGCTGTTGCTGCTGATACAAGCTTGGCGTCATTCATGGCTGATCGGGATGTCAAGTTATCATGGATCGCTTTCTTCGCATTATGGATCCTTTGGTGTTTGTTGTGGTTCCTTCGCCATGTATTCGGTGATGGTCATCAAGGTGCGGATTATGCTGGTGGAGAAGAAGGTGGTGTTGCTGCCAATAGGCCATGGATTCGACATCCTCTTGCTATTGCCACCCACGTACGTAATTATGTACATACTTGCCACTTTTTGCCATCGCCTTAACAACGTAATCATATACATAGAGTCGTCTTAGCCGAGCAACGGATGTTTTACGTGATTTGGTGCTTATGCTATTTTCAATGCTCGCTCTTAACACATTGGCTCGTGGCGTCCAACGTCAAGTGATGATCCTATGTTGGGTGTAAGTACATGTATAGTGCTATTCCTTCTATGTAGTAAAGCAACCAACTCACACCTCCTGTTTTAGCTTTTTTGCATTCGCTGTATTTTGGACCATCTTTGAAGCGTCCTATGAGCATCATATGGCTAGACTATTATACGGCATCATATTCTTTAGCTTGTCACTTACCATTGGTGCACTCGCTTTTCGGGATGGCTTCAAGTAGGATTGCAATTGTTCTTGTACATCCAAAAAGGGCAATAGCCACCCTGCATAGCAACGACGACCACTACTACTGTTACTACCACTACTACTACTACCCAATACATTACCCACTTATCAGACTACAACGTTTACAATGAATTAAAGCTGTGTCGGATTTAATGATTGATTACTACATGTCACTATGTATGTGCCCATCAAAGTCTCGTGTAGTAGTGCAAGCCCAGGGTGTGCTGCATACTTCTAAGGTCATGAAACGGTACAAGATATGCAGTAGACGATTCCAAAATTGTAACCTCCTTTGATGCATTAGTCTTGGTGCCAGTGAAGTCATAATGAAACAAATGCAAGAATGAGTCAATGTAAGGGAAAAGTGATTTAGGTTCAAACCATTAAAGTGGGTCACGTGCATCCGATACCCATGGAGGTTATGGTTCGGCATTTTGGATTGTCATGATGGATCATGCACCAAGCGATACCTTATGGGCCTTGGATGCCATGATGATGATGATGAAGGTGTATGATGGCTCAAGGATGCGATTGTAGTAGTAGAACGAATGCATTAATGTGTTACTTGTTTGACAGGATTGATAAACAACAGATTGCATTATGCGGCACCATGCATATCATGCATGTCGATGTCACATTAATGTAGAAGGCAAATGTGTGATTACAAGTGGTCACTTTATAATTTTAGGATCTTGTCGACAGTAATAAACCAAATACCAAGTAAGATAGAAACGAAAGGAAAGGGAAATTGGGGTGGGGGGAAGGCATAATACAAAAAAAGAACAGGGAAAGGAAACGCATTAAGGAGTTAAGATATGTACTTCAAGTCAGTCTGCAAGGAAAAGAAAGAAAAAGAGAAAGCTATGGATAGGGATGATATGTAGTATGTATAAAAAGAAGGCGTATATGTGAGTGAGTGTGCTCTTGTGTGTGTCTTGTAACGTGTGCGTGATATGTAAAAATGGGATGAATAGGAGATTGTTTGCGTGCTCTTGAATGTGTCTTTGTGTGTTGTGTGTGATTGTGTGATTGAGTAGTGAGGCATAAAAAAAGAAAAAAGAGACGAAAAAGGCAATATTTAAAGGAGATGGCAGAATTCTTCAACGCGATCCTCGAGCCATTCCCAACGTTTGAGGCCAATGACCCATTCGCTAGGAAGCCCACTGTATCCAACACGTACTCCAAGTAAAGCACCCGAAACAGCAGCATTGGTTCCTGCATCGCCACCCTGCATGACAATGTCCATCAACATCTTTTTGAAACATTCGGTCTCAGTGCCAGGTTGGATTTGTCGAGTGAATGCGTATACGCTCACGCCAAGTGACTTGAATGTGCGATGTTGATCATTGTCAAGGTCAAGAGAATCGATATCGGATGGCGGATGATAACAATAGTCGAGCAATTGCTTGTAATAAGCTTGTGCCAAATCTTGATCGGTTTCGAATGTGCGGAAGAGACGATCGGTTGTGCGTTCAATGAGCAAATGTTTGTTGAGATCGATTACGGAATGAACGAGCGATAAGATGTGTTCATCAGCTGCCAATGTATCAATGTAATGAGGCGAAGTTGATTTGGCAAGACCAGCTGCACGATCATGTTGTTGTTGTTGTTGGGGTGGTGGATGCAACGAAGGTGATGGCAACGGTGTTTCTATCATAGCACGCTGCTTGATTTCCAAGTCTTGAGCACGCAAGATCCTATGTCAAGATAAAAAAAGAAACTTGGATCAGAACGCCAGTCCAGTTGCAACGCACGATAGAAAAAAACGAGGCTGTTCTACTACTTGCAATCAGTCAATTACCGTGCTACCAGCGTAGAAAGAATGACACACGAGATCATGCATCGCGGATCGGGCCGAGCAACGCATGCACGGCAACTCTCAGCAGCGTTTTCAATGACGGTGGTGCCATCCCAGAACTTTGGAATTCCCAAGACTACCGATCGGACAAGAGCTCCATTGTAGCCACCACGTTCCTTGAACAAAAAAGGTTAAGTATCAACAAGCAGCCCAACGCAATATCCGTCAAAGACCTAATTCATCCCAGCCAATCATTTACTCACTTGATCCGCTGTACGTTGCCTGGCATCCTTGGAAAGGTGTTGTTCAAGTCTTGCGCAAAAGGTCTTAAAGTTGAATTGGCCTTCGTTTTCAACGAGTGTCTTGATCACCAGCAATTGTTGCTCAATGTCCCCGCTAAAGTCACTGTAACGTTGCCCTTTTTGTCAATATACTACGCGGAGAAAGAATGGGTCGTGTGGTGATACTTGCTTGTCATCAAACAACATGCGGTAGGCGTCACGTACAAAGGGTACTCCCTCATCCATACAGTCCTCTTCTTCCATACCAAGTCCAAATCGAACAGGCCCATTACCATAAGCTTGCTTCACTTGCGCTCGAGTCATTCCTTGGGTTGCGATGCCGAGACTGTCGCCTAGCACAGCACCTGCAAGATATGTAACATAGCATATAGTAATTGCATAATACATACATACATACATACATACACAATCAGTCATCATTATCATCACCACCGCCACCGTAGATCACTCATTCACATAGCCTCTCCCTCTCCCTCCTTGCTCTATGCACACAATCCCTTCCTCATCATGCAAAAGCATTATAATACAACATACCAAATATCAATCCTTTGACCCGGTCAATAATCTCGGATCGATCAAGCTTTGAACAACCGGATGGGATTCTCATACTCTATATTATAGCATGTTGGTTGAAACGTTGCACGAGGTACACCCGTATAAATAACTTACTTTGGCCGCGTTTACTGGTTCGCTTTATCGGGTGTTGTGTGTGTGTGTGTGTGTGCAAGTTGGTTGGTGGAGGGTTTTGGTGCTTTTCCTTTGCTGACTTGAATAAGTGATATAATAGAGGTAGAGTATTAAGGCAGATGAATGAAATATGTAAGTGCCCTGAAGAATGTGAGAGTGAAAGAGTATAAAGTGTGAGCGTATAAAAGAGAAAAGAAAGAAAAATGAGAAGAGGAAGGGAGCAAGCCGGAATGCATAGGTTGATCTTTTTTGAAGGAAAGCGCGTGTGACGTTAGGCCCATCCTTGAACCCCAAAATAGAAAACTACCACTGCAAAATGGCAGAAAGTTTTCTGTATTGTTCCTCCTTGTTCGTAGAATAGCAGTATCCATTGTCAAATTCAGGGGTATCGCTTGCTGGCTTTTGTGTGTGTTGTATGCTTTGATCATGCTTGTCAACGTTTGAGCAATACCAATGGATCGTAGTCCCAAGTATATGAAAAAAAGCTTCTTGGGTGGTTACATGCCGCCCTAGGTTCGGCCAACGAATTGCCTTGTTGTACAGCCTTTCTGGAAAAATAAAGCGTGAGTGTGGTGGTGGGTCTCATTTTACCCACAATCCCTCAAATGAGTTCATGTCCTAGATAAAAGATAGGCTCATTCTTATAGGCATCACCCTTTACGTTCTTTGTTCATACACAATCATCCCCTCCCTCTTATATTGATGTTGTTTGTAATTATAGGTGCTATTATCTATTGTCTGCTGTTGAAAAAGCAGCAGCTATTGTAAGGATTCCGCTCGCATGGCACACGCGCACACAAACTAACTTCGACTCGGATACCGGATCGTGGTGTTATCGTTATCGGCGCCGCTGCCATGACAGGCTAAAGAACGCTGTACAACAATGCCCGATTCGCTGTCTACATCATCTTCTTCGATTTCATCAATGACCCAAGATGTACGGCTCTCGGCTTGTTTTTGTTTGGAAGATGTAGGATTGGCTCCAGGGTCAAACCGGTAACGGTAATCCTTGTCAAATAAGCGTTGTACTGTATAGTCCCAAAAAAAAGCTTGGTTAAACGCTACACAACAGTTGCTGCTGCAGGTCAATGCTTTACCATATGGTTTGAGCCCCTTGCCAAAATTTCGTGTAACCACTATCGCCAAGACTATGGTGATCTATTGTTTAAAGTAGGTGTCGTCGATAAGTTTTACCTCATTTTACCCCGCATATCATGTTCTTCAACTTACGATCGATAAAAGGATAGCCAAGCATACTTTGGAGGGGCACATGGTAAATTGAGTTAGTCATGGCTTGCGTGGTGAATTTCTCACGTGGGTGCAAAAAAGGTAATTATGATCACCACACACAAATACAACGCAATGCTTACCTGCAAGCACCCAAAACACCCATGATCCAACGCTTTGTTGAAGAACAACGACGAAATCCGTGACCACAAGGACATGCGCAACAAGGAAAACGTTCATCCATTTGGGTTGCTCAGAGCGAATAGCATGTCGTGCAACAAATGGTATGACAAATTGTAGTGCTGTAAGAAGAAAATGCAAAGTATACCATGCGATTGCCGCTGGTGTACCATGTTGGTATCCTTCTTGGCTCATGACAACGATCCAAAAAACCGAAAACACAATATGAAAGAATCCATCCAGCTTCAATACCAAAAGAAAGATTTGACAATGCCGGAAGCGTGCTACACATACAAGATGCGATACAATAAACGTCATGCTCTCTTACCGGTCACCCATTAACACGCTCATCCTCGTTACCTTGAAGCTTAGGATCTGCACCAAGACGTTTGTAAGTGTTCCAGCCAAACTATGTAGCCCATATTAAGTCATACATTGGCAACCTCGTTTGTCTTTTAATGTACCTGCCGAGAAAGCTTGTAGCAGAGAAGTGCAAACACCAATGTAAAAACTAACATCACGGATGCTAGAGCGATCTCGTATCGAAGGGCAACATGGAAGTCATCCAACCTTGTATCCTTCCCTGTATGCTTATCCACTTGTGTTACACCATGGTTCCTATTGCCGCGTGCCCATTTTTAATACAATCCTGGAGTACCAAAGAAGGTAAAGTCTTTTCCTAATGCTCGTACCACTTTAGAGTGTCACTGAGTTGCACTAATGCTAAGATGACACAAAGAAATTCATTGACGATGTGTGCTGAAAGTTGGATCACACGTTGTCGCACTATCTAGATCACCATGTACATAGGTGGTAAGCACAACAAGTACTGATTTGGATGATCGAGGTATCTTGATTGCACTTACAGAGTCCATGCCAAGGTAAAATTGGAATACATGGAAAAGGATAAAAAAGACGTTTTCATCTTTACGACGTTGCAAGTTGATCAGCACATAAACATAGCCATTATCCGGATCAGGATGACTGAAGGGTGAGTTAGGACGTTCAACCCATCCTGCGGATTGTTGTACGTCATCGATAGCATGGCTATGGGCGATAGCAATAAGCGCTTCAAGGATGATGCCGAGTAAAGTTGACAAGATGATTGTTGTGGTATAGGCGATCGTCTCCCGTGATTCATACACTCGTACCAGCTATCGTATACGGGTTGTTTGTGTGAGTTTGTTTGTTGCTTTGATCAACCGAGAAGAGTCATCGGGAGTTTGAAAATGATTTTACAGTGAGATGCAATATCCGGATAGCAAATCCAGGCGTGTATTCATTTGTTGTTATTGATGGCTTTTCACGTTGCTCCATGTTTTGTACCGGTATGGTATTGTGGGTCTAATAAAAAGAAGAAAAGGGAACGAGAGAGACCGGTACCAAACATAAACATGCTGTCATTGGAAAACGACGGACTTTACCATTTCTGGCACCATTGGTCTGCAAGCTTTTTTTAGTCGAAGGACTATCGAGCCTTTATTTATTGGATCAAGTGCTATAGTGTTCATTCATAGGGATGGTGGTATCGCCCACCCCTTATCCACGAGGCAACATTCACATCCGAACCATGAAAATTTCTTTGTATAGAATGCTGATTACCCCCATCCATCAAAAGTTGACGCTTGCATTTTTCCCGAAGGTAGATGGTTGACTCGTGTCACCCCAAAAGCTGAAACGGAACGCCAACACGCATTCAAAGAAAAAGATCTAAACGTGGATTGTGTGCCTGATGTGGCTGGAATGATGGATCTTCAAGTAATGGGAGGAAATTTTGTGAATGAAAGGTGATTGTGTGATAACGAGCTCTCACCTTGTTATTGGCGCTCTGCTCCTATTTGTGGTATCCATGGATACCGATATTGATTCACGCTATGAAAGCATGGGCAACCATTACCGCTTTCGATCAAGCGTAGTAGATCCACTGATACAGCATCTAGTTTAATCAATGATCTGAAAAAATGCACACAAGTTGTATCCATGGGTGGCTGATCTATGCTAGTAGTCATTGTTTTCGACGCCTCTTGAGTACGTGATGATGATGAATGAGCAAGTTTGCTTTCTAGATAAGTGATCAAGCGATTGTTTTACAGCCTTCATGATGATAATTACCGCGACTTTGACAAGCCGACGACAAACGGCTGTATGAATGCCCGATCCATTGCCGATGGTGGTAATGCATTGCTCTTTTTACATTACCACGCATGTGCCACGATCACAACACACGGGCCACATCATCCATCAGAATAAGGAAGCAGCACCCAAAACTATAAAGAAGCTATCGTGCATCATAGTGAGCAAAGAAGACATTAGCGCCACGCACGACATGCACTTCAATTCAAGGACATTCGTATGGTACATCACATTGTATGCAAATAGCAAATAGCACATGTACGACGTGATTGGTTTCCGATTTAAAGCAAAGATAGTGATAGCAACATGCATCATCCATTGAATTTTTGGGGCTGCTCTGATCAGTGTTTTTATGTTAAGAAAGGCCAAAAGAGCTCTTGAGTGATGATGCACAACACAAGTCTGTATAGTGATAGATGAAAGCAATGCTAATTTGTCAAGGGGCAAATGACGTGTGCGATCTTATTGTGTTGGCTAAATGCGTTCCCGCGGTAAAACTGCATGCTTGATAGGTTTGCTGAGAAGCAATTGGGGGCTTTTACTTTCCCACATACAGGTTTTTTTGCTATGATGGATGCATGCAAACACTGCCACAACAGGGCATCGTACCTTTCATTTTTCATTTTTCGAGGAATCAGTAACCATTTCTAATAAGGATAAAGCTTGGAGGGGAAAATAAATGTTACACGAGTGGTGCAGGAACAGTTCATCCGATTCTAGTTTTTTGTTGTTGTTGGCGTCTTTTCCATCACCACCCCAACATGCAGGATCTAACTATAAGAAGGATAAAAGTGTTGCTACCGTCCAGAAGATTAAAAAGTGGCTACGTCTACAGTGGATGACTTTGTCATGCGACCTTTGGCCGACAAAGTGTCCCCTGCAACTTTGCCCACGCATCACACAACAATATCTTGGATGAGACAACAAATAGCTCCGCCATGAAACGTTAAACTTTAGCACTCAGCGTGTGTGTGTGCGTGTGTGCGTGTGTGTGTGCGTCAAGAAAAAGTAGCGTTGTTGTGAACACACACTTCACCTCGTGCACCCACTTTTGTCGCATCTCTTTCGTGTCGACTACTTAACCAGCAATTCGTGTGTTTTTATAACTCTTTTACCCCAATTGCTAATACACCTGTATCTACTGCATGAAGGTAAAGCTGCATTACTTTATTCATTCTACTACTATCGTGATGATTATACTACTCTCTGCTGACCGCACCTTGATCCCAGTCAGTTGTTTTCTGCTAAAAGGGCCAAACGAATTCAATTTACTGCATCTCTTCCTCGCTCTCTCTCTTCCTTTTCGTAAAGAGTTCAGGCTGCAGACCCCCCCTTTTATCCTTTATTCCCTTGCAGGCTACTCTGTAATTGTCCCACGACACCTTTCTTTGTCCGTCAGTTTACATAGCCTTGAGTGGTTATGAAACGGTCCTTTACAGACGACACTCGTGCCAACAACAGCAAAAAGCATTGCTCTCATTTGAACGAGAACGAATTCGACGTTCAATCCCTCCAACAACCAGACCAGCCGCCATCGCCAACCACCCACATCGACATGAGCACCTTCGTCTTGAACTACGTGCGTGACATTGTGCGAGATCTCGATCAGGGACATCTTGACCATTGCCTCAGCAAACAACTGGATCGAGACACTCTTGACAAACTACAGCCTGAGGAAGTAGAAGTTGCCACTACCTTAGACACGGCCCTGAAGAATATTGCACAAAAGCAGCTTATGCTAGAAACCGACAATCTCAGATATCGGATCGCTATTCAGCAACAATATCAGCTGCTGACAGCAACTCAATGTGAATCATCAGAGGATCTTACAGCAGCAGCCAAAACGCCAACTGCAACAAGTACAGCACCAGCTGCAGCTACTACTATCATCCCATCAGCATCATCATTAGCATCATCATCAGCATCCAACGATCAAGAACATGATATAACAACAACTGAAATGCCACCGCCAACTCCCACAACAACAACTTCGACTGAAACAAACACAAAGATTGAAACCACCACAACAACAACCACCACTACTGAAACCATGGCAACACCTGAACATGGCATCTCGACTATCCGTGATTCTTCCATGTTGGAGAAGATGCAACCACATAATCGTAGCCCAATGCTTTCAATGCCTACCTCCTCGTCTACTGCTTCACCTACTGGTTACTTTGGTAAGATTTGGGATGGGAAAAATCCCCTTGAATTTCTTTCTTTCATATGACTTGTTCTCATGATGATGTCTTTTTACAAACACCTTCCTTCTTGTATAGCTGTATCTACTGCCACTACTTCTGGAACGCCTCCCATCGCCACAAATGCTGCTTCTATGGTTGCTGGTTCGATTACGCCATCACCCTCCATGACGCCACCTTTTGGTATCCCACCTACTAGCAATGTGTATCCTGTCTTTTTTGGCAACACAATGTCACCACCGCTCATGTCTTTCCCTGCCGCTACTGCCAGTACAAGTGCCGACAACATTGTATGTCCTGATTGTGTGGTCCAAGCTGTTAAAGTTGCATCCTCAGTCTTTGCGGGTGAACTCAATCATCGTATCACATGTAATCACGAGCGCTGCACATCCTCCTCCGGTCCTATACATTCATCGTCACCTATCAACATGCTCAAAAATGCCGTCAATAGCATGATCGAACGCTTACAACACGTTGCTGATGAGGCCATGTACGTTGCTCATGAAACAGCTGTCAAAGGCAAACTCGGTGTACAAGCTCGATGCGATCGTGAGATGAAGGGTGTTTGGCGAGACTTTGTTTTGAACCTCAACAGCATGACTCGAAGCCATCTTGAACAAGTGCGTGACATTGCAGATGTATCAACAGCCATTGCACGTGGTGATTTAAGCAAAGCCATGACCGTTCCTGTGAAAGGTGAAACACTCTTGTTAAAAAACACATTCAACACCATGGGTAAATTTTAATATTACTGGGAGGGGTGGCCTTATTTCGGTTTAGCTTGTGACACCTAACATATATACCATAGTCAATCAGCTCAATCTCTTTGCATCGGAAGTATCACGCGTAGCACACGATGTCGGCACAGAAGGTCGTCTTGGTGCACAAGCCAAAGTTGCCGGTGCTGACGGCATCTGGAAGGAGCTCACTGATAATGTCAATACCATGGCCGCCAACCTTACAAACCAAGTCCGTGATATTGCTCAAGTATCCAAATCAGTGGCTCGTGGCAACCTCACAAAAAAAGTGACCGTGGAAGTGAAGGGCGAAATGCTTGACTTGAAGAATACAATCAATACTATGGTGGATCAGGTAATTGTTTATTGCCAAGATATGGTTACTATGGCAACCACGTGCCGGTGCTAAATCTCTTTTATGCATACAGCTTTCTATTTTTGCAACCGAGGTTACGCGTGTGTCACTTGAAGTTGGCACGGAAGGCAAACTTGGAGGCCAAGCGGTGGTCAAAGATGTTGCTGGCATATGGAAAGATCTTACGGATAACGTCAACATGATGTCGTTTAAGCTCACTGGACAAGTACGTGATATCGCTGCAGTCGCCAAAGCTGTAGCAAAGGGTGATTTATCAAAAAAGGTGACGGCCAACGCTCAAGGCGAGGTGCTTGAATTGAAAAACACCATGAACAAAATGGTATGTTGTGTGAGAGATGGCTATGAACTTTCATGTCGCTAATGATATACATGAATTATAGGTGGATCAATTGACATTATTCTCAGCTGAAGTACGGCGTGTGTCATTGGAAGTGGGTGTCGAAGGCAAACTTGGTGGACAAGCTGTGGTGAAGGATGTGGGCGGTGCATGGAAAGATTTGACCGACAATGTGAATACCATGGCTGCCAACTTGACAACCCAAGTACGATCCATTGCACAAGTGACAAAAGCCGTTGCCAAGGGTGATCTCAGCAAAAAGATCCACGTTGAAACACGAGGAGAGATTCTTGATTTGAAAAACACCGTCAATGACATGGTGGATCAGCTACGAGTATTTTCAACAGAGGTGACACGTGTAGCCAAAGAAGTTGGTACAGATGGCAAACTTGGCGGTCAAGCAGTAGTACCCAATGTTGGTGGCACGTGGAAGGATCTCACAGACAATGTCAACACCATGGCAGCTAATTTGACAACTCAAGTGCGGTCCATAGCAAGAGTCACCAAAGCCGTTGCTAATGGTGATTTATCCCAAAAGGCCACTGTCAATGTTAGTGGTGAGATTTCCGATTTGAAGGATACCGTCAACAACATGGTGGATCAGCTACGCGTGTTTTCATTCGAGGTGACCAGGGTTTCACGTGAGGTTGGCACCGAGGGCAAGCTTGGAGGTGAAGCAGTTGTACCCAATGTCAGCGGCACTTGGAAAGACCTTACCGATAATGTGAATACCATGGCTGCCAATTTGACTACGCAAGTGCGATCGATTGCTCAGGTCACCAAAGCTGTCGCCAAAGGTGATCTGAGCAAAAAGATTGAGGTGGAAACCCGTGGCGAAATATTGGACCTTAAGAATACGGTCAACAACATGGTGGATCAACTCACAGTATTCGCTGCCGAAGTCACACGTGTTGCGAAGGAAGTGGGCACCGAAGGCAAACTAGGTGGCCAAGCTGTGGTGCCCAATGTGGATGGTACTTGGATGGATTTGACCGACAATGTGAATACCATGGCTGCCAATTTGACGGCGCAAGTACGATCCATTGCCCAAGTGACTAAAGCCGTTGCTCTTGGTGATTTATCCAAAAAGATCGAGGTTGAAAGTGGCGGTGAAATTCGAGAGCTCAAGGATATTGTCAACAACATGGTGGATCAATTACGTATCTTTGCATCTGAAGTCACTCGTGTATCCAAGGAAGTGGGCACCGAAGGCAAATTGGGAGGTCAAGCTGTTGTACGTGGTGTAGCTGGTACTTGGTGGGAGCTCACGAATAATGTCAACATCATGGCGGCCAACCTTACGAGCCAAGTGAGATCCATTGCGGAGGTGACTAAAGCTGTTGCATTGGGAGACTTGTCCAAGAAGATCGAAGTTGAAAGTGGTGGCGAGATCTTGGAGCTCAAAGATATTGTCAATGGCATGGTGGATCAATTACGTATATTTGCATCCGAGGTGACTCGTGTATCCAAGGAAGTTGGCACTGAAGGCAAATTGGGCGGTCAAGCTGTTGTCAAAGGTGTTGCTGGCACGTGGTATGAGCTCACCAACAACGTCAATATCATGGCAGCAAATCTCACCAATCAAGTACGCTCTATTGCCGAGGTGACTAAAGCTGTTGCATTGGGTGATCTATCCAAAAAGATTGAAGTTGAGAGTGGCGGCGAGATTCTCGAGCTCAAAAACATCGTCAACAACATGGTGGATCAACTACGTATTTTTGCGTCCGAAGTCACTCGTGTATCCAAGGAAGTTGGCACTGAAGGCAAATTGGGTGGTCAAGCTGTTGTTAAAGGCGTCGCTGGTACTTGGTGGGAGCTTACCAATAACGTCAATATCATGGCAGCCAACCTTACAAGTCAAGTGAGATCCATTGCCGAAGTAACCAAGGCTGTTGCATTGGGAGACTTATCCAAAAAGATTGAAGTTGAAAGTGGTGGCGAGATCTTGGAGCTCAAGAACATTGTCAATGACATGGTGGATCAACTACGTATCTTTGCATCTGAAGTGACACGTGTATCCAAGGAAGTGGGCACCGAAGGCAAATTGGGAGGCCAAGCTGTTGTACGTGGTGTAGCTGGTACATGGCAGGAGCTCACTAGCAATGTCAATATCATGGCAGCCAACCTGACAAACCAAGTACGCTCTATTGCCGAGGTGACTAAAGCCGTTGCTCTTGGTGATTTATCAAAGAAGATCGAGGTTGAAAGTGGTGGTGAAATTCGAGAGCTCAAGGATATTGTCAACAACATGGTGGATCAATTACGTATCTTTGCATCTGAAGTCACTCGCGTATCCAAGGAAGTTGGCACTGAAGGCAAATTGGGCGGCCAAGCTGTCGTCAAAGGTGTTGCTGGTACTTGGTGGGAGCTCACGAATAATGTCAACATCATGGCAGCCAACCTTACGAGTCAAGTACGCTCTATTGCTGAAGTCACCAAAGCTGTCGCCTTGGGTGATTTATCCAAAAAGATTGAAGTTGAGAGTGGTGGCGAGATTCTTGAGCTTAAGGATATTGTCAATGGCATGGTGGATCAACTACGTATCTTCGCATCTGAGGTCACTCGTGTATCCAAGGAAGTGGGAACCGAAGGCAAATTGGGAGGCCAAGCTGTTGTTAAAGGCGTTGCTGGTACTTGGTGGGAGCTCACGAATAATGTCAACATCATGGCAGCCAACCTTACCAATCAAGTACGATCCATTGCCGAAGTAACAAAAGCCGTTGCATTGGGAGACTTATCCAAGAAGATCGAAGTTGAAAGTGGTGGCGAGATCTTAGAACTCAAGAACATTGTCAATGACATGGTGGATCAACTACGTATCTTTGCATCTGAAGTGACACGTGTATCCAAGGAAGTGGGCACTGAAGGAAAACTTGGTGGACAAGCCATTGTACGAGGTGTGGCGGGCACATGGAAAGATTTGACCGACAATGTGAATACCATGGCAGCAAATTTGACAGCTCAAGTACGATCTATTGCCCAAGTGACCAAAGCTGTTGCTCTTGGTGATTTATCAAAGAAGATTGAAGTCGAGAGCGGCGGTGAAATTCTTGAGCTCAAGGATATTGTCAACAACATGGTGGATCAACTACGTATATTTGCGTCCGAGGTGACCCGTGTATCCAAGGAAGTTGGCACTGAAGGAAAACTGGGTGGTCAAGCTGTCGTCAAAGGTGTTGCTGGCACATGGTGGGAGCTCACAAATAATGTCAATATCATGGCTGCAAACCTCACCAACCAAGTACGCTCTATTGCCGAGGTGACTAAAGCCGTTGCTCTTGGTGACTTGTCAAAGAAGATCGAGGTTGAAAGTGGCGGTGAAATTCGAGAGCTCAAGGATATTGTCAACAACATGGTGGATCAATTACGTATCTTTGCATCTGAAGTCACTCGTGTATCCAAGGAAGTGGGCACTGAAGGCAAATTGGGCGGCCAAGCAGTGGTGCGTGGTGTCGCTGGTACTTGGTGGGAGCTCACGAATAATGTCAACATTATGGCGGCCAACCTTACCAATCAAGTGAGATCCATTGCGGAGGTGACTAAAGCTGTTGCATTGGGAGACTTGTCCAAGAAGATTGAAGTTGAAAGTGGTGGTGAAATACTTGAGCTCAAGAACATTGTTAACAACATGGTGGATCAATTACGGGTGTTTGCATCCGAAGTGACACGTGTATCCAAGGAAGTGGGCACCGAAGGCAAACTTGGCGGACAAGCTATTGTGCAAGGTGTTGCTGGTACATGGAAGGATTTGACGGACAATGTGAATACCATGGCAGCCAATTTGACGGCTCAAGTGCGATCCATTGCTCAAGTGACGAAGGCTGTTGCTCTTGGTGACCTATCCAAAAAGATTGAAGTTGAGAGTGGTGGTGAAATCCTTGAGCTCAAGAATACGGTCAATGACATGGTGGATCAATTGCGAGTATTTTCTACCGAAGTGACACGCGTGGCACGTGAAGTCGGCACCGAAGGCAAATTAGGAGGCCAAGCTCATGTCCAAGGTGTGGCTGGTACATGGAAGGACTTGACGGATAATGTCAACATGATGGCAGGCAATCTCACAACACAAGTACGATCCATTGCTACCGTCACCACTGCCGTTGCCAAAGGTGATCTTTCGAGGAAGATTGTTGTTGAAGTGCAAGGTGAGATCTTGCAGCTAAAGTAAGTTACCCCTTCATGCATAGTGATGATGGATCTCCTTTATTAAATATTACTATTTTAGGAACACGGTGAACTCTATGGTGGATCAACTTCGTGTGTTTGCTGCTGAAGTGACACGTGTGGCACGAGAAGTTGGCACAGAGGGTAAACTCGGTGGCCAAGCAACGATTATGGGCGTGGATGGCACCTGGAAAGACCTTACCGACAATGTGAACCTCATGGCAAGCAACCTAACGGATCAGCTACGCTCTATTGCAGCAGTTTGTAAAGCTGTGGCTCAAGGTGATCTATCCAAAAAGATTGAAGTTGAAGTACATGGCGAGATTGCTGAGCTCAAGGATACCATCAACACCATGGTTGATCAACTCAATTCATTCGCTTTCGAAGTTACACGTGTTGCTCGCGAAGTTGGTACTGAAGGCAATCTTGGTGTGGAAGCACGCGTCAAAGGTGTGGGTGGTGTATGGCTTGAAATCACCAGCAATGTCAATACCATGGCATCGAATCTTACAACACAAGTGCGTGCGTTTGCGCAAATCTCCGCTGCTGCTGCCGAGAATGACTTTTCTCGCTTGATCACTGTTGAGGCACAAGGCGAGATGGATGCTCTAAAGACCAAGATCAATCAAATGGTTAGCTCTTTACGTGATGCCATGCAAAAGCATCGTCAAGCAAAGGAGACGGCTGAAATGGCAAATCGATCCAAGAGCGAGTTCTTAGCCAACATGAGTCATGAAATCAGAACACCCATGAATGGCATTATTGGAATGACAGCCTTGACATTGGAGACGGAGCTTAACAGACAACAACGAGAAAATCTCATGATTGTATCAAGCTTGGCCAATACCCTGTTGACTATCATTGATGATATCTTGGATATTTCAAAGATCGAAGCTGGACGTATGACCATGGAGACGATTCCCTTTTCAATGCGTTCATCAGTATTCAGCGTGCTCAAAACATTGGCTGTCAAGGCGAATCAAAAGAAGCTTGACTTGATATACAATGTCGATAAGGGTATCCCTGATCATCTTATTGGCGATCCATTACGTCTAAGACAAGTCATCACCAACCTTATTGGCAACGCCGTCAAGTTTACAAACCAAGGCGAAGTGGCATTGGAGGCGCGTGTCATTGATATGCAAAACAACTTTGCTACATTGCAATTCTGTATCGCTGATACCGGTATTGGCATCCATTCTGATAAGCTGCAAATCATCTTTGATACATTTTGTCAGGCCGATGGAAGCACAACGTAAGTAATGATATAGGAAGGTATCACATGCGATACTTATCATTGTATGCTATAGGCGTGAATATGGTGGTACTGGTCTTGGATTATCTATTTGCAAGCATCTTGTCGAGTTGATGGGTGGCCAAGTGTGGGTGGAATCCAAGTATGGTCGTGGCTCTCAGTTTTACTTTACCATGAAGCTGCAACTACATTATGTGGAAGAAAAGGACGTTATGGATAAGATGGTACGATTCCGTGGCCGACGTATTCTATTTGTCGACAGCCTGCAAGATTCAAGTGGATTGGTGAGCAAGATGGAGAAGCTTGGATTGGAAGTTTACCGTGTATGTGATGTGGTCGAAGCAACCGAATTGGCCAACAAGTACTCAGCCAGAGCTAAGCACACGCCCTACTTTGATACCGTGGTTATCGATAAGATGGCTCAAGCAGGCAAAATTCGAGACATCATGCCGTTGCGTTACACGCCATTGGTGATTGTTTCACCCGAAGCCCACATGCTCAACATGAAACTATGCATCGATTTGGGTATCACGGGATACATCAACTCGCCACAAACACTTGCTGAATTGATGGAGGTGTTATTGCCAGCATTGGAAAGTCACGTTGCGTTGCCAAGCGACTCATCAAAGACGGTGCCTCTTCGAATTCTACTTGCGGAGGACAATATGGTGAATCAAAAACTTGCTCTTCGGATTCTACAAAAATTTGGACACAATGTTACCACGGTCAGCAATGGCAAATTTGCTGTGGAAAAGTTCCAAAACGAGCCATTTGACATGATTTTGATGGACGTGCAGATGCCAGTGATGGGAGGCTTTGAAGCTACGCAAAGGATTCGACAATTGGAAAAAGAATCAGGTACGGATTCTCACATTCCCATTATCGCGTTGACGGCCCATGCCATGATTGGTGACCGAGAAAAGTGTTTGGCGTCAGGGATGGTAAGTTATTGGATACTATTTTTACAATTGTGCATATGGATCGACTCATGCAAACATCATCTTGCAGGATGAATACGTTACAAAGCCCCTGCGTCTACCAGAGTTGATTGCTGCAATCAAGAAATTCGCTCCTCAATCGGCTCATGTTCCCTTGGATCAGCCTTCATCCTCAAGCAGCAAAGGCAGTTATCATCGCTAATACCACAACCACCGCCACTACTACTTTTACACCACCTCTTCTCATTCCATGGTCCGGATACCAACCCCAATGAGTCATGTGACACCTTTCTTGTATACCTTTCGCATTATTGTTCTCTTCCTGCCATCTACACTTTGTAAAGCTATATCTATTTATCAACGCCCCCTAGGTGTATGGGTGATGGGGTTCTTGTTGAAACACAATGTGATATGCAGGGTGCTGGTATAGGGTGGATGATGATGTGCACGATGGTCAAGATTGTGAGAAAGTTATCAGGATGCATACGCAAATGACCCATGTGAGTAACAAATTAACGCTTTGTTTGTGTGTGTTGTGGATGTTGTTTGCGCAGCAGCAGCTAGCATATGCAAGTTGTATGAGAGATGGTCAGTGCGTCCTATCATGTTGCGAGTAATTACTAACGGGCCTGATGATGTGTGAATGATGGAATTGGGGGGATTGAGAGTGCTTGTATTCTTCTTGGCATCATACGGTGTATGCAAGGGTGCTGTGCCACAGTGGCTATACCATCTAGTATTCTTGAATCAAGATTCACATTGATAGGAATTAAGATGGGATCAAATGTGAATGCTTTCGGCGATCCTTAGGTTGCATCAACACGTTGTGTATTTTTGGAAAGCTGGTGTCACAAATGCTGCAGTAGCGCCAAAAAAAAGTTTCGGTTTGCATTCCGTCGGTTGGTACGCCAAACAAGGAAACAGCCTTTTGTACTCGTTTGCAGGTATGTTGTGTATAATGAAATAAAGCAATTGCCAATTGAACAATAATAGTAAAGAGTCATGCAATGGCACGAGGTAGTAATGATATGTGTGCATAAATGTATCATCATAATAAAGGTTGGATGGTTGATGGAAAGCGGGCATGTGAAAGGTGTTTTGGTAAACCGGCCAAGTGAAAGGTGTTTTGGTAAACCGGCCAAGTGGAAGGTGTTTTGGTAAACCGGCCATATGGAAAGCATTTAGGTAACTGGGCTTTCATCTCACAACACGCACGCGGCTGTTAGAGTCCGCTTCGGTGGGTGGTAAAAGGTTTTTCACCTCACTACGCACGCGGCATTGTCGCCCGATCAGGCAAGCTTGAGAAACCTACAAAGTTTAATTTTGCTGTCCCTTTTCCCAATATCCTGGGAACTGACGTGATCATCCTTGCTTGTTCTTGTTGTACCCCTTTTAGTGAGCTACATGCATAATTCACGTTTCCATTTTCTCTTGGCCTTCTTAATTTTGCCAAGCGTTACATATTAGCCACGGTTTCACCAGCTAGTACCTTACATGAACACCACATCTCACTGTGGCGTCCTCTAGTTAGGGTAGGTGAGTGGGGGGAGGGATAAGAATAATGACGGGTAGGACAATGGACACACACTACAACTGTGGCAAATGTATAAAAGCCATAACGATGCCTGCATACCCCAATCTCATTACCAGAGTTTGACTTCTCTCTCACTCTTTCAAGCTCACACTTTTTTTCTTCACCACCACTTTTATCCAACATCCATTTCTCTTGCAATTGTATGCGTCTTTGGATGACCAATCCCATGCGTCGCTCTGAACCCTGTACACCACGACCAACGTCTAGAAAAATCCTTACCAACAAACGATTGGACACATTGGAGGACGAACTTGGTTTTCTTCATGACGAATGGACCACCATTTGTGTTATCTTTGATTCGATTTACCATGCTTATCTGGATCAGATGGCACTTGCAAGGATGCAGGGACCAAATCAACAAATGCTCAAAGACTACGATGACTTGTTTACAAAAGTCTACCAATTGGAACGCAAGGTCAAATCGCTTGAAGAACAATTTGAATCAGCTCAAAAGATTTACGATCGACAGCGGAGCAACAAACGACAAAGGCTCTGCTGATTTTGAGTAGGGGAGGAAAAGACTCCTTGTGCTTTCCTTGATCGGTTATTCTTTGTGACCCCCAATCTATGGCCATCCTACGGTACCTCTTGTGTATATAAGGGGCGATATGCTCTTTTTTCTTTTTCCCTTGCTTACTTCATCATCAAGCGATATATAGTATATGTGTATATAGTTATCCCACCACCACCATTCTATCATCATCTTAAAAACATCATGTATATGATTATTGTGTCATCATTTTAGAGCTCTGAGAGCTCCATGCATATGAATAAAGGATCCCCAAGAAGAGAGAGAGAAAAAAAAACCATAAACGTACTTTACGCACATACAACATGTGAAATATTTACCGCTTGGCCCCTGGCTTAATTGAAGGTCTTGGAGGGAACAGAAAAACACAATTTCGAGTTCAGCACGCACACACACACTCGCTTACTCTTTTCTCTTCCACACCCACCCTTCTCCACCTTACAACCCCCCACTCTACGCTTGCATTTTACGTCACAATGTTGAAGCTTCTTCAATCCGCATCGTCTGTGGCTGTAAAGTATTGTTTTCAAAGGCAACGTTCAAAGCATGGTACACATTGGCTAACGATTCTATTCTAGACGCGCACTTCTCGTACGTTTTGACAGCTTGCCAGGGTCACATGTCAACACGCGATACTCACTTTTTCCACCATTACAGAATCCTCTACAGGTCGTATGGCTGTGCGTGGTCTTCACCACTCCAAGGCTGCAATGCAAGTTATGGCCACCAATCCTCTTCGCGCAAAGGAAGCTAGCGTAAGACTACGAGCAGTAACCCATAGTGTGCCTATGAATCCTCTTATTGATGTGTTGCTATAGGGATCTATTGCCAGCAAATACCCTGTCATTGATCACGAATATGATGCTGTTGTTGTTGGTGCTGGTGGTGCTGGTCTTCGTGCTGCTTTTGGTCTTGCTGAAGCTGGTTTGAACACTGCATGTATCACCAAGTTGTTCCCTACTCGTTCCCACACTGTCGCTGCTCAGGTAAAATGTGTAATAGTGGGTTGGTTGGATGATCCTCATACTCAAACTTGATAATAGGGTGGTATCAATGCTGCTTTGGGTAACATGACTGAGGATGATTGGAGATGGCACATGTATGATACTGTCAAGGGCTCCGATTGGCTTGGTGATCAAGATGCCATCCATTACATGTGTCGTGAAGCTCCCCACACCGTTGTGGAATTGGAAAACTATGGTGTGCCTTTCTCTCGTACCGAAGAAGGAAAGATCTATCAACGTGCCTTTGGTGGTCAAAGCTTAAAGTTCGGCAAGGGTGGTCAAGCCTATCGTTGTGCTGCTGTCGCTGATCGTACTGGTCACGCCATTCTTCACACTCTCTACGGCCAATCTTTGCGTCACAACACCAACTACTTCATCGAATACTTTGCTTTGGATTTGATTATGGAAGATGGTGAATGTAAGGGTGTGATTGCTCTCAACATGGAGGATGGTACTATTCATCGTTTCCGCTCCCACAAGACCGTTCTTGCTACTGGTGGTTATGGTCGTGCCTACTTCTCATGCACTTCAGCTCACACTTGTACCGGTGATGGTAACGCCATGGTTGCTCGTGCTGGTCTTCCTTTGCAAGATCTTGAATTCGTCCAATTCCATCCTACTGGTATCTATGGTGCTGGTTGTTTGATTACTGAAGGCTCTCGTGGTGAAGGTGGTATCTTGATCAACTCTGCTGGTGAACGTTTCATGGAGCGCTATGCACCTACTGCTAAGGATCTTGCATCACGTGATGTCGTCTCTCGTGCCATGACTCTTGAAATCAAGGAAGGCCGTGGTGTTGGTGAAGAAAAGGATCACATTTACTTGCAATTGCATCACTTGCCTGCTGAAGTCCTTCATGAACGTCTTCCTGGTATCTCTGAAACTGCTGCCATTTTCGCTGGTGTTGATGTTACCAAGGAACCTATCCCTGTGTTGCCCACTGTCCATTACAACATGGGTGGTATCCCTACTCGTTACACTGGTGAGGTCATTCGTCAAAATGAAAAGGGTGAAGATGTTGTTGTTCCTGGATTGTACGCCGCTGGTGAAGCTGCTTGTGTATCCGTTCACGGTGCTAACCGCCTTGGTGCCAACTCCCTTTTGGACATTGTCGTCTTTGGTCGTGCCGTTGCTCACCACATTGCCGAAACTCTTGAACCTGGTACTCCTCTCAAGCCATTCGCTGCTGATGCAGGTGCCAACACCATTGCCAACCTTGACAAGTTAAGAAACGCTGATGGTAGCAAGCGTACCTCTGAGATTCGTCTTGCCATGCAAAAGGTGATGCAAGCTGATGCTGCTGTCTTCCGTACTCAGGAGACTTTGGATCAAGGTATGTGTGATACAAATGAGAAATGATATGAGATGGTTTTATTGACGTATGAAATAGGTGTCAAGAAGATTGATGAAGTATTCAAGTCCTTCTCTGATGTTAAGGTCTCTGATCGTGGTATGATTTGGAACACTGATTTGACCGAGACCCTCGAACTTCAAAACTTGTTGACTTGTGCCGCTCAAACCATGCACGCTGCTTCCGTTCGTACTGAGTCTCGTGGCGCCCACGCTCGTGATGGTAAATATCAATATTATACACATAGCCTTTATTGGAAATGGGCCATTAACAACATGCGTGTGTGTGTTTATTATAGACTTCAAGGAACGTGATGATGAGAACTGGATGAAGCACACTCTTTCATACCAAGATCAAGAAACCGGTGAAGTTAAGCTTACTTACCGATCCGTTGAAGCCAACACTCTTGATGAGAATGAGTGCAAGCCTGTTCCTCCTTTCGCTCGTGTCTACTAATGGCTGAGTAACCCCTTTTTCCTTTGTTTTCGTCTTTTTCATTGTTACATGATCCTTTCCTTCTTTCCCCATATCGAGAAAACCCTGCTATTCCGCTTTTTCGTTGGAGAATACAATACTGCATTGAATATTTAGCATAAGCATGCTTCCAACTTTCTTCATGTTTGCCAGTTAAACACTATTGTCATAATCCATATGTGCTCCTCCATAAGTTGACCATTCACACACTATGTATCCCATTCTCTGAGCTTTGTATATGTAACTTGGTAGTGTACTGACAATAGCTATTAAAATGATACTTGTTTTGTGTATGTCATTATACAAAGAGGCGGGGGTTTGAAATCAATAAAAGAACAAGGAAATAGTTAGACTAACAAGGAGACAAGGGAGCAGTTATTAGGGTAATGTAGTAAAAGAAAATAGTAAAGAAGACGAGGAGGAGGATAAGTTTTTGGGATCGACGATGTGGAGGAGAGAAGGAGAAGGGGTGGGGTTTCATGTCCTTAGTTGGTCTTTTGCTTTTTCGCATTCAAGACTTCAGCTTCGATGGTCTCGGCCTCCTTGGCTTGGGCTGCCCACACTTTTTTGTTCGAGCGAAGCTCAGCATTGTATTGTTCTTCAGTAGGCTCACGGTGCGAACTGCCCATACGATCCCAAAAAGTAAAATATTGGCCGTAGTTGTAGTTGAAGTACAAGTGGTGGACGGCGTGATGAGCTGTGGTGTTGATGATGGTGGATCGTGAAACAAAATTGCCTATACATAGAAGAACACACGTTAATGCCTTTGTTCCTTTTGCATGTTATGCGTGGATATTCATTCACCGCCTCCTGGCACACTTACCATCGTGGATCATGATTGTCCAGCAGTTGACAAAGAAAAACATGAAAATATAGATCCATTTTTGGGTGGGGATCACGTAGACAAAGAGATGATAAGGAATTGACTGAGCATAGCCGTCAAGGAAGTGGAAAGCGTACGATGCGTAAGGTGTAGGAACTATATCCATTGTGGGTTAATAATCCTTCCATCACAACACATTCAAGCTAAATTCACTTACCAACCCACTTGTGATGAGGCTAAAAGATGGGATAGCAATACACGCACATGCCAAAAAGTTAGCTTATCCGATAACATGCACCATCTGATAAGGACACATTACCTTATGAAGATACTTGTAAACGCGAGGATGATGTTCCCATCGATGAATCCAGTAGATGCCAAAGTCAGTGAACAAAAGGAAAAGGAGAGGTGTTGAAACAAGCCATGCCCAGCCAGCGGGCGTTGTCGGCAATCCTTCATACAGCAGGGAGTAGCCCTTGATCTCACCCCAGAACCAGGGCACCGTGCACACTAAGAAAGAGGAAGAGAACAATCCTGTTAATATATGCAAGGAAACACACACATACATGGAATATAGATATCTTACATGCAAATCCTGGGATAGCTTTAGATGCACATTCTATCTCTTGTCGTACTTGGTTCTTTAAGAACTTTGGATGCTTCATTGTCTCGTGATCAAATATGAGATAATAAGAGAGTGTGGAGAAGCCCATGTAAAAGAGCCAGCCGCCAATGGTGACCAGTACTGCCAATGAGAGGCAAATGCGCAGATCGCTGTCGCGAGCCCATGGAGATGTTGGCGGGAATTGCAGCGTCGAGTTTGAAGCCAACTGCTCTGGGAATGCCTTAGCATAAATGCTATCGAGAAAATAGTCGTCTGCAAGCTCCAACAGAGTGTCCATGGGCGACAATAAGAAAAGAGACAAAGAAGAAAAAGAGAAAAATGTGGAATGGAAAGCGATGGTACCTGTTTCAGCTATTAAAATGGAAAACGGTTGCTGCATCTTGGTCCGGCAACCAACGTATATCAGTTCTCTCCGCACATGGTTTCCTCGGCAACAGGGTAGTAGTAGAGTGCCACTTTGTTTAGTCATCCTTCACCCACCAAACCACGTTCACTCTTCATCCTCTTAATAACATACATACATACTTTCTTACCCTCATCTTCATCACCATGGTGATTGTATGGGACACTATGCGTCGTCATGGCATCTTTCCATGCTGAGTTTATCATTGCAGAAATATCACCAGAGAAATAGCGCCACTCTTTCCTATGGTTACACCATGCTTCATGCTTCATTTGACATCTATGGTAAAATGGAAGATCGCTCTCGGACCCATCGTCCGCTCTTGTATTTTACTTTGCCAACCCTCTTCGTATTTGTATACATCCTTGGATCTTACTAATAAAAGCATCGTATCCCCATCTTGGATGAGTGGAAGCTGATGCTTTGAATGTCAACTCGATCACATGATCACTGCTATTCTTTTTCCCATATTGGCACAGTGGCGAATTATTATCATGCCACGATGATGCCATCCAACCATTGGATCCAAAATTTAAAAATAGTGCCACCAGAGGCTTAGGGAATGTTTGCTTGTAACCAGTACTACCAGATCACTATTGTGGATGATGCTAATGCTTATACGCATCATTATTGATCCCTATCACTACCACTTTATGCGTTGCATAGCAACGAATTTTACTTCCAGAAATGGATTTTAACTAGAGACGAATAAACGAGCTGTTGGTATAGCCCTGGTTACACGCTACCAATCCTCAAGTTACGACCACCATCAGTGCAAAATCAAGCATGTTCATCATGCATGCGCACGATACGGCTCCGATGCATGTGCAACAGAGAAACATCGGAATGACGTGCTGCAACAGCCCACTTGACACCTTGCCGACGAATGCCGTTACAGTAGCACTTGACGTTTGCCCATGCATCACATGGCATTGATGATGCATGTATGTTGTGAGAATGATACATACATTGGGATGATTATTGGTCGTATAAAAGCGACGCCAAATGAGCGGCTTAAATAACATGCACACCCACATGATCATGTGTTTGTTTACATTAGCAAGATGTTAGCTTGCGCGCGCATTTTACAAGAATCAAAAGTGACAAGCTTTATGTTTATGCATTTTACCTTGTGTAACGTGCATCACAATCATGGATGTCATTAAAATCGTCAATGACGATGGGGATGGGATCGTTGCTGACACCGTAATGTAGCATGACCATGCATGTATGTATATGTGGATGTACCAAGCTGTGGAATACATATGGCCCTGCACTGCAGGGCAAGGGTCATCATACAGTGTATGTGTAGATGCCACCATATTCGGGGGGCAGAGATGGGATAAATTACACAACAATGCAAAGATGGGATTGGCAGTAAGTAGACGTTGCAGAAAGACGCACAGCTAACCCTGGGCAAAAAGGATCATCCACGATGATGAGAAAATGATGCTACAATGCCTTTTACAGCCAAGCATCAGGACCGAACTTGATTTGGCAGGCAACATCGAGAGAGCGGACACAAAATCAGGGAGAGGTGTGTGTGTGTCTGGGCCATATTGTGTGCTGGACACTATTTTGCAGCTCCTATTGCTTGTTGCTATAGCACGTTCAATTCAATGTATTGTTTCTCACTGGTTCCCCTATCACCCCTTCCACTTTTTGCTCCCACAAACTGTGAGCCCCTGGCATGGGATAGGCTTTATTGGATCCGATTTCTTTTCCAGTCAGCCAACTAAATCAACTAGCCAATGTGTATGGTTGCTTGCCCCTGTTGGGCTGTCATCATGATGAGGCTCGTTGTTCATCATACAAGAAAATATGGTGCCGTTTGTGTTAATGTTTGTGTATAGCTTTCTCCCCCTTTTTTTCTACTCTTTATCTTTTTTGAAGGGGAGCATTCAACTTGTTCTTCATCCTTTACCTTCATTTCTTAATTCTCTTCTTCTTTGCTATTACCTCTCCCTCTCTCTTTTTTATCGTTTAGTTCTCTTGTAGCGTAAACCATCCTTTAATCTTATACCCCATCCACACACCACACACACACACACACACCTTAATTCTTATGCACGCAGCAGCCGTACATCCGTTAATCCCAAGCGACGTTCCACCACCGCAGGTCGGTGGCCCACGTCGTGCGAGTGCACCTAATAATACACGACGTTCATCCCAAGTATCGCCTGCCACCATTTTATCTCGTAACAAATCCACCAAATCGCTTCGTGATCGTCGTCGTAGTTCTGGAGCCCTTTCAACACACACAGCTATGCAAAAGTCCCGCAAATGCATTGGGGAATACTATGTTGGAAAAACTCTCGGCAAAGGTGCTTCCGGTAATGCAAAAAAATCTCTATACATCCTTCCAATTGAGGGTTTCTAATATATGGATACAACATGTAGGTCGTGTCAAATTGGGTATCCATAGGCATACTGGAGAGCAAGTTGCTATCAAGATCATAAGCAAATCTCACCTTGCTGCCAATCCTGCCATTGAAAAGGCTGTGCGACGAGAGATAGCTCTCATGAAACTAATAACGCATCCTAATGTCATGGGTCTGATTGATGTTATTGACGATGAAAACTCTCCCGATTTGTAAGTTTCGCTTTCTGGATTTCTTTCTTCTTCCCCTTTGTACCTGTGCTCCTCCCACACACTCCTCATGGGTCTTGTTATTGCACTTTTTTTTCTTTCTTTTATCCACTCCTCTCTTTTTGCTCCGCTTGATCTCCTTGACAAAAAGTGAAATGCTGACACTGTTGTTGTCATTGATACAGGCACTTGGTTCTCGAGTATGTCGAAGGTGGCGAGCTTTTCGAATACCTGGTGAGCAAGGGTCGTCTTAGTGAAAATGAAGCCCGCCGTCATTTCCAGCACATCATTATGGGCCTTGACTATTGCCATCATCACCTCATTTGGTATGTAGTATCCATGGCACCATCCAACAAAAACATACATGCTCATTATTATGCTGCATAGCCATCGTGATTTGAAGCCCGAAAACCTGCTTCTTGATCGTAGCAATAACATCAAGATTGCCGATTTCGGCATGGCATCATTGCAACCTGCAGGATCCATGTTGGAAACCAGCTGCGGGTAAGAAGAAAGAAGACACATTCCATTTTTGGCATATGCATAGCAACATCAAAGAAACCTAACCTAACCTTGGTTGTGTCCTTAGGTCGCCTCATTATGCAAGCCCTGAGATTGTTGCTGTAAGTTCTCAGAACCACACACACAACCAACCCATGACAATGACTCACCTTGTACATGTGTTTAGGGCATGCCCTATAACGGTGCTGCATCTGACATTTGGTCATGCGGTGTGATTTTGTATGCACTGCTCACAGGGCATCTTCCATTTGATGATGACAATATCCGCCAATTGCTGAAAAAGGTGCGTGTTTGCATAGCAACATTTTCACTATTGCTTACCATTTTCATCTACTAGGTCAAAGCAGGCAAGTATGTTATGCCCGACAACATTTCACGTAACGCCCAAGACCTTATTCGCCGCATTTTGGTGGTCGACCCCAACAAGCGCTTGAGTGTAAGTAAAAAACATGTACGCTTGTTGTGGTGCATACATCCAATCCATTTTTCTTTGTATCCATTTTTAGATGAAGCAAATCATGGCACATCCTTGGTTCCGTGAGACGCCTATCAACATGGCACGATTCCCTATCCCACCTTCACCTGCTGAAATTGGGCAACCCATCAGCGACCCATCCGAAATTGATGATCGTATTGTTGAAACCATCAAGTTCTTGTGGGGTGAATCAAGTGCAGATCCTATCATTTCGGCGTTGGTTAGCAACGAGTAAGTAAAATCATCCATCATCCATCATCCAATCATGCAAGTTGCTCATGTGACTTTACGCACAGACCCAATATGCAAAAGGTGGTTTATGTCTTATTGCAACAACATGCAGAGAAATACTGGCAAATGGAGCATGACGACGACGACGATGTTATGGCTGATGGCGAAATGCGATACCGTGATGTGCGTCTCAATTGTAAGTATCCCTTTTTCTCCTTCCAAAGTGTAGTACATGCCATCATTTTTTTTTTGCTCACACAATGATATGGTAGCTACGGGTGGTAATACTACAGCCAATCGTCGTCATCGCAGCGTAGCACATCGTTCTGAACGTGATCGTCGATGTATGTCAATGACAGACCAAACGAGAAGAAGCTCCCATCATCGACCTACAGTCCCATGGATGCCTGAACAACCATCTCCTCGTCGTTATTCAGCTGTAAGCATGCGTGTTAAAAACACCGACTATCTCATGCAACAGGAGCAACAGCAACATATGGTTCCACCAGTGCCTGTAAGCCCCGCTGTGCCAGTGCATAATGAAAACGAGCGCATGAAAAAGAGCCAAACCTTCTATGATCGATTTGTGCGTGGTGTGCTTCTACCAGGCTCTCGACGATCAAGCAAAGACAGGTACTTTTTTTAATTTTAGCGCAACCACGTTCAACCTTGTTGTTAATGTCATTTATTTATACATAGGGGTCAACCAACATCACCTCCTCCACCACCCCCTCCTCATGCATCTGAGCTTAATGCACCATCATCAACTTTGACTGGTACACTACGACGCAAGAATCCATTTGCTAGGTCATCGGAACAACGTGCATCCAAGACTCCTTCAATACCACCAAAGTCCACTTTACGTGGTGGTCTTTTGCAACGTAACAAGATCGATCCTAGCCCTGCTACCAACGCCCATGATAACAAGCCATCTACAACAACAACGAATAACAACACCAAGCGCCTTTCTATTCGTATTCCTAATAACAATGATACCAAGAAATTTGGTGGCGTGTTTACATTGACCAGCAACAGCCGTCGTCAACGCAAGCAGCTGGATATGAGTGCGTTTGAGCAACAACAACAACAACAACAACAACAACAGCTACCTATTATTGCACCCACAGTGCCACCTGGTCTCTCTGATGGAAGCACTCTTAGCAGCAGCAGTAGCAGTAGCAGCAGTGACGAAAGCACAAACAAGCATCACGCTGTTAAAACATCACTCAACTCTCCCAATCCACTGCTTACGCCACCACCTTCAGCCAAAGTGGATGAATTGCGTCGAGGAAGCCAAGCATCTTTCCAATCTTATGATCGTCGTGGTAGTGATCAGCGTCCTCTCACTCCAAGCTTGCTTTCGAACAGCTCCACAATCACTACTTCACCTAGTGGTACATGTACTCCTTCTTCACCTGCTGTTGTTACCATTGCATCCAATAACAAGGCTTCTTGGATCACCCACTTGTTCCATTTCAAGCAACCCAAGGTGTGCTCAATCACTCTTTGTGAGACTCGGATGTCCGACCTTTTGCGCAAATTACATTCAACATTGAACAAGGTATGTATGAGCATGAGATTCATGCATCCATGTTGTTGTACAAGATAACTAATAAGGTTATGTAGGTGGCCGAAGCACGATTATATGAGAAGACCGATAAATATGGTGCACGCTACAAAGTAGAGATCAAGCAAAAAACAGGTGGCAAGGTACGCCAAGTCAAATGCCGCATGGATTTCATCCCTTCATCTGTACAAGAGACTCGTGTGCAATTTACCCAACAACAAGGTAAAGAAGAATACAAGAAATGTGAAAAGAGAGAGTAATGCTTATATGAAATCATGTTTATAGGTGATGCCCTCTTCCTCGCTTCCATCTTGCGACAAGTACAGGAATGTCTTGAAAATGATACATCATCATCATCACCAGCAGCAGCAGAAGTACACAATGACTCCAATGCAGCTCAAGTTGTGAGCTTTTGAATGACACCAACCAACCCCAACCAACCCCCCAAAAAAGAGAGTATATACAATCAACCCAACCCATCCCGCCCTTTCACTTGATTTGTGTTGCAAGAGAACAATGAGAACAACAAAGACGATCAACGTCGTTATACACTGCCTTTTTCTTTACCATCACAACAAACAATGCGCTTCCTCCCTTTCATCTTATATATCATCAACCACCCCGTCCTTTCGTTATCCTTTCATACCACTCCCTTCTCAATGAGTATACCACACATCACTTCCAATGTCACGTTGTAGATATGAAACTACACCCTTTGCTAGTATTATGATTTGCGTTCTCCCACCATAAACCATAAACAATCCAATAGTCCTAATAATACATACACAAGGGGATCCACAAATAGCGCTGCTAATATTTACCCTGAATCAAAAACTATTTACAATTACAAGCACTCAAGGAGAAATGAGAGTGGCAACAAGAAACAAAGTCCCAAAAAAGAGAGTATATACAATCAACCCAACCCATCCCGCCCTTTCACTTGATTTGTGTTGCAAGAGAACAATGAGAACAACAAAGACGATCAACGTCGTTATACACTGCCTTTTTCTTTACCATCACAACAAACAATGCGCTTTCCTCCCTTTCATCTTATATATCATCAACCACCCCGTCCTTTCGTTATCCTTTTTTCATACCACTCCCTTCTCAATGAGTATACCACACATCACTTCCAATGTCACGTTGTAGATATGAAACTACACCCTTGCTAGTATTATGATTTGCGTTCTCCCACCATAAACCATAAACAATCCAATAGTCCTAATAATACATACACAAGGGGATCCACAAATAGCGCTGCTAATATTTACTCCTGAATCAAAAACTATTTACAATTACAAGCACTCAAGGAGAAATGAAGGGTAACAAAGAAACAAAGTAGAAAATAGTAAAGGTGCATGTGGGTGCCCTCATGTGGGTGATGGTATGTTGAATTTTTTAGCCATTGAAACGTATAATGATCGTAAAAGTGACTTTTGGGCGGATGGATCCTCTGGCATTGGTTCATAAAATTGGGCTTCATCATCATCATCATCGCCCTCGTCGTCGTTTAGAGTTGCTGCATTATCATCCTTATTGACGTCTGGTAATGATGGCTGTGCTTTTGCGTCTTCCTTTTGAATATCTTCGGTAGTTGTGTGCGTGGGTGTAATATCGGTCATGGGAGCAGGTGTAGTATCAGTGATGGGAGTAGGTGTATTATCGGTTTTGGGAGCTGTAGATGTTGACGTCGCTGCTGGTGGTGGTGGTTGTGGTGGTGATGATGGTCGATCATTGTTCACAGTAATGCTCGGCGTGTCTTCTAATAGAACAATAACTCGTGAGTCAAAGGGAGAATGTGCCATCTGCTCCTCTTGTTACCTGCAGGTTTGACCTGATTTCCTCTATCTCTTTTGTGTAGTTCACGTATACTCAGGGGTTTGTTCCATAATTCCATTACCGCAGCATTCGCATTCTATATAATACAGTCCATTCAATCAAATATGGTCTTGTATATGCCATCCACAAATCTTACCTTGAGAGTGACATCTGATTGTTCCAATCTCGCTAGCTTGTTGGGTTCCACAGGTGCCTTTGGACTTGTATGTCGTTGACGCTTGTGTGTTGTGCTGCTTTCTGCAATAGTCGATGGCTGTTTCATCGGCGTTGGATCTTCTTCATTCATCGCTGATCGTTGTCGTTTGATGCCTTTTGATCCATTCTCTTCCTTCTCAGCTCGTAAATGCTTATAAGACCTGATGTCAGCATGTCATTCGGCAATGATAACAAGAGGAATTGCTTACCAAGGCCGGCAGTTCACCATATTGCATCAACAAGATTTTCTCAAGATCCCCATGCACAATACAATATTCGTTCAAGATCTCCTCATATTCTATTTCAACGCGTCAATTGATCCGTGCACCATTGATCCTCTTGTGCCTTACCATCAGTAGCGGAATCTGGGAAGAGATTGCAAAACCATTCGCTATCCGGCGTGCTATATAATACCATGTTAATCCAATGATCCAATGTAGGTATATATGCAATGCCCTTGTTACCCGGTAAAAGTTTTCCGTAGATCGATCAACCATTGACTTACGGATGGCTCAAAAGAAATGTCGTCAGGGTCGATGGATTCAAATGATGCCGTTGTGCGAGTAAAGGTACATCCAAGGATCATCAAATGTATGCCGAATGCATCTTGGCGTTTGTGGACCCCAATCACCGTGTCATTGAGTACCATCGTCGTATTTCGTAATGCATCGAGCTGGCTAATGAAATCCTGCCCACTATATATCCAAACATCTTGTAAGACTCATGCATCAAACTGACAACAATTGCATACCCCAAACCATCTTCCAATACTGGTATCGATGCGATCGCAGGTACCCAATGGTGTCCATCGGTCAGCTCAACCAGAGCAAATTCACCACCATCCCTCTCATTGGTGACAACGGTGGCCTGAATGAAAAGGTCCATTGTAAGCGCTAGCTCTCTCAAGCCAATGTCACGCGTCCATATATACCTTGTTGAGGACCAAACTCTGTGTTTCCTTGTAACTCGTAAATGCTTGTTGTTTTCCACCGAGAATAAAAGTTGCCAAAGACTGATCGCTCGACATGTTCAAAAATAGGGTGGTGAAAGGAAGAGTTGATACAAATCACGCCGCACGAGCGCGTCTTGTCTCCCTCGTGTATTGAACCCACCAATGCCGAATCAAATATTAGCTTTGAGAACCACCACGCATTTGACCTTGTGACAAGGCATCGCATAGATGTATACCTGTTTCGCACATGCTGCATAAAGTCACTTTATTCCTTCATACGGCTCCATTCCCAATGTGGATAAAGATATTGTATGCTATCACTATAGCGGTACAGTGCATGATATGATCGAGAATGATGTTTATCTTGGTCTATGAGGATTGATACAGGTTGACCAGCATGACATCATTTATTGCCATTGTGATTGTGCCAAAACGAGGGTTGTGTGTCAATTATCTGCTGGGACGACGTTGTACAATTTCCACTTGCCTCCTCTTTCCTTTTCCTCCACTTCGGTTCATGTCTTTAAACAACAACAGCAGCAGTAGTAGTAGCAGCAGCAGCAATTCGAAACCATCAGCTGTCTCCAGTGTTGTGAACGATCTCATTCGAGCAGCCGTGGGTGGTGATGCACGCAATGTAGGCGATGAGGACCTCGACAAGTACGTAGCCGACATGATCTTGAAGGAAGCCGAAGCCAAGAGCAAAAAGTACCAAAGCGTTGGTGTAAGTGCTTATATGCCAGAGTAAGTATCACATTGGAAGACCTTTGTTCATGCTTGTATGAGGTTCATTGATATCGTATTATCATGTAGCCAACCCAACAACTTGCCCAAACCCAACAAACGTTTCTTGCTCAACATGGTACGAGCCACTGACAGCCATAACCAAGCACTACGAGAGCAGCAGGAACGTGCAAAAGAAAAGGAACGAAGGGAGCGGTTACAGCAAAGGGATGATGATGATAACAATCGACGATCGCGTCATGACAGTCGACGACGACAACGACAACGATCACCTTATGATGACAATGAATATCAAAGACGACGACGACGTAGTGTATCACCTAGCCGTTCACCCAATGCATCAAAGCATCACCGATCAAGACGATCCATATCACCAGAAACGCATTCACATAAACGACATCCTCATCATGATTCATCATCCTCGCATGACACTAGTCGACAAGACCAACCCAATACCAAAATCAAGGATCCTGCATCATCATCATCATCATCCAAACCAGCAGCAGCAGCAGCACCAGTGATTGTACGAGGTCGTGGCCGAAGGACTGAAGGCACCAAGTCGAGCATGGATAAATACTTTGCAAAAGATTACAACCCTTTCATGGATATCGAGCCTGATCTCAACCAGATGGTGTACACCGAGTATCCAGATGATGACAGCACCGATAAATCAGCCAAAAAGAAGAAGAAGGATAAGAAAAAGAAGAGCAGCAGTAGCAACAAAAAGAAAAAGAGCAGCAAGAAACGAAGACGAGATACCACCACAGACGAGAGCGACGATGGGAGCGATTCAGATGTGGATCGGCGGAAAAAACGACATCATCGACATCACCACAAGAAGAAAAAGAGCAAGGATGAGGATAGTAATAGTGATAGTGGTGAAGATGTTTGGGTAGAGGAACCAAAACCAATGAGAGCATGGGATGTTGGCAAGGAGGACCTGCATTAATGCCGAATAAACTGTAGTCATTTATCACACGTTGCTATCGTGCTGTTACAGTATTTAGGGGATTCTTAAGGAGGAGAAAGCTCAAGGTTAAGCATACAATGTAATAGCTTTTTTCATTTTAGAACTGCTGTATTATTGGATGTAAGGTATCGTCAAGATAGCAATATGTAAAAAGTACGATGGAAACAACAACGGGCTGATGTATTATAGAGTAGTAGAGATATCATTAAAGGAGTGGACTGGATAAAAGGAGGCGAAAAGAAGACACACTATTAAGTAAGCTCTGTGCTGCGTCTGGCACATTGTTCACAACTACAATAATAAAAGGGAGGGAAGAGGAAAAAGTGGGAGGATAGTCGTAATGTATGTTGTATATCGATATTAATGATGAAGCCGTGTATCGGTCTTCTTGTCGTCGTATGATTGTGAAAGGAAAGCAAGATCAAGTTGGGACATGCCCTCTTGAATACGTGGAAGATCATCCAATGCAACGGGCTCAAAGGAAGATGAAAAGCTAGGTCTTTCATCGTGTTGTCCAGTAGCTGTGTGCGTCGAATACTCTGAACACCAACTCTTGGTTACATGACGTGCTTTTTCATCGTGTTGTTGCTGCAAGGATTCAATATCAGGATGAATGGTGTATGTGTTGCTGGTCTTTGCAGCCGATGGATAGGCGACAATAGATCGATCGTTATATGATGCCAATGATTGCATGGTCCAGGATGATTTGTCGGCCCTTAATCCAATGGTGCTTGGCGATTGTTTTGCATTGTAATCAAGGTTCTCCACCGTAAATACAGTAGCGGATGCACGTAACGATGACTGGATCAACATGCATAACGTAGCAAGGATTACAAATACCCAAAAAGCCATGGCAACAAAGGCTAAAAGGTGATGCTCTCATGATTAGTATGGGCAACGATGGATGTTTCAAGCTGCTTGTGAACGTACCAAGAATGATTGCTAGATTAATTAGATCACACGCTTGCCCATACGTCTTTACAAATTCAGAACCAGTGATGCGACAAGCCGATGAAACTACATACAATTGAATGAGGGATGATGATGATGATGATGAGTATATGAGCCTATGATGGATAAGATGATGTTGGACTTACCATTGTAGCTTGTCATGACAATGGATGTCGCTGATGCCCAAAGGGCAACCAACATGACACCTGCAGTCATTTGCATAGCAAGGATGGCTTTCGAGGGTGCAAAGGGGCGATTATCGATAAGGCGAAAGAATACATGCAAATGTAAACACAACAAAAGTGATGCTGCCAATAAGGATGCTGCACCGAGCACGATTAAAAGATAATCCTGAGGCCCGGGTATTGTAGCGATTATGCCCTGCAATGCACCGCTAGCCGTTTTTAAGCTGATGGCATTAAGAACCATAACAGCTATGCTGATCCACTGGATTAATACCAAGAGGCTAATGTGGATGATCGCTTCATTCCTTGCTTTGGACATCGAGACGAGGTATAGCAGAAAGAGCGTAAAGGGTGTAGACCGATATTAGGTTTGTAAAAAAAAGAAAGTGAAAGGAAAAGAAGCAGTAGTATGGATCAGAAACGTGCGTGAGCTGGAGTAAAGCAAAAAATATGAAGGGAATATATAAATACGCTCCCTGTTTGGAAACGGCATTTGGAAAAAGAAAACGCGGCAGGCGAGAAAGATGTGAGAGTGAGTTAGTGAGTGAGTGAGAGAAGCGATGCCTCCTTATGCACCGATCTCCTTGGATTCTCTCTCTAGCAGTAACATAGTGACGTTGCAGGATCTGTGCTGATTGCATACAATGAGCGTCCCCTTTATCTACCTGTTTACTGCTTCAGTGATGTGACAACAATCATGGTGTTGCCATCTAAATGCATTCTAATCAAAGGAGGATAGAAAGCAATGACATTCAAGGTTATATTTCAACTAATCTATCCATGTTGGTGAATACATTCCAGTCTTATTGCCGCCGTTCTTGGGTAAATTTGATCCTTTTACACATTTCCATTTCTGGCACACACACAACCCCTCCCTTTTTTCTTATTATTGCAGCGTGATAACAAAAAAGTGTACGACGTTGTCGTTTTGACATGCTCAAGGGAAAACCACGTGTACCATTAGGCTGAGCTGTGGGTGAGTGATCGTTCTTCATCGTCCTCTTTTGCTTGATCCTCCTCTCTCGTGAGGTTTGCGTATGATCGTAGCTTCCTTCTCCCTGCAAGTTAATCAATATGCGATCACCAAAGTTAAAGATGCTGACAACAGGTCCCCGTAGTCAACATGAATAGTTAATTAGTCAAGTGGATGCCTTGATCGCGTATGCCTTGGATGGGACTAAGATGCAAGCTACCATATTATGTGTGACACGTTTGTTTGCGTCGTGCATATATACCATGATCCAGAAAATTGGTTCCAGGAACAGCTTTCCATTTGACTTTACACAGCGACAACAATGCTCCTTATTGTGCAACAGCCAAATCGTGACATGTGAGGACGTTCTGTAGTATAATAATAGTAGCTTGTTGGTGCATTTAGCATGCTGCATGTGACCTTAGCAAAATGCTACCATGTTGGTCGATCTTTGGGAGACTCGGGTTCTGCGAATGGTCTTTTACTGACACGAAAGAGAAATCAGCTTCAGCTGAAAATTGGATAGCAACATGTTGCATAAATCAGATGTCACGTTTTCTGAAAGCTTGGTAGCACAAGGCAACAAGGCATTTGGAGACTATCAAAGCGAGGGAGTGGTTTCTTTAATGCTATCTCTCTTTCTTTATTGCTCATTTGATGATACAGTGCTACCCATTCTAAGGATGTTATCATTACCAGCTCTCCATAACGATATCCAAAAATGCTATGTTCGCTGTAACGGTCTTAGCTAGGATCATCATGCAGCACCAAAATGATAAGCCGTTGTTGCATCAGAGCCATCATTGTCTATCCTTTGTTGTTCATTGTTGTGCATCGTATCCATTGCTGAAAGTAAAGGTGCCCTTAATACAAATCATCACCGGAACAGGGTATCATTTTTGATGCGGGGTTAGCTTGATGTTGCCATTTTGATAAGCTCCATTCAAGCCAACTTTCAAGAGGTAACCGGATACTTGTGAGATGGTCTTCCAGAATAGCATTGCTTGTCTCATTCCTTGATTCTTGACCAAGGCATTCATGTCATCAATAAAGAAGTTCATGATTTAAAGACATACCAATATACAAAGAAGCTATGGCAAAGATAAAAAGGATGATCATGCCATAAAGGACTATCAGCAGAAAGCGGTAAAGTACCACGCAAAGATCACAATGAGCACCAACAACAATGGTGAACTACAAAGATGGCCATAAAGATCGATGAATGGGATGCCCCAGGCTATCATTGGACATGCCAAAAGGTGGGAGCTTTGATGGTAAGGCGATAGATGGAAGAGATGTTTGCTAATGTTGATGGCAACAACCATTCTTATATATAAAAGGACGTGCAAACCATTGCCCATGCAAGAAAAAAGAGGCCGTGAGTGATCGACTGCCTTAAAAAACTAGGTCGAAGGTGCTCCAACATCAACCCTTTAGTAGTCAAATGCAACATGTGCTGGTCGACGGCTAGTCTTCTAAATAAGGGATGTCACTTGAAAGTATCCATTACAAAGCCGCATCATGAAACCAGTAATTGTTAAACATTCATTGTACAGTAACCATGGCTGTGTGTGAAAAGTAAGCGGAGAGTAGCGGATATGCAATTAACATGAATGTGACAACAATAAGTTTTATTTACAAGCGATCACGGGAGTACTTTTTATCAAACTGTTGATTGACGGTCATAAGCTTGAGTTGAGTGTTTTGGTCAATGTGTTGCCAAGGGTATGGGTTGTTGTGACGATCCCAGACGACTTCAGGGCCACGAGCCAAGCGGGAGAGGTACCAAGCAGACATGCATACAGCGCCGCCGGTGACGACATAGATGGGAATGATTTCAGGTTTGTACCAGATCTTGAAGAACTTGGAAGCGGCAGACATGATGGATGGATGAAATAGGAATATGAAATAGAGAATGGACGTCGACAAAAGAGTTGAGACAAAGAATCCATTTGCACACGCTATCCAAGCATCCTTTTATATCTTTGAAAGGGCCCATTGTGATCGGCCTAACTAATTAAGCCATGCAGTATCATGATTGGTGAGCAGGTGGAACAAATGTGCCTGAAGATGTCTGAGTGAAACCCAATGAAAAGTTTTTAATGTCAAATGGCCGAATTAAATGATGTAGTTGGATGCAATAAGGTTACAGGAAAGGGAATGGTAGCGGTATAAGGCTATTTCATTTGACCTTGTGAACGGAGCGACGCCTCTTCTTCGGGTGTCAGAGACCAAAACCGTTTTCGTTTCTCATCAAACCAACGACGTAACTATAATTAAAAAGGGGAAGAGCGGAGGAGGAGGAGAAGTAATGTTACCCGGCTGTCATTCATCCGTGCATGATCGATGTATTCTAGACTTACAGGCGAAAAACAATGCTCTTGCTCTCCAAAGTCGGCAAACAATGCTACGTATCCAACAAGCGCTATTACAAAATAGAGTTCATGCTGGTAAGTTGTCTCCTCGTTATTGGATACAAGCAAAGAGGTGGGGGGATCTTACGAAGCGAGACAGCCCATGTCATAACATGCAGTTGACGAGATCGCAAGTTTGGTGCCATAGATTGAGGGCTGTGAATACGTCGTTTCAAGCGTTCTTGAATGTGTGCATTAGCAGCTTGTGATGGGTCGAGGTTTGTCATGACGGAGTGGTGGTGTTGTCAAAGAGTCAAGGACGAAAAACAACATTGAGCCATGCGGGAAATCAAAAAAGACGCCGCTTCTCCATAAAAGGTTGCACACCGTAAATGTCAAGTGAAGCTCCTGCAAAATCTTGATTATCAAGTTGATCACCCTCCCAATAGGTTAGGATGGTCATTCTACAAAGCGACAATCAAATAGATAAGCTACTCTCTCGTCCAATAGTATGATTGAATGATAACAAATCCCATGAATTGAACAATGGTAATGATTGGATGAAAATGTCCGTGGTATTATTGTTTTCTTTGTTGTATCTAATAAGAGAGAGAGCGTGTGTGTATGTGTGTATGTGTGTAGTCATGCGAGGAAATGGTGTGCGAGCATTGATAGAATGACGCGATCCTATTGTGCTATGTAAAGAAAGGGATCAGGCGTTTTGTGTGTGTGTTGGATGACAAATAGGTGATGGAAGATGTACCCAAAAGACCAAACTTTTTAGGAATGCATGGGTTCTCTCAACTGCGCGTTCATTATCAATCGTTAAGATCCAAAGTAGCATTGCTCTTGCGCAATACGTTTTCAACTCAGTCGGCCAACAAGATATGAAAACCCTCCTTGGCGTGCGTCAAGAACTGAATAACACCATTTCACGCGGATACGATTGGCTGACATCTTATACCGGTGCCGTTTATGGCAGGGAGTCGACGAGGCTCTTGCACACCCCGTTCCGATCACTATATAAACAGCGATCCATTATTCACTTTGTACCTATCCAACTATAACGCGTATAACAAAAAAGAAAAAAGATATTCATCATGCCAACAAGCACCAACACTGTCCGCATTCAATCATCAGCTGAATTGACCCCAGAAGTTCTCAAGAGCCTTAACAATCACTTGAGCACTCTCGAACCACGCGAAATCCTTGAATGGGCTATTGACCACTTGCCCAACTTGCACCAGACTACTGCCATGGGATTGACTGGTACGCATCTTTTTCATTATTCAAGATGCATGTATATCTAACTTTTGTAATTTTCAGGCCTTGTATCGCTTGATTTGATTAGCAAAATCAGCATTGATCGTGAACAACCCCACTTGGTGCCATTGATTTTCTTGGATACGCTTTATCATTTCAATGAAACGCTTGATCTCGTTCGCCGCTGCGAGCAAGTATACGATGTCAAGTTCCACATTTATAAACCCCTCGACTGCGAGACTGCACAAGAATTTGAAAAAGAGCATGGCCAACATTTGTGGGAAGTTGATGAAGCAACATACGATTTTCTCGTCAAGGTTGAGCCTGCACAGCGCGCCTACCAACAACACAACGTGCAATCAGTGATCACAGGACGTCGCCGCAGCCAAAAAGGCGACCGTGAAAACATTCCCATTCTTGAAGTCGACTCCACTGGTCTCATTAAGCTTAACCCTCTTGCACTTTGGGACTTTAAGCAAGTATGGACCTACATTCGTGCCAATGAAGTCCCCTACAATGCTCTCGTCGACGAAGGTTATCGATCCATTGGCGACTGGCACTCTACCAAGAAGCCTATGAGCGAAGATGATGAACGATCAGGCCGTTGGAGTGGCAAGCAAAAGACAGAATGCGGTTTACATCAAGATTATTTCAAGATGCGTGCTGCTTTTGTGGCTGCAAAGAAGAAGAAAGAACAACAAGCTGCTGCTCGTGCTGCTAATACTCACACTGCTACGCCCGTTGCCGTTGCTTCCACCTCGTAAATTCATTCAACATCCTCTCTCGCTTTTCCTTTTTTCTTCTCTATCACACACCCACACGCACACACGCACACACACACTCCACATCCATTCCCATAGTATTCCACGTTTATCCCTTATCCCTATTGCAACATTTGTAACACCCGCATATTATCCTACACACGCAAATTGTAGCGTTTTGTACATAGACGACTGATCATATAAAACCCAAAGCTAATGTATCTTGATTCATTCAAAAATATGGTGGTTTACAATTGTCGCGAGTAATGGTACTATCAAGGCCCTCTATGTAATAGGGAGGACCAGATGAAAAATGTCCCGTAGTATTCCAAATGCTGGTGTATGACTAATCCTGCGATGTGTGGGGCTTTGTCATATCAGAGGCCAGATCTTTTGCCATCGGATCTACCCCCCATCTTATCTTGCATCTGAAATTATAATGGCAAATCAGCCTAGCCTTCTAATAACAGATCTTGATTTATCACTTTGGTGCTGCATGTATGTGGTAGTGCAGGTAGCATACAACACCATCACCCATTTATGCTACATGCCATTGCCACGTTATCGTATCGGCTATGGAATACAAGGAAGAGGTTGCTTTGTGGGGTTGAGATACGTTGATGATGATATCAATTGTGGGTGATGATGTTGTGGATTGCTTCCATGTTGTTGTGCATGAGGATAACATAAACAGGGATGTTGCATGGTTACGCATGTTGATTAATAATCACAACTTTTGCATCATCATCCTTCTGAATACTTTTTGTGATGGGATTTATCCAAAAAGCGGAATGCAACGGCCAATAAAAGGAGATGATGAATGCCGGGGCCAGTATTACTCTCATGCAATGATGTAGTACAAAGACAATGGCTTCATCGGGAATTTGATTTTCCGCATTTGGACATGACAACATTGACGTTTGGATATGGCCTTCATGAACAAGGTAGTGTGGGATCATTTATGCAGCCATTCATGGCTTGATGTTCAGGAGCGTGATTTGACGTGATCGTTGTTGTCTTGTGTACACATGGTATGGCAGCTGTTTTCATATGACATGCATATGCCATCATTCGGATTATCCCGCGTAATTTGACTCAATGGCAACGCCACGTCAACGGGCTTATGAGAAGAATGGCAATGGGAATGGTAGTGTGATTTATTTCTTCTTTCTTTCCTTTTCATCTTCTACTTGTATCATGACTATATCATTAACCAACGCGTTCACCAAGGCTGTCAAAGTCAAGTATCCCATCATTCAAGCCCCCTGTGCAGGTCATACTGGAGTCGACTTGGTAGCTGCTGTAAGCAATGCCGGTGGATTGGGTTCACTTGCTGCTGGCATGATGCCACCCAACGACATGCGTACCGCCATTCGAGCCATTAAGCAAGCAACCACGCAACCATTTGCTGTCAATCTCTTTTGCCGCATGGAGCGTCCACCCACGCAAGATGAAATGCAACGCGACTATCCTGCGTGCGACAAGGTCTTGGATAGAATAAGGTCACAGCTTGGTATCACACGCCCAACGACATTTACACCACGTTCGCCGCCACTCGACCAACAAATTGCAGTGATCATTGAAGAGCAAGTGCCTGTGGTATCATACACCTTTGGATACCTTCCCGAGGATGAACAGAAGCGACTTCAGGATGCAGGTGTCTATTTGATTGGTACAGCAACCACTGTCAAGGAAGCTTTGGTGTTGGCTGGTTTATTGGAAAGCAGTGTCAAGAGGGCGGATGCTGTTGTTGCACAAGGTCTCGAAGCAGGGGGTCATCGTGGATCATTTCTCAAGGAAGAGGATGCCAATGATGAGAATCAACGACAAATGCCAACAGAGGAATTGGTACCCAAAGTGGTCAAAGCATTACGTGAACATCAAAAGGATCGTCATGTCCCTGTATTGGCAGCGGGTGGATTAAGTACAGGCACCGATATTGCCAAGGCTCTTCACAAATGGCAGGCGGATGGTGCAGCTGCCGGTACATTGTTCATGCTCACCACTGAATCAACCACTCCAGCCGCTCATCGCAAGGTCCTACTTGAATCAAAGAATGCTCCTCGTATCACGCGTGGTCTTAGTGGACGATGGGCTCGTGGATTTCCCAATGCGTTTATGGATGCTATTGATAACGAGGTGCCTGACAGCGACATCCCATCTTACGACATCCATTCGGCAAGAACAAAGGATATCGTGGCTCATGCTGGCAAAAACAGTAACCCTGAATACATGCTACTATGGTCCGGATCACATGCTTCAGATGCTGCAAAGTACTCCAATGGTGGTACCGTCTCGGCTGGTGACATGGTCAACAAGATTGTGAAGGATATCGTCAATGCCTCTCCTTCATCTTTGTAGATGTACCCACATTATCCTACCTATGGTTGATTGTCTTTTTTCTACAACAATGAAGACTTGCTTGCTCTCATCACTGTGCCATGGAAATGATGTTTATTTGTTTGGTTACGCAATGTTTGAGGTTATAAGCCGGGAAGCGGGTCAACTATAATGTTAAGTTAAGGATCCCAAGGTTGAGAGATGCGACAACATGTGAAAGAGGTGTGTAATTGTGAGATGTAAGTTGCTTGGTATTGCTGATGATGATTGCGTATATAGTAATAACATGTTATATTAGATCCTCTGACCAATGACATACATTGACAGCTATACTACAATCTTTGATGATGCGGCCACAAAAAGTACGACTACGATGGTATCCATGATCCAGGTACGTTGCCATGTCCATATATGTTTATCGATCCAGTGTATTTATGCGCATAAAAAAGCTTTCGATTTTCCCCGGGTCAGAATGTCAGTCAAGATCTGAATACGTACGACGTGCCCATGACCTCAACATGTTGCCTTGGGGGGGGGAGAGGAGCCACCGACATCAGCACATGCACCTACTGCAGCACATTCACACACTTGTTTGTTTTATCGCCTTGATCGACATTGTCCTCAAAGATCTCGTCATCAATACCAATACGCACTTTTCGTCCCTCGTGCTTTTGTTTGGATTACATTGATTTACAAGGTGCTGTGCATGAAATAGCAACAACAAGTTCTATAAATTTCACAGCAATCAATGCGTCATGTGTGGTGTCTCTCTCTCTTTTTCTTTCCCTGATCCTTTCTCAATGTACACGTTATGCAAGCTCCTCTATATTACAGTCTTTGCCCTCCTATCTGCCGTACCACCTTATCTACAAATCTACTACCATGACGTGTTGTACTTTTCCTCGAATCAAATCGGGTGTGTTCTCGCTATTGCCCCGTTTATTCAATCGCTTGCATGCCCAATATGGACGTATCTTGTCGACAAACGACCAAAGTTGCATGGAAGTATCATGGCGTTTACCAGCCTTATGGGTGGATTGGCTATCTTGGGTATCATGATTCTCGGTCATCAACAACAACAAGAAGATACAACAAAGGATCCTTCAACGCCCCTTTTTCTTTCTTTGATCCTCAACAATAACAATGAGCAGCATTCACCACCACCACCAGCAACGCAACAAACGGTGATCCTCACATCATTATGTGCATTGATGTTTGCATTCTTCACTTTACCCAATGTATCCCTTGTCGACAGCGCCGTCATGAAGATATTGGGATCCAACAAGATCCTTTATGGCAAGTATTATTACAAGTTTACAATTAGCTACACGTCACTAACACATCATTTAGGTGAACAACGATTATGGGGATCGGTATCAGCTGGATTTACCATTCTTGTCGTTGGCGAGTTGATCAATTTGACTAATAACCTGGATGCTATCTTTTGGGTATTTGGCGCTTCGACCCTTGCTTTTATTGTTATATCCTTGAGTGCCAACAATGTGATTTCCTCATCTGTTTACAAAGACGATGATTATAAGGCTACCGAGTGTTCCAAACTATTGGCTACCAACGAGAGTAGGCAGCAGCTCAACAACGAGGAGGACTATGAAAAAGAAGGTTCTGCTAGAGGGCGATACCAAAGCACCATGATGCACGATGAAAGGGGATTATACAGACCAACAAGCTGCAACTCAACGGTGCTCTCGATTGCACATGATTTACGAGAAGAAGCTGATGAGCTCTTGGATACCAACGTGTCACCTACTACCGCCCCATTACAAACAGCTGGTCTTGCCATATCAAGGGTATCGTCTCTCGAACACAGCATGCTAGGTGGCCGCGAGCTCATTGATGCCACATCCTCCGCTTCATTATCATCCACCACAGCAGCAGCCACGCCCATGTCATCCAGCAATAGTCATTATCAAGCAAGATTCTTTACATCGCCTCGAGTTGCTTGTTTCTTGATCACAACATTATTATTTGGCGTGGTGCTATCAATGGTTGTCAACTTTTTATTCTTATTTCTAAGCAATGATTTGCACACACCTGCAAGCTGGATTGGATGGACGGGGCCTCTTCAAGCACTTACTGAGCTTTTATGCTTTTGCTTTTCAAAACAGGTGAGACGTGAGTGATTTTGTCATTGCCGATATTGATTATCTCCCAAAAACATAGATGATGGAACAATTTGGGACAGCCTGGTTGATTGTGTTTGCCCATGTCTGTACTAGCCTGCGCTGTTTGGCGTACACATTACTGCCGCCCGATGCATTATCCACCAATATTTGTGTGCTACTACTACAAACGCTTCATGGTAATATACCTTTATATGATCCTTTTGTTGCATGTGTTTAATAGTACATTAACATCACCATGATAGGAATTGGATTCGGTATTTTTTGGGGGACGGCTGTAAGTGAGATGGATGCCATGTTTCCGGCAAACCAAAGAGCTGTGGCTCAAGGTGTCCTTGGTGCTCTTCACACAGGTCTCGGCACTGGATTGGGTGCTTTGATAGGAGGACAATTATATGATTCTTTTGGTGCGGCTGGTCTCTTTCATAGTGCAGCAGCCCTTTCACTCATCAGTGCCTTAATTTTTTGCATCGGTCGTCGTCTAGACATCAGCAGCTAGTATGTAGGATAAAGTATTATGTATTGTGCGTGTAAATATAGTTTTATGATGATTGCATCTCTATCACGTTTGTGTGCATGTAACGATGATAAAACAGGGGATCGATACTATAAGAGGGCGGGGGATAGATAAAAGGGCTCATGCACATACAATGCTGCACATGCACGGACAGGAATCAGGATATGGAATTGATGAGTAATGTATGTAAGCAGTCAGCAAAGTGGTTGTGTCATCGTCTTGACCATGTAACGGACCTCATTGAGTTGAAGCACCATTGTCCTTTGTACCTTCTTGATAAAGCGTATGCCATCATCATCCCATCCCATCAGCTGCGTTCTATGTATCATTGTAATCGATAACTTATTCAATACCATCATCGTTACCAAAAAGCTATACCTTGTTCACCAGTGCAAAAGAAGAGAAACACATGCGTGTCGTGTATGTTCCTTTAACATACCGAGCTTGTTGCTTGTGCTATGCACTTACTCTCTTGGTTGTCATTGCCAGCTTCAGTCGACTTGTAGATTGTGGCGCTTGTGAAGAAAGAAGAAAAGGAGCACCTTTCACACCGTAAAGCATAGTGCATACCATCGTCGTTGCCATGGATTCAGCTGCCGGAGTATGAAGAAAGAAACCGGCTGCGGGCATTTACACCACTCACACTTATACCTCGTTTCTTTTCCTTTGACTTTGTTCGGCCAAGGAATCTACTGTTGTCTCATCGAGTGCGCGGTAGTAGTTGTATCATGATCGTAGTGCAGCGCCCTGAGTGAACATAGTCGGTTGCAGGTAGGGTCATTGACGCCTACATTGGGCCACTATTAGTAGCGCTGTTGCCAATTAGGCTCTCCAAAAGAAACATTGGGGCACCAACCATTATGCATGACACCACGCGCTCTTTCTATTTCAACTCCCTCCAATTACATCCACGATACTACCAACACACTCTTGCAGTTGAGCGACTGATTGAACCCACAAGCAACTAGTTCTGTATGTTGAAGACGCCCTCAAACAAGGTGGGAAAGGCTGTGGACTTGAAGTTGGCATTTGACCTGAACATACACGGCACGCACGTGTTTTCTCTTCTTTTGCACTGGTGAACAAGGTATAGCTTTTTGGTAACGATGATGGTATTGAATAAGTTATCGATTACAATGATACATAGAACGCAGCTGATGGGATGGGATGATGATGGCATACGCTTTATCAAGAAGGTACAAAGGACAATGGTGCTTCAACTCAATGAGGTCCGTTACATGGTCAAGACGATGACACAACCACCTTGCTGACTGGTTACATACTTCAGGATGAACAAGAGGTATACCAAATCGGCATCATTCCGGTATCAGATGGTCTAACCTGCCTTCTTTTTACTTACAGAGACGACCATTACGATGATTACCACACTCACGATGATCACGATTACGATGACTACCACATTCACAACAATGACGATTACAATGATCACCTCATCCACAACAATGGCAATGATAACGACAACGAGATTCAAAAGGAAGCCTGCAAGATCCCATTCTTTTCAACTTGTGTATTTTTGAATGTTTGGTGTGACGGATGAGATTGACGACTGGTGACGAGTACGAGTAGGAATGATGACGGAGGACGACTAAGACGATGGTGGTGGCAATGTACAGTACATAGCAAGATAGCTAGATGAAATAAAGCATTGTTTATTTATTACACGCTTGTTGGAGGTTGCTAGCTTGTGGATTACATACAATTGCTTCGAAGATGGAATAATAAAGGTGGTCCGGTTATCGGTCATGCAAGAAGTACATAGCTTTTGTAGTATAATAAGGAGGAGTGGGAAGTGGGATGAGCTTGAGAAGAGAAAAAGTGA